TTAATTTCCTTCACGGCGAGTCTCGATAAAGTGGTGGGCGAGGGCGAAACACTAGCAACAGCTAGCCGCCCTTTTTGTTATGTAGTTGGTGTCCGCGACACCTCGAGCCAGTATGCACATGGAGACGTGACGGCGCCAGCCGCGGGCCCCCTGCAGGGAAGATCATGGGCAAGCAGCTGCCGCAGCAGGCTACCCCCATGTCATCGATTTCGTGCAAACCTTTGCACGCACGTGTGGGCAAGGTCCGCGGGAACCGGACGCTGCGCGCACGTGTGAGTGTGTGAGGTCCGCGAGGAGCGGATGTTGATATTCATATACTTCCTGCAGGAGGGCCGCAACCAGCACCACACAAGGGGCTGAGGTGAGGCGGTCACCAACCGCATTGCTAGCGCAGCGACAGCGGCGCCCGTGTGTGGGAAAGCAGCCAGCCAAGCAAGCACTGCGCGCTCGGCGCATCGATCTATTTTGTCGCACTCCCTATGTCCAGGCGAGACAAGGGTGGGTGGGCGTGGTCGAGCAAAGTGGCCGCCGCTCATCGAGCGGCGGAGCCTCTTATCTTCTGAGTATTTTCAGAAGTTCCGCCCGCTATTTTTCTGCGGGGGCTTTTCGTGGCGGCGTTTGCCTTACCACGATCGATCTCGCCGACTAAGAAATTAACCAAAATTTAACAAGTGAAATTGACATTGCATATTCAAGTACATAGTAAAAAGGAAGCACTCATTAAAATAGAGCGCGACGAGCCAAAGAGCCCACAGTGCTCACTATGAGGGAGGTTTCTCTTCTTCATCTTCGTCATCACAGGGAAAGAGCAAGGCGATTTCTGTTCCGCCACTGGGACATATGTCTCCGACTGGAGCGTCTTCCGGGTCCTCCTCAACAGCTTCCTCCACTGGCTTCTCGACCGGAGGCGCAGCAGCAGAGGCTCCCCCCGGCGTGCCGTCGCCTTCGCTTTCAACACGACTGCCATCCTGCTCGCATGGTGGTCGTTTCACTGGGCTCGTTCGCACGGTTCCCACACGACTATGCTGAGGTTCGCAAATCTCCATCGGATCATCATCCTCCACCGCGAGCGACCGCTCACTCGAAATTTCGCAGCTCGTGGTGTGCAAGTTCTGCAGAAGGGGCCGGTTCTGGTCGGGAAAGCAGCGCCTGTGCAACGCGTCCTTCGCCTCACTGATCTTCATGTCAGCTGGTACGACCAGCGGCGCCATTCTGCCATCGTGAAACTTGAAGCAGTAATGGTTTCCGCCCATGTCCACCAGCTGCAGCAGCGCGGGGCTCGAAATTTCTGCGCTTTGGTCTTCCGCATTTGAAGGAGCTGCTGACACCTCCGCTTGGACTGGTGCTCCCTGCTGGTCTTTAGCCAGTTCAATCTTGGATTTTTCTGTGTCTGAAGGGGCAGCCTCGTCTTGATGTTGTTGCCCCGAAGCTGCACTTCCACTTGCGCCTCGCTCGCCTGATCTGTTCATGCATTCGACGCTTGCACTCAGCGGCACGCCTGGATGTGGTGTTGTCTTTCGGGCCAAAGTAGTATTTTGCACTTCGTGTTCCGTTGTGACATTCGTCTTGCTCGGTTGCGCCGGCGAAGATTTCATCGCCCGTTGTTTTTGATCGGTGTCCGAAATAACTTGCTCCTGTTTATGTCGTACCAGAATGACGCGTACCGTTAGTCGCTTCCCCAGCGTGCCAGCCCCGACTTTCTGGACCTTCCATGAGGCATGTCCGATCGCGGGCAAAAAAAAAGCCTCGACCCACTTCCGGACGGCGTCCAACTTGTCGTGTGGATCGAACGTAACCTGGCTGGGCGTAAGCTCCGAGCCGCCCTCGTCTGCAGGTACAAAAGAATTCGATGTTCCGACCTCCACTACCGAGGCGCGCGCGAGGGCCGCGTGATTCCGAAGCGTCCTCGCGATGGCGACCTCGTCGCTGTCGTCGATAAGAACGACTTGCAACGGTACTCGCCGCTCAGCAGGGTTCCTCGGCCTCGAAATTCCACCGATGTAGTTCACGCTTCGCGACATATTAATGCCTCCCTGGTTTCTTTTTTTGATTTTGTTGAGGCTCCTTGTCTGTGTCCGTGCGTCGAAAACAGTCTTGTTTACTTTGACTCTACACTGCTCAAACCTCTCTCTCAACTTGTACATCAACGTGATCTCAAACCTAAACCGTCCTTCGCCTTCGGATCATGATCCGCCATTCATTCCTGACTACGTACAATGTAAGTGACGAGCTACAGAAATAAAAGACCGCGCAAAAAACAAAAACGAAACTAAGCACCACCGCTTTTATTGAACAGTCACGCGCTGGTTCTCCGGCAGTCAAGAAACGCACACAGCTACTATGCACCTGCGGTCCTCTCCTTTAACAACTTCTCCGGCTTCGCATTCGCTGTATAGCGCGTACGTTTTCTGAATGGAATGAAAAGAAGCTCTACGAAGTTGGTTCCGGGGCGTGCTTCTCCCTTTTGAACTTGATGCTTCCATGCGATGAAAGTGTCAACCCTGTCGCAAGAGTTTTTCTGACGTAATAGTGGACAGACCGCTCAATAAAGCGGTATCGGCATCATAGCATGACGATGACGATGCTTTTCGTCAATCTGCGAGTGAATTTTCTTTGGCAGCTACGAAGCCTTTTTCTGTTTTTGCCACCTTTAACTTACTTTTCTGCGCCACAGCAGTTTCACAACTTTCAACACCGCTAGCTCCATTTTCACTTACAAACCTTCCCGATTTCTCCGCATCGGCTCCTCGCTTCCTCGATTTGCTGGCCTCGCCCCCGCCGCACCCTGCGTCATCTGCATGCTGTTTTGTTCCACTCGCTCTTCCCTGCGGCTGGTGCCGCGGCGGCTTCCATCCGCCAAAACGCGAGAAATCCAGGTGATAGGCGGCCCCAAGACGGAAGACCGCAAAGTCCCCGTCTTCCGGATCCGGAATGTCGTCGAGTTGTCTTTTTTTGTCCGTTTTCGTGTCACCAGCAACTTCTCCACCTGCGCCCTCTTTCGGTGTCTCGCTAGCTGCAATCGTTTCGGACGGCCTGTTTGGTCCCACCGGTGCGACTTGGCACTCGATTTTTGCTTCAGAACCCGAACTCGACCTAGAAACGAAAGTGATTTGTTGAGTTCTACTGCGTATCTTAAACCAAGCATGTCATAGCTTTGTCATTGTCAACGTGATCCTTTATTTCTTTTTACGAAAGAACACTACAAAAACGCCTAATACTGTTTCTGAATTTCTTGAGTGTTACAATTGCGAATCGAATACAAATTTGCACACCTTGCACACAGGTAGCGATAGAGTGTTCTCTGCTCTTGCCTACTGTAGTACCTCGCCTCGACATGCCCTTCGCTGGTTGTGTCCATAGCAACTGTCTCCTCCGGGTCCGGAGATGCTTCCGAGTTGGCAGCTTTGCGTGGTCCAATGGGGATGAAGATTAGACTCGGATCAACCTCCACTTTCGTGTGTCTCCTACTCTCGGTACCTCCGCCGTCGGGCAAAGGCAATGGCGCCACCCAGACATGGCCGTCATCTTGTGCTGGATCATACTGTTGCCCGATGTGCGCCAACAAAAAGGTCCGCAGCTCCCGACGCGACTGAAAGGCCGGCCACTTCTCGGGAAGCGGCCGCGACAAAACCAGGGCGCGCCGCGGACGAAACGCTTCTGTTGCATACTGGTGCGAAGCTTCCATCAACTGCTCCTTTGTCGACGACTCCGGCGAAACCGCGATGGGCCGCGTGGCCGCGAGCGGCAGGACAAATTCGCACACCTGGTGGAACTCACAACAATTTTTGTACTCGAGGGGCCGGGCCCAGTCGTGAAAATGTTGGTACTTCTCTTTTCGTTCGAAATGCTGCCTCCAAAACTTCGCGGACTTGGGGTATTCCCGCACCTCTTCGAGATACCACTGGACGGTGATGTCTACGCCGCCGCGAATCGCCACCGCAGCGAGCATCCGCTGCCCCAGCACTGCACCTCCCATGGATTTTTCAAACGTCGCTTCGTCCAAGCGAAGTTCCAACGGGCGCACTCCTGCAGCATTTTGAAAGTCAGAAGTACACAAATCCGCACAGGGCTCCAATATTGCAGCTCGTCCTGGGCCTCTAGTCGCATGTGCGCAGTTTCCAGACATCACCCCTGCAGAAGCAACTCCTGCCACCCCAACACTACAGCTCATTCCAACATTGTGACTTGCGGCCGCTTGTTTCAGCAAGCTGCTGATGTGCAAAAAATGATCTTTCCCGATGTCCATCGCCGGAAACACCAGCTTCCAGCTGAAATCGATGGCGGGGAGAAGCATGTCGACTTGGGGGTGCAACATTCGATTGTGCTTGCTAGTACGCGTACCGGCAGTGACACAGCGCGGCGCGTTTTTCAGCACAGGCAGGGTCTTCTGTTGCTCGCTACTTAGGTAAGGCCGGTCTTTGTGCTGAAGCAGCACCGGGCCCTGCTCTGAACCGAACAAGAGGTGCCGGAGCGTAGCAAACAGATTATTGAAATTTTCCTCCTGCGTGCGGAGCTCTTTCTTTCTCCTGTTAGTCTCGCTCTCGACGATTTCGATTCGCACAACGGTGCAGAGCTGCTGGACCGTCCGGGGGTCCCCCACTTGTTCCAAGGAAATCCCGGGGAAGCTGTATTCGCGCCAGAACACAGTCAAGCAGTCGAGCAGCTCGGCCTGCACTTGATAGGGACAGCGATGTCGCGGATTCCCGGGGTCCAAGCGCTCCAACAGTCTTGCTTTCAGCGTCGCCAGCTCGTGCGGGCGCCGCAGCTCTCTCTTCCAGCATGCTAAGTCGTCAGACCTACCGGGCTGCAGGATAAAGTCGTCTCCGCAGCGGAGCAAATTGGCGCAAGCATCGACGCCACACAAAAACGAAACCAGGCTAGGGTCTCTTCGTAAGAGAGAAATGTCGTGAAGCGACGTAATGCTTGTGCGGGAACGAGAGATCGTTGTATCATCCCCTCCCGCTTTCTGCAGCTCGAAAGCGAGCGTATTAGGCCAGAAGTCAAACAAGTCTTTTACCGGGCGCTCGGAGCCGTCCTCGGATACGCGGCGGGTTCGACGCCCTGGCCAACGGCCAACATCTCGCGGCATGCAAATGCGGACGGACGCTGGCGGCACAACAATCTTCAAGATTCCGCCCGCCGCTCCCGGATACAGTGTGTGCGCGTTACTATTCGAGACCGCACGAAACGCCTGGTCATGCAGCTCTCTGGCTGACTCAGCACCACGGCCAGCCACTGTACACGTAGTTTGGTATGCCGCTGCCTCGGGCTGCCGTGTCGTTTCCAGTGGTGTTTCTTGCGCGTCGCTCTGCGAGCTGCTGGTCCCGTCGCCAGCAGTGGACTGCAGTTCTTTTGCACTATAATGGGTGAAAAGAGGAAATATCCATGATTGATCGCGAATAGCGCTGCCGCAGCTCTCGTAAGTCCAGGGCGTCACGCCGATCCGCGTCTCGGGGTCTGGCAAGTCGTGGAAGAACATTTCGTACTCAATCAGGTCCTTCTTCGGAATGATGCGAGTGGTTGTTGCTGGACGCGAAATCCTTTCGCCAATCGCGGGTTCCTGCTGAGCATTGGCCCCTTTTGAAAATTCGACTTCTTTGTCACTGGTTTTCGACGCTAGTTTGTTGCTTTCGCCTCCGTCCCTCAAACGCGCCTTTTCGCCGTCATTTGCTTTCGCCAGAAACGACCGAGAATCTGCAACAAGGTGAGCGTCTTTCAACTCGAACTGAAAGTGCGCATTCACATTAATTGTCGATGACCCCTTCGCTGGTTCCGACACCTCCCCGGCTCCGAGCGCAGAGGATATTATCCTGGCAGGCTCTTTTGCAACGTCATCCAGGAAGTGCTGCAAGTGCGTGAAAAGCCTTTTTTCAGAACACTTACCGTCGACGCCGGATTTAATCCGGCACTGCTTATTGCCCGATGCAGGAAGGAAACACTGACTTTTTTCTTTGGCAGCCAAGATTTGTTTTGCGTCGGTCCAATAACTGCTACTGCCGTAACCCTTCGACATTCTGAATTCATTTTCTTTCCTTTCTTCTTCCGCCCTTTCGTTGGCATAGGCGGAAACACGATCGTACTTGGCTACTGTGCTAAGCCCTGAAGGTTCGCTTGGCGCGTCTGAACAATCCCATGGAAGACCACTGCCATCCGACACTTTTTCGAATCTGCTGCCGTGCGCGAGAGCCAGGGCCGTCGCTGCGGGAACATCCAAGTCGGCATACCTGCGAACGCGGTGCCCCGACGGTGGAAGGCGATCTACCGCAACCAGGTCGTTCGCTCGCATGCTTATTTCGTACTTACTCGTTGCCCCATGTGTGCATTTGCATTTTCCCTCTGCGTCCTTACGGTCACTCAGAGTTGCAAACACACTTACGTGCGGGTGATAGTAAAGTGCAGGCCGTTCGAAGTTTACGTTTGCAACATTGCCAAGTTTCTGCTCCAGAGGTAGCTTTGCGGGCGGGGCTTCCCCTTCAGTACTCTTCTGACCCGCGGCACCAGGCTCATTGTCCGGCTGTGTTTCACTGTTGAACTCCGGCCGTAAATCAAGACCATGGCACGAGGACGTGCGGACATCGAGCCGGAAGCCGATCCCAGAAGCCCTGACCGCTCGCCGAAACAGTTTGTCTCGTCCTCGCAACAATGCGTAGTCGGGCAGCGGAGATGTCGGCCCGTCAGTCCGAAGCGGGAACAGATCACGGCTGGTATACCCAAGCTCGTAAGAAGGCAGTCCCAGGATGCCGCCTTTTGGGAAAAACTCGGGCGACCTCCAGAGACGACGCAAAACGCTTTCCAGTCGCAGCCGCACGTGCTTGTTGTCGTTCTTTACGCCAACGACCGTCGAGACGGCTGCGTTGAGCTCGCAAGGTGCAAACGCGGCAGGACGTGTCACCCACCGTGTGCAGTTGAAGACGAAGTTATTGTCTCCGGCAACCTCCCTTTCCAAGAACCCAGTCTCGCGCAAGCGGCGTCGCTCTTGCTTCTGAAGGACTGTGCGAACAGTCGTCGAGAAACCGGGAGGATACGTCACTGCCACGTGTCGGTCCAAGGAAAAAGCGTCACGTTGCTCGCTGTATATCGGCTCGAGGGGAGCAGGCTGATCAACCCAGTGCTGTCCGTTCCAGTGCCAATCCGCAGCACCAGGGCGATGCACGTTTCGCTTCTCCAGATCCGGTAGCAACTCGGACAACAGCGGCAAGCGATCGAAAAAAGGTGTGGCTCGTTTTTTCATGATCCGGTACACCCCCATTAATACGTGTCCAGCAACGGAGGACGACATCTCTTTCACCGCGAGCTCGACGGACACGCCGCGCGGAACCGCGACGCAATACAAGTTTGAGCTTCGCTTCGCATCCGAACCGAAAAACTGTTCGTTCCGAATTATACAGGCCTCTGGCGCAGCACCCGCACGAGCGCCGCTGTTGGAATTGTTCACTAACAATTCGTGGCTTTTGGTAAGAACTCGGCTGGCTTCATTGGCCTCGTCGCAGATCGTCTCATTAGGGCGAGATGCTCCCTGGAGCTCAAGTGGAACGCGGACCTCCTCCGGTAATTCCTCGAGCGAAACGCCAAATGGAGCTTTCAGCCGTCTTTCTTCATAAAAAGGCTCCTCGAAGGTAGTCCCGTCCCCCCGACTAGCAACCGCCGCCGACAAAGAGAGTCCAGGTTGCTGGAAAGGAATCATAAAATTCGCACTTTCGGCGAAGTGGCACTCTCCCCGGTCGCAGTTGCCCGGGTTCTTTGTTTTGCAGGTCAAATAGCTTGCGGCACCCCAAACTCCAGGAAAGAAAACTAATAGCGTTCCCGCAGTCCGGTTGCGCTCATCGTCGCGTTGGCGTACAATATCCCAAGTCGCTTCACCTTCCTCCAAATTTCGATCCGTTTTATTGACGGCGGGCTTGTCTCGCGCAAGATTTCCGGATTGGTACCGCCCCGGGTTGGCTTTCGAGTGAAATCGCGGTTGCTGGTTCGACGGGTTCGCGGACTTCCGGTTTGTCCTCGCTTCGTACTCTGTCGCGATGCGGCGGTAGGCGGCTGTTTCGTCGTCTGACTTGATGACGTCGACAGCCCGATTCCGGAGTCTCCAGAACCGATTGGGGTCACTCTGCAGCCGCAGTCCCTTCCGCTTGTTGTATCCGGATCCACGGGGGTCGTGATCTGAGTCGTCGGATGAACATATCGAGGACCAGCTGCGAGCTCGAGGACGAGTTGTTTTGTTACTACTGGCCCCGGGACCCGTTGAAGGATTTCCTGGAGCTGTCGAAGTAGGAGCGTTCTTTCCCGCTTCACTCGTTTCCGCGTTGGTGTGGCGCTGCCCGCGCTGCAATCTCTTGGCTTCGCTCGCAGTCTCTTGTGCCCTCTCCTGCTGCTTCCTGCGGCGAATCGCCGCGGCGCGCCGCGTCTTCTGTTTCTTCGTCATTCCTCCGGCATCAAGCCTTACAAACTGCAGCTCTACGGGGTAGGGGAATTCCAGTACTTCCGCCAAGAACGCAGAAACGCCCGCACGATTCAGATCGTCAAGGACAGTGGGCTGGTCTTCTCGCTCCCGATCCTCTTGCCCCTCTTTTCTCAGCCTGATCTCCACCTGCCCCGCACCTAGCGAGCGCTGAAAAAGAGCATCGTTGGGAGATGTTGATGCTTCAACGTCCTCTGGCTCTGCCTCGTCTTCCTCGCCGCTGTCGATGAAGGACGACCAATTATACCCGGAGAAGTTCGCGCGACAGCGAGCGTGCTCAATGCTTTTTACGCTATCATTCTCATTCCGTCCAGTCCACCGGCACCACGGCTCTTCCAGCACGGACAGCCCCGGTGGTAAGACCGCCGGGATCGGGGCCGTTCTGTTCTGCCGCGCAAGTTGCAGGTCGTGAAAATTAGTGTCACGGATCAAGCGATAGTCAATACGCTTCATTTCGGACAACAGAGGGTCGAAGCGCCCGTGCTGCTCCTCGGTAATCGCAGCCCGCAGTAAGTTATTGATTTTCGCTTGCGACTTTCCCAAACCTTTTTCATTACTTTTTGATGACAGTTCCCCGTGCAGCTTGGCCATCTCCCGAAGCTTGGCTGCTCGTTCACATTGCTGCTGGAGGACCACGTCCAGAGCGGGCCGCTGGATCTCATACCGCCGTCCGCTTCGTTTAACGTGTACCTCTGGCACCCCGGACACGTGGACGCAGAACGAAACGCCAAACTCGGCACCACACCCTTCCATAGTCTTCCCGAGCAGATCCAGCCCTGCGTCCGTATCCAGGTTGCAGAGCCGGTCAGGAATCTCGTCTGCAGCGTACGGGTCTTCTGGGTCTTTTCCCGTATACCGAGGGCGCTTCTGCCGAGGCCACCAGTCATATTCCGACTCCGATTCTTCAGGTTCAGAAGAGGAAGTCGCCATTTTGCAGCTGCTTCGTTGTCGTGGATTCTTAAGCGAGAGTTCTTTCAAATCACGGACGAGCACAAGCCAGAGACTCCGCTTCTTACATTCGTTCTGCACGACGGAGTTCCAACAATCACTTTCTTATACCAAATCAATGACAGCTCACGCTCAGGCGTCGAATTGATAAATGTCATATCAGAATCACCTTCTTTTTCTTCTTACTTCATACATCATTATCTCTTCTTTTATGTTTGACTTGGGAAACTTGGTGCAGCTGAGCGCAAATAGGGAGAGAAAAAGAAAAACAAATCGCTATATTTATGCTGACATAGACACTAGCGTATAGTCGAAAGTGAGAACGCTGACACTGGGATTTACACAGAATGACCACCGGAGGACTACTTTCTTTCAGGTAGAAACAACTATGACTATCGGAGGAAAGAACTTCATCACAACTATTGCAAAATCCCCAAAAGCACAAACAGCGCCGGAGCTTTTGGTACTCCCGCTTGCTCAGAACCGTGTGTCGGGCTCAGGAATCCTTTTCATTGTCTACCAAGGTCGACGCGGATCTTTTTGCCAACTGGATCAAAAACCAAGATCTTTTCTCCGAACAGAAAAGTTGATCCTCCGAAAAAACTTTGGACTACGTCGACGTGTGTTCTTTTCCTGCGACTTCGCTTGACAAGAACACCCCATCTCGTAGCGGTAGCGATTTCTTGTTCGTTCAACCTAAATAGCATTTTCTGGCTCTTCCTGATGACGCAGGAGAGCACACTACTACAACACATCCGACCCCGTCGCACTCTCATCTGATCAATCGTTTAAATGAGCCCAGCGATTCTCGTATTCACTTTCAGATGAATCAGATCCTACATCGTTCTTGGGACGCTGAAGGACCATCAACTCCTCGCAACCTGGCTCGAGTAGACCGGCGATCACGCGAGAATCCGGGTCCTCATCTTCGTGCGGATCCGCTGCACTGCGCTCCGTCCGGGCCGAAGGCGAATCGACATCATCATCATCATCATCTTCTTCCTCATCTACAACCGCAGCTTCGGACACTTCGTGCCGTCGAGGCCGGGCCGCGTTCGGATCCGCACCAACCGCGGACACCGCCTCGACGGGTGTTGCCGCGGAATTGTTATCGATCTCCATATGATTCACGTCTGCGCCGTCCTCAACTACAGTCGAGGCCTGCTCTGCGCAAGAACTCTCGCTTCTGCCTGCAGCAAGCTCCTCGTCTGTTGGCAAGACAAACTCCAACTGCCGCTCCTCAAAGCACCGCTGAAGCTTCTCCTTCGCCTTCTGAACGCTTTGTTGTGTATTAATTTGCAGTGGGACCCATCCGAAACCATCGACGAAAACGTTGTACGCATTTCCCGAAACGTCGACTACGCGCACAAACGAAGGCTCCCGCTCTGCTGTTATTTTTAATGGAGGTAGTTTACAAGAACTTAGGCTTGCATCCTGCGCAGCTCCCTCCACTTTTCCGTCTCCTGTCACGTCGCATGACGTAGTTGCATCTGTCTCGGGAGCTTTCGCTTTCGCTTCAGCCTCTTCCGTCTGCTGTGGTTCTTCGCCGTGGGGTCCTTTCACAGTTTTTACGTCAACCTGCGGGTCATCTGTCTTTTCTTGACTGTCACATTTGGCTTCGCCCCGCTTGGTGCCTGCCTTTTGCCCCTGCTCGACCGCTCTGGCGTCAGCGTTCGCTGTGCTGGCAGCAATTACTGGCGCAGAGGAGGATTCCGACTTGTTCTCTGGTACACCTCCACCGACCTCGTGTTTCGAAACATATGCGAGCACAGCGAGCCGCTCCCCACGCGTGCTCAAGTGCAGTGAATCCACACACCATCCTAGCGCGGGCGGGAAAAAAGTGTCCCGAAGCCAGCCGCGAACGTCCGCAAAATTCTGGCGATGTGTGAAAGTGATTCCGCGGCCGCGATTGCCTTTGTGCGTACCGACCCGCGCCTCTGGCACGCGGGCCATCTCGAACGGCGTCAGTGGCTTCTCTCGGGTCGCAGCAAGCTGCAGGTAAACGTCGAATCGTTGGAAATAATTCAAACTGGGGGGAGTGGCGTGCGGATCTTCTCCCCCCGGATTAAACTGCTGGAAGAAAGCATGATTTGCTCCGGCAAAATTGTTGAAGCCGTGCATTATTAGCAAAGTCGACGTACTTTTCGATCCGTAGCTAGGTCGACGTACTTTTCGATCCGTTATAAAAGCAAGGTCGACGTACTGCAACGTTTGTAAAAAAACTGACTGGATACGGGAAGTACTTAATTGCTGTCGTGCTTCAGAGCGTCAATGACTGAGACAGACAACACATTTTTTTGGTCGCTGCGACAATAACAAGTAGAAATTACACCTCTTCTTCTTGCACTTGCGGCTATGTTGTAGCGACGCTCCTTCCGGACGACAATATGCCCAGAAGACTCAATTCTCACACTTCGCATCGAAAGATGACTCGGTGTCTACAAATTCAACTGAGCCAAACTTGCTTGCTGTGACCAATGCGGTTGTGCGCGCATGTGGCTCGGAAAATAAAACGCGAGCTAGTTTGTCCGGTAGGCGATATTATTTTGATGAAGGGACGCAGTGGTCTTCAATCAAAAGTTTCTAAATACGAGGAGCAGAAAGGATCCAAATGATCTACATCAATGTGAAACTTTCTAGCGAGACGTCCGCTCGCTCGAAAACCGTTCTTCCAGTGGTATCGAAGAAGATTGCAGTAGTTCCTGTTCTTGCACTTGACTCTAAATTAATAATAATCAAAGGATCTGGTGAACAAACGCCACAGCATCAGCGACAAACACCAATAACGGAACATCAGCCTGTCTTTTGGATTCGCGGTCGTTCAAAGCGGAATTTTCCTCCTGTAAGCACCCTCAATCTTTTTGGAACTAGTACTTCGTCACGGTACGGATTTTTTTAGTATGTAAACGAACTCAATCCCCAAATTTGTCTGCAAAGCGGCGCACTGTTACTGTGTCATTGCCGTAGCGTTCATTTCTTTCAACTCTTACTTTCCCTGAAATTCCCGCAGCAACAATCCTGCTGCTCCTCCGTGCTCCTGCAAAGCGTCCTTCAAGTCCACGGTGCGGTCGCCCAGGCCCAGCTCCGGAAATTCTTTCATCAGTTCATTCTCCATTTCCTCGTCGAAGTTCATGTGCGACTCCGCGCTGCTGTCCGAAGACGCGTCGTCAGCATCTTCGTCTTTACCTTCCTGCTGCTTTAACACCCGCTTCGCAGGCTTCGACAGTCGCGCCCCTGCTGCCAGCGTCGTCTTTTGGCAGCTGCCACTGCTGCGACCACCACTACCCGCCACAACGCCGCTCTTAGCTCCTGCGGCTTCTGCCACTTGCTGAATCGCCGCTTTCGGAATGGCGGTGGGCTCGGACGGGATTTTTGTCTCTCCTCCTCCCGCTTGATGCTTTTTCACCAAAGTCGCTTGTTTCTCTGCTTGACTCTTTTTCGCTTCCGACGCGATGTCGTTGATGATGATTTGCTTTTTGTGTCCCGGAAGATCGTTGTCATAGGCAAACGGGCTCGCATTTTCCCTCAATTTTTGAAAAAATTTCTTGTCGCTCTCGACCAAATCGATTTCGTCCTCGTCGTCGCTTAAATTGTTTTTGTCGCCGTGTAGGTCCTCGTCCGTTTCCATGCACGCTTTGGTCATCATGTCCTCGTCGATGTCGTCGATGCGCAGATTTTCATACAATTTCTGCTTCTTGCTCCGCATGCCGCTGCCGCCGCCGCCGCCAAACAGCTCCGCGCGCAGATCCTCATTGTGGCGACGCAGCAGTTCTGCATCGTGTCCCTCCTTGTCGGAGGACGTGGGCGAAAGTTTCTTCGGAGCAACAGCGGTTGGGGTCATAAAGGAAGTTGTTCTTGTTGCGGGGGAGGCTGAAATGCTTGTCGTGGATGACATTAAATTGTTGGTGCTACACGCAGTAGAACTATTGCTCGGGGTCGTCGCGGATGCAGCTGTTTTAGCACTAGCGGTCTTGCTTTCAGCTGCACCGTCCTCCTCAACGTCATTCTCGGAAATTGTGGGTAACAAGGTCGCTTTTACTTTGGAAGACGTTGGTTTGCTCAGCTGTGCCTTCTTTGGTAGGTGCTCTTCTGCTTCGGTGTCAGCTGCAAGGACATCATCTTCCTGTTCATCTTCGTCGTCCATGCCCAGTTCCTGTAAGAACTTCGCCACGTCTATTGCTTCGTCCGACTTTTTCGTCCACTGTCCTTCTTTCAGCTCCTTCTCCAGCATCACGATCAGCTCCTTTTCCCGCCGCTGCTCTGCCAGCCACTCCCGCCGAGAAATCGCGTCGCGAGCCAGGTCGATGCCGGAGCCTTTGTCGCAAGTCTCTGCTTGTCGTTCCGTGTTTATTTCTTCATCTCGCTGATGTTCCGCCGTATTGGTCGTGTCTGTCTTCGTACTGATCCCCTCTTTCTTCTCGTCCCCAGCACAACCAGCAACAGAAGCTGCTTCAGTAGTAGATGCGTTGTCCTCTTTATCCGCAGAGGACCCAACTTTCGCTTCGCTTTCACAAGAAGCAGAAACACCGGTCGCTTTCTGGAGCAGATCCGTACCGCTCTCCGGCTGCTCGCTCTTCATCTCCCCTACTACTTCTTCACCCTCCTTCGGCGGTTGCGCGTGGATTTTGTCATAGTCTTCCTGCCATTTTTTCTTCGCAAAATCCCGTTCTTTCAGACCCGCGTTCGGTTTCAACACGTAGTTTTTGATTCGCACCGACTTTTTCACGTCGTTTTGCCACTCTTGCGTGTCCCACAGGGCGTGCTCCTTCTCTTTGTCATGTTCGGAAGTCAAGTTGATGTTGGTTTCGGAACCTCTTGCAGTATCGCGCTCGTACTGCGCAACCAGCGGGGTGCCGCCAGTGAAGGTAGTCGCTGTAGTTGATGTGCCAGCAGCTTGTTCTTGTCCAGAGCAGGTCTGTTTGTCTCCGTTTTTGGAGGTCGTTGTAATATCTGCATTCTCCTCCTTTTCCTCCTGTCGCTTCGTCTGTTCCTCATCGGAATCGGAATCCGTCTCGTCGTCATCCGATCGACGACTCAAAGTGCGGAACTTCTTCTTCTCCGCATCTGTCGCTTTGTCATTTTTCAGGCAACTCGTGCGCAGTTTTCGGTACGTGGTGTAGGAAAACGCCTGCCGGTCCTTCAATTGCGCGGCGAGGCTTACAGAAGGGTAAGCAGAGCTAGCAGCTGCCGCTGCGCTATTGTCACTATTTTTTTCCTGTTCTTTGGACGATTCGACAGGACCTCCACTCACCTTGGATGCGGTTGTAGTCGCAGGTGATGCTTTGGAGGTAGCAGCTTGTTCGGCAGAAGACGCAGAAGTGCCTTTAATATTCTTGTCCGATTTATTCATCTCCTCGTCGCTTGCACTCTCGACACCAGAAGACGCCACGTCTTCGTCGTCGGTTTCGGCTTCATCGTCACTTTCTGAAAAGAAGTTCTCCGGGTCGATGCCATCCACGCCGGAAATCTTTCCCAAAATGTCCTGCAATTTCCCGCCTAACTTTTCCGCCTCCTTCTCGTCCATGTTGTCAAACTTCTGGAACTCGTCCAGTCTCTGTTGCAGGTCCGCATCCAGCTCGGTCGGATCCACGGTCAGCCAGTCTAACGGGGAGTTTTCGACAGGGGTTTTGCTGTTGTTATTTTGTGAGACAGAAACAGGACTACAAGGGATGTTGGTGCTAGGCGCTTGATTATTGCTTGCTTTATTCTTCATCTCGTGCTCGTTCACGTTCGCCGACGCTGCGGTATTAACGCTCAAGTGGTCGATCTCGTTCTCCTCTACGAACTTTTTAAAGCCGTCTCGAAACCGCAGCCACCCGCTCCCGAAAGACAGCGTTTCCCCGTTCAGAAAGAAGCAGCACTGCAACGCGAAACTCACCAAGGCACCCATCTTTGCCGCGGCCTCGCGGTCCCTGTTGGACAGCGAAGCACGGGCTGGTGTCTTGGAAGAGTCGAGATTTGTAGTTGTGGTTTCGTGGAATTTGTAGTACTCCAGGGCCAGAAATTCCCGTGGCAACTTTATCTCCAGCAAGTAGTGCTGCAGCTTGGCGAAATGCAACCGCGTGAAGCGCACCGGGTGCAGAATCGCGGTCTCCGCGTCGGTGAAAAAATTCGGCCCGGCGGACGTTATGAACTTGCAGTATTGATGTTGTTCTGCTGTACTACTAATATGATCCTTGATCTCCTTCATTCCCTTCTTCAAATCTACTGCGGGCGGCGGTGGCACGTGCATCATCGCGTCGGAAATCACTGCTGGATACTTTTCCAGCAACAAAGCCACGTTTTTCGGCAACACACACTGGAACCAGTGGGTGCAATGCTCTAGTGCTTTCTTCGGAAAGCTCTCGATCTTCTGCTGCAATTGCCGCTGCACGTTGGCCTTCGCAATTGTCCGCCCGCTGTCCGCGTGCTTCTGCAGGTAGTGCAACGCGGTTGGTAGCGAAAGTTCGGCCAGTAGCGGGTTCTTTGTACAACTCGTCGCTTGCTTGCTCAATGAACTACTGGCGGGGGCACCACCGGCTTTATTATGATCGCCGCCATGTCCAGCACCAGCAGCACTGCATTTGACCGGATCGAGCAAATGCACACAGCCGTCGCGCAGGAAGATCCGGTTCACAGCCGTCTCTGGATTCACCCATTTGGGAAGGGTCAGAGCCGCTTCAATCGCCAAGAACGACCCGTCCTGATCTTCCAGCACAACGGAGCACTCGCCGATGTTTTTCGTCACCCGGTTCTTCATCAAATAGAACAAAAACCACTCGTCCCGCGGCTCGTCGCCGGTTCGGATGCGGGCTTCGAGGCAGGCAGGCTCGAGCGCATTTATCTGCGCCTTTTCCTCCAAAAAAAACTGGTCCCGGCACCACAGGTAGGACTGTAAGTCCTGCTTCAGGTGCTTGTTCAGAATTTCTTGTTTCCACTCGGTGAGCGATTTCTTGCTGTCACTGTCGATGTAGATCTTGGCGACGCAGTAGTCGTCCACGTTGGCGTGCTTCCCGAAGACGGAATCCCACTCGGAACCGTCCTGGTACTGCGTGGGGTCAACCATTTTGCTTTGGTTTCCTTGTTTTCCCTCTTCTTCTGTTATAGCAAGATGTTGAAAATGTAGTAGTTAGGTTCGTTGCGGAAGTCAAACATAATAAAGAAGGTGAAAACTAGTGAAGGATAAAGGTTTCTAACAATAGCAAAAACTGAGACCAAGCCTGCATCAACTCAATCGATTTCCACACATATGAAACTCAGTCACACAGATCGCTTGGAGGGTTTGATTTGAAACAATTTGGCGTTTCGGAAAAGATCAGATCGCACTGGTATCAGACCGTCCACGTTGAGCACTACACCTGGATCGTTTCTTGCAGATTCTATTTTCCTTGCATCTAATTTTCGAAAACGTCGCCACCTCGTGGATTACTAGAAAAATACGGATCTCATTCCCAGTATGATAGATTTTCAGATCGTCCTATCGACAGGTGCCGGTCGCTGGTTCTGACTACGAGATCATGACGAGTACGACTCGTGCATCGTTTTCATGTTCTGTTCGACCTTCCAGCCAATAGTTCCGGTGTACTACGCGACTTCCTGTGAACGAGAATCCGGGCGAAAACAAGGCCTGTTCGCGAATCGCAAAAACCACTAAGCGTCGACGTCAGTCGCAGGGTATTAATGCTTTAGTATCATCATGTCATGTCGTGCTTCTTGGATAATAGTGACGCATCTGCTATGTCCCATGGTTCAGCGTCTTCTGGGAAGACGTCATGCAGGAGAAGTGCAAACATAAAGCCATCGCATCATCGGCATATCTTTAATGCTTCCCTCACCATCTGTGTACTTCCGCCATAACCATAAATCGGAGATATCGTGAGAGCGGATTCTATGCGAGACGAGGACTGAAATTCTTGACTTCTACCAGAAATGTCATGCTAGTAGGTAGCTAGATTTCATGTTGTCAAGCTGTCATTTTTCTTTCTTCGAAATATTCCTGCATTGACATATCGATACAGTATTGAAACATACGTAACCGCAAAAAAAGAAGTGATGCGACTTCTGCTGTAGTGCAGCAGGATGAAGTCTAGGCATTGGAAAATCAAAATCTACTATAGTTGCATTTTGGTGCACGAATTTTCTGCAACTGCTTTGTACCGGAAGTAAGCAACACACCAGCCGCACTCGCCAAGGAAAAAGTCGAAGATGAATTTTTGGGACCGACTGTGGTAGTCGTGTGAATTATAACTCCTATTGCTGAGCGGTGTGAGTTAAAATTTTGCAACGGGAAAGAAAATCGCCCACGCCGGAAATTTTTTCACAGTTTTAAAACTTTCCAAAGCTGTCGCGATTTGCGAAATCTATCGGCCAACGGCCAACGGCGAATCGCCCAAGTCCCATGGCAGACGGCGAATCGCCCAACGTCGAACCGCCCAAGTCCAATGGCAAGCGGCAAATCGCGCAGCGGCGAATCGCCCAAGTCACATCGCAAACGGCGAATCGGCCAACGGCGAATCGCCCAAGTCACATCGCAAACGGCGAATCGCCCAAGTCCCGGCGCAACTCGAAACATTTTGCAACTCCAAACATTTTGCAACTCGAAATATTTTGCAACCCCAAGTCCAAACATTTCGCCTCTTCAAATATTTTGCGGCTCGAAATATTTCGCAAGTCTAAATATTTTGCAACTCAGAATATTTCGCAAGTCCAAATATTTTGCCACTTAAAATATTTCGCAAGTCCAAACATTTTGCAACGCAAAATATTTTGCGACCCAAAATATTTCGCGGCCTAAAATATTTTGCGGCCCAAAATATTTCTCAATCGCCCTCGCCATTTGCGAAATCGGCCAAAGGCCAACGGCCAACGGCGAATCGCCCAAGTCCCATGGCAAACGGCGAATCGCCCAACGGCGAATCGCCCAAGTCCCATGGAAAACGGCAAAGCGCCCAACGGCGAATCGCCCAAGTCCCATCGCAAGCGGCGAATCGCCCAAAGGCGAATCGCCCAAGTCCCATCGCAAACGGCGAATCGCCCGAGTCCCATTGCAACTCCGAATATTTTGCAACTCGAAATATTTTGCAACTCCAAACATTTTGCAACTCGAAATATTTTGCAACCCCAAGTCCAAACATTTCGCCTCTTCAAATATTTTGCGGCTCAAAATATTTCGCGAGTCCAACTACTTCGCAACGCGAAATATTTTGCCATTCCAAATATTTTGCAACTCAAAATATTTCGCAAGTCCAAATATTTTGCAACGCAAAATATTTTGCGACCCAAAATATTTTGCGGGTCAAAATATTTCGCGATCGAAAATATTTTGCGACCCCAAATATTTTGCAATCCCCGGAAAATATTTTCAGGCGCCAACATTTTGCAACAATCTCCCAAAACCCTGCCTCCCCGGTTTTGCAGCTTGGGGAAGGCGGGAAGCACGGGGAAAGCGGGAAACACGGGGAAAGCGGGAAACACGGGGAAAGCGGGAAACACGGGGAAAGCGGGAAGCACGGCGAAAGCGGGAAGCACGGGGAAAGCGGGAAGCACGGGGAAAGCGGGACGCACGGGGGAAGCGGGGAGCACGGGGAAAGCGGGAAGCACGGGGAAGGCGGGGGGCACGGGGAAAGCGGGAGGCACGGGGAAAGCGGGGAGCGCGGGGTAGGCGAGGAGCACGAGGGAAGCGGGTTGCGCGGGCGGGGAAAGCGTGCGGGAGGCACGGGGAAGGCGGGAAACGCGGGGAAAGCGGGAAACACGGGGAAAACGGGAAGCACGGGGAAAGCGGGAAGCACGGGGAAAGCGGAAAGCACGGGGAAGGCGGGAAGCACGGGGAAAGCGGGGAGCACGGGGAAAGCGGGAAGCACGGGGAAAGCGGGAAGCACGGGGAAAGCGGGAAGCACGGGGAAGGCGGGAAGCACGGGGAGAGCGGGAAGCACGGCGAAAGCGGGAAGCACGGGGAAAGCGGGAAGAACGGGGAACGCGGGAAGCACGGGGAAAGCGGGCAGCACGGGAAAAGTAAGCGGGAAGCACAGGGAAAGCGGGAAGCACGGGCAAAGCGGGAAGCACGGGGAAGGCGGGAAGCACGGGGAAAGCGGGAAGCACAGGGAGAGCGGGAAGCACGGGGAACGCGGGGAGCACGGGGAAAACGCGAAGCACGGGGAAGGCGGGAAACACGGGGAAGGCGGGAGGCACGAGCGGAGGGCGCACAGACGGCGGGGGGCACACACGGCGTGGGTGCGAACGCCGCCGGCGGCCAAGCACCAGGCGAGCAGCTGCCCACCACCCTCCCCCGGCGCCCTTCTTCTGCTCGCGCAGGGAAGGCCGCGCCCCAGCACCAGGCTGCCCGCCACCCTCCCCCGGCGCCCTCCCTCTGTCTTTGTGTTCAAGAGGAGGCCGGCAGAGGGCGCCACCGTCCGCCGTCTCTGTCTTGGAGGGTGCGCGCGAGATAAGCAGGCGGGCGCGGGACAGATTGCGTGCGAGCTAACGCGGGGGGGCGCCGTTGTTGTCCGGGGGTGCTGGGGGAGGGTGGTGGGCCCCTGCGCCTGAAGGGCTATGAATGTCCCGCCCCGACGCCCGTCCTCCATCCACGCGCGCGACAGGCCCCCCAGCGAGCCCCTGAGCTGCAAGGCTGCGCGCGGGAGAAGAGCGGGGGGTGGCACCAAGGCGCGCAGAGGCGGGGCACACAGGCGGGCGGCACGAACGGGCCACGCCGCAGACGCGCGGGCGGGGCGTCACGCGCCAGCGCCTCGCATGGCGCGGACTGTTCCCCTGCATTCTTCCTCCGTCCACTGGCGCGCGCCCGCTGCCGCGCTTTGCGTTGTTGCTGGGGCCTAAGGCTTGCCGCCACGCAAGCGCGCGCCCGGTGCGGGCGAAGTCCTCGCGCTCGCACAACGACGGGAACCACGGGCGCCATGGCGATCCGCCTTCGTTCTTTCAGCAAGAATCGGCGCAGATGCCTGGCCCCGCCCTGCGTCAGAAATTTTTTCCCTTGCCCACCCTCTGACGTTTTTCTCTCCCCCCTGTCCACTCGTTCACCCTCCCACTACGCGACATAAGCTGCTGCCTTGTATGTCCTGATTGATGCAAAAAAATAGGGAAACGAACCACCACAACTCAGCCTAAAAAATAAAATCTACACTCATCTACGCTATTTGTTGCAATAGTGGCTGGCTCGAAGCAGGAACTGATATTTGTATCACTCGGTACATGAAAATAAGTTTTTTTTCAATTTGCTTGGCATACGGACCGCTAGAACTACATAGCCAAATCAAATGCGACCCCAATTGTTCCATTTTTTCTGATTTCTTCTGACAGAAAAATATGCCTATGCATTTGTCCCTAGTGGAAATTATACATGTGGAAGTTGAAATCTTCTATCTCTGCATTTTTTGCGAAACTGAAAAGTCATAATTTCTACGGTAGGGATAAAATGGGGCTGCGAACATGCCAAACCAATAAAACATGTTTAGAAACGACAATGTTGGTCAGGAATAGTTGTACAACGAACTAGATCGAACAAACAACTATGAAGAAATAAACAAAACTGAAAGTGAAAGTGAAAACAAACAAAATGAACCCGCCGTGGAAAAATTCTAGAAAATCCATGTCCAGCTCGAAAAACAACTACTACTAGTAAATCACATTCATTAGTTACACGATCTCCGCTCCCCTGGTCGGCAGTGCAGCGTTCTTCTTGTCACTGCTTTCCTTGGTCTCGCTCGTGTCGTCGTCATCGTCGGAAAGCCCCTCGCCGTCCATCATCTTCAGCAAAACCGAGTCGGGATTGCGCAACAGCTCGCTTTGTCGCTGCTCGGCCAGCTCCTCGTCGGAGAGTTTGTTGCTCTTCTTCTTCCAGCCGCCCGGAATAAACTTCATGACGCGGCTCTTCAGCGACGTCTCCTCATGCTCTGGCTCGGACATGGCAGAGACGCCGGAGATCTTCGGGGAAGTAGCATATGAGATTTGGCTCGCTGGCCTTTGCATCTCGTTCGGGTCCTCATCCATGAACACGGAGGCGCGCCGCGGCTTCATCGTGGTCTTGCCACCTTTCACAGCCTGAGAAGTCCGGTTCCCCTATGCATTGCAAATACCGATTTGGGTCTCAAGACAAAAGATGTGGAACCTCTGATGCTTCTTCTCACTAATAATTCTTGCAAATAAAACCGTCTAGCTTGTTGTTGACCAGCAAAGGTGAAGAAAGTTTTGTTTGTCATGCAAGTTTGCAATGCGCATTTTTCCGAACAGATGAATAAACGGTCATGCTTGGCTCTGCACGTAGAAGTGTTTCAACAACATGCACAGTTCAGCATCACAAGTTTCTTTTTCCAGACCCAGATCGGTATTTGCAATGCATAGCCCCTTTTCGTCGACAACCTCCTCCTCTTCTTGTTCCTTTTCGCCACAGAAAAAGGCCAACGGAATCCAGGCCAGCTGTCGGGCCAGCCACCACCAGTGCGCGAAGGTGAGCATGCACATCCCCATGATGGGCACCCAGTGGCGCAGGTGCGGCAGGATGTGGAAGAACTCGAACTGGTACCACAGCTCTAACAGCGTAATGACGAATCCGTACGCGCTCTCGCCATGATGCCCACAGTACTTCATCGGCGAAACCGCGTGCTGCAGGGACAGCGGGATGGCGGCGGTGAATAGCAGCGGTGATACCATGTGTGAGAGAATTGCGGCGTAAATAATGGAACTTGCGGTGTGGTGGACTAGGTACCCGATACCGTCAAAGAAACGCGCATACACGTCGACCCAATGCTCCTTGCCGTGCATCAGCCACGGGGCCAGCAACAACGTGGTCACCTCGGGGAACCCGAACTTGAACAGCGCCGCGAACCAGAGAGGTAACCCCAACCAGGAGGCCGACGCCATGCAGGCCAGACAGAGCGGAACCATGGCCACTTGACCGAACCGCCAGAAAACTTCTTTATTTTTCATGCGAATAAGCATGGCTCCCAACTTCAGCTCCAGGAACAACCCGCCGAACACAGAGAGTCCCGCGGCGATCAGTCCAAACCCAAGGGCAATGTTCTTCTTCGCGTCGTACGCAAGCCCGCCCGTCAGCACCGGCGGCACGACCACAATCTTCCACGCACTCAGCAGCCACGGGTAATTCGTCATGCGCACGCCCCAGGCGAAATCGGAAATTTCGCTTGCAACTTCTTCTGCATGCTCGTCGCTGAAGAGCAGATTCTGGCCGCTGGCGTCCGACACTGTGTGCAGCCGCATTTGTCGTGCGAGCTCGCGCGGAATCATGGTGAAAGAGCCGAGCCACTGCTCTTTGCGATACGAAAGCTCCCGCTCCGCGTTCACGAGCAAGATGTGCGGGTGCTTGGGGTGGAGGTCGCCGAACCAATTGTTCGTCTGTGATAAAATATTGTTTTTTCCTCACAGGAAATTTTGTACTTGCCATGATCGAACGCGATAGACTTCTCAAAGATCGATCGACGTCGTAAGGGTTTCCATATGCTCAACAGTGACATGTAATATGATGTGTAGATGATGATGATGTCTGCAGTGTGCCCTTTAGCGGACTGTAGAGTAAAAGTAACTAAAATAAAATGCTAAAAATTATACCGCGTGCATCCGGTCGTCTTTCACTTCGAAGTTGTCACGGAAGTAGCACGTAAGTGATCGCACACCCGTGTTTTTCCAGAACTTGAGATACTCGGCCATCATCGCGGTTTCGTCGTTGAAGGTGCCGTCGGTAAAGTCATCTTGAATCTGCTTCTGCAAGGGGGCAAAGTCTTTCATGCCGAGTGCGCTTTCGCCGAGAACAGGCGATAAAAGAGAGTAGAAAGGAAATTGACGCGGGTCAGCCGCCCCAAACGCGGGCTTGAGCATCAGCTCCGGGTGTGGGGTGAAGGAAACCAGACCAACGATGCTGTCCTCCTGCTCATACGCGTTCAGCTTGTGCGCAGTCGCCCACGCAAGACCGGAACCCAGGGGCGTCGAGTCACCAACTAAGAAGACGCGCGCCCACGTCTCTTCCCCGCCCGACCGCTTCTTGATGTCGAGAATCAAGTCCCGCAAAATGTCGCTGGAGGCCCCGAGGAAAGCGCAATCCGCTCCGGGCGTATCGACTAGCCTCGTTGCGTCCTTTCCCCAACCGGGCAGGTTGACTAACGCGGACGTGGAGCCAGGGCGCTTCTCGTGCAGGTGCTTGAGCACTCTTGTCCAGGACTGCGGCGCGTGCGGAAACCCGTTCAGAAAAATGAACAGGGTTGAATCCGTGTCCTCGCCGTCGGTGTTGAATTTGGTCCACGACTGTCCCACGGGAAGGTTGTTCTGCACCGCCTTGCCGTGCACGAATGTCTCAATGTTCCAGATTTTGTCGTCCCGGGACCGCACTGAAACCAGTTGGCGAAGCAGATCAACGCCGTGGTGCACGAAGTTCGGGTTTCCGGCCTTGCACTGGTATGGCCCCGGGCCAACCGGCGCCGTCGGCAGGTACTTGTCGACGTTTTTCAGAAACCACCGCCACGCGACGTTACGGCCGGGGCACTTTCGCTGAGCGCGCATGAAGCGCTCCGATTCCGTTTGCACGCGCGGCTCCACCAATAACAAATCTTCTTGCGCAACTTCGGCTGTGGCAGTGCCCGTTGTAACCTGCTTTAGCACCGGCGCGGCCCCCGTGTGTTCTTCGAACATGCCAAAGTTGTACACTTTACCCAGGTTCTCGCGCTCAAAGTCAAACTCGTCTGCGTTCGCGAATAGGTCTTCCCGCAGGTGGTGTGCAGGAACGTCGTACCGCACCACCCGCGTCTGGCCCGGGTTACGCGGATCCGCTTCGATGTTAGCAACTGGCTGCAACGTGCTGTAGAGGCGGATAAACTCCAGAAGAATCTTTGCTTTCTTGCTCCCCTTAAAATGCGCCGCGCCGAAGCCGTAGGACTTTTCCAACCAGGGCGCACCCAGCTCGCACCAGTTTTCTCGCAGGAACTGAATGAGCGGCTTGGCCTGCGCCGGCACGCCGACACCGGTGAGCATTCCGCCGAGCATCATGGCCTTGCTGGCCTGTTGCTTGACTAGAGGCATATCCGTATTTGTCGGGGCTGCGAAGTGCGAAGTCGGTAGTGCGTACGGCAAGTCCGCTTTCAGCTGTTCGATGATTGCTGCTTGCGAATCGTACGAGATCGACGCGCGGGTGCGCTTCAATAGCTGCTGGACTGGCGGCGTCGCGGCAGCGAACGCGGCTCCAAATGAATACCCCTGCGAACGATGCCAGTGCTCCGGCAACGTCACGGCAGGCGCCACTTTCGCTAACCCGAGAATGTTGTCCTCGTCACTGGCGCTGAAGGGAACGCTGGTCGGAACACTCAGCATGTGCATGGACATATACTGAATCAGATCTTCCCACAAGTCGTCGCCGTACAAGTCCGACCGGGGCGAAAGTGCAGGCGGGTCTTGCGACACGATCGGCGCCCCGGAGCGGAGAGTGAGTTCCCGCGTTGCGTTGTACTCTTTGCTGAAGGTCGTGTAGGAGCCCGAAAAGAATTGGGTTAAATGCGGAATTCGATCCCACCAAGCGAACTGAAACAGATTCGCGACTGCAATCTTATCTCCCGACACCTGCCGTCCGATCGGCGTCTCGTAACTTTGCTCGAAGCCCTCGTACCTGTGCGGACCCAGGTTGATATCCCCCAAATCAAACAGCTCCGCGGAGCTCGGGCTGCTTAGAGTCGGATGAACACGCTCGCTCTTCTTCAGCAGTTGCGCCTTTGTTTGCGCTGTGGTGCGAAAGTTGAAGTAGGGTTGCAGAAACAGGTCGAACAGCCTGCTTTCGCGCCACCCGATGGCATCCTTCGTCGTGCGTCGATCGCCCCGGTGGTCGATGTTGACGCCGCTCCACTCCCGCATCATGCGCTGGGCGATCTCGGGCCAGCGCAGCGATCGGCAACCGACCTCCGAGAGGTATAACCGCGGGTCCATGCAACCCAGACTGGCATCGGGTCGATCCAACGCACCATCGGCAATGATGCCGTTTGCAGGCGCAGCCGCCTCTGCAGCGAACAGTAGGTGCGCATCGCCCTCCGCGGCATTGTCCTCGCTGCTGCCCTGGGCGCGACCCTCGTTGCGCACGCAGCGCCGGATCAGCGTCCGCGCGTTCACCTGCAGCAGATGCAGCAAAAGAGATCCGCTCCCGTCGGTTTCCGAGATCCCCAGAGGATCCGATTTGCACTTCTGCATTGCACCGCTCTGCACGTGAATTCCGAGGAACGTGTTCAGTGCCTGCGTGCAATTCTGCGAGCACTGCGTGCTTCCCACCAGAGAAGGCAGGCAGAGTGGCAGAGCATCGAGAGTGGAAGCAATGATCTCTGTTTTCGTATTTGCGTCGCAGGTAGCGGTGGCGGCAGCAATCTGCTGCTGCTGCTGCTGTTGGCTCACTGCGCCGCACGAGGTCGCGCAGCGGTCGCTTGCCGGCGGCGAGGACCCCAGACTGGGGCAGTAGTCGGTGGGCGAGAACGAAACGAAAATGCTTTGCACCCACTTGCACGCCAACGAATTTCCCTTCACGGTGTTGTTGTTTCCGCTCAGGTGCGCTTCCTGCGGCCGACAACTGGTATCCTCGAGTGGCAGCGCAGCCAAGGCGGCCCGGCACGCCGCATCTGACGCGTATTGCTGGTGAGAGGTGGCGACGCCGCACTGTGTTTGCACCGTGGAGCAAATGGACGCCTCCAGTTGCGCTCTCGCCGTCGGCGCCGCGGCAATTTTGTGCGCCAGATGTCCCACCACGCCGGTCTCCAGGCTAATCGAGTTCTGCACCCAGGTGTTGGGCACAGTTTCCAGGTGGTTTTTCCGTACGACGGAGCAAGGATAGTACGCGTCCTCGACTTCCTTTTCGTACATGAGCACTCGGGGGCGCTGGTCCGTCGCGGTGCGGCGGTACTTCCAGTCCTCGTAGATGACCGTTTCGCGCCACACACGCCCGTCCTGCGAGTGCGCCTGCAGCTTGTTCACGTCCGATGTGCCCTCGCGCAGCATGTCGTCCGCGACGCGCAACGCAGCCTCTTCCGCAGGCGAAAAGGTCGCCCCGGTCCACCTCGCGGTCAGCGAGGCCGCCGAGGTCGCGGGCGGCTGATTCAGTTTCGCCGCATTGTTCCGCAGCTGCAGGGGGGAGCGGAGAAGCTCGTCGATTTCTCGGTCCGCGTAGACGCTTCGTGTCGACGGAAAAAGCTTCCCTTCCGCGGCCAATCGCAAGTTGGCCAGCTGCTCATCAGAGAAAATGATGCAGTTCCGGGTGTCCTTGCTGGTGTCTCCGATCTGCAGCGGCGCCGGCTCCAGCGGTTTGAATTCCAGGGGAGCCAGCTGCGGCAGCATGTTCGGTTCGTGGTCGTGCTCCATGTGTCCGTAGCTGAGGTGCGGCTCCTTTTGCTTCAACGCTTTCGCTGCAGCTTCAATGCCCGCAAGCTCGGGAATCTTGTTGGGTTCGAACGGTTTTGTCGCGAAGTTTTGCTGCCACTTCACGCGCTGAAGAAACATCGGGGAGTGCACGACACGGCGCGATTTGTAGGTGCTGGCCAGTTCGTCCATGATGTGGAAAAGCGCGATGCCGCTGGCAATGGAGAACCCGATCGCGTGCTTGACCTCCGGCCCGGCACTGGTCAGGAAGCAGTTCGAGGCTTTGCGCGCAAGCCGCACCACGGTCTGCCGATCCTGCGAAACGGACGTCGGGATTTCCGAAGTGATCACGTTCACGTCCGGGGCGCGCACGCGCTTCGACAGGCTCGGCCAGTTCCAGTCCTCCATTTCTTCCAAAACCTCCTCTTGCAGGTACTCTTCGGAGCACCGGCGCGCGCTCAGGTCTTCCGCGTTAGCATTCTCGGGCCAGAAGTAGGTGAAGTCCTGCGGGTACGTCCACATCTTCTGGTACCAGTACTTGGCGACCTCCGACTGCCACATGTTGTTGTTAGTCACACGGGTGTCGGGCGCGTGGTCAGCGTACCCATTAATGGGGAACTCCCGGTAGTGTGCGTAGGGCGCAACCTCCACGCGTTGGCCCAGGGGCAGCGCGGGCGAGTCCGTGTAGGCTGGCGGCGTGAACTGCGTCCACAATATGCCGTGGAAGACGTTCAGCAGCATCAACGTGTCGTGCGTTTCGTCATATTTGAACAGGTTGGTACCCACGCGGTACTCCACCCCCGCCAGCGGTGCGGCCATGGCGTCAGCGCGGCGAGCGACGAACAAGTGGTCCAGTTTGATCCAGGATCCCTTGCGCGTCGTCGAGCCTCCCGGAAGCTTGGTAGCTTCCACGTCGTCCGAGAGAAAGTCAATGTGGCGAGAAAAGTGGTGACACACTCCGCTGGACTTCAGAAGTTTGGAGGGCGTTTGGGACAGGTCGATCCTGTCCAGTTCGTCTCCCATCGTGGTAAAAAGCGGAGCCTGGTACGCCACCTTTTGCTCCATCTGAGCCGCCGGAGCAGCCTGGTCGCTACCGGCATGCGCACGCAGTCGGTCCACCAAACCCGGGTTGTTCATGGCGTGGTAGCGGTTCATGGTACTCGCGCTTGCAAAAGTAAAACGCCACGTGGCGAAGATTTCTGTTGTATACATGTATCGAAATTGATACGGGTTTGCGTCCTTTTCAAAATTTTTCTCGACGCATACTTTTACGAAAATCTCCTCCCATTCGAAAAAGCGCACAACTTACTTATTCAAAAAACAAAACTGTTCGAACAGATCAGGGCAAGAAGTCTGAAAAATGCTATACGGTCATCCCGCACGCTTGGATCGATGGACTGGCGACGCAGAGTTGGTTCACTCCAAGTCTGGTTCGCAATGAGCACGGGATTGAATTCGGGCTTCAATGGCGGCGCATTATCTTCATAGACAACCCGCTCCTGAAAACTAAACTGCGCGACATTGGTATCCAGCAAGAGGCTCGAGTTACCTGCGTTGTGCGCGCGTTGTAGTTTCTGTAGTTCGAGTTCGACCACGTCAGCAAAACAAAAGCATATGCGATCATGTCATGCCGAAAAAAAACTCATCGTTCTTATTCATCACCCCTCTCTTGTACCGGGAGTGAGAGCGCCGTATGCATAACCGGCCTGCGTGCCTTTCTTCGTCCCTTCTCCCCAGAGCTGCCCGGTGGAAAGAAAGTGAAAGTGCAGAATCTCGTCCGGGTTATCGACGTGCGGAATGAAAATCCACTGTTTATCCGGCGACAAGCGCATACCCTGCTGTTCGACTGCTTTGGGAAAGCGGTATAGCACCCTGGGCGCCTCGCTGTCGTCGTTCCACTTCTGCCGCGGGACGCGCGTCCGCGTGTACCCATCGTGCTGGAACTCCACGCCGCCCGGGTCCGTGGTGTATTTGGGGGTGGTGGCGGTTGCGGTTACTGGAACTCCGAGTCGAGACACCAGCGCGCAGGACGCGGTCGCAACAAGCACCGCTTTCATGATCGACGATTCTTTGCTTGAAGCCTTATTATTTTTTCCGCCTGTCGTTCTTACAGAACCAGCGAGTTGTGTCTTACTCATTCCTTGTCAAGGGCGAATAAGTACAACTTCGTTCGTCGGTTCTCGATGCTATTGTTTTTGGTTCAAGAAGATTTTTTTCGGTGTTTTCTCTTTGCAACTCAAGTACTAACAAATGACGGCGTATAGTGCAGGTGGATCTTGATCGTTGCCATTTTGGAGGTATCACGAAGTTGAATTCTTTGATGCGTTTTGTAAGAAGTACTCTTCGAAATGTGGAAACCGTGTGATGTGTGTCAGGCTTTTGTTTCGGTAGTTCCCCTGCTCATACAAGAGTACAACAGTGTCTGACATTGTGACTTCAGCGCATAATTGAGTTTTTGAACAGCAGTTCCCCAGGTGGGAGCATAGACTCCTCCTCACTGATAGACAATACGCTATTAAGGAGGACTATGGCTAGGCTCGCGGTTTGCTGTTGTTCTTGTTGAAGGTGCTCCAATTATGCCGCCTTCGCACGAGCTAGCTGCTACTCTTTTTTCTGCTGTGTGCTTGTGCGTCGCAGCAGCAGAGCATGCGACTTTACGCAACAGCTGAGAGACCCCGAAAGTAGAAACCACTTCTTTCTAGACAGTGCGCCAGTGCGCTTTCTCTGTACTATACCAAGAAATGTCTGTCTCTCTATGAAACGTTGCTGTGTACCTCGCTGCTGGAACTCTAGAGACCCTGGCAGACCTTGCTACACTTGGCTCCGCTACGCCAAAGTCGCAGCAGCAACATATGGTTACACTTACACAACTCGAGGCCGAGCCTAAGCGAAACTGCATACAAGATCCAAATTGCAGAAGAAACGACATGAACTGACGATGGACGAGTAGTTATTGATTTATTTGAAACGATTTTATTCCATCTATCACATTGAGAATTTTTTCGTTATAGTCGTGAAATATCAAGTGAAACCCAAAACTCCGGAGCTGTGCGGGGGCGGGGGCGCAGTCGGTCATTGTTCTCCTACGCACCAAACGCAAGGCCGTAGTTATGTTCACCCTGCGATATTTATGAGAGGACATGACTACTTTTTTAAAAACTCACATTTTCCGTGGAGGAATCCAAGTCAGCCCCCGCACCAGCCGTCGGCAACCTTTCCGCCGAGTACTCTGCCAGGTAATCCCCTTCCGAGTGGTCGTCCACCCACGTTTTCGCGGGCTTCGGCGCCAAGTCCCCACTGAAAAACGACACGTGGGCCTTGTCCCGATACGTCAACACATTAGCATGCTTGTGCCTCGTCCATCGCATGAACAGCCCGTGACAGTGCTTCATCCACGTGGAGTAGTTCAACTTGCCGTTTATTCTCTCGCTCGAGGCAAGATCGTCGTTGTCGTCGTCGTGTGGTTGGTGTTTATTGTCTTCTTGCCTTTCACATTTATTTTCCGATCGCATTCTTTCCGCATTTTTGTACAAGTACTCGATGTAATCCGCTTGGAACCCGCACTCCGCTGAATCACTCCCGTCCATCCTGTCGAATTCTGCAGTGTCTTCGGCCAGCGCGGCCGTGACTTGCTCGGGTGTCGGCTTCATATTTCCGGCTGGAAAGGAAGTCCAGAGCGCAGTGAACCAGGCTGCTTGGGCGTCAAACATGGTGAAAGTAAACCTTTTGTTTTATTTTTCAGGGATCATCAATCTTGCAGCGGGATGGGATAGAATACGAAGTCATTTCTCCGTAGGCGGGATAGGACAACACAGAGGAAGATTTTTGCATAGGAAAAATGGCATGATAGATCGGGCATTCGCAACACAGCATTAAAGATCTAGTATACTTTGGATACCATTGATCCTGCATGCCCAAGTAGGCGATGTTGAGGTCCTGGGGTAGCAAAACTCCCTTGTACAGGTTCGGAATGTAGACGTCATTGCTTTCGACCTGTAGTCGCAGGCTTTTCTCCATGAAGGGAAAGTAGTGCTTGTACCTGAGATTTGATGATTTCATACGGTTTCTGGTGTCTCGTTCGATTTTAATCGCTTCGAAACTTTCACAAATCGACACCAAGTAGATCAGCTGACTTTTTTAGTGGCAAATTGTAAATGTAAATTGCTTTTACCACAGTGAGTGTGAATCCATTCAACATAAGAACCAGCTGTACTTCTACCCTGTGCAGAGAATAATCGCATCCACAGTGCTCTCGTCTATTCCTTCTTCTTCCTTAGATTCCGCTTTGTTGAACCAGATCTTCCCGTCCGTCCTCGCACACAGGTTCCCCCGCACCGTCACCTTATTCTTCGGCCACGGAGTCGTCAAAAATTGCTTGCACTTCCGCATGGCCAGCGTGATATGTTTTGCGTCGTACTTCAGCAACTGGGAGACCACGTCCTGCGCAGAGCAGCTGCTGCCAACGACTACCACGTGCTTGCCTGCGTACTGCCTCGCATTCCGGAAGTCGTGGCTGTGCGAGACTTCGATCAGGTGTCCTCGTGGGGCCGGCGGTGAATCTGAAACTGAATTAGCATTAAGTCCTCTGGCTGTGGTCCCGATTGTCAGTGCCAGTCCGGGAAGTTGTGGGACTGCGGGTGTGGAAAAGTGCCCCGTAGCAACGACGATGAAATCGTACTCATCGGTGTGCCACAGTTTGCTACTAGTACAACTCGAAGATTTGTTTTCCAGACCAACGTCCTCGTGGTTCGCGTTTATTCCGGGTGGCGGTCCGTTTGCGGAGTCTTGGTGGTCAAAATCAGAGGCCGAGGTCGAAGGCGTCAAAGTTGAAGACGGTGAGGCCTTCATGACGTCCGCACTGCTTTCCGCTACGGTAGAGGAGGTTGTACAGCCGCGTGGGTCGGACGCGGACGAGGAGGAGGAGGTCATCGTCATCTCGACGCTGCTTGAAGAACAAACCGCTGCTGCTTCTGGTTCTACAGAAGCTGTAGTTGTTCCTGTAGCTGATGACGCAGCAACGGCTTCTACACTGCTCAACACTCGATGAAGATCCTTTTCGCAATACGTGACTCGGTACTTCTTGCTACTCGTCGAGGAACGTGAAGCAGTACGACCGGATAAAGATGACGCTGATGCAGGAGCTATTGGCACAGCACTCTCTACAGAATAGACCTCGCAGTTGCAGGACACATATTTTTCCAAATATTTCTCGTGCCGCCCGCGGATGTAATCCAGCACGGGCTTCCGCGGGGGAAAAGAGGAGCAGTTGGATATGTTTGCTATTTTTTTCCCAGTTACTCTTACTGTGGTCTCAAAATGCTGTTTCCACGTATAGTCCGCGTACTCAATGCACTCCTTCGGCCCGTTGCTGTACAGGTTCTGGTACATGGACCCGTGGATCCCGACGTTTTTGTCTTTCTCGAAACAACTGCTCTCGTCCCTCCCGGTTCGGTCGTCGTACACCCACAGGCCGCCAACTTCGGGCTGCTTTTCCAGACACTTGATTTTCCCGAAGTTTTTGGAGTCTGCGAGGTTCTTGACCGCGGCGAGCCCCGATGGTCCGGCGCCGATCACGCAGACGGAGGGGAGCGGGGGAGGAGAGGAGTTTTCCATCTTGATAAGAGTCTCAGTTCCGGTGTGTGGAAAGAATAAGAAATCAAGGAACCGAGGACACGCGATTATTTTCGGCAGTTCATCTTTTCGTTTTTGCAACTTTCGTCTTTTCGACTCGACGGTTTCTTTTTTCTAAAGCAATTTATGAAGAAAACCAACGATCACGTTGGGACCAGGACGAGGACGTATTGGTCCTCTTGCACAAGGCACAGAAGCAAGAAAGACGCAAGAGCACGCACGGAACGCACCAAGCAGCCCGCCCCAGCACGCAACCTCAGCGTCCGCGGGTCAAGCATCTACTATCTAACAGGAGGCGTTTTGATGTAGAGGCAATCACTTTTACTTTTTTACACACGCCGCCGGTACAATCAACAATGCCGCTCAATTCCACCCAAACATGAACTGCAAGAACTGTTGATCTTGATGCAAGTAATTAGCATAACGAAACTGTTTAGTTAAGAAAAGAAGTAGAAATCAAACAAGCAATTCAGAAACGGAAAAGAAAAAGAAACGTAGATCGAAACCAAATGACCATATTAGACCTTTGCTCTAGCAGTCCTTGCGCTTTTTACCTCCAAAATTTTCTCAAATGCAAAGAGGTAAACGGAGGCAAAGTAAAGCAAAGTACACATAGCAAGGAGGCAAAGCAAAGCAGAGTACAGATAGCAAGAACGCCGGCAGTGAAAACAATAAAGTGAATACAGTAGCATCTCAACCCCTCCGTCACGCGGCCACCATGTAGGGTTGAACCGGCGACCCGGCATACTTCTGCCCCCCTTCCAGTTTTTCGGTCTTCATCACGACGGAGCCCGGCATCAGTTCCAAGTTGTCGCCCAATTCTGCGCCGCCCATGATGGTGCAGTTCGGATGGATCACGCAGTTGTCTCCCAACCTCGTCTATCAAATGCAAAAGTGTCTGGGTCTGGAAGAGTGCATGCTTGTCATGCTTGTCTGGCATGACTCTTAGATCTGTCATGCACGTTACCCAAGAGCCCCATTTTGCTGTCATGCAGAAGCGCAGTCTGCCATGCAGAATAGGCAACACCTAGAAGCTCAAAAGCTTGTCATGCTGAGCCGGCACTTGTGGCCTCTTCATGATACGCCACCCAGCGTCACAAGTTTCCAGACCCAGACATTTTTACAATCCATATCGTCGGTTGCGCCCAGAAAATCCGGTCCTCGAACGTGTGAATTTGCCAGTGCGGCATTATGCATTGCAAATATGTCTGGGTCTGGAATAGAATGAAGCCTGTCATGCGAAAGCTGGATCACGAGAAAGTCTCTGTTGCATAAACGCCAATAGTTACCCAATTCTCGCTAGGCAAAAGGAGAATAATTTCTCATGCGGAAGACGCATGAAGAAGGTCTCACAAAATCTGTGATGCTTCTGTCTGCATTGCAGACCAAGAGTGTGGTCCGCGAGATGCATGACAAATCTTGCAACTTTCCAGACCCAGACATATTTGCAATCCATAGGCATGGCTAGGACGCAATTGTCCCCCACATCCACGCCGTCGAAGTCCATGGTCCCGAACCCGTTCACGAAAAGCGTGTTCTTCCCAATTTTGCTCCCCAGCATCCGGTAGACCACGTTCTGCAGCAGCGTCCCCTCAAACGGCGCCATGAACGGGTCCAGCCACACCTGCGCCACGTGCCAACAGAAGAAGTGACGCTGCACATACAAGTCCCACAACGGAAACGACCCGATCGGCGTGCGGCCCAACATAACTGCCTTCAACACGAAATAGAGGAAAGGGAGGAGTAAAGTCAAAGTGAAAGTCGAGACAGCTAACAGCAAGAAGAGCAACGCGAGCTGCGGCGGGATAGCGGCAATCGTAAAAATCGCGCCGCTTTTCGACGTTGCAGGAGCTTGGTTACTGACCATGGCCAGAACCGAACTGTCGTAGCTGACGTGGTACGCCAAGTCAAAAGCGATCAACGCCAAAGCGATCGGCACCACGTGCGTCCAGGTGGCCAGGCCGTCGTAAATCAGGAACCGGTGGAAGTACTCGAAGAAGGTCGGCTCGAATAGGACCTTCTCGTCCTTGAAATCAACGTGGTTATTGTTACTAGTAGTAGTCCCAACAACTTCCGGCTGCTGCAGATTCCTGGCGCCAGAAGCATGATCCCCATTCGGAATGAGTTTATTCATACCACCAGAAGTTCTCATGCTAGGATCTGCTGTATCATCTTCGGCCGACTTCGCATATTGCCCCTGCTGCCGCTCCGACCCGAGCATTATCGGCGGAATGCCAAAGAAGGTCTTCGGCACGTCCAATCGGGCGTTCATGCGCCGCACGTTTTGGTTCCCGTAAGCCACTATGGACTGCAAATATGTCTGGGTCTGGGAGGATGCGGACTTGTCATGCTAAGTCTGGATCGTCAAAACAATTTCGTGTTGCATGACTACCAAAAGCTGTCGAGTTTTGAACACGTTTAGAGGTAGTTTGTCATGCAGGATAGGCATGATAGGGACTTCGCAGAACCTGTCATGCTAGGTCCTGCATTGCAAACCTCATGGGGCATGGAAAATATGCATGAGAAGTTTGCATTCTCCCAGACCCAGACATATTTGCATTTGATAGCCACCGTGCGCACCCCGATAAGCGTGTTCGTCGCATGGTTTCCAGGAAGGATGATGGCGTGATTGCCGACGAAGAAGTTTTGCGGGAACCGGCACCGTTGGAGCGTTAGGTACAACCTCGTTTCCAGCTTCCCATTCTTGCCAATCACCTGCACTTGCTCGTAGTCCATCTGATGCGAGAATCCCCCGCCCGCCCAGAAGCTGTTCGCCCCGACTAACGTGACGTCGGGCATCACGTCGTGCATGTTCGCGAGTTCGTTGCACCCACACCCGCCGTCGAAAATGACCCCGGCAAGCTCGAGAAAATACGGCTTCAGCGCTTTGGAACCACAAAACTTCTGGATGCGGTTTAGAAAGAAGATCTTTTTGCGGATCAACCCCGCGACGATCGTGCTGTTCTCGTACGAGCCCGGCGGGATTCTCGGCAAAAATCGGAGGAAGAGACAGTAGGTCAAGTTCTCGACCCAACTCGCGCAAGCGAAGATCGTGTTCAGATAGCACATGAAGAGGACCACTTGCCCAAACAGCGTGAAAAAAGAAGCAGCTCCTACTGTACTAGTCGACGCAGTTGCAGCGGCCGATGATGTCGTTCCGTAGAGGAACGCCAACGTTCTCAGCATGCAGCCGGTCGCCTCCGTGTGCATGGCTATTACCAGCGTTGTCGCGAAGTGGTAGGCGAGGGAAAAGACGATCAAGTAGTAGAATTGCAGTAAGAGCACGTAGACAATTCCGATGCCCGTTTCCACCACGAAGCAGTACCCGATATCCCAGCTGTCCTTCGTGATTTGCGCCCCCAGCACCTTCTTCGGCATCGCCCGCTCCCGGCCGGCGGACACGGCGGGGACACCCTCCCACACCTCGTTCTGCTTCACGATCTGTAGTTCTGCTCCGTCGTTGTTATGGAATGCAAATATGTCTGGGTCTGGAAGATTCCCAGGCTTGTCATGCATGTTTTGTATGACCCATGACCCCTGTGATGCATGACCTAGCACCGCAGATTTTTAGAGGGCTTACTTATGCCTAATCCGCATGATAAATGCCCTCTCCGTGTAGCAGAAACTGGGCTCCTCTTGCTAGTGACGCAATACAAATTTTTTTAGGATCCAAGAACAGCATGACAAGTTGCAACCTGCCAGACCCAGACGTTTTTGCGATTGATAGTTGTTATCGGAGGACGACGTCGTGCCGGAGTCGTTATCCCGCTCGTCGCTGCTGGTCGTGTGAATACTGAAGCTCGGGGTTTTAGAGTTCGAAGTTGTGCTAGTCAACAGCATCGCTTTATTCCGGTCGAGTTTCCGCTGCTCTTCGTGCAGGTTGAGAACCTTCAGCTGCTCGTCCAACTGGTGTTCTTGCTGCAACGCCGCCAGCGGCTCCAAAACTGCCCCGTTTTCCACGATGCTCCCCGGGCCGACGAAGCAGCTCCCGCCGAGCTTCGCCCCGTGGCCGATGGAGACATCGGCCAAAGTAATATTCTCCAGGTCAAAAGACACCGTACAAACTATGACGATGAAAAATGCCCCCACCCCGGAATTTGCAGAAGTTTGTCATGCAAAGTTTCCAAATCAATGAAAGGTTTTTGTCTTGCATAAAAGGATTGCGAGTATTTCTCATACAGAATCTGGGTGCGCAAGGTGCCTTGTGCATAACAGATCCCGCTGCTGTTGGGCTACTTCGCAACACAAATTTGACCTATTCATTGATTCAGCATGGAAAATTTGTGATGCTGGTATATGCAAGACGGGGAATGTTTCTGTTGGAACTGTTTACAATACAAATGCTGCCAAGCTGGGGGTGGGGACATTTTTCATTTTAATACAGACCACCGCGTCGCGGATGATCACGTTGTCGCCGATTTTCACCCGCTTCAGCTCCCCGTTGAATTTCCACTTATCAAATGCAAAAATGTCTGGGTCTGGAAGAATGCAACTTGTGATGCTGCATTTGGATTCCAAAAAGATCTGTATTGCATGAGTAGCAAAGGGAGTGCAGTTTTTGCTACGCTGAGAAGGCATTTGTCACGCGGAATAGGCATCAAGAAGCCCTCAAAAAATCTGTATTGCTAGGGTATGCATCACAGACATCATGGCTCAAGCTCATGCAAAACGTGCATGACAAGTGTCACGATCTTCCAGACCCAGACATTTATTTTTACAGTTGATACCACTGGCCGCCAAACCAACAATTCTCCCCGACGTCCGCGCCGTACAGCTTCAGCCCCTCGCCGACCCAGTCCGCGTGGACAACGACCGCGCAGAGGCGGAGAAACCCGACCCAGATGGCTTCGAGTCGCCCCCGCGTCCACAACAGGTATATCAACTGCAAACATGTCTGGGTCTGGAGGAGTCATGCTGCTTTTGCATAACACAGAAGGTCTGGCATGGAAGCTCTAGCATCACAGACTTCGAGAAGCTTCCGCAATGCCGAATCCGCATGACAAATCCCACATTCTGGTAACAGAAAGTGGGCAGCTTGTGCTGCCTCTGCACGACAGATTTTTATGTGTTGTGAAATGCGCATCACAAGTTTGCTTTCTTCCAGACCCAGACATCACTTTTGCAATGCATAAGGTAGTGGCGGAAACTGAATTTTTCAAACCGTGCCACGTTCTGCGGACCGCTATCCTGTGCAAAAGTATCGTACTCGTATTGCAATCATGCAAAACAAATCTTTGTCTTAAGATAAATCAGCATTACAAATTTTATCTGTCACGCTGAGGAAGTTTGTGATGCATTTATACGAGTACGATACTTTTGCAATGCATAACCGCGGCAGGGCGGCAACAAGCACTTCTCGAGCAAGCGGAGCACATGGTGGCAGGCCACGGACTCGAGAACGAACAGGATCGCGACGAGAAGCATCCCGGAGGAGAAGATCAAAACGTACTTCATCGCTTCGATTGGGTCCGTAGCCATTGCAGTGATGGACGCGACTAAATCTTCTGAAGTTCTTGCAGAAGCTCCTGATGACGCAGAGGAAGAAGATTCTTCAAACCCGTAGGTCGCCAAGACGAGCAGAATCCCGAACACCACCTGCCCCCCGCCCGCGACGAACAGGGTGGCGGCTTGGAGAATCGTGAACACGGAGGGGCCCATGCTGCTCGAAATGTCGAAGCCCTGCGGGAAGATGTGCGTCGCAATGTAGTTGTCGGAAGAGTAGTAGACCGCCTTTGCGTTGTCCAATTCCGACTGCGCTCGTGTCCGCACCGACGTGATGCTCTCCGCGGAGCTGCTGCCGGCGGTGGTCGTGCTGACCAGCGTTTCCGTTTCCCCGACCGAAGCCATCTTTTGCTTCAAAAACGAGCTGCTTTTGTTGCTGTCCGCAGAATCCGATTTCTTGATCGAGTTCTGTCGGTCCTTCGCGATTTTCTTCGCCAAGGCCGCGGGCGTGCTGGCAACCTCGGTCAACAGGTCACGCACGGCGACGCCGTGGAAGCCGTGGCCCCGAAGCTTGGTGGCGAGACCGGCGATAGTGAGAGAGTCACCGCCGAGATCTTTCACAAAATGGCTGCGCCACTGTACGGTTCTGTTTTAATGATGATGTGGAATTCAATTTTGCAAATATTTCTTTGGTCTTTGCTTGTTTCGATAGTTATGTTACGTGGAACATCAGCATGTTTCACAATTGAACTCCTAGGCTAAAGCTCACTCTTACGGTATTATTTCGCACCACGGCACAAACTTTCCACTTCTACCTTGGCTTCAAAGTTTCCTGGCAGAGTAGCAAAACTTCGCTGTCCAATTCCGTGACTGGTCCCTCCGACAGCACATCCGTAAGAACGCTCTTCAAATTACCAGTCCCGAAACCTCCGCCCTCCTCGTCATCCAGCGGTTGCGCCAGCAAGCTTTCCGCGGACAGGTCCGGCAGCGCCTTTCGGTTCAGCTTCCCGGAGCTTGGCAGCCGCGGCACGTCCTCGAGCAAACCGAAGCACCCCGGAATCGCCATTTTTATCCTGAGTAAAAACGTACCCACCCCAGAGTTGTAATGCAGATTTGCAATGACAAAGACATTTGTGATGCGCATCCCCATGAGAACCATTTCCAATCGTGTTTTGGAATTTGTGATGCTGTGAACAGGATCAGCAGGTCGATTTGTGATGCGGCTTTCCTTGCTAACTTGCACTACCTTACGGACTGAAACTTGTCATGCGTAACTCCCAAAACTCCTAGGTTTGTGTTGCAAAATCCCCATCTTTACTCTGGTGTGGGTACGTTTTTACTCAGGATAATTTTCGGAACGTACTCCGCGATTTTCGCCTGCAGAATTTTCGTCACCTCGACGTTCGCCAACCGGAGATTTCTCTCCGACCAGGTGACCGTCGACACCGTCGTGGGGTTCATCAACACCGGCTTGGCGCTCGTTTCCACGCTGATCGCGGTCAGATTTTCCATCCGCTCGAACAACTGCGGCACCTGGAGGAAGCCAACCAGTCCGTTGCCCTGCTTCTCCACGGTTGCGGACACGATCTCGATATCGGATAAATATTTCTTCACGACGTTGTCTTTATCTTTACCTTCTTCATCCTCGACAATTTCTTGCACCGTCTTCATCAGCCCCGCCTCCACGGATTGGAGTTCGATCCGGTGTTATTACAATGAAAAATGCCCCCAGCCCAGAACTTGGCAGCATTTGCATTGCAAACCTTTCCAATGGAAACATTCCCCGTCTTGCATATCCCAGTATCACAAATCTTCCATGCTGAATAGCCCAAACTTGTGTTGCAAAGGAGCCCAACAGCAGGCGGGCGTGTTATGCAAAAGATACCTTGCACCCCTAGATTCTGCGTCAGAAAGGCTCGTAGTCCTTTCATGCAAGACAAAAAGCTTTCATTTGGAAACTTTGCATGAAAAACTTTTGCAAATTCCAGGGAGGGAGCATTTTTCATTTTGATAGGTGCCCCCGGATCTTCACCTGGTGGTCGATCCGGCCGAGAAAGTGCACTTCCTTCGTCTTCGCGTCGATCTTGCACAGATCCCCGGTGCGATACAACCGCCCGTACACCGAATGCTCGATAAATTTTTCCGCGGTCAAGTCTGGGCGGTTCAAGTACCCCTTCGCGAGTTGCAGGCCGCCGACGCACAATTCGCCCGTCTCCCCGTGGGGGAGCGGTTGTTGGAAGTCGACGCCGAGGATCACGGCGGTCGTGCCCGCGTGCGGGGTGCCGATGCTGCAGCCCCCGTGCTCCGCGTTGTAGTAAACGTCCCCGGAGAGCACGCAAATCGAGGCCTCGGTCGGCCCGTAGCCGTTGACGAGTCGTCGTCCACCGGCGGTCCAGGGTTGGACAATGTCCTCCCGCAAGGCCTCGCCCCCGCAGTACACGTGGCGTAATAGTGGCAGCGGTAGGTCTCGCATCGGGTAGGCGGAAATGGTAGGGAGGAGAGAGGGCACGGGAAAAATGCTAGTAATTTGTTCTCGCTTAATCACCCCGACCATGTCCGGCCCGGAACGGATCTGCGCGTCTAGCAGGCAAACCACGAGACAGCCAGATAGCCACGGAATGTACATCTCGTCGATGCTAGAATCGTAGGAGAGCGAGGAGGAAGTGCTGCCGATGTCGTAGTCGTTCAGTAAGGAAAAAGTATCCCCGGCGTTCAAGAGGGACTGCACGTACCCTTTGTGGGTGGACAAAACTGCCTTCGGCTTCCCCGTCGATCCCGAGGTGTAGTTTCCTGAGTAAAAACGCTCCACCCCAGAGTCAAGATGGGAAGGCTGCAACACAAATCTCCAAGTTTTGTCAGTTGTGCATCACAAATTTCCATCTGCAGTGTAGTGCTGCTTAGCAAGGCCAGCCGCATGAGAAACCCAGCTTCTCATCCTGTTTACAGCATTACAAAGTCCAAAACACAATTGGAAATGCCTCTCACGCTCATGGAGATGCGCATTGCAAATCTTCCTGTCATTGCAAATCTGCATGACAAATCTGGGGTAGGGACGTTTTTACTCAGGATATGTAGATCACCGTCGCCAGCCGCTCCTTCGGGTCGTCCAACCACTCGGGCTGCGTCAGGTCGTGGCTGTGCTCGGTGTTGTGCAACAGAAATTCCTCATCTTCGTAGTACGCGAGCCTCTGCACGATGTCCAGCACCGGGCAAACGTAAAAAGCAGTACTAGCTGGGGCAGCGGTCACGACACCATTGCTCATCATTCCGGCTCCCCCGGCACCACCCTTCCGGGGGAACAGCCTCGCTTGCCATTCCGCCCTCTGCTCCCCGCACAGCACGATCCTCGGCTGACAATCCTGCAGCATTGTTTGCAAGATTTCGTCCGGAAGATTGCCGTCGAGGAAGAGAACCGCCGCCCCGGACTTCAAGACCCCGAGTTGGCAGGCGAAGATGTGGTAGGAATCGCGGGGGAGCAACACGGCGACAATTTGGTCCTTGCCCGTGACGAACTCTTCCTGTAACAGAACGCGCTTGATCAGCTCCGCTTTTGCGTTCATCTGCTGAAAAGTCAGAGTCGTCTCCCAAGCCGAGTCCGCGACGCGGAAACAGGGCGAGTCCGGCCATTTCTTCGCGGACTTCTCGAACAGTTCGTGGAGCCACTTGGTGTGTTTCTGGTGCGCCAAGGCGGTGATCAGAAAATCCGGCGACCAGGTTTCGGTCAGCGACGCGTTGTCCAGGTCCTTCTGGTCGTGCCTGGTTCGGCCAATCCGCACGTACTCACGCCACAGGAAAAAGGCAACGGAGGTGAAGACAATCAGGAAGACTATCAGCCCGATGGCAACCCCAGAAGTGAAAGACCCGTCAAACGCCTCCTGGTGCAAGTCGCGCAGGACACTTAGCGTGGAGGCGAGGGCGCTGGCGGGGAGGGCGGAGGTTAGTTTCACGCTTTTCGGGTCAAAATCGGTGATCTTCGAGGACCTACGCGCCTGACTTCCATGATCTTCCAGGAAAAAGAGCGGTTTGAAGATCTTAGTGTCGAAAAAACTTGTTTTGGAGCCGCTCAAGGTCTTCTTGTCATCAGTGGTCTCGTGGCGAGTACGCGAACTGAACGTAGTGGTCGTGGAAACTTCCTTCACTACGGGAGTTGTCCCTTTCGCTCTCTTGATGTTCTTTCGGATCAAGTTCTTACCCACACTTCTTTGCAGCTTCGCCCCCTTCGCCGCAAAAGACGAAGCCCGCAGGCTAGCACGGTTCCGCGCGGTAACGCCAGTAAACGCACCGGCGGGCGCGGCGGCCAGCAAACATGTGAGTGCGGTCCCCAGCATGTTGCCGGTACCAAGGTGGGAATGGCGAGAAGGTCCGCAAGAGAAGGGCTAGGTGTGAAAAAGATGCACACGTGGGAGCAGGTGGCCCGATACTAGCTCAGGCATCTTTTGTGTTTGAGCTTTGACGTCTTGTTTGCACTCATTCTCGATGCCGTCACCATGCTCGGCTTCAGGTTTGCATTTGCAATTCTTGGTGTTGCAGCTCCCTCGAGCGTAGGTGTACGTTTGCTTGTCATTACAAAATCTGACGCAGACTCAATCTCAACATAATTCGCTCTCTTACGGTTGCAGCCGCACCGCTAAGATCAGGCCCTTGCTCTCCACTCAGCCTGCTCCTTCTCAGCGCAACTCTTGTGTCCTCTAACCGCACAGAAACAAACGCAAAAGAAGACTCTCTCGGCTGGTGGCACAGAAGTGTCGCGCAAGTAGGTACCCGTCCCCGCCAAGCAGCTGTGCACGAAATCGTCTACTGACGAGACGCCGAACACGCAACTTCGCGAATCGCGGGCCCGCATCGATCAGAGCCATCGCATCTGGTAGTTGAAGCATCAAATAATCGAACATGGAAAGAGCACACCAGCACTACTTGAAGGAAGAGGAGCGCATAAAGTTTTAGACTTGATTTTCATTATCTGTGCGCATCCCGCCATCGCGCAACAGCACAGCATCGATTCCAAAAAGCCACCCTCTACTTTCATCCCGGCGGCCACCCCAGTTTTCGCCCACACAGCACGTGCACGTGCAAATGTGGGACGCTCTGCCCACCCGCGACGCCGTCGTTGATAACCAATCGGAATCCGGGCTCGCCACAGTGTTCCCTCCCCAATCGTCCGGCAATCCGGAGAAGGTGGCCCAGAAGAAGGTTTGTTTCAAGTATTTGCTTCTCGTGGCTCTCCGACTCCTCTCCAACAGTGCTGTTCGCGTCCACGGTGATTATATCCAGCTCCGATATCCGAGCGATATCCCTCCGTTTCGAATCACGAGTATGTGCACGGGTGTCTGGGGCTGGATGTCTTTAAAAGCCAGCACCAAATCGTCCTCGTGCACGATGTCGGCGGGAAGGTTGCCGTCGAGAATGCGACTGAAGACAGTTCGAGATGTTGAGGGCCTGGCGCTTACAAAGAAAGCAAGACCTAGCCCGGTGGACAACAATGATGCAAGGTAGAAATGTAAAATAATTTGATGTTGAAGCACTCCTCCGAAGTAGAAACTTCGCACTCGACAGAAGGAGCACCTCGGGCGCATCGTTCTTGATTCAAGAATGCCTCCTCCAAGGCACCAGGCTACAAGACCCTTCTTTGCCTCCTGCGTCTTCTAAATGACGGAGTAGTATGTGATACAGATACAGATACAGAAATTCATGGGTTTGTTTGAGTTGTACCATGAAGCTTCTCAACACCCGGAGGCGGAGAGCACAAAACATCCAATGGGAGAGCTCGCACACACACCAAAGAGAGAAAATAAAGAAATAGATATTAGAATGCTCTGCTGTGAGTAACTATAAAAACGAAGGTGTTTCTAAACGGGATTTACGACTCAAACGACTTTGCGTTCTACTACAAAAGGTCGGCGCTACTTAAGGCTGGCACTAGTGAAAGTCGCATCCTATCTACATCGCTTCCTTGATATAGTCTTTCTTTTAAGCTTGACACTTTTGTCGAGGAGGATTTGAAGCCAGAGTGAGAAACTATTTTTCATTCGCTAAAAGGAGGAGGAGGAAACCACTACAGTCAGCTTCTAACTACTAAGCTACTCTCTCTTTTAAGCTAACCATAGGACATGTTTCTGGAGACGACTAGCCGAGCGGGGATAGGTTTGTAAAAGGTGAACAAATAGCCCTGCCAGGTGTACAAAACCTAGGACTTCAGTGCCACCCGTCTCTAGTAGGTCTCCTTTTCTCCGCTCAAGGCCCGTCCCCGAGTCTGTACTGCAAACGCCCCCATGGTGTCGCTGGCCGCTTGAATGCAGTGGCTCGCTGGGTCCGCGGTAGTTGTATCTGCCTGCTGTACGTCTTCACTTGATGTCGTAGTTTCCCGGTGGAGAGACGACGCAACATACTAGCTACGACACCGTGACGCGTGTCAAACCACAGCGAGAGAGCTCGGGGCGCAAGGTTTGGATTTGTGGCGCTGGAGCGACAACAGGGTCGAGACCGAAGCCCGTAACCAGAGTGCCCAGACGCCACGCCTGTTCGACGAGAGGAAGTGAGCCACTACTGTGTCGAATGGTTGTGAGGGCGAAGCAACAGAGTTACCTGTCGGCTGAAGCCCGCAGTGGAGGACTCCCAATCCCTCCACCGTCTACATGAAGTAGTGCAGCATGATGATATTATAAAAACGTCGCCCGCTCCGACGTAGTACAGATAGCTCCCCCGTCGTCGATCCTCGGTTGACTCTCCCCCGTCGTTGGCGGAAGTCCTTCTGTCGCGCGTGTAGGCGCGTCCACGTCCGACGTCGTTAAGAGGGGCGCTGTTCTCGAGCACGCTGGCTGTGCTGATGCACAAAGAAAGATAGCATGGGTGGAGTCAAAGGAATAACCAGGGGAACGACAAAAGATCGATAAGGACAAGCCCCCGGGTTCCTCTCACTGACATGTCCTGCGCCCTCGTCCATAAGAAAAACGCAGGCCCTTGTCGCGTCGCTCGATCACGGCACGAAGGTCACGACCACGGCGGGCGCGGGTGGAGTGTATAAGCTAGTCTATGCGCTATTTCTCTATTGCCCGGCTTCTATACTTTCTTTTTTACTCTTAAGCTATTGCTATCCGAGGCCTTCTATCTAACTCCACGACGGGGCTACGCGGTTACCCGTGCTGCGGCGGCGCTGTCAGTGAGAGGGACGACGTCATTATTTTGTTTATACTCTGGACCGATGTCGTTCGTTCCTAAAGGGACGAGGCTCGCTGGGGCCCCCTGCAGCATCCAGGGACCCTCTCGAGGCCCCTCGCCCCCACGGTTTTTGGTTGATTTTCAAGTAGTATCCGTTCTCATCGACGACGAAGAACAACGACGAAGAACAAAAATGAATGATGCGTCAGGGCGTATTAGCGTGATCTGATTATCAAATCAGATAGGGACAATGCACCCAGGAGTAAAGTTTTTCTAATATCCAGGAGTAAAGTTTTGACTCGGAGAAAATGCGCTTCAATTGCTGGTGATGCTCATACAAATATCATGCTTGTCGTAGACCATGTCCCTGCAAGCAAATCGCTAAAAACAGAGCTTTTTTTCCTTTCTTCGCACGCTCTTCTACTTCTCCTTTTCGGATCTCGCAACGTGTTCTTCCATCACTGCCTTTATTTTTACGCGCTCGTAACGATAGAAGTCGGAAAATCTTTGTGTGTAGCTATTGACTTTGTTGAAATCGTGGCGAGATCTAAAAATTTTCCATAGTGCTCAGACTGCGGTTGGAATGTGCTAAAGTGCAAGCTTTTTTGCTAGTGAATTGGCTGCAAGCGACGTACTTGGACCTTGACCTGACGACTTTTTTTACGTCAAGATCGTAAGAGGCTTCAAACGGACTAGTATTAACATCACTAATTAGACTTCAACAAATCTAACGCTGCTAACACACAAAGTTTTTTCACTTGCATAGATCCGGCGCTATGCTGCCGCGCCAGCCCGCGCGCGTTTCAACTTGATGTTTTCGATGTGCGGCCTGGGATGGCGTAAAATTTCGTCGCGGAGTTGTACCGCTCGTCTGACTGCTTCGTCCGGGTCGCCGAATTTGGAAAGATTGACACTGCGGACGACGTCGAAAGCTACCCCGTCATCGTCTTTGGGCCGGACCTTGACCGACAGCTTGCCCTCCCTCGTCAACGTTATGTTTTTCGGCAGCTTCCTGGACTGTAGCCCCATCACAAGTTGTCGCTTTTGCTTGGCCTTGGCAGCTGGTACGATCTTCTTCTTTATCGTTTTCAGGTGTACTTCTACTTATTTTGAAACGCCTCTATATAGTTTCACGGATCGGCTGAGCCGCAAGAGGACTCGCCTATCGCTTTCGCTTTTGTTCTGAGGACTTTACGACGGGTACGGATATCTTAAAAGAACAGGTCTGCTTACAGTATCTGCGGCCAGCGCCAGCTTCAAAAATCGCGTTACTGTAAAAGCTAGCAGATACCGTCACTACATCTTTCTAGTTTTGAAGCATTTCTTGTGCCGCGCAGAGTCAAAGGTTTTTATTGGCAGGCACAACACAATGCATTGTGAGACATGCATTGGTGCGACTTGATTGCAAATGATGAAATCACTAATATTCTAATAAAACATCGGTATGAAAGGTTTCTTGAGGACAAGTGCATGCGCACCTGCAGTGCAGCGACCACAATGATTCAAAGAAAATCTCCACACTGAGACCGAACCTGAAAGACTCAAAAAATGCGAGTGGCGCCTTTACTTATACTTTTTGAGTCTACACAAAGCAATAAAATAAAGAAGTGAAGGACGAAGAGACCACGGAAAAAACACATCTCCCCCTGAGTCACCGAAGACAGCTTCAAAATGCCACATCCACTGTACAACTACAACTACCCGAGGAAGTAAGTAAATAGCTTTGCCTCCGTTACTCGAAGTGCAGCACGTTCCTGTCTTCGCTACGTTTCAGCCATTTTGTGCAAAACACCGCGAGTCCCCAAAAGAGCCCCGCGAGAAACACAAACATCAGGTGCCAATAGGCTTTTGTCTCCCCACGGTTTCCGCGTCCTAATACATTGTGGCGCACCGGTTCGAACATGAAAATGGCCTCGGTATCACCAGGTTTGTCAACTGCGATCTCGATTTCTGACAAGACCTGCAGATCATGAGTGATACTTGACGCCCCATCTCCGCTGCTGGGAACAAAGTCGGTGTGCAGCACAAGGTTTGCGACCGGCACCACGTCCATACCCCGTTCGTCGTGCCGCTTCAAGTGAATAGTTGGAAAAGTGTCGAGAAAGAAGCAGGACAGAGCCCTGCGTTGCGTCGGTTCCTGTACGCTCTCGCTCGGGTTGTACCCCTTCTTTAAGTGCACGAGCACGTACTGGCAACGAAAGTCGTTCTTCGTTGCCCGCACTTCCCACAATCTCCGGCAGTGGTCCGCGCACTTGGACAGGGGGTCTCGATTTGCTTCTTCCAGATCAAGCCAACGGGCGTCTTGATTAGCACCTTCGTTTTGTGCGGCGTTGTAATTCAACCGGATTCTCTGTAATTCACTGCGGAGCATGCCCACCACGTGCTTGCCGCTGTTTTTTTCAGATTGCTGTGACAAGAAGTTTGACGAAACAAATGCAGCAACCTCCTCTCGCACGTTCGCGACGACAGCGCCCGGAATCTTCTGCAAAGGCGGAAAATTCATGGCTGGGCCGTGAAAGTTCGATCCCCACATGGCGGAGTAGGTGGTTTGGTCGCAGTTTAGGTTCCAGACACAGTTCAGGCCGCGGAATACAGAGAGGCCTGCCCTTGCGGCGTTTGGTGTTTTGATGATGACTTTCTTCATCTTCGGTTGGACATTCTCCTCGCCGTATTCACGACCCAGGCCCCCGAGCGGAATAGTACTCGCTGAATCCAGGTAGCTCACATGGACCACTGGTGCAAAAGCTTCTTGGGTTTGAACAAGCCTCTGCTCGTTGGTTCTTCGTTGGAGGAACGCCGTCCTATCCCCTCCTACTTCTTGTCCTTTTTGGTCTACTATTGTAGTTCTACTTGACGCCGTTTCGCTGGAATCAAAAGTCGCTTCAATCAGCGGGTAAGACCACGACCACAGCACTGGCAACGACAGCAGTCCGAAGACGAGCAAAAACTTCTTGTTTTTCCAAAAGGGTTCCCGGTACTGAGATCCCAGATTCAACAGCACGCAGCAAGAAATCAGCATCCATTGCATCCAAAACGCGTTGCTGCTGGAGTCGAAGTTGTGCGAGCGACTCAAGGTGTCCGCGGGACCGAGGAAGTCATCGCGGAAAACTTGGACCGGCGCGTAGAAGTGGTTTTGCAAAATTTCGCTGCCAAAGAGCCAACCCGTTGCTCGAGTGCAAGCGAAGTGAGAGACCAGGTAGAGAAGGAGTTGCGCAGTAACCCAGATCAGGAGAGTGACGAGAAAGTGACGGTGCAAAAACTTCGCGGAGGGATTGATCAAAGAAGTTCCTGTTCCTGGTTGTCGTTGCATTGCGACACCCCCGTGTACCGGCGGCTTCAACTGCGCAATCGCAAACGGGAGTCCGAGGAAGCCCAGCGCGTCCACCCAGAACCAGAATCCCATCGGCATGAAGGCGCCGACAAGCTGAACCAAGAATTTCGGGCCGAGACACCAACTTAGACCCACGATGTTAAAGAAGAGCACAATGGTGACACAGTTTTCTAGACAAGCGCGGCCCTCGATCACCAATTTCACTACTGAATTGTAGACGGACGGATCGGTGGCGACAAAAGGCGCAACCGCGGACACATTTGTAGTGGTTGCTGTACTTTGTAGTGCTGCGCCTGCGGGGATTTTCGTCGTCTCGTTCCTGTCCGGTTCACCTTTGTTCTCTACTCGGCCGCTGGTACTATTGTTCGTCTCTGCAGCACCACCTCCTTGTTCTGTCTCGTCCTCATTCTCCGGGGCCGCCGGCGTGCACATCGCGACGCCAACGTGCGCCTGCCGCAGCGCTGCGCTGTCATTACCACCGTCGCCACACATAGCCACCACTTTCTTGCCGTTACTCTGAAGGTGCTCGACAATTCGCTTCTTTCCGTCCGGCTTGGTGCGACCGAAAATGCGGATTCTCGGTAATATAATGGCCTCAAAAGTAACGTTTTCGGTAGTTCTAGTTGTACCCGCAGGATGCAAAGCATCACTTTCGGTGACATCACATCTGCTTGTCTCGTCGTCCTCGAGTTCGGTTTCGGGACAACCACTACTCGTGACAAGCACGTTGTACGCAGCTTCCGTGACCGCAAGCACGATTTTCTTCTCCATCTTTTCGGCCCCTACGTGCTCCCGGTCCTCCGACCGGCGCAGGAGCGAAATCATTTCTACCGTCGACAGTTTTTTTGTCCTCGTGGTCGGCGGGGGTGCAAGTGAAGATGCTGATGCAGGAGCGTCGTCGGAGGTTGTACCGCAGGCAACTACATCCTCTTCCCACAGAACATGTTCTTGTTCGCCACGACCAGCAATGCCAGCCACAATGTCCCCGACGAACACCCGCTCCTCGTTGTCCTCGACAAACCCGCACTTCCTGCCGACCGACACACCCGTCCAAACCGCATCTCCCGTTATGGATTGCAAATTAATATGTCTGGGTCTGGAAACTTGTGATGCTGGTTTTTTTTTTTTTCTAAACTCTCTGCGCACGGATTTGCAATTTTTTCTTTTCTTTTTCTTTTCATTTCGCTGCTTTCTTTTGATTTTTTTTTCCTTGATTTTTTTTTTTTTTTCTTTTGATTTTTTTCATCTTTTGACTTTCTTTTCTTTTGATTTTTTTTCTTATCCATCGCGCAAAAAGCGGTGGGCGTTTCACGAAGAAGAGCGCGGTTTTGTTCGGCGTTCCCGAGGCCTTAGGCCGTACCTTTTTGATAAGATCCGCAAGCTCCGACCGCATCCCGGTCCTCGCCCAACTCCGACCTTGTATCCTGCCATTGTATCCTGCTCGACCTTTGTATCCTGCTCGACTTTGGCTGCGGCCCGTAGAGAGTCCTCCGGCCAGTAGCAATTCATTCTTTCTCTTCACTATTGTCGGACAAACAGCGCACAACTTTCAGAATTTGCTAAGTCACAAGAAGCGAAGGAGACACACAGACTGATTTCTACTACCTACACGCTTAGAGATTGATCTACTTACGGCCCCCTTGGCTATTTGTTCCCCGCCAGCCTCTGCTGGAAAAAAAAGAAGCGCACGCCTGTGAGATTTGAGAAATGGCACAGCTGGTGGGGGGGGACCACAGGAGTCACCCCCCCGCAAGCTGCGCAGGTGTTGAAGTATCTGCTGCTTATCTTCACATGCACTATCTTTATTCACGTCGAAGTGCTTCCTTTCAGAAATACGAAGCGCTTTGTTTCAAAAAAAAAAAAACGAAGTGCTTTCTTTCAAAAACGAAGTGCTTTTTTGTGTTGCGTAGCATTAGCATAACTTAACTACACTTTTGGAACTTGTGATGCTACTTTTGGAACCTACATATAAATCAAGCATGCTCTTTTGGAACCTAACTTGTAATGCTAGCTCTCCATACCTAGGAAATCTGTATTTCATAGCCAACAAAAGTCGCAGCCTCTTTTGTACACGCAAAAACTTGTGATGCTGGTTTGTGCATGGTGGGCGCACTGCGTTACGCAGCCACGCACGACAAGTTTCTGAGCTCCCATGTGTTTCGCTTCCCGCATGACAAACTGCGTTTTTGCACGACAGGTAAGAGGCTGCTTTCCTGCTCATGCATGCCAGATGCAAGACTCATGCGGGACAAGCATGACAAACTTGCATTCTTCCAGGAGACCCAGACATTTTTACATTTGATACCCGTGATCATCACACAATGCACGCCGTTTGCCTTCAACCAACGAATCGCCATCGGGGACTCCGGCTTCAGTTCGTTTCGGAAGAGAATGAGGCCGAGAAACTCCAGATCCTTTTCCGCCCGATCGCGTAGGGAAACGAAGGTCCGCGCCGCGGACGTTGTTGGCCGTCCCAAAGCACGAGAAGTAGAAGCGCTGCGAGGCAGGCGGATGAGGCTACCGTCCCGGACGGTTTGATGATCTTCACTGTTGTAGTGCTGGGACGTAGTAGCAAAAACTCCAGTTTCGGGATACACGCTCGCAACACCACCGTTATTTATTTCTCGTCGTAAGTTGAACTTTCTCGAGGAGGCTCCGTCTAGCTCTAGCAACTGCTGTCGGTGGTCCGCACGGTAATATCCAGCGTCAGTCATAGACTTGGCGCAGTATATTTGCGATATGGTGCTTTTGCTTGCGGAGGCTTTGACCTCCATGTCCGGGGTTGACGACGGGCTGCTAAGGGAAGGGACTGGGTCCGGTGTTGTGAGAAGCAGTTGATGAACGTTGTTTTCATCTACGGGATCGTGGAGAGCTTTTATGCGCCGACAAGAACGAGTACGACGATCAACCAATTCTTCTCCGAGATTCTCCGTGGAAGAATGAGCATCGTTTTCGACTTTCATCTGAGGCACCACTGTACGACGGTCAAAAACTTCCACTTCGAAGGTGGCTGCAGCGTCGTGAAGACCTGAACCTGTATCGAACGTGGTTTTCTCCGCTCCTCGTCCTCCGTTTCCGGTTTGGCCAGCATCTTCTGGAGTTGTGAATGAACCACGAACTACTTTTTCGTCTTTCTTCTTCGCTGCGGCACGGAGCTCCTCCTGAGCCTCCCCCCGGCCCCGCTGCCCGTCCGAGTCCGACGCGGGAGCCCAGATTTTCCCCATGCCGGTCTCGTGCCAGTACGCGAGCTTTTTCTGTGCCGCCTCCACCAGTTTTTTCTTGTCCTCCTCCAAATCCGCTTCGCTCGCAACCGCGAAGTAATTTTCCTCCGCAACAGACGGCAAAGATTGCAGCACCGCACCAGCGAGCCGGGTTGCGGTTTCCGTGCCCCGTGTCACGACGGACTGCAAATCCCGAAGGTTTTTCACATCCTCGTCTTTATTTTCTTGCTCACAGTCGATATTTACTTCATCCGACACAGGTAGCTCTGCACCTTCAACAAGCGTGGGAAGAGGAGGTCGAGGCTCGAATATTCTCTTCATCTGAGGAGCATTATCCGTCGTCGTTTTCAGAGATTCCCAGTCCTTGATAAACCCAGCTTCATACTTGTTGACGTCAAGTAGTTCCAACGATTCGATTCTCTGCTGCAGGGCTTCGACCTCGGAATTGTTGCTCGCCAACTCGTCTTCGTCGTCGTCCACATCCGGATTTACTTCGAAGTGGTCGCGGAGCGTCGTCGTCGCGCCAAGCCCCGGGTAGTACTGCAGTTGGTCACCCGTGCTGCCACGCTGGAGAGGACGGCTCGTTGTTGTACTGCGGTGCCTGCGTTGAATGGTTTGTTCTGTTGAGACTTCTTTTGCTGTACGAGCGTTGTTTTGTTCATGTTGGTCCTGCTCCGCCACTTTCGCTTCGTCATCGTCTCGCTCGTCACTGCCACCCGTAGCCTCCGCTGTGCCGTCGATGGTGCCCTCCTCTGCAGCTCGGGGAGAAAGTAGAGCAACCTCGACGGCATCACAGTTTTGTATTGCAACACGCTTTACTTTGCTCTGACAGTCTTTTCGTCTTTTCCTTTTGTGGCTTGGCGACAGGAGAGCTTGCTGAGGCACCACGGCGGGCTCTGCACTTACTTCTACACGACCACGATCTTGCTCATAATTATTCCCACGCGATGCTAGTACCGCACCTGCCTCCGCTCCCATTGGGATCAACGTTCCCTGTGGCGCGCTCCCAGAGGCTGAAGAGAAACTCTTCTTCGCGATCGCGAGGGTGTAGAACCCCTGCTTTGAAAAAGCCCGCGCCTGCGCAGAAAGATCGGGCGGGAGAGTTTCCGGTTTGCAGGCGCGGCTGATCTTTTCAACGGAGCCCTTTGCGCAGACGAAGTACTCACTGATGTTGTGTAGTTGCTCTCCATCTCCGACGTGTAATCCGTGTGCGTTCTTAGTGACAGCGTCACCGTAATTCCAAACTTTTCTTCCGAAGACTGACTGCAACACGCGGCGCTGGTCGAATTCCCACCGTTTCAGTACTTGAATCTTTTTCTTCTTCTGCGGCATCTTCCCTTCTTGCGGAAGATGGTTTTCTTGTTCCTGCGAATCACAAGCCTCGGCTTTGCGCCGCTCCGGCGGCACAAACTCAAACAGTATCTTTTTCGAGCTGCTCGGTGGATTGTTGAAGATGTTATTTGCACTAGAAGAAATTTCGGCCCCCGCGTCAGGCAAGTTCCCGTCATTCGACCGCCCTTCCACAGCTCTCACCGTTTGCAATCCGGTGGCACGGACCCGGCTCGCGGCGGAAGGAACTGGAAAAAAATTCGTCGGATCGCACAGGTCGAGATGGATCGCGGACGCGGACGCTGCGGATTTGCTATTTTCCACTGCAGCAAAATTCTTTGTTTCTTGCATGGCAACACGCTGGCGCACCTCTTTTCCAGCGATAGGAAATAACGCTTGGTCATTGTTTACACCCGGCAGAAGTGTACTCGCGCTCGCGGGGGACGCCGAGGGAATAACGAAACCCGTAGCAACGTCATGCTGCAGCAGCATCGCCGTGCAGGCATCATCAAACTGCGTTGCCTCCGCGTGCTCCACAGTAACCTCGTTGCTTTTCCATCCGAGCGTCTTGACCAATTGCCGCTCTACCGGGTGCCCCACGGTTTTCCCATCGACCTTCTTTACGCAGTGACACACCGCCATAGCCTCCAACAGTTCCTCCGCGTTTTCTGAGGTTTGCAACCGCTTGTTGAATTCGTATGCAGATTCCGTATCTTTCAGAAGAACCAAACGCATGGCACTTCTCCCTTCGGTACTATCGATAAAAAGACTCTCAGATCCCTTGTGTAAAAGATCACTGGAGTGAGCTGGTGCGCCGGCCAAAGCGAGTAGATGATCATGTTGCGCCGTCGTGCTGTTCTCCACTACCGGTGGTGCCCCCCTCATCCTCGTGGTCCACGTAGCAACGCCGTAGAATCGCATTTTTTCTTCAGTCACTGTGCCAGTCTTGTCGAACGCAAATATGTCGATGTTCCCGGTGACTGGGATGCGGTGTTTGTCCATCACGAAGAGCTGCAGTTCCGTTTCCAACCGCTTTCCGCTCTCCAAGCACGCTGTGCTTAGCGCGATCGGCATGTACGGTGAAGCCAGCATCATCAGGGTGGTTAGCGCCTGAACGAGGATCACGTGGATTTCCGCGAGAGACGGATTGGTCAAGAACAACATGCACATAGTGACCGGCGGGGCGACGAAGACCGCAGTGAAGGTGTGCCAAACCTTCAAGTGCGTATCAAAGTCATATCTTTTTGAGGGGTCGTTCGTCGCGGCCTTACTGAACAGGTGGCGCACCGCGTCACCGCGGATCGTGCCAACGCCGATACCTGGAGCATTTAGTTATGGAGGAGTGCTGGGCCATTGCAATTAACACAGAAACGGAACAAAACTGCATTGATGTTGTTCTTCTATGCTAATTTTCACTTTAGCAGGGACCCCATTATTAGTAAAAACAAAAATGATGCAAGAAGAAATAACCAAACAACAGCCATATTACCTGTGACAACTGCTAAACTGCCTGTTTCCGCGGCCAGCAACGTCGTGCCGGCATGCAGAACATGCCGCTCCGACTTTGGCTCCGGGTATTCTCCACGCTCTTCAAGACTCAAGTAGCTGACCTTCTGCAACGGTAGCGACTCTCCAGTCAAAGCAGCCTCGTTGACTAAAGCCCCCCCTCTAACAAGCACGCAGTCTGCTGGAATGATATTCGGCATACTGAAAGCGGACCCGCATGCTTCGCGTTCGTTAGTTGTATTCTTTGCGCCCTTCAAAGAAGAGGCAGTGCCAGCAGAATTGCCTTGATGTTGCGCAAGACTCGACAAATCCACAATGTCACCCGGAAGCAAGTCTTCCGCAGTAACTGCTTTGTAAATCGGAGGACCTGCAACTCCTGCGACCGGAAAAGCACTCGTCCGGACAGCGGACCCAGCGCCATCATTCACCAACTTCCGCACCAAATGCCCATTGCCACTTTCCACGAATTGCAGCAGCTGCGCGTGCGAGTTTTTCGCTGTTCTGGCCTTCCAGACCGCGACCGCTGCGAAAAGAAATACGTAGGTCGCCGCAACTGGCCAGTTATCAATGCTGAACAGCAGCAAGCAGATCAGCCACTGTACTGCGTAAATGACGTTGCCCTGGATCTCGGAGAGAAACGACTCGACGAAACTCAGCGCGGGAAATGGAATCTTGTTCTGCCCGTACAGGTTTCGAAGAGCGTTGTCAGCAGTCGTCCCAGCAGGAGCGTTCTGCGGACCATCTCCAGTGTCGGCTCTGGCGTGCTCGGTTTTGGAGAGAGAAGACGGCAACAGCTCTGTTTGCTCTTGTGCATGTGGAGGTGCAGCCATAATGGCTTGCAAAAACAGGTACGGATCTATCTTGGAACAAGCGACTACCGCAGGCGCACCACCCGCAGGGCTAACATCATCGTCTTCGGCCGCTTGCACTTCTTGCAGCGCTATGGCATCCAGAATCTTCTTCGCAGTGTCTTCACCCATGCTCGTCCTACTTCCCTTGAGCTTAGCCTCGAAATATGTCCTTGCACTCACACGTGTGTACTCCAGCCTGGGAATGACCGGCTCGAATTGAAAATTATGTTTGTCGGCTTGCTCGTTATCGGAAGTAGAATTCGTCGCCTTAAAAACATCGTCGTCGTCGCTACCACGCCTTGTTTGCTGTCTCAGTTCGTAGCAGACACAATCATACTCGAACCAACGCTTCGTCGCTGAACTCGGACCACGACCCTGGTGAAACTCGTGACAAGCACCGTCTGCATCGTCCCCGCGGCGGCCAGCTGCAAGACTAGGCTCAGAAAGCACTTGCGCTTGTTCTACTTGCACGACCGCGTACTCCGGCGGCCTGGTCCGACTTGCGACCCCACCTGCACGCAAGCTTGAGCAGGGGAGGGACCAGCAGTGCTTTTCTGATTTATTTTTTTTTCTACCGTGTTTCATCTCAGAGTTGTACCCTTCGTCGTCCTCTCCTTGGTCGGAATAATTCTCGCTGTCCGCGCACTTTTTATCAAACCGCAGCCTGACCACGGTCGCGTCTCGCAAGTCTTCCGCAACTCCATACAACCGCATCTGCAAATCAAACAGGTAGTGCAGCAGCACCGAGCCGAAACAGAGGAACCAGTAGACCAAAAAGGCGCATCCGCACCTCACATCCTCATGCTCCTCACGCGGGAAGTCCCAAAGGAACAGCTCGTTCGCAACCCAGAGAGCGGCATCGGAAGTCTTGCTGAAGTAATGGACGAACAGGACACACAGCATCCCGAAGAGCATCCACGCTGTGCCGACATAGAGCAGGACGGAGAGAATCCTCGCCTGGGTGGTCCGTCGAAGGCCGTCGAGGTGGCACCAGGAAGTGGACGCGGTGATCGAGGTCTTGTTCTCGGCGGCCCGTTGCTTCATGATCCTCGCTGAAATTTCCTCCATCAATCACTTCCATGGGCTCTTCGCTTTTGCTTTACTCCATCAATCACAATTATCTGGAGCCGCAGGTAGCACACAAGCAGCAACACGGCGAAGAGCGTTGTCGGTAACAGGAAAAATACTGACGGCGTCAGTAAATCGCTGCAACTTAATTCGGCAGAAGTTCTTGGTGGACCCCCCGGAGGGACGTCCTGCGAGGGCCCTCGTGCGGCACTCATGTTTTCCTTTGCTAGCGGGATGCGCTAGCACTGGCTTATTTCGCCGGGTCGATACAACTATATAGATACTTCGAACTTGATAATCGAAAGGTTCAAAAACGGCAGGAGGCTGATAGCAGAATCTCAAATAATGTCAAAGCGGAAGTCGTAGGAGGTGCATGTAACGACAAATACTTAATTGGGTCGGGTTCTAAACGATTGCGCGAAAAAATCGCCCAAGCCCGTGTATGTCCGTACGACGGGAGAAGAAGTTCAAAGTTCGTCACGAAAATTCAAATTTATTTGCGAGAAGCAAAGCTCATGAGCGAAGCATGCGGGGGTATGCAAAGTGGATGAAATGCATTATATTTGTTTTTCAATTGGGAAATCTTTTCCGGGCAAGGCCGGTCCCGGTCGCCGAAATGGGCGTTGCGTAGTCCAACCTGTAGAAATTTGATGACAAAAAAAATTTTGAAAGATAGACTGGATCTTCAATCTTTCCCAAAAACGGACTCAACAGTCACATGTCGTGCATCAGGAAGATACACAGAAGAGACCGTTCGCAAGAAAGAGAAACATGACTCACTTTTTTGTTCCAAGATCTCCTTCAATAGACTTGATTTCATATTCGTTTTCGATTTTTTCCCTGAGAGAAATTTCGCAAGTCGTGCATCTTCTGGATCAGAAACTCAAACTTCTGAGTGAACTCTTGTTGCAAGGGGACCTTTCTTGTGAGAAAGTGTCGAGGCAGATTCATTTGATCTTCGTGCGCGTGGCCCGATAGACATAGAATCGTCAAGATGCATGATCCTCTTCTTCTTCGTCACGAAGGACAAGAAAATGGCTGATGTAAAAATTACTCGCAGGAATGCGCCGATTGCACAGCACAGAACAGTATCTACTTTTACACCCGACCGCGCCATCCGTCGGTATCGGAGTCGCCGTAAGGTTAAAGTTTCTTGCCGTATCTTCGATAACATCAAACAAGTTTCCACTTTTCAATTGTACATGGTCAGACACAAGTCAAGTCCAAAGGTGGATCGTACATGGCCAGAAATTATGAGATACAGGTTGCCAAAACGAGGCTTGCTCAAGTGCTAAGCTAATGCTCCTTGATGCCAATGTCACTTTTTCTTTTCGAAAACTAATCCATGTCTATCACCACCTTCTCTGTTGGATCACGATTTTGCTGTAGAGAAACCGCAACATCGCGTCTTGCTTATATTCGCTATCCACCATCACGTATCCAAGAAAAAAACTGTGTTAATGTAAGTCTTTTGGGAAAACAGCATCACAAGTTTGTCTGCCATGACGGAACAAACTTGTTATGCGCAGATACAAAGGGAAAACACATAGGAAGCGAGCCGGTCATGCATGTCGAGCATGACAAGTGTAACTGTTTGGCATTTTCTGCATCACAGATTTACACTTACACAGTTTTTTTCTTGGATACCATGGCCGCGTTCGCCGGGAATTTGATATCCCCGTACCCACCCTCCTCGTCCTTCGCTATCGCTGCCGCCTCCCGCTCCATCTGCACTTCCCGTCTTGCCGCTTCCTTCAAATCATCGTCCTGTTTCTGCGCCCGCTGGATCTTCCAATCCTCGAAGCTGATTTTCTCCTTTGTTTCCACTGTTCTCGCAGCGATGAAAGCGTCGAACGGGTCGGAAACGTCGTCATTCACCCAGAATTTCGGGGCGGAAGAGAACGCTTTGGATGTTGGGGGAAGTGCGACGTCTCGCTGCTTGTTCAAATAGTTGATCACTGGTGGTTTTCTGAAGCGGGGCTCCTCTGATAAATCTTCATAATCTGCTTCATTAATGTCCACAACTCTCGTGGTTGGGAACTGGAGTTCGGCCTCCTTCCGCTTCTTTTCCTTCTCGGCTTCTATTCCCTGTTTTTCCGGAAGCTGGATTTCGTCGTCGTCGCCGAACAGAATTTTCTCGCCGGTGAGGAGGACTTCTTCTTTCGGAACATCGGTTATTCCGAGGTCCTCCAGTTTTTGCATATAAGCGTCCTGCTTTTTCTCTAACTTTTCGATCTGCTTGTCCGTGCCCTCGCCCGCGGTGAAAATCCGCTCCGGTTCGAATTCGGTGTTGAGCAGGTCCCGCATTTCCATCGTGGAGGTGCGGGAGAGGTCCCGGCTGGAGGTGCGGTGGACGGTGGTTGTGGCCGCCATTATGTCGGCCGTGGTGCTGAAAGGAGTATACAAGAAGCAAACTGCACTATCACACCCTGGTCTGGGTTCGGAAACAAAAAGGAGAGGTGAGCGCAATCGAAACAATGTTACGAAATAGTTTGATAAAAAAAGACGTGAGACAGAACCTTACAGCTCCCCCTCCCCAGATCTGCTTGAATGACGACGCAAGAACGACATGCTGACGACTGAGAAACCTTGGCGGCCCGAACCCTGACGACCACGGCTAGAGAACTTTGACTTCACGAAAATTGTTACGTACTACAGGTACAGTGACAACTTCCAAGCCAAGCAGCGTGTGCAAAAAAAGTAGAAAAGCATGGTGTCACACACGAACGTAACAGAAGCACAAACGTGAAACGGATTGTCCTGCGCAGTTGCACGACTGCTTTTTGCTTTGTTTTACTTCCTCGACTTTAATCTTCTTCCCTGCCGCGAAGGTATGATTATTCACTGTCGTGTCTGCAGTGCCAGTTTTGGTGCACCAGATTCTATGCCCTGCGCAACAGGCCAAACTGGCACTGCGGCCTGTTCCGAATGTCCACTAAGTATGTTGCGTGCTCGCTGGAGATCCGCATCCGAAACCCTTCCATCCCGTATAGGAATGTAGTAGGGTAACTGCGCTTCCCTCGTCTGCTGCGTTTTTTTCTTCCCCGGTTGGCATTCCGGCGTAAAGAGAGAAAGATCGGTTTTTCCAGAAGCGAGGTCCCCTTCAACTACGAGGCAGTGCTGAAACAACGGTCGCGGCAGAATCCAGACACCTTGGAGAACAAGCTGCTCGTCACAATGCGAGTGCAGAACAACGACGAACTCCGGTGCGTTCGTTTCCGAGAACGGCACTTGCTCTTGGTAGGACCTGACACGGCGGCTGCCGCTCAAACGGGTTCTGCTTCTGCAACTTCTTAGTTTGACTAGCTTTACTCGATACCTCGCCGGCCCCCGATCGTAGCGAAGCCCGACGGTGCGGTGAAACAGCGGTTTTCCGAAAGCAAAGCAATCCCAGGTTTCGTTTCCAGAACTTGGGCTCTTGGAAAGTACTGGCAGGGCGCCAATTTTGCTGTATACCTTTTCAAAAAGCTGCCCCAGCAGGGTTGCTCGTCGCTGTTGTCGCGGAGTCAGTGCAAGTGCAAATAGCCAATGAGATACGGGACGCGCGTGGTCTTCGGCAACGTCATTCCAAGCGCTGAGTAAGGCCTCGGCCAGCTCCGACACGGGTACGAACTTCTCTTCTGGAATCATCACGCTCGTGCGATGGGATCTTGAACTTCTCCATGAAAGCTCGTCGCCCTGGTGGTCATCACCGGTGTCCGATTCCGTCGAAATTGTATGGTTTGCTTTCGCACATAAAGCGCTCTCAAGACCGAGAGTCGCTTTGAATGCGGTCGCCTTCGTTGGAAGAGAAACGAAGATGAGCCCGAGTCCGGGTAGGCGCGCGGTGCTCTCTGAAGCGAAGTCGAAACGAAAATACCTGGGCCCCCGATTCGTCTTGCGAACGAAAGCTTCCTGTCCAGCGAAACAAACTTTCAGGGGTAGCCAGCTATCCTTTTCCGGGCCGGGCGACCTACCGCGATACAGAAGAGATCCCCCAGTGTTGTGGGGTAATCTTACAAATTCGAGCTCGGGACGTTGCTTTTCAATTTCGTTCGTCAACCACGTGTATCCACCCTCTGTCACTATGTATGTGCGCGGATTCCGTTTCCCGAGTCCTACACTCTCAGCGAGGGGCAGAGGCTGCTGCACGTGCAGGTTCAGGTCTTTCGAGTGTGATTTCGAGTTGACGCCGTCTTTCGACGATGCCCCAATTTGCTCTTTGTGGTCCTCTATCATGTTGGCGAAGCGTGCGCGTGCCGCAGCAGCTTGTTCCAAGACCAGCCTTTCGTTTTTTTGTTTGTCCAGTCTCCACCGTGCTCTGTATTTGTACGTACGGGATCCGCACGTCGAAAGCGTTCCGAACGGACTGTGCTCATTCAGAACTGTTGACGCGTTCTGCCAGCCATTTGCGCTGCAAAGGACATTCAAAGCACCGCGCGCGTTCCTACCGACCGGAACGTATGGCGGAGAACATGCCTTCATTGTGTTTATCTACTTCATCAAAGAATGGTAGGTACGATAATGAAGCCACCATTGATGGCAAGGGAGAGAAGTTCACTTTGCATTTGGGTCATGTAGTAAATACCGAAAACTACAAGGACCTCGAGAACCTAAGACCGATCCCAACCCGAAGGAGTGCATTCTTCGGGCGGTGCGATGCGAAGCGAGTCTATTTGTGGAGTAGCTTGAGTAATGTATTTCGACAAGCTTCACAATCCCAATCGCACCCCTTGTGTGAGATAGAGATTCAGATTCCAGATATCGGTGTATAACGCAGAACGACGAAAGGGAACCCCACTTATGCCGCTTCAGCTTCCCGGCACGCACAAAAACAACTACGACCAGAAAAGCCGAATCGATGGACCACGACGATCAGCACAAATCCTTCAAATTCTTAAATGCTTCATGAAGGTAGGCGGAAGTTTTCACGGTGCCCGCTGCTGTTCAATGCAGGAGAATCTTAACTCTGCTTCTTCCCCAAATCGTCCATTTTGATCTTTACCAGCGATGTTACCTTCGTCACAAGGTTGCACAAATGCAGGGTATAATTGCTCCTGGAATTCTTCGTCGAGTATAGCTCGCGCACGCTCGAAATCTACATCCGAAATTCTGCCATTTGCGACCGGGATGTAGTACGGCATTTGTTGCGCCTGCGCACGCTGGGTCTGGCGTTTTGTCGGTCTGCATTCTGGGGTGAACAGAGGTAAGTCGGTTCTTCCTGTCGTGATGTCGCCCTCGACGATGAGGCAGCTCGCGAACATGGCACGTGGAAAAATCCAAATGCCCGTGAGTGCCCCGGGCACGGAATTTTCGGAACGTAAAGCGATGACAAACTTCGGAGCTACATGCTGCGACAGTGGTATCTCGCGGTACCCTGCACCTACGAATTCGGAAGCGAGGAAAAACTTTCTGTTGCAAGTCGTGGTCAGCTTGATGCGATAATGCGTCACGCATCTCCCTCTTCGTTTCTGGTCTCTTACCTTGCACAAAAGCCTGTGCAATGTTGGCTTTCCGTCGATGTACGTGTCACACCCTTTGCCGACAGTCGATTCAAATGTTACTCGCTTTCCCAGTTTGTTGTAGAAGATGTGATGAAGATGCGTGATTAGCATCGCGCGTCGATTTTGTCTATCAGACGCCGCTAAGTCCACCAACCAATCGACCATGGGACGCGCGTGCACACCGCTAAGATCGCGCCAACAAGAAGCCAACGTATCAGCCAGGACCCGGATTGGAAACATCTGCTTGTCCTGTATGAAAATTGCTACCCGCTCTCGTCCGCTGCTCTTGTCGGTCCTCTTGGCGGGCGGCTCGCCGGAATTCTCGTTGGCAAACTGTCCGCATTCGGCTGCACTGGTCTGAAGTCTGTCTTCCTTGTTCGAGGTCGCAGTACGTATTGCAGTTGATCGAATAGTCCCCGAGGAAGATGTTGCGCTATCACCAGTTCTAAAAGCCACGCTCCCTGCTTGAAGAGCGATCAGGGCAATGCCTGGACCCGGGAGGCCATCAATGTCGCCTTTGTTGTAGTTAAAACGAAAGCACTGCGTCCTTGGACTGGCAAAAGCTGTGGTGCTGGCAAAACAAACTTTGAGAGGCAACCATACGTCGTTGGTCTGATCTTCTGTGCCCTGTGCGGCAAATTGGTAGAAGAATGATGCGCGGCTTTGGAACGGAGCCTTTTCCAGCTTAAGGTTGGGACATATCTCCGACAGCTGCTGCACGACCCACGCGCACCCTTTTTCGGAAGTGAAGTGTGCTTGTGAAACCGACTGGCCGATTTCTGGCATGCGCCGCTGCCTATCGACCACCCACGGTTCCTCGCATCGCTGTTTTTCGCTAGCACCAAACAGACAAGGAGATTCCACCATATCGCCAGCACGCGGAGAACCAGCAGCAGACCGGTCAAGTGGTAGCTGCTTCTGGCGTAGGCGCCACGGAGCAGGCTTTCGGACACCGAGAAAATCGGCCATCCCTCTGTACTCCTCCGGGTAGTATTTGCTGGGCCTCGACGGGATATTTCTTGGGCGCGCAGAGCTTGTTGCCCATTTGTCAAATTCGCGGGAGCACCGTAGGCCGAGCCGTCGCACATATGCCCTTGCCTCTTCAAAGGGCAGTCGAGGGATGCGCCTCATGTAGACCATCTTTGTCTAGAGGGGGATCGTAAGTACCATCACTTGCCTGCTAGTTGTACTAGTAGTACGCCGTTCATTCTATAAAAGGCACATCCAAATTTCCTCAACAATTTTTCTCTGCAAGTGAAACCAAGTACAGTAATTAAGTACTCCCACTCGCTTCAACCCTCCGCGGAGAACCAGGCGAAACTTATGGCTCACACTCAGCAGTCAAATCAGCATAGAACCCTCTCATCGTTTGAGTCACACGTGTTGGGCAAGTAACGCATGTAAACCGGCGCCAAAAGCCACGTAGGCAATCAATATATCGGATTCGCCGATCGCATTGATGCTGCTGGATACTGGAAAATAAAACAGGGAGATGAAGTATTCCAACATCAGTATTGCGAAAAGATTTCTTTCGCGCGCAAAACTGCAGCTACATTACTCTCCGAAGTGGAAAAATCTAGGTAGAATTCCAGTTGCCGTTCCTGCAATTTTCGTGTCGATTCGCGTCGTGGTGAAACAGTAGGCGGATACAGGCAGAGACTCATGAGTCCGGAAGAAAGATCCCCTCTTCGTGCAAGGCAGGACTTGAGCTCGCACCGCGGAAGCAGCCAGGCACCCCTCAGCTCGATATTACACACCGCAGCTGCTGCACTTGCATCCGCGTGTTCTCCTCCAGACTGTCCAGTAGTTTTGTCTTTGTCATCCTGCTCGTTGTGGCTGTGATGAAAGATGACCAGGAAATCTGGAGCCTCATCAACGCAGAGGGGAACCGCGCGAGTTCGTCCTGTGATTGTGGGGCACGAAACATTTTTTGTTACCGCGACCCGGTAAGCAGGCACGTCACGCTTCTCGCCAACCCACTTGTTTTGCAAGACGCGATGAATCACAGTTCTCCCGTTTATTTCTAATCCGCAACCAAACTTGGAAAATGAACTTCCTTGCAGGTCCCAATCGCACTTGCGGTAGAGAAACGCGTCCAACTGGCGGAGAAGAAGGTAAGCGACACGAGCCTTGATGGAGAGTGCGCCTAGTGTTGCTGTCAGCTCTGCGAAGTCGCACGCCTTGCTGGAATGGTCTCTCCACATATCAGGTAAAGTTTTGATGATGTCTGCCGCTGGATGGAGGTCAAGCTTCCGGATGTAAACTGAACCAGACGGACATTGGCTTTGTGTCTTTATGTCGATATGAGAGGTCGTTGCAGTGTTGGACTCGACGCCCATCAACTCGCACTGTAGCGCCAGATAGAGGGAGAGAACTGGTACTCTGTCACGAACAGACTCCGACATAATGACGCGATGGAAAATGAATGCAGCGTTGCGCCTCTGACGGTAAGTTGGTGCCGTAGCGACCGACAGGCGCAGAGGCAACCACCTCTTTGTTTCCGACTTCGCCCCCTGGAGGTTACTCGACAGTGGGTATTCCGGCCGCGGCAATCGCTCCGCTTCACTACGGTCTCGAACTCGAAAATAGAGCGTCGCCTGCAAGTTGAAGGGAGCCCGGATCACTTCGACATCTGGGTGCAGCTTCTCAATCTTGTCCAGCAAAATCGCGATCCCCTCTTCGCGGACGCTCCAGGCATTGCACCGTTGTCGGGGTAGAGAGTCGAAGTCTCTTGGGTAAGACTTGCGCCATCCCGCAATTCTAGTCGATTCAAGCCAGTCCTTTACCCCTCGCCAATGCTCGCGATACGTGAGTTGTGGGCTCGATGGAATGGAAGATGGACGCGCGCCGCTTGTGGTCCACTTCACCCAGTCGAGCCACGTATTGAGTTTTAGTGATCGCGCGTATTCGCGTGCCTCCTCGAAACCAAGAAAACGCCTGTGAACGCCTCGTCGCCGGCGGGGCAGAGAGAGACGCGGCCGCGGCTGTACGGCAAGGGTCGCTGCCTTCAGCCTAGTGGTCATGCTTGCGTCGTCGTTCCGTTGCGGTCCGTACTTGCGAGGCCACGACCCGGCAATCCAATCAAAACACAGTTTCCCGAACAAGTAGATGCTAAAATCTGCAACGCACAAGGCGAACGCTGTTCCAAAATCAGAACTATCTATCTTTTTCGTCGCACCGCACGCGACACGAGCCGACAGGTATAACGATCTTCCACATGTTCGTTGATCTTTTTTGGAGTAGCCACACCAGACCGAGCTTCCGCGTATTTCTTCCCGTGCTCGTGCATATTAAAATACGCTCTGATTGCAAAGTCATTCCTTCTGTCTTCCTCGACTGGACTCCTCCGCGAATCCGTATAGTGAGCCGTGTTGGAGCTTTTCTGCTCTCATACATGCCATTCGCAATGGAACTACCGAGGCCCCATTCGCATTCATATTCCCCTTGCCCTTCACTCCTTTCACGGTTTACAAAATGATAGCACACTTGGTATCGAACAAAAACCAGCTTCTAAGTGAAGCGATACTAGGTCGTTGTCGTTATGGCTTCGATTCCATCTGACTTAATCACTGCGCATTTGTTCAAATTTTGGTTTTCATATCATCTTATAGTGTTTTTGCATACGAGCAAAGCTGCGGAAATGCACAGCAAGTCGGCTGGTAAAGCCAACGGTGTAGTATTCATCGGGGTCTGTCAGTACATACGGAACGATCGACACACTTCTCGTCCATCAGTTAACTTCGTATCACGGAGGTCAGCAGCAGAAGCAGAAGCACTCCGACGAGAGGGCGAAAAATACAAACACAGAAATACCGGGCACTGTAGAAGTGATGGGTACGTAGCGTAAGAGGCAACCAAATCAAATGCACTTAAATGAATATTTATATCCAGAAAAAGTCAATGATCGTGCGGTCACCCGCATGTTCATATCTCCTCCAAATCATCAAAGTCTCTGGCGAGCTTCGTCAAACTTGCTCGGTCCACCCCCTTTTCTTCCTTTTTCTCGTGGTGGTGGTGATGGTGTTTGTGGTTCGGATCATCCGAATGATGATGGTGGTGGTGGTGATGCTGACCGCTTGTTTTGCCGCCCCCATCTGCCGCCTTCCCCTCCGAAATCGTGGCTGACTGCTTCGACGCGGGGTCTTTTTCACTCAAAGTGAAAGAAACACTTTTCGGGGACACGCCCTCTTCCTTCTTCGGAGCGGGTGGCGGGTGGTATGACGGGTTCTTCTTGGTAAAAGAGTGGGGTGGTGGGTGGTATTCTTCGGTCTTTTGCGCAGACGCCGTGTCTATTTCATCCGGAGCCCCTGTTTTGGAAGATGAAGACGCAGGAGCGTCGCCCGGTTGCGGCGGCGGGTGGTAGGAGGGATTCTTCTTCGTGAATGAGTGCGCCGGTGGGTGGTAGTCTTCGGCCTTCTTTTGCACGGTCCCAGCAGCAGGATCTCCATCTTCAAGCGCACTTGTTTTCGAGGATGTAGCAGCAGCAGCACCACTTCCGACCACACCGTCCTTCGGCGACTGTGGCAAGATGATCGGCGTGGCTATTAGCCCCGGTTTCGTCTTTGCCTTCAAACTGCTCCGCGTGTTGGCTGCGGTGGATTCCGCAGAGGGCGGAAGTTGCACCGGTGTGTGCATCAACCCCCTTTTCACCTTCGGTTTGGACCAGCCCTGCATCGGTGGATCGGCTTCAACAACCGCAGGCTCTACTACGGTAGCAGGAATCGGGTCCGGATCCAAGGCTGGCACTACTTCTGGGAGTACTTCTTCCTCAGGTACCGCCGCACGCTCTTCTTCTTCCACTTGTTCAAGCGCTTTCGGCCGCTCCCACCCGTCCATCTCTGTCGGCGGCGCGAACGCTTCCCCGGACATGATCGGATCTGTGGACGCGTCCGCAGGTGGCGGCTTCTCTTGCTCCCCCTCGGGCTTGAACTTCGGTGTCACCGGTCTGCTGCGGACCAACAGCTCTTCCGCAGCCTGCTGCTGTGCACTACTAGTAGTGCCATCGTTATTCTGCGCCGCTGCACCTACTGTCGTTCTTTCGAATCCGAAGCCGAAGAAGTCACTCATCTTGCTCGTGAAATCCACCGAATTTCTCGTCTCCTCACCCACCACCGCCCGCAGGATTGTCTGCAGCGCTCCCTCGATCCCGTTCAGCCGCAAATTCAAGTGGTTGATCTGGCCGCTGACCTCGTTCAATCTCTCCGTAATCTTTTCGTTCGACGCGTTCATCGTCTCCGACAGCTGCTGCGCCTGCGCCGCAGACATTTTCTGCCCAGGTCGGACGAACCCCGCGGTAGGCACAACCGCAGCAGTCGGCGACCCTGAAGGCGACGTTTTTCCGTGCGATGCTGACGAGTGAACGTGTTTCCTCTTGTCCTTCGGGTTCACACCGCTGGGCGCTGTCATCTTCTCGTGGTGAATCCCCGCCGAGGGCCCGCTTCCGCCATCCCCGCCGGGGCTGTGACCTCCACCCCCTCCACCACCGAAATGCGTGTCGTCGTCGTGGACCGCGTGCTTGATTTCCATCATTTCCTTCCGGATTACCGGCACGTCCCGAACCAATTTCAAAATCCGCTCCAACTCGATCGGTCTCGCGGACGTGACACATTTCACAATCTGCGTGCAGAACTCATCGATGGAAATCTTCCCGCCGCCGTCCGTATCCAACATCTCGAATAACGATTCTGGATCTACCGTTCCCATGATGAAGGACAGTTCATTCTTCAAGTCTTCATTAGACTCCAACCCGGACACCATTTCCTCCTTCGTCAACTCCCCGGATTGATCCTCGTCGAACAGCTCAAACATCGCCCGCAATTCCGGCATCATGCGCTGCAGCCTCTCCGCTTTATACGCCAATTGCACTTCCTTGTCCGCCTCGGCCTGCGCGATCGCACCCTCGACGATCACGGCGGTCACGAGGTTCATCAAGGCGATCGAGACGATCAGGATGAAGGCCATGAAGAATAATGCAAGAGCCGGTTCCCGCTTGATCAAGGGGAGATAGATCGCCCCCGCGGAATCGAGCGTCACGAACTGCACGAGAGTGACCATTATGACGAACAAGCCGGAAAAGTTATTATCCACAATGTGCAACAATTCCGCGTCGTCCAAGTACAAATCCCGGTTCTTCGTGATCACCTCCGCCGCCAAAACCGCAGACACATACATCAATAGGAAGATCAACACCACCGTGTAGGACATCGTGGTCGCGGACGTTAACAGCCCCCTGACCAACATCCAAAGAGACCGGAACGCGATCAGAAGTCTCACCGCCCTGGCCAGTCGAAGTAACCGGAGCACGCGCAACACCAATATCGGCCCCAGTTCGTCAGGGGAATGGGAAAACATGATGGGTAGAAACCAATTCGCCAAAATCCCGACACCTACCAAAACCGCGTCGAACATGACCCAGCCGGATTTCAGGCACCGCCACCCGAAGGCGTAGAAGCGAAGCCAGAGCTCGAACGAGTAGATGACCAAAAACAAATGTTCCAAAACGACAAAAGCCGTCGTGTCTTCGTTTTTCACCTCCGCCTGCGTTTCCCACCCGATCGTGACGGAATTCACTAAAATCACGAACCCGATGATCAAGTCGAATTTCTGCGTCAGCAGCAACTGCTGTGCGTAGATCCGCCCTTTTAGCCAGTAAATCGCGAAGTCGCCGGTGAACTTCGTCTTGTGCTGTCGCCGTTCCGCGGCGGCCAGCAACTCGTCCGCATCCTCCAAATCCAGCGCCCCGACCTGTTTTAGCGATAACCCCTGGTCCTGGACCGCCTGTTCAAGCACACGCTTGTCCGTCGTCATTGCGCGCGAGAGGGAGGGAGTACTACTTTTGTTCCCCCCGAGCCGGCTCTTGCCGCTGTCTCCCAACAATGCCGCGGTGTTGCCCCGCGTCAGAATTGCTTTCGGGATATTGGTCTCCTCCTCGTCCTTGATTTTGACCACCTCCCCGTCCGGGCCGATCACCTCGTGCTGCGACAGATGGGACGGTTTTTCCGCGTGCGACGGTGCGGAGCCCAGTAACCCCGCGAGCAGCCCCTCGCCCGCGTGGTGCGGGTGGGAGTCCTTGCTTTCGCCGTCAAGGTCGCTGGGTCCTCGTTTCGCAAATTCCTCGTCCTGGAGCTTTTTCAGCGCCGTGGCCTCCGCCTCGGCCTTCAGCTCAGAAAGCCGCTTCTTCTGGTCCCCGGGCGACATCACCGTGGGGTGGTAGTCTGGCGGCTCCAGGCTGCGGGGCTGCGTTTTCTTGCGCTGCATCCCCGGGACCGCGGGGGGCCCGGTCTCCGAAGCGCGCCCCATCCACATTGTCATTTCAGAAAGATCGATGAGATTTTTCGGCTTGTTCTTCGAAGTAATGTAGCAAATTAAGCAGACAACCACGAGGAGTACTGAGATGCTTGGTAAATTGCAAATGTCCGCATACCGAAAGAAAATAATCCTCTCGAGAGATATAATTTTTCTGTGCGTGTTGAAGAAGGCTCTGCGCAAGAGCAAGCGACAGTTACGACTCTCAACGAAAACGATATGTAGCAACGACGAGTCTATTTTTTAGAAAACGATCATGATACGATCCAACGAATCTTCGATAGCCCTGCATCTGCTCCTGCGCCTGCCCAGCGCGTCCCAGAGATTGCTATAAACGACAAGAACATGTGCGATAGGCGTAGGTAGTTCCAGTGCGGTGGAAAGCAGCAGCGTCTCTCTTACGCGATACTAAAGCGTTCGAAGCGATCCCTGATAAAAGGTCGTATGAGAGAGGATACTTACTAGGAGGGCCCTGATGTTGTAAGGTAGAAGGATCCTGAACATCTATGATGATGACCACATTCGTGAGATAAGGCATTAACCTTTCTTGATCAGTACCGACATTTTTTCTCTGTCTCTGACTGCAAGGTCTAGCTGCAAGTTCGAGCAGTTTACATGAAGTCGACCTATCTCCGGAGTACTTAGAACACAGAGTGAAATCAAACTTTCTCGCGGGGAGTACAGTACTGCTTCTTCATGGAGAAATATAAACAAAAAGACCAGCGGTGCGGCTTTCCCGCAGTCTGAATGGAACCTGATGAGTCCTCCTGTGTATGAAACTTAGACTTATTCAAGAAAGGCCGCTGTGAAAGCAGCTTGCAAATAATCTCTCTGTCCAGTTTATTTTTGCCTGTGTCGAAAAGTTCTTTGAGAATCTTTTGAGAAGACCTCGAAACACAACTCTTCTTGACCAATGTGTAATATCTTTCTCTTCCGAAGAACGCAAAATCGTCCGGAGAACTTTCGCGATTTTTGCAGGAATTTTTGTTAATAGTTTTATCAAGTCTGACACCAAGTTGATAGATTGATACGTTGGCTTCCAAGTTCGAAGAAGCTGGCATTCATGCGCCCCGCCGATTAATGCGATACTCCCTCCTCTGCTTTGGCCTACACCACCAGCGGCCGCACGTTGTCGGACTCGCCCTCAAACCTCCGCATGAAGTCCCCGACCTGTTCCCGCAGCTCCGGGTCCTGCTGCTCAATCGGCACACGGAGCAGGCAGGTGCCGGTATCCCTGCCGGTTCCGAGAGAGATGCGGCGCTTCGTCGCGGCGTCGGCTTCCGTCAGCTCCGCGAGGAACGAGAAAGTGAAAATCAGCAGCCGCCGTGCCGGCGCGTCCTTCCAGTCTTGGTCAAACCGGCGGAGGCAGAAGGAAAGCTCCTCGCAGCCGCCGTATTTGAGGAACACGAGCCCCCGGTTGTCGCCCTTCGCGAGGAGGAGGCGAAGGACCTGGGATGGGAAGTTTGTAAGAAATAGATTAATTTTGAATTTTCTATACGTGGCGCAATTGGCCTGCACCTGCTATGAAAAAGGAGTTGGCATGCTAAATCAAATTCATCACGCACTGTACCTTCAATATGTCCACGGAGCAGTCCGCGTGCATGGGGTGCGCCCGGATGAGCCGCAAGCACCGCTGGATCATGAGGTATTTCATCATCTTGCCACTGATCACGTCGTCCGTTTGTATCCCCTGCAGCAACCGGCAGGCGTAGATCACCACGTCCACGCTGCGTTCGTACTGAACGAGAATCTTCCCACAAATCGTCTTGATCAAGTCCATCTCCGGCTCGAATTCAATCACCATCTCGGGTGGGAGGCCGCTGTGATATTGTTGCTCATGGTCCTATGTGCACGACGCCAAATCAGTGCATTGATTTGATGCAAGGATGTCCCTTTTTTCTACGGGCAAAGCTACTTTTCAACGAATACCAAAAAAATGCTATCATTTTTACCTGAGATTCTTGAGCGCCTCTAGCGTTATTCTCTCCCGTTTGCTCCCAAACGTTCGCAACGCCGCTACCGAAACCCGCATGATCTGCTCGGTACAGGCCTGCCAACACGACTTGTCACGGCAAATGGCCTGCGTCGTGTCCAGGAGGGACAGCGAGAGCTCCACCTTCATCGCCATCTCCCACGACTCGTAGGTAACTTTGGGTACTTTGGTCGACCGCTGGTGATGACCCTTCTTCTTGCTCGCGGACCCTTGTTGCGCACCGGCGGAGGATTCTATGCGAGTTAGATACAGTTAAGTTGTTGGGGGCACATCATCGATCAGAGACGAGTCATTCCAGGAGCGAAGAACGAACAACAGAAAAAGATTTAGAAAATAAAACGACTTACTGCTCGTCAACATGGTCCCCTGCGTGGAGGAGTGCTGCGTTCTTTTCCCGCTCGGGCTACTCAAGGACTCTTGGTCCCCGCCCGCCTTCCCTGGCGAATTGAACGCCGCACTGGAGGAGCAAACCCGGTCCCACGAATCAAACAGAGACGCGAGCATGTTGTTCGGAAGCGACCCGATTTTCTTCGTGTTATTCATGAACAAAGTCGCCGAAAGCGCGTCGGGGTCGTCAAACATCTCCGAAACGCGCGTGTCCAGCTCTTTCACGGGCGACACGGCGACAACCAAATCCTCCAAGCCTTCGACCTCAAATTGCGAGTGCGACCCGGCCATGCTGGTGACGATCTTCGCCGCGGCTTGCTTGCTCGGGGAAGCTTTGGGAAGCTTGGCAGCGCCGGGGGTGGTGCCGTCTTCAGGCCTGCGGATTTTGATTATTTCGCTTACTTCAGAAAAAATTTGAGAAATTTCTGGCCCTGTAGTGGTCGTTCCTTCTCCTAACGGAATGAACAAAATGTTGTCATTCAATCTGACAGACCAAATTCCATTTGTACTTCGGCACTGCTCCCTCCTGCCTCTTGCTGTAGGTCGCGATGACGTAGGTGAGCCGGCGCAGGACGTGCGTGTACATGTCTTCCTCATCGTCCAGCATTCCTTCTGTAGCCGCGAGCTTCTTCAGCGCTACCCGCAAGACCGCGGTCGCAGACCGCAGCAACATGCCATCTGCGAAATCTTCCTTCAGGTCCGAGAGGAACAGAAAACCTTGTTGATGTTTTCGTTTTACACTACATGATCGATGCCTCGCCCTCCGTTTGCTCGTTGAGCAAAGAAACACTCAAACATTAATATTGCTATTGCACATGCAAATATACAAAATCAGTACTGAAGTCCAGCACGTCCTTCATCAAGGGCCGGAGGTTCAGTTGTTCCATATTGGCCAGAAAGTAGTTCGATTTGAAAATCGCGGTCAACGTTTGGAAGCCCTCCTTCAGAAACGCCGTCTCGTCGCTGTGGTGCGATACTAGATGGAACAATAAGTGCAACGCGTGATCTTCCTTGGGGACCACCTCCCCGCTGTCCCCCGCGACGTGCGTGTCCTGCTTTATCCTCCTGGGAAGCATGATCTGCGGAATCGCCATCTCCGGCATGCACGTGCACAGTGCGCGGATCGCCCGCCAGCACCCTGTTTGCAGCGGGGCGGAGACAAAATGGTACTTGCTCGCTCGTAGTAACAGGTCGACCGAGGGTTTCTTCAAAATGGTTTCCTGATTCTCCTCGACCAAACAGAGTCTCGACATCGCATCCGCAGCCTCGCTCGCGACGGTCTCGTGGAGCGCGAGCAGGGGAAGAACAAGGTCGACCGCGTAAAGGTCACTGTCAGAAACCTGTTGCAAGCACTGCAACGCGTCCTCCACACTAACGAAATTCCCGCAGCCGTACTCGAGAAGGAGCTGCGCACTGGCACTGCTCTCGCGCGTCAGCGCGCTCTCTAAAGCCTCGGTCCAAAAAAGCGTGAAAAAAAACTGTTGCTTCACCTGGATGGATTTCGGTGAGCGGTCGTGTTGGGGATGGGCCAATGGACGTTTCGGACTATCAAGATTTTCCTCAGTATGATCACAACATAAAAAAGCATAACTTCGATTTCACCGATTACTAAGAAAAAACCGTGAAGCAGTACAAGTTCCGGCCTTCGCATTTCTGCTCCCGACACGGATAGTGCGCGCACCGAATCCACTATGTCGTTGCTCAAGTCTTCGGCGGTGTTCAATGAATTTTGTCCGCCAGGACCACCACCGTCCTGCTCCGACCCCATTCCTAATCGCGATTCCAGCGTCACCTGGTCGAATAACCGCTTGGCCGCTTTCCAGTCGCCTTCTTCGAGGAAAAGAGACGACGCGTCCTGGAAGCGGGCCCGGGCTCCCTTGGACAATGCCGGCACCTGCTCGGCGTAATCTTGCAGCCAATCCTTGTACGTCTTCGGCTTCGTAATGAAAGGCGCGGTGGACGACATGGCGGGCAGAGAGCCGACCTCCGGAAACCCCGGATCGGCCCCGGGTGAAGCTGCTGCACCGGCCGCGCCGGGAGAGGAAGGCATTTTCGGGGTTTTCACTTTCAAGACGTCGTGTACCTTAATCGTAATACCGAGGTCGCGGCGGCGGCAAACAACAGTCAGGCTCTCATTCGCTCATCTTTGCACCCCGGCAAGGCGCTGCAACGACGGCCGCGCCCGCAGCGGAGTTGCGGGCTTCGCTACGGTCCGTTCGTCGAAAAGAGCTTGAAATGGTTTTCGACAGTCGGTTCTGAGCAGGCAGGGACGCAGAAGAAAAAGGCAATCACGCTCTTGCTCCAATCTGAACTCAACGAGAGGACACCACGACGTTGAGAGTAAACGATAGAACAAAGTAGACGACTACGATTTTCAACATTGTTGCCACACAATCTCGGTAAGTAGTGCGCAATCTCGGTAGTAGTGGCAAAAAACTCTACTTGCCACAAGCAGTGTTCCCACTCACAACGAGAAACGACAACAACGTAAGACCCAAACACTGCGCACGATCGATCGCTCGTTTCCGATAAGAATCTCTTAGTATCACCCTCCTAGAACAAAGCATGGCGTGTCTGTCGATCCCAATCGACTGCGCACATATCGTGCTGTTTCAGCTTTTGATTTCAGTCTGTCGTTCACGTTCTTACCAACACCAAGAAAAGTGGCGATAATAAATTGTCGTCTTTGCAGCATGTGCCGATTTCGTTTGACAAAAGCTCCTCAGGAGCATTCATCTTCGCAATTTCACTTTCTCACACCCCCTCCGCCCTTCCCACCGGTCTTACTTGCCTTGGCGCTCATCCGCTTGTCCCGCCTTGCCTTCCGACGGTTCTGCTTCTCCACCGCGGCTATTTCCAAGGCAGGAAGCTGGTCAGAGGGCAAAGCTGTCAGATCTTGTACTTGTTTGTCACCGCACGATGAAATACCATCCAACACCCGCAGCTCTCGTTTTTCTAGCTTCAGCCACCCGTGTTGTTGCGCGTCGTCCATGAGCAAAAATGCGGCTTTGGCGGACAACTCCGGAAATTTTTCGACGATCTTGTCCTTCAGCAAACCGCGCTTGATCTTCTCGTTTCTACTAGGGGCGCCTTTCTCACCAACAGCGAGGTGCAAAACGTTTCCTAGCACAAACGCCGCCAGCGCCCGTCGCTCGTCGAGCGTCAAGGCGGCTCCTGAGGCAGTCGGTTTCTCCGACGGAGACGCCGGTAGGTCTTCAGGATCTGAGCCTGAAGCCATATCATCGTCATCGTCTCCTTCAGAGTCATTGGCTTCACCGTGGCAGGTGTTCTTCTGCAGCACTATAAGATTTTCCCTTGCCTGTTTCTGGTTTTTCACCAGCTTCGGGATCTCATTCAAAACCCTGTTGAACGCCTTTTTCACGCCTTTTGGAGCAGCGTTTGTGCTCGGCCCGTAGAGAACCTTGCCGGTCTTGAATGCGGCTTCGAGTAGCGTAACGCTCGCGTCGTAATGCTCGGAATTCTGTTCTGTTGCGGGAATCTTCTTTGCTGCAGCTGTAATGACTTCCTGCAGAGTTGCAGCAACCGCTGCCAAATCCTTGCCAGTGACCAGAGTCTGCAGCTTCGCGAGCAGCTTTTCGTCGCTGGGGGAGGTTATTGTGTAATCGGGTGTTGTACCACCAACAGGCACAACTGCGTGCCCGTCACCCTGCTCTGCGGCCGCCGTTGCAGCTGGAGCGGCTTTCCCTGCAACCTCCTGCTCTGCCCCACCTTTCGAGGAGGTCTCCCTTTCTTGCGCACCAGCACAGCCACCAGCTCCGGATGAAGCAGAAGCATTCGCCGTCGCACCGCTCGCGGACGCCTTAAACTTTTTGTCCAACACCGCTTCTTCAGAAAAGGGGTCGAAGATGTCGCAAACTGACGCGTGCTTGCCGTAAAAGATTTCGCGCATGCTGAACTGCAACAATTTCTCGTGCGGCGGCTGCAGTAATTGTTCTCTGAACAAATAGTGTTTCGGGAAAACTTCGGCAAGTAGGAACGCTATTTCTTCGGCCCGGGACGACTGTTGGGTCTGTGTGTGTTCATCTACAGGCCCAGGCAGCTTTTCTTTCGACGTCCCGTCATCATCAAGGCAATCTGAACCGAAGGCATCAGAATCAAGGGATTCGTCGTCACCATCGACGTCTGCCATTTTGTTGACGTCAAAACCGTCTAGACTACTTGCATCATCCTTCACGCCAGCATCGCCCCGCACGACCGGCGACGCCTCAAGTTCTTTCTCGAAAGAAAATTGTAAAGGACCTGGATGACGAGTCGTAGCCGTGTCGTCACCATCATCTTCTCCTCCCAGTAGCCACTCCGACACCGCTTCGCGCAGCAAACTTGCGACAGTGGCCTGACAGTCTCTATTCTCCTCTTCGTCCTCGCCTGCACAGTACACCGCGTCGTAAAATTTCTGTCGTACAGTCGCTGCGAGTTCGGATTCGCCGGAATCTTCGACAAGTTTCTTCGGATTCACGCTCAGATTGAACAAAATCTGGTAGATATCGTCCCGCAGCTTCTCGTAGGTGAAGCAGTAGCGGAAGCAGTCCAGGATGTAGCTCTGCATTTCCTCCTTGTCCTGCGTGTAATACGTCCCGCCCTTGACCCCCTCGAGCAGAGCTGTGCGGAGGAAAATGGCGAGACGGCTTGGGCGGGGTTTCGTGTTGCTGCTTTTCGACGCGTCGGAGTCGCAGGGTTGGAGCGCTTGGATAAGCTTCGTGAATAGTTTTTCCCTGTCATCCTCCCTGCAGGAAGCTGCGTACTTTGGGAATTTTTCCGTGAAGAAAGAGTTGAACTCCGCTTCGTCGCAGACGATTTGAGTTGGCGTGTCATCCGCCTTCATCTCTCCACCCGGAGATGGTCGCCATATGGCTTGCTCCAACAAAACGCAGGCTCCGCCCACGGGCTCCGTTTTTTCCAACAGCCGGTCCTCGTCTCGCAAAACTTCTTGCAACAGAAACTTCTTTGCCAAAAACTCACTGTCGAAAAGCAGCGAGGCAATTGGCACGCGGACGGAGGACTTCATGGTAGCTGCTCGCTCTTGCGTTTCCTTTTGATCTGCCATTGATGTCGTGAAGACACACCGGCCCCATTCCGTCGCTTCGTAAACGTAGTCGGCGTAACGATCCTCGGACGATGGACTGGCTTTGGCAGCTGTGTCAACATCCGATGATAGTGCATTCCGTTTGTTCTTTCCGTCGCTGCCCGCCGAGCTACCAGTGCTACTCTTGCAGTCCGATTTTTGCACGCCGCCCACCGGCTTGTTCTTACACTTTGCCATTTTTCTCAATAAATTGCACCAGGGATTATACCCGAGATGAAATCAACGAGCTTCAATTGGTGCTAGATGGTCCACTGTCTGAAATGTCAGCCGGAAGGGATCGATCGTCGAAATTCATGACCATGAGGCGCCACCTGATTACGGACGGGATCATCCAGAAAAAAGATTTCTTGAGAGGATCTTCTTACTTGTGCCGAGGTGGTAGATTCTTTACTTTTCGCTTGTGCTTTGCGTTTTGCAATTCCACCTGACAGGATCATTTCTTCTTTAAGCGAGCTTGGTCTTCTGAATGAACGGAGATGCGTCATACAAACCACGATTTTACACTTTCTTGAGCTTCCTTTTCTGATTCATCTGGATCGGAAATATAATTTATCACAAGGATCTTTGTTCTCCCTGTTACAGCAGTCGACTACAGGTTGCTAGAAACCGCTCGATCTTCTGTTCGTCCGTTCACAATCCGTTTCGCACCGGACCAGGCCGACACTTAACTTCATACCGACGCTCAGCCCGTACGCCAGTCTCCTCGATATATCCAGAATGGCACTGCGGTTCGGGTTTTGGGCATTTTTCGCTTTCGCTCGCGATTCATACTTTCGTTGGATCTACTTTGTGTGCACATTTGTACGCAAAAATCACGACCGCGGCAAACAAATTCTGTACGTAACGTGCAGTAATAGGATTCAAATGCTTCGGCAAAAAAAAGTAAGGATACGAATGCATAATTGCAGGATGTCAGCTCGAGCGATCAAACTTCGAGCATCCCAGACTGTATTTTCATTCCATATGCTGAATCACTTTCAGATCCAAGAAAACATACTGCACACGGCATATTCGCGATGATGTTGATACTTCGCATTTTCATTCTAACGCGTCTTGCGTGAAAGCCTCATGAAGACCAAAACAACGGATTTCCTTCAACTTGAAATTGCTCTCCAGCATTCCGTAGAAATTAGTCGTAGAAGGAGCTGTGACTCAACAAGGGCGGCAGCTACACTAAAAAAACTTCACCCCCGCCCTACTCCTCACGACCCTTGTGCCTTCTTACTGCCAGCCTTCTTGAACGCTTCAATGGCCATCAGTCTTGTTTTCTTCAAGTCTACCATGGGTGCATAGTATTTGAACTTTCCACTTTCCACGCCTGCTGCTGTACCCGCCGCGGATGAAGAGGAAGCACTATTCCCTTGTTTCTCCAGCGCCTTTTTGTTCACAAACAGCGGGTTTACCGCAGCTAGATTCAAATTCCCTTTCGCCGCCGCTGCGCCGCTGAGGTACTTCCCGTTGTACTTTTTCTCTTCCCAATTGTGCAGGTCTTTCGTCAACACCCCCGCCACCTCCGGGACGTATCTTTTCGTGTACCCGCACTGGGGATCCACCTTCTGCAACTGCGACTGCGCGTTCATGATGCGGAAATACGGCGAGCCGTCCGCCCCCGTCGAGCTCGACCACTGCCACCCGCCGTTGTTGCTCATGGGATCGTAGTCGACGAGGTGCTGTGCGAAAAATTTCTCGCCGATCCGCCAGTCCTGCAGCAGGTTTTTGGTCAGAAACATCGCAGTGACCATGCGGCACCGGTTGTGCATGAACCCCGTCTGCAGCATCTCCCGCATGCCCGCGTCCACCAGCGGGACGCCGGTGGTGCCGGTTTTCCACTTTTCCAGCGCGGCGTTGTCCCGTTTCCAGTCGATGTCGGCCACCGTATACTCTTTCGTGAAATTCTGGTTGGAGAGCAGCGTCTTGCCGTCCAGTTCGAAGGCTGTAAGTAGGTACAATTTCATTTAAAAGACACTGTACTAATTCGTGAGTAAGAACAGAAGTTAGAGCATCGATTTCCCCCCTGCAAATTCGGAAAAAATCTTCCTGCGAGTATTGTCTGATACCAATTTTTAGTCCAACAGAGTATTACAAGAACTTCTGTCTTGACAAGACCAAGTACCTTTCCCCTGCTGCTTCCCGAGCGAGCAGGTTCGCATCCCGGCGAGGATCCAGGGATGGTGCAGGGTGACGTATTGGTAGAAGTCCCGCCAATACATCTGGCGCAGAAAGCCCTCCTTGCTCGTCGCATCGCTGTCGGCGCGGCAGGTGACAAGCACAAAGGCCTCCCGCGCGGAGATCAGACCAAATTTGAAGTGCGGGCTGAGCAACGAACACTCCTGCTCCACGCGGTCGCGGTTGCTCAGATATTGATTGAACGGGTACGTTTCAAGTCGATGCAACGCGGCTTTCCGCGTCGCCGGCACGTGGACGCCGAGCTTGCGTTTGGTTTCACCACTAGATGGTTTCGCAGCTGCGTGTGCGCTCGCCGCACCACTCCCTCGGTACTGCGCCACTAGCGTCGACAAGTCGAAATTGGCGCCCACGGATGGCGCGTTTTTATTGTTCATTAAAAGCTCCTGTTCCGCCTGTTGCAGGGAATAAGATGCGCAAGTAGAAAAACTAATTTTCGGGACCGCAGTGGTGAGCAAGTGTTTGTCCACGTCGAATTTTCCTTTCAGAATCGGTTCCAAGGCCAGTTTTTTCGCCGCGTTGTAAAAAGGCGTGAAAACCCGGTACTTCGTCCCCGTCCCCGACCTCAAGTCGTGCAAGCCCCCTTTCGTGATGTTGTGATCCTCTATTGCGTGAAACGGCACTTGCAGCTTCTCCAGCTGTTCCTTCAGGCCCTGCTCCCGCAGTTTCGCGTACGGCGTGTAGTCCTCCGCGATGCTGACGTAGGTAACGGACTTACTCTCCTTCCGTAACGCCTCCACTAAGCGGGTAAGAACATCGGTATGCTTGCCGTAGAACACAGCTAATTTTTGCTTCAAAGCGGTGTTCAGGTCGTGCAGCGCGGCGAGGAGAAAGGCGAAGCTGTGGCTGCTGAAGTAGTCGCTTTCCTTCGTCTGCTCGGGAGTGAAGACGAAGATGGGCAGGACCTTGTCGCATTTTGCGAGATTTGCAACTAACGCGCGGTTGTCCTCGATGCGAAAGTCCCGGGTGAAAATGTGGATGCCGATGTTGGTTTGCGCAGATGAAGAAGCGTCGACTTTGGCGCGTTTTGCAGCCGAAGAGTCGCCCGACTTCGCAGAACCGGTGCTGCTGCGCTTCATGGTTCTTTTTGATAGCAAGAATGTTGCGGCGGTAGTAGGACGAGAAGTCAATACGTCTGTATCAATAACTCGCAAGAGTGGCGAAAAAGATAAAGAAGGGATTGCACTGTAACTACGTCGATTATCATCTAGTATTACTTCGAGCGACTTCCTTGGCATCAAGCCCAATGATGTTCTGCGTAACAAGTGTGTCTGTAATGCCGCTAGGGGAAAGGTCTTGTTCGAAACAGCGGTGTAAAAATTTTTTCGTAATAAAACTGGAGGACTCGTGAAGGGGTGACGTGCGCATGTTGCTGATGCGATACAAGGGGGCATATGAGCGTACGAGTAGAATGGTGAGAATGATGGAGCCTGAAGTTGTGTGTGTCATCAGTCAATTCCGCAGTCTGATGTGAAACTGGGTATGGTACACCGCATTCACGCCTCATAGTCCCCGCACACGGCAACAAACGTGTCTGTGGGATTGGTATGGCGGCGTAAAGGTTAGTTGCACTTGCATATGAATGAGTAGTAGTTCATGAATCTAAAATCTGCACCACCTTCCAACTATGCGTCGCTAATAGGTGAAGCAATCCGCCAATGTTCTTGGCTTTCAGCCTTTACTGAACTTCAAGTCTGGAATAGCATGATGAAATTCGCCTCCAAATCAGTAGAATATTATACCCATCATCGTTGCTGATTTCTTGAAGAACTGGTCCACAGATGACTGTCGAAAAAGTATAGGAAACAAGTACAAGTTGTTTGAAAAATGCAAAGAAAGTTCCAGTCTTCGTTGCTAGGCAACTGCATTCTGACATCGTTACCCTCGGTATCTTCTACAACGAATGGCGATCATTTAGTCCATAGAACTTAGCACGCCGCTCTCTGCCTTCATAGACACAAACAAATAAATTCGATTTTTCTCGTCAAAAGCAGGGGTAAAAATCATACCACGGTCCGGCCTTGCCTATCAGCACCCCTTTGTTCAAAAAACCACAGCGTTCTTCTGGCCGCGATCACGCATCGGCCGGCATCTGGGATCGGTTCACCTTGGTCTTGTCCGTGACCGTCTTTCGGCACAGTGGGCACGTGCTCAGCGACTCGTGCTGCGCGCACGCTTCGCACGCACACTGATGACCGCATGGCAGGAAAATGATATCGTGTTCTCTGTCGCAGCAGATCAGACAGGTCTCCGGATTCTGCTCCTTCATCTGCGCAATGCGTCGCTTTGCGCGTGCAAGTTTGTCTGCGATCTCCTGGCGCCGGCGGTGCTGCTGCTCGACGAGCGGCACTGCGGTTCCCCCCAGGAGGCTCCTTGCCCCGTTAACAGAGCCGCGCATCAGACGCGCGTACAGGGACGCTGACAACGGCGCCGTCGCCGTCCCATCGTGCTCGAGCCCGATCGAGATTTTTGCTGCGGCAATCACCAAGTCGGGGCGGAGCAGCGGGGGGTAGAGCCGATATTCCGCAGCTGCTAGCCACGGTGCCGCGCCGGCACGCAGCGAGGCAAACAGACCACCGACATTGCCACACCGACGGAAGTTCTCCCGCCCGTGACGCCGATCCAGTTCTGCTAGAAACGAGGCCGGGTCAAAAGTTTCGGGCTCGCAGGCGAGATGCTCGCTCCAAAATTGCAAAAAGCTGAAATTCAGCAGACAGGAAAATGATGCGCGGCTTTCTAGCTGCTCTTGCTCACGTTCTAGCTGCTGCATCGCCTCGTGGATCTCCAGAACGTCCAACACCTGTGCGTAGAGTCAAAATTGCCTATTGGTATTTTTTCACCATTCTACTTTAGCGACAGCAGTGCGATCAATGCGACAAAGCGTCGAAACAATGATGATCCTGCTGTTCAATGGGACCGAATTACTTACTCAACATTTTGAAACTGCACATTCATCATGAACATTGTGGTGATACAGCCGTGGTTTTTTGACACAGAAAAACATGCGAGATACGGTGTCAGTGGAGTCGAAGATTCTCGCCGAAGCTGCGAGAAGTTGTTGCACACGCTGAAACCAGGAAATGTCTCCCAAATCCAGAATTTGCAGGATGCGCTTCGCTTTCTCCTTCGGGTCGCGGACGTCAGCGCACTCCTGCAGTGCTGCAAGGCCTGTCTGAAATGCGTCCAGCACGGAGAGATCGCGGTGTTCCGGCGGTACGGTGTCTTCCGGCAGGACCGGGAAGAGGCTGCTCAGACCGCGCATGTGGGCGTGTCCGTCGACACCCACGGTCGACGTGAAAAGGCTCGGGTTGAAATAGGGCGCCAGATTGTGGAGATCCACATTGCGACAGGATATGCCGGTTTTGTGGTGCCCCCCAGTTGACTCCTGTTCGGCGCCGGATGCCGACGTGAGGCCCGGGGCATAGGTGGCAGCTACGTGCGGGGCGAGAAAGCTATCCAGCGCCAGTCGCACGTAGTGTGTATCAACCAGCTGGGGCCGACTAGGTGCAGCAAGCAAGCCCGCAGGCTCGGGCGATGCGTTGTCAGAGACGACAGAGCTCTGAGCGAAGCCCCGACTGAGGGCCGCACGCACCGCGTTGGCTTTCATGATGGTTTGCAGAGAGATTTGATCAACCACTCTCTTTTCCGCGTCGCAGCACCTGAGCGGTAGCTCCCCGCTCAGTGAAAGATCGCCGAGCCGAAGTCGCGTGATCGCACCTGTCGCTAATTCGAAATCGACTGCCAAGCTGTACTCCTGCGGGGCAAAACACAAACACAGCTTGGTGGCAAGTAAACTGTCCTCGTCGGCAAGCAACGTGACGCCTTCCACGCGGCTGTTTTCAATCGCTTGCGGTCCCATAAGACCGAAGACGTCTTTCTTCGTCACTTCTTGTGTATTTTGTACCACTCTACTAGCAAAGACCCCCACAAGAACGCCCGGCTTCGGTTTGGCTTCTGCGCTACGCAGCAGCGAGGCGTTCGTCCACGCAGCGACATCGTTTGACCCGAGAGCTTTATCCAGAGCCTCCGTGAGGCACTGGTCGAATCCCGTCGCAACTGCCATCGCGCACGGATTTTTGTTGGAAGCACAATACGCCACACGCCTGACTTGCTGCTTGCAAACCAGCGCGTCTCCTAGGTCGAATGGTGAATATGCCGCAAGTGGTCGTGCGCTGGAGAAAATATCATTCCGGTCTGCAGAAGAATTCCTTTGCTGTGCACAAGCGAGAGCCTTTCTGAAAGCAGCCGAACCTCGATTCAACTCCTTCTGGTTCGCTGCATTTTCCGCCGTCGACAGCATGTCCTCGGGTGCGAAGAGCTCCCACTGAATCTTCAAGCTGCTGGTCGGCCGTCCGAGCACGATTTCCTGATACTCGTCCTTTGTCGCATTGCTCAGTATCGCTAAGTTTGCGCTGAGACCACTCGCCTCGCCCCGCTTGCAGTTCAGGGGAAACCGTACTTGCGCATTTCCCGCACGACCGCTGGCGTACAGCTCGAGTAACTGGCACCCTTCCGGTAAGAACCGCAACTTCGATTTGACGCCACTGTACGCCTGTTTCACTTCCGCTGACAACGCACCTACTTCGGGATCCTGTTGCCCGTGGTCCGCGACTGTCCCCAAGGTTGGCATGTTCGGGCCTCCTGCTCCGCGGTCCCGTCGAGCACAAGACGTCGAGCAGTCCTCGTCGGTTGCTTTGTCAGACTTGGTCTCCGCGAAAACAATATGAACGCGCCCCTGCACGGTCTCGCCGTTCTGTTTACCGAAGCCCTTCCGGCCTTTCTGCCCTCCCTTCTGGGAGTTGTCGGCATCGAAAACGAGCTTCTGGACCTCACAATCCTTTGCGACGGAGCCCAACACTTCGTCTCGAAGAACGCTTTTCCACTTGTCTGCCGCGACAAGCTCTCTCGGCATTTCGATCGGGAGTGTGACGGCGCGACGCGGATCCACTTGGTGCATGGCAACGAGCCGCTGCATCTCTTTGCCCCCCGGGTTTGCTGCCCCCTGTTTTGGTCGCCCGATGAGGAAGTTCGGACTAAACGTCGCCGTAAGGACAGTCAGGAGGACTTCGACGGGCGCGGCAAACAACGAGCCGATATGCGTTGCGGTGTTTCTTTCCCCTACGCTCACTAATTCCGGGTTCAGCACTGCTCGCAAAACCTCCACTTGGAGAAACATCTCCGACTCCGCGTGCAGAAAGGGTTCGATCCGATCCAAAAGCTCGACGAGCTTCACCAGGAGCACAACCAACTTCTTTGGCACAATGGCACCAGCATACTGACTCGCAAAGCGCTTGGAAAACTGCCAGAACAAGCTGTACTGCGTGTGCGGCTGCAGCAGCTTGCGGCGCTCGGCTCTCAACCTCGCAACTTCCTCCAGCGAGTCGGCGTATGCTTTCTCGAGCATCTTCCATTCTGCGTCCGTGTACCAGCCTATGAACGCTTCCCCAGCTGCCGGACGACCAGCTTCACCCTCAGAAGCGCGAGATGCGCGACCGCCGGATCCGGCCTTTCCGAAAACAGACACGCGCACCTTCTCAGCTACTGAAGAGACTTGCTGCAAAATTCCGGAGTTCTGTGCAGGTGTCTCTTCCACGGGGACCTCTGTTACACCTACTACCACTCCCGTGCCGCTGTCAGTAGAGCTGCTACTACCGTGGTGTCCATCTTGGCTCACCGGCTCCTCGTGTACATCTTCGTACGTGAGATCGCTTGTTGCTTTCTGCAGCGAGCTTTTCGATGCTCGTTTCCAACGCCCATGCATTTCAGAATACAGACGGCCCTGCTTCTGGTTTTCTTTCAGCAGGTGTTCCTCATTGATACGCAGCTGCTCCTTGATTCGATCGGCCTCTGCGACTTTGTACCGCGCGAACTGCACCAGCCACTCAGCTAGCAGGTTCCGCAGCATGAGCGGCTCGGAGCACGCCCCTGCGTCAAATATTCTTCGCACTGTTGCGGAGGCGCGGTTACGCTTTCCAAGTTCCGCATCGTCTTTAATGACAAGGTGTGACGGCTGCGAGAACGGCTCCGGCTGCGATAGGCCCACAACCACAAGTAGAGCGTCTGGCAAACAGCCGAAAAGAGCCCCGTCCACGATCAGCCGGCACAGCCGCGCATCAATCGGCAGCGCTATCATGAGGTGCGCGAGAATGGTCGGGTCTGCATCGTCGCCAATACCGGTCAAGGCCCCCATTTGAGAAAGGGAATCCACGGAGTGCTCGAGCTCCTTCAAGTCAGGAGGCTCCGGAACCAGAAGCAAAATTTCGCGCGGTTGCAGTTTCTTCGGCCGCTCCCAGCGGCTAGCCGCCGGCTGGACGTTGCTGGAGACCACGCTTGTTCTGGTGGATTGGGAAATCGGCGTTTGCGCTGGGAACTCAAGCTCTTCTTGTGTCGCGCGGTCCGCCGAGCCCGATCCGCTAGCTCGCCTTCCGTTCGAGGAAGCAGGCGGTGGGCTCTGCAGTGAAGGAGTGGCAACATGATCGGAATGCGAAGACGAAATCCCGGTGGAGTTCGACCTCGACGCACGGCCGCGTACTCCATCCGAAATTGCAGACACTCGTCCCCGATGAACACGCCTCCATTCCGGTGGGAGTGGCAATGGGGGTAGGCGCTGCGACAAAAATTTCGCTTGCATGTACGTCTTCTCAAGGCTGGCCACCTGGATTTCGGGCGGATCAAAGGGGCGCCGAGAGTTGAAGAGCCCGCGGCTCATGAGGCGAACACACACTCCGGGGAACACGCGGCCCGCGCGGCCGGCTCGCTGCTCCATCGACGCCTGCGAAGCCCACACATCTTCCAGGACCGCCGAGTGCTTGCTGCTGTTGTAGACCTGCTGCCGCTTCAGCCCCAGGTCGATCACTACGCGCACGTTCGGGATCGTCAGAGAGGATTCGGCGATGTTGGATGTTAGGATGACGTGCGCCGTGCCTGGCGGAGGTGGCAAGGAAACCGCACGCTCCTGGTCCTCCTGCGGTATCGTCGAGTGGAGTGGGAACACCTCGTAGGTAATGCCGGGGTCAAAGCCGTGCCGGTTGTACAGCGAATAGCTCGGGTCTTCATCGATGTACCACGCGAGATGCTCGCTGAGCTCCGTGATCTGCGCGATGCCGGGAAGAAAGATCAAAATGCTCTCACCGCCTTCAGCCAGATCGCGCACGAGATCTGTTATGCATTCCTTCCAGTGGCTCGGGGGTTCTGGCCTCCTCGTCGTGCTCGCACGACGGCGATTCGCTCCTGCTGTCGCGTCGCCGTCGTCTTCACCCTGTCCCTGAAGATGATGGGGGCCGCGAGATAAGTTCTCCTCCGCTCGTAAAAACTTCTCCTGGAGCCAAACGCTACGTTGGCGCCCCTCAACCTCGATGCGCAATTCTGAGTACTTCCGATCAGAGTGCCGGCCGTCCGTCCAGTCGTCCAGGTACAGCACCTGCACGGGAAAGCGCTTTGCCCCCACGGCTATCGGCTGGACAGTAGGCGCCGGCACGCCGGGTCTCCGCTCCGAGGGGCCAGAGATCGAGTTCAGCTCCCCAAAGTATTGCGCAAACAAGTTGCCCTGCAACGTAGCGCTCATGACAATGAGCTTGAAATCTGCAACAAGGGCGAACAGCCGGAGGATTAAGCTGGCGAAGTCCGCGTCGATGCTGCGCTCGTGAACCTCGTCGAGAATGATGTGCGTGAATTGCTTAAGCCGCGCCGGGTTTTGTACGCTGCTTTCGAGCAGGTGCCCCGTGGTGCACAACAATATCTCGGTCTTGTCGGAGTCCCGCGCAGAACCCCCAATGCGGTACCCCACAGATCTACCGGGCCCTTCCTCCCCCAGCAGCACTGCGATACGTTGCGCTAACGTCTTACACGCCATTCTCCGTGGCTGCGTCATCAAAATGCGCGGTTTCCGGTGACAGCTAGCGTCCTGGAGGTGCATTTCGCGGACGAACACGGGCACTCGGGTGCTTTTCCCACAACCAGTTTCGCCGCGAATGAAGGTTACGCGCTGTAAGGCGATCGTCCTTTGAATGTTCTCCTTGTGTTCGTCGATCGGAAGCGCGACTGTCTGCAGATCCGGCGGCCTGGTGGCTGGCCCTGGTTGTGCTTCGCGGTGTCGCGGGTTCCAGTTCCGACTGTGCGTAGCCGAGTACACAGTTTGGTTGTGTTCTGTTGCCCACCTGGACTGGTTACTGGAAGCGCTAGTGCCATGCTTTCGGTACGAATCGGGAAAGAAATCCGCTAGCGAGGCCGGCTCCCGCATTTCAGGCGCGAACCTCCTCGCGGACTCCGATGACGCTGAGGATCTCCGCCAACTCCCGGAGCTGCAGCTGCTTGTTCCGCTACTTCGGCCCTCGGATTTACAGCCTTGCGATGTAGGTCCTCCTGACCACCGCTTCTGCTTGGAAAACGGTGGAAGTTTGCGGTTCCCGGAGCGCCGCACCGCGGTTCCGTCGCTTTTGACTTCGACATCGCGCGAACCTTCCATTGAAACATCAATGACTGCGGGGAGAACATCGTCTGCGATTTCCAATTTTTTGATGGCATTGCAGTTTCGCAATATTTCCAATGACAGCCAGCCCGCCGGATTTGTCTCTATCTCTTTCCGAAAGAAATCGTCCTTTCTTAGATTTTCATCGCTAAGGTAATACTCGATCTGACGCCGCAGCTGTGCCTGTTTCGCTTCGTCAAGGACGGGCGCAGCTGCTGCGGACGAAGAAGTGCTTGATCTTGTTGGCACTGGAGGAGCACCCGAGCCAACCGGAGGTGGCGTCGTAGAAAGCGCTAAATGACCGCCCGTCGATTCGCATTCGTCAAAAACGCCCCGTAGCAAGCGCATTTCCGTTTCCTTGCATCGTTTCTTCTTCAGCTTGTGTACCCCTTTCGCACGCACCTCGGTGTCGAGTTTGCGCAGTGATGCAGCAATCTCGGGAAAACGCTCGGTGTCGAGTTTGTCGAGCGCTGAGGCATGTGGCCCTTCGTAGTCCTCGTCGTAATCTCTGTATCGCAACACAAAAAGCCCCACGTCGGTCAGAATCTTTCGTACTTCATCCTTGTCTCCGTTTGACACAGCAACGTGAAGTGCTGGCTCTTCCCAGTGCAAGTCGAGACCCATCTTTGCACGCTCCATCGCGTTCCCCTCGCGCGTGACGATGCGGATATCCCTTTCTAGGGCCGGAAACTTCGCGAAAAAGTACGCGTACATGCGCCTAATGCGCGTCCCGGCGCTGCGCCCGCCACCGAAAATATCAACGAGTTCGGGGTACTCGATGAAATGCGCCTCGGCGTTGCGGATCATCCACAAAAGGTCTTGCAGCCCGTAGCCCGACTTCACTTCTCCGGTGTTCCGGTCGAAATGTCCCCAGATCTTCTCCACGACGATACCATCAAGCTCCTGCCACCAGGACTTGTACTCAAAATAGAACTGCCACGCCGCAAACTGGTGGTACTTGTAAGCGCCGTCGCGGTCCTTGCTGGACATGCGCTTGCACAGGCTGAGCAGCTCTTTGTTACGGAGCTCCTCTTCGTCGGAGAACTTTGCATCCTCATCAAGCACGCTTCCGCTCAACGCAGACCCTGTGCTGGACGCGGCGCCATAAGTGGAGGAGGACGAGGAAGAGGAAGGCATCTTTGTGCTAGCATTCACAACTTCGATGCCCCCGTCCTTAGTATCGGCGCAGAAAATTGCACGAACATCTCACGACAAAGAAAACGATAACGAAAAATGCTTTTAGTCATGTACACTAGCGATCGACGCGAAGCTAAATACTGATCTCGGAATAAAATGAATCCAAAATCAGTGGGGATCAGAACTCGCACTTCGCCGCACTGGTCGTCTTGCAGCTGATCTTGTTGGAGAGGATTGCTTTTTTGGAAGAGTTTTTCCCATTGATTTCTTTATGTTTCCCAAAAACCAGGTACATCGTTGATTGCTTCGCCTTCGCGATACTCACGTTGGTACTCCCTAAGAAGTCAGTCTGGGTCGCTAGAGAATATTTGAGAGAAGCAAAAGTAGTCCCTTCTCAAGCGCTGCACACGTCGAAACCACTCTACTTTCCTGGAAGTTCAATCAGAATACCTAAGTCGTATGCGTAGCCCAATAAATCAAAAAGCAAGCGTTCGTCACTACTGCACAGTTTCCTTTATCCTTTCTTGTTTGAAGCAAACGCAAAAATCATGGCTTCTGCCTCCACTTCGTTCTCTTCGACTTCATTTCCGACTCGCCCTCTGGTTGTGCGGGTGGTCCACCCTCCCCGTAATTGTACTGTGCTCCCCCAGAGGACCCCCCGATGTTGCTGTCGTGGTAGTCCATGCCGTGGAACCCGTTTGGCGTCCACCGGTCGTTTCTGTTCCCGGACCCGCGCTTGCCCTTCTTGCCCTTGCCCTTAGCTGAAGAACCGTTGTTGGCAGAAAAGTCCTCGTTTTTGTCGTAGAAGAAGGTTTTTTTCGCGTCCACGATAGGGTTCACGTAGTAGTCCGGAAGCAGCGGCTTAATCCGCGAGTCCACCACTTCCCAGGGGGTGTGCAGTAGCAGCTTGCGCGTCGCCGGGTCGGATTTCGCGACCTGAAATAGAAAAGTTCAAGTTGGCATGGGGACCGGCTATATTTCGTTCGCAAAAATCGCAACTGATGATGTACCCAACTGCGGCAACAACTCGTTGCAAAAATCGCAACCGACATTTGTCTGCACGCAACTACTTTCGGGACGAATCGAATAAAAGAAAACTTGCCTATAGCAAAAGTCAACAGCCATCTACTTGCATCACATCACAACAAGCTACCTCCAGTCCCTCCTTCAGTTCCCAGATCCAGTGTTCCATGAATTTCCCCTCTGCCTCGTACTGCTTGCTCTGTTTCACGACGTTAAACACGTTGTCCCGGGTCTGGAACCCCACGCCCGCGATCGTGATCCAGTTGCCGTAATTTGCCGCCACGTCGTGGTCCAACAGCGCGTGCTCGAAGTACTCCGCGCCCCACCGCCAGTCGATCTTCAGCGTGAACACCAGAAAGCTGGCCACGTTCTGCCGGCCCCGGTTGCTCATGAAACCGGTTTTGCGCAGTTCCCGCATCTGCGCGTCGACAAAGGGGAACCCGGTCTGCCCAAGAACCCACTGGTTGAACTTCCGCACGTCGTTGTCCCACTTCCGCGTCCTGCCGGTCAGCCCGCCTTCGTAAAAGAAGTAGTTCTGGTGCTTCTGGATCGCGAAGTGGAGAAAATCCCGCCACAGCAGCTCGAACACCACCCAATAGGTCGATTCGTTTCTGGTGCCCGTCGTGTCCTCGTACAGCGCCAGCTCGTGGACGATGGTGCGGGGGGACACGCAGCCCGTCGCGCTGTACATGGAAAATTTCGTGGAGTAGTACTTCCCGAGGGAATCGTTCCGGGTCTTCTTGTATGTGGCCACCGCGTGCGTGTTCCAGAAATAGTCCTTTAGACGCTGCAGCGCGGCCCTCTCGCCACCAGTGTAGCTGGGTTTGGTTCCGGGCTGGAGGTCTTCGATCGTCGCCTCAGGGAGATGAGAGGCACGCCGGCTCTGCTCTTGATGTCCATCCGTAGTTTTCTCCATTGTTGCAACTCGCAGCAGCTCTGCCCAAATGGCATCTGCGGAACCTCCATTCACTGGAAACTGTCGGCCCTTCGAAGAAGATGAGTCTTTCTCGACGAGACCTTCATCCCCGAACAAACTTCGCAAGCTGACCACTTGCAACGGTGCTGGATCTCTGTTCCCGTTGCTGTTGTTGATGAGACAACGGGGTGCCACGTCGGCCATCACCGCTTTCTCTTCCGCTATTGCAAGCGACCGCGCGACAGCGGGACAATAGGTCCGACAAAACTCCCACGCGGGCACGGTGTTGGACTCGCGATCTTTTGTTAAACACTGCTCGACGACTTGGCGGAAACTGGTGTATTGGTCCTTTAACACCGGCTTCTTGCCGTCCGCGAAACTCCCGTCCAGGGGCCGAAAAGGGAAATTTTCTTCCGCAATGAGGGTGTCGTCCGTCACCAGGTGCATCTTCGTGGCTTTGTGTCTTTTCGCAATCCGCTCCGCGCTCTTTTCCGCCTTCTCTTCGTAACTCCCGCGTTCCCGCGTGCAGACGATGTGTGCGAAATGATCGCCAAATTTCTCCACAAAACTCGGCAGATCCAGCTCCGAGAGCCAGAGGAGTGGTTCTTCGGACTTGCTTGGCGCAGGGGGTGCGGCAGAAGGCGTAGCACATCTGCGCCGAAGTGTCTGCAGCGATTGTTCAATGTCATCGAAGCAGTCCTTGTAAAACTGTCGCCGCAAGGGCCCACAAGCTGGTAACTTTGTTTCGTTCCCGAACCGACTCCACTCCCGCTTTTTGTCCAGACACGCGACGAAGCACACCGGTAGCCCGAAGCTCCGCGCCTTCTCGATTCCGCGGCTGTCCGACAGTCGCAGGTCGCTCTTGCGAAAGATGTACAGTACTGCGGACTGGGCCGCTCCGGCCGCTCGTGTGGGAGGTTGAAAACCGCTCATGGGGGAAGTTGGAGGCATAGATGTTGAGTGAATCTATTCTTCAAAGTGGATTCACAAAAGAGTCCTCGTGTCACTACTTCTAAAAGAGTACGAATCTAGTTCTTGATCCTGCAGCTGTAACTACGTCTCCCCTCTCAGTCAAGAAGCGCAGCTGGAAGACAACTTTATCAAGTTTTGCGTTTGACAATCATTCCAATAGGTCGTGGTCGGTTCTAACAAGGGAAGTTGCTGATGTCGTGCGTCGTGTACTACTACAGAGCTAGAAAAGCGAGGGGTGTATCAAAGGGTAGCTTACTTAGAATGAAAAATGCGAGCGGGGTAACATCAAATCTGGGTAGTGGACCTGAAAAAAATGTAGTCATTGCTGGGTTGCAAATCTGACGACCCGGAAAAATACGCTGCAAAGATGCGGTTTGGCAAAGGACCCAAAAAGTGGCCTCAACGAAGAACATTGTCCGATCTAGCTCTACTGGTGGTTGACACCAAGACCGATTTTGCATTTGAACTACTGCACCACGTAAATGCTTTTCGAACAGCACCTCTTGCTCTCTGTAGTGGCTCTGAATGCTGCTGCTCATGTTGCTTTCATCTTTCTTGCATTTGCAATCGCACCGAGAACGAAGTCCTGCTGGTGCTTCAAACTTGTCCTCTATTCTCGTGTTCATACGTAACCGCCGTTCGTTGATGAACGAACTACCGGTACTGTTGTGTGTGTCACATTACAGAATCAGAACTCGTTTTCCTCGTCGCTCCTGGCCTCCCCTGTGCCCGACGGGGCCTCCTTCGAAGCAACTGACTCCGCATCCGCGTCGCGTTCCAGCGGTGCGTTCCTTTGCTGCTCTCCTTGACCTTCATCACTATCCACCCCTTCCTGTCCCGCTTCTGCAGCAGCACCCTCTCCCCCGGTCGCAGGTGTGCCGTCGTCGGCGCCGGTGTTGGCGGAACCTTCTCGATGAACATAGAAGTACCAATACCCACCCGAAACCGCCGCTCCGAGGAGCGCGAGCGAAAACAAGATCCAGAGCCACGGAAGGGTTGAGGGCTCTTCTTCTTCCTTCTTCGAGGCGGGTTTTGCTTCGTGCAAGTCGCAGTCAGAACCCTCGCAGGACATACCTGGATTGGGAGGAGATCATGATCAATACCGTTGGAATAGTAGTAATTTTAGCTGGTAATTTGCTGGATGTTACTGAAAATTGCAGACGCAGACGACCACTCACAACAAAAAATCTGCCATAATTCAACAAACATCCTCCATACCTGCAATATGCAGCACGGCGTAGGACAAACTCCAGTCCTCGAACGCTATGTCGAGTAGGTGGCGATTTTTCGTGGAATCCTCGCCCACGTACTCGTAAGGCACCTGCTTCGCGTCGACCAGATTCGTGTTGGTCGAGTTGAAATGCACGACGCACGAAATTTCCATGCGAAAAGAGTTCGCAACATGCTCAGCAGATTTTTGCACCTCGACGGCGGAGGAAGAGGCAGCAGGCGTGCCTTCCGTGGTTATCCCCTGTTCTGCGTCCACGGACGCACGTTTGGCATGAACATTGCCACTTGTGGTGACGTTACGTTCGGCGACGAGCAACGCTTGCTTCTTCCCAGTGGTACTTGTCTCGAGCAAAATGGGCTGCACGGGCAAAACGTCAGTCACATCCACTGCGTGAAGGGTCACGTTGCTGTCGTGCTCGAGTAAAATCGCATGCACACCCTCCTCCATCGCACGATAGAACTCTGTCGCTCCAACAATCTGCCAGTAGTCGGTTTGCCCCGGGATGCTCAGACTGAGGGACATTTTGAAGGGCCCGTAGCCGAGTTTGGAGGATTCCATCTCAGAAACTGCCCCTGGAGCCGACGATGAAGCTCCGTTGTTTGTTGCTGCGTGTTCAACACGATCATCCTGTGTGTGTTTGCTGTTTTTGTCACCGGAATGATTTTTGCCCGTGCCCCTCTGCGACCTCGTTGCAGTCGCGGCTGTTATCGCTGGCGGAGGAACGTACTTGAAACTTCCGTCGCTGTTCTCCTTCGCTAGTGGCACGTTGTTCTGGCAAAACTCCCGCTTCTCCGGATCCAGGATGAGGTCGAACACCGAGCGCGCGGTCGGCGGCAGGGCGACGTACCGTGGTGTGACTTGCTGCAATCGGACAAAGCACGTCGATGCGGAGTCGTTGGTCAGAGACGGGGCCACGGGCGCGAAAAAGATTTCGCAATCAACTATCGCGTTGGACAGTAGCGACGGAGTAGTTGAGGCGTTATTCTGAAGAACGGTGGTTTGGTTCACAACTCCAGAGGACGAATTCCCGCTGGTATTGGAATTGTTTCCTGTAACATTCAACCCCTGTCCACTCGGCACAATGACTTGAAAGCCTCGACAGTCGTTGTTGGTTATGCAGAACTGGGCACAAACATCTAAGGCACTTGTTGTGTGCACCACCGCTGCACTAGAGGTGTTGGTGCCGGTGCAACTGTGGCTCCCATACGGCTTGAAGAAGGACGCAGGGGCAGTATTGGGCGTCGATTGCTGGCCAGTAGATGCTGGTTGTCCGCTGGGAGTTTTCGTTGCTGCGGTAGAACCGCTGGAAACGGAACTTGGTGACCCTGAAGAACCAGAGCCGCCTGCGCCACCGAAACTGCCCCCGCCGCCACCACTGCCCCAAGAACCAGCACCCGTTCCTGGCCAGAAGGAATACACTGGCCAACCGGTACCGGATCCCCCACCGGGAGAACCAGGATTGTTCCAGCTGCCACCACTTCCGGCCGCGATCGGCCCAATGATATTAGCATTGCCGCCACTGTTCCCGTCATCCGTCTTCACGCTGGTGTGCACCTTGATACTGATCGGAAACCCGCCCGCGCCACCGCCCGCCGTCCAGGTCGTGGTTGTGTTTTGTGTGCTGTTGCCCCCGGTCGTACTGCTCCCGCCTGACGAAGTGCTTCCGGCCGCGACCGTCGGGACGAAAGGCAAGTACGGATCGCCGTTCCGCATGTGGTAGATGTAATGATAATCGGTGGACGGGCGGTGCGGTGAGTAGTAGTAACCGCCATGACTGTTTTTGCATGGCGCTGGGGGCCCAATAGAAGTACCGCTGTCTTGATAAAAATGGTACCCCGGCGGAGGTTTATTTCGAAACCCGGCCGCCCGCGGATCCGTGTTGGCCCACTGCGCTATTTCCCAGTCGCGGAGCGCCTGCGAGTTCCCGTCCGCGCGCAGGTGTTGGTCTGTGTAGGCGTCGCGGGCGTTCTGTTGCGCCCGCAAGTATGCGAAGTACTGATTTTGGTCTCGGACGTTCACGCCATACGGGTCTTGGTAGTTCGGTGAGCGAATCGGAAACGCACTGTGATCCCGCGGACCGAAATTCGCATGTGGTGGTGGTGCGGGAAGTGGCATGACGTCGGGGCAGACACCGGCACCATCGATGTACACTGGTCGGACATTCGCGCCGGGCGCGACGCAGCTGATGCAGTTGTCCGGGCGAGTAGGGTTGCGACTCCAGCCACACTGGCTGCAACTGCGGTGGCAAGCGCAGCCGAAGATCAAGCGCTCGAGGTCATCGAAGCATTGGCTGTACGGGTTGACGGAGTGTCCCGTAGCGGAAACAGCTTGCTGTTGATGCCTCGTCTCCTGCTGCTGCAAACTTTTACTGCGCGCCACAGACGAGGCATGACTTTGTGTAGCTCTTTGATGTCTTGTAGCCAGAGAGGAAACTTCGAGGAAGCTTGTCGCCGCGCCTGCTACGACTTCTGGCGACGTTTCTTCTTCTTCGTCGTCGTAGAAGTCAGAGACGTCGTCAAGGGCTTCCGCTGTCCCCACATTATCTCCGTTGCGAGCATGCGCACGCTGCTTATACGGATAACTGGCAGGAAACGCATTTGCATCCTCGTTCACAATCACATCGCCGCCGCCGCGCCACTGCGAGGCCGAGGATTGTAACCGGAAGGCGTCATCGGCTACTGCAGGGGAGGCCCTTGCGTCACCGCGGCGAGTAGTTTCAACACGACTTTTCCGGTGCGATCGACTGTTTCTAGCTGCAGCTTCATCCTGGGCCGAGGATGAGTCTTGCTCCCTCGATGCAATATCACGTTCTCCTAGAGCGACGCCGTCTTCTTGCTCTCTCCTATGCAACGCCCGACTGATGTGTTGAGGACCCCGAACCGCACCACCTCTTGCTGCAAAGGAGTACGGCTTCTGCTGGTGCGCCGGCGCAAAGTGCACCGGTCCGGGAATGACCGCGAACCAATCCGCCTGGCTTGCCTTCCCGGACAAACACGGCAAGACCTCCTGTTGCTCGACACAAAGGTACTTTCCGCACCCGACCGTGGCGCCGTTTCTACAGTGCAGGCGGATCTTGTACAGGAGCAATCCGGTGGTTGACTTCAACCGCCGCGGCTTCAGCTCGAATTCATAACGCATCGCCTGCGGCGCAGCCCGACCGTCGGTGATGACCCCGCTGGAGAGCCCGACGGCGCCGCGGGGCGGGAGGAGGCGTTGGTCCTGCGTGTCGTAAACCAGATCGCGGGAAAACAGGTTGGAACTGAGGGAACAGTCGCTGGCGTGAAAAAAATTCTGCGGCATGCTGTTCAACATCTTGCCGCCGGCTGCTCTATTGTTTTGCGACACGGAGCCAGTCGTGGTACCCTCAACATTCGTTCTTGTTTCTAGGAAAGACGTGCTGGAACTTGCTGCGCCATGTTTCATCTCATTCTCCTCCGCCGAGCGCACCATCCACCCCCGAAACTCCGCTGCGTCGGCGGGGTCGCCCTCGTCCACCCTGCACGCACCCGGGCTCGCCGCAAGCAGGGGGTACCGCAGGCCGTTGGTGTACTGCGAGCGGAACCCGGGGCACACTTGCTTCACACCGTGTCCAAGCTGCACGAGACTCTGGCTGTCGAGCGAGTAGCACCCAGCCGGCTTTTTCCCGCAGTGGAATATGTGCGCTCGGAGCTGGATCCCGGGTGAGGGTGGGTCGTTGCTTCTTCCAGTGGTCACTGTCGCTTGTCCGGAAGCAGCTGTACCACCTCCCGCGCTTTGATGCTGCTGCCCACCTCCAGGAACTGCAACGCCCCCTTGTGACTGACCACCACCACTTGCGCCACCTCCACTTGACGCGTTGATACTGGCCTGTTGCCCAGTCGCAACACCAGTTGGCGAGTAGAACCCGTAGTACGGGTTGAAGCCGCCGGTCAGAAACCCGGGATACAAGCTGTTGTAGTTATACGGCTGCCCTGCGGTTCCAAAGCCACCACCTCCCGTCTGGGTGCCGCCAAGCGTCTGCGAAATCGCCCCGCTGATGAGATTCTGCAAGGCCTTCTCCAGGTCCACCTGGGCGCTGGAGGAAGACTGCTGCGCGTGCACCTGCCGGGTGACCTCCTGGGCAATCAGGTTTTGCAAAGCGTCGGTAAAAGAGGTGGTGGAATTATTGTTGGCGCTCTTACTGGTTGCAGCACTCGCTGCCAGCAGGGAGGAAACCCAGTTCGCGGCGCTCGATGCTCCGCCTTCTTGCAGCCCCTTCGAGTGGTCCTTCACACCTGTAGTCGCAAGGATGTGCGAAGAGACCTCCTGTGCCAATCGGCTGATTGCGCCCGAAAAGTCTTGCGGTGGAGCAGCAGCGGCAGGCCCTCCGCCACGGAAAAAAACTTGCTTTTCGTTTTGCATCCTTGACGGCGCATTTGCCTGTGCAGCTTGTTGCGGCAGATAATTCTGCGGGGCATTATTTCTCGTCTGCTGCACAAGGTTTGCGATCAGTGAGTCGAGCCCGGCGGGAAGCGGAAGGTGAGGAGGTTGCGTCAGCGGGGTGGTACCAACAGCACCCGGATTTATGTCTTCTTCACGAGAGACAGCCGCAACCTTATCGTAGTGCGGAAGGTTGCCGGTAGAAGTATCTTCCGCACCTTTTCCTTGCGGCACCGATGCCGCAACGTACTGGTCCTTGGGGTAGCGATCAATCGCACCTCTATCTGGACTAACTTCAGAATTTGCTGAAGCATCAGGAACCGTCGGCCTGTTTTCTAACGTTTCGTCGAATATTTCGTCCGTTGCACTGGCTTCCGCTTCCGCGACATCGCCGTCAACGTTCATTTCCTGCTTGAAAGCTGGCGCAGTTTGACGCTGCCCCGGCTGCGGTTTTCTCCTTTTCCCGTGCTTCCGATGGTCCTGGCGAGGCTCAACGCCAAGTCGCTTGATTACCGGCTCATCTGCATGCGAGTCGCCAAGAAGTGCCTCTCCGGCACCGTGAGAACGGTGGTGCTGCGCAGGTCTCTTCTTGTGCTTCCTCCTTCCGTGCGCCACCACGTCTCCCTGCTCCGACAATACCGCACCCACTACTGCGGCGTGGGAACGCGAAGTAGAAGCCCCCTCGGCTTTTACAGCAGTACGTTCTTCTGCAGATGAATTCTCGTCTCCTTTGCCTTTTGCCTTCGCTTTTTCCCCGCGGTGCTGCTGTGCTGAGATCTCGTGTCGCAGTGGCTTTTTCGTTCCATGCCCGCGTCTTTTAGTCTGCGACAGTGCAGAAGTGCCAGTTGAACTAGAACTACTGGCACGGGTGTGTTTCACAAGAACTGTGTCCGAGTGCGTGTGCGTTGCTGACACGCGCGACTTGGCGCCTGTTTTTCCTTTGCGCGCCCCTCTCTTCCTCGTCTTGCTTTCCCGGGAGAACGCCGCCTGCAGCTTGCCTTTCTTTTCGGGTCGGATTCTAGTCTCTACTCTTGCTTTCGTTGCTGTTGGAGCCAACTTCGATTTCATCTCGGGCCGTAGCGCATCCTGCAGTTCCTCCCCCTCATCGGATACAGAAGATACCTCTGTAGTTGTGGCCGAATCGGTGGTCGCTTCCTGGGAACCCGGTGGATCGGCTTCAACATTTCTTAATTCGGTGCGCAACAACGCGCCGGGCCTCCGAGGATGGTGGACCGGCGCGGCCGTATTCTCGGCCGAGACGGGACCGATGGTCGTCTGCAAAAGGAAAACAAGCAACAGTGACACGGCAAGAAGCACTGGTCGAAAAATAGAGACGCAGTCGCAAGGAAGAGAGCCCAGCATCTTCTTCTCTTGTGTCGTGCTCCCGAGATATTTTACGAAGATCAAAAACGGCGAAGAACTACGTCTCAGAATAAGACACCACACCAAGTGCGTCGCACTGAGCCTATCTCACTACGATGAAGCTTGTGCTGCAGTTTGTTCATCAACCACAACGAATCCGAAGCGCTCTCTTAACAGCTCAGCGCTACAACGTGTCCGATACCGGGACGCGATTGCGTATAAACAACAATCACTCGTCTGCCGACTGACGACTCTCATCTCAGTCAGTACCGCACATGCACTGCAACGAATCCGACGCGATAAGATCACTAAAGCTCACTCGTTTACTGCTCTCCTCGTCGTGAGGACGAGAGTACTCGACATCTGCGAAGTCGAGAGAGGTCTTTGCAAACGACCACGCGGCCACCCCATCAGAACTAACACAAAAATTCTCGGCGCAGCAGGGGATGTTTGTTTCTCTTGATCCCGCAGATTAATACGTGCCGTGTTCATTTTGTGGGTCACTACATCTGCTCTCGCCGCATCAACAGCAGCACGACGGGAGAATGATTCATAATTGTCTCACAGAAGAAAATGCACGCCTTTTCCTCTCCAGCAGAAAGCGATTGATTAGTAGTGGTCCCCTCGATGTGAGAGCGATTTCCGAACTGGTCGGGATTTAGTGTGGTCACCTTGGAATCTTGGCGTCGCGGTTACCTCCCCACCGGCGTAGTCCCACGAGTTCCGCCGCTTTGCCCACTGGCTCTTCCGCGTTTCGTAGACTATGTTCGTGTTTGCCGGGTGCTCCTTCGACGAAACGTTGGATCTCTCCCCACCGGCGCCCTGGCCCCCCGCGCCGAGCGACACGTCCTCCAACGGGGAGCAGTACTTCCCACTGTGCTCGGGACCACGAGACGAGGCCGCAGTGCTGATTACACTCTGGGAAAGGTCCGCGGGGTCGTGGTGGGTACCGTAAGGATGATGTAGTTGCCGAGGACCGTCTCGGCTGTAGGCGGGGTCGTTCATCTCGTGGTCGTCGTGTATTAGATCTGCATTAGGCAAGGGATAGTTCGGCTGCTGTGGCTGGTGATTGCCGTCGCTGTTGTAGTACCCCTGCGCTTGGTCGTTACTGTACCAGCCCTGGTTCATGATCAAGCGGTCCTCAACTTGCAGCTCTGCTCCGTCTTCGTAGTAGCACTCTTCCTGGTAGTGACCACTGTAAGGATTGTTGTAGTGCAAGTTATCAGGCTGATGCTGGTCAACAGGCCGCTGTCCTCCTGCCTCGCCTTCCTGTCCAGTGAGCGGCATCCCCCTCCCATAGCCCGGTTGAGCTGGCGGCGTGGAGGACGTGGAGATTCTCGCCGATGCGTTCCATAGTACCTCGTCGGCTGCAACTCCGGCAGCTTGTTGCTGCTCCGCTGGTACAACCAGTGGTCCTGCACCATCTGGAGGAGCTCCAGTGCAGCGTGTTCCCTCCGTAGGCGCATTGCTCCCCCCCGTCCCGAAACTCGCACTGATTCGACCTGGAAGCAACGTCGCTTTTTCCCACCCCCGCTTCACCAAGCACGCGGCCTTCGCGCCGGTGCTGGCGATGGAGCTGGAGAACAGGCCGAGCGTTGTGAAATTGTTTTCGTCCCCACCTGTGGTCGCCGATCCCGCGCCGCCGAGCGCGGCGCTGCTCTCTTCCACCATTAGCGGGGAGCACGCGCGGACCTGAAACGGCGTCGGCACGATGGGCCGTCTGCGCTCGTATTGCTCGGACGCCAAGCGGATCGCCTGCACCCAATCCAAGCCTTCGTCCACCTGCACGTCCTCGTCGCACAGTGGCCGTGCTGTCGGATCCTCCGTGACCGCGCTGCTTCTCGCTGCGGCCACGCTGCGAGATGAAGCTGGCGCCTGCAATGTGATCCCGTCATTGCCTGTTGTAGATTTTTCGCCTATTTCTTGTTCTTCGTCCTTGATACCGTTATTGTCGTAGAACCGGTCGTCCAGCGGCGTGACGCGGATACACCGGCCGCCGCGGGTACGGATCACCAACTCCGGGACGCCAGCTTCTGTTTTGGTTTCTTCCTCTGCTGCTACTAGCGTGCCGCTTCTCGCCGTTGTGCTGTCCGCAGTCCTGGACGAAAACGTCAACACCCTCCCGGCTTGCTGCAAGCAGTCCCAGGGCCGCCGGCTCGCCGTGCGCGCGGTGGAACTCGACGAGGAATGGGCATCTGTTGCTGAGGCTGCTTGAAGATTCCCACTTCGGAGGTCTTCATCTTCCGTTTCTTCTTTACTCACGGAAACATCATCGTGTTCTGCAGAAAACGCATGCTTCCCTTCACTTTTCCCAGAAAGAGCGGCTCTATTGCCTTGCACCCTTTCGAGCGGCACCGGTAAGGAGGCACGGCGGTGCGCAGCTTGGCTTGTTCCGGCCTCGAGCTGCTTCTGCCTTGACGCGGCGTACGGGTCGGGCGAGAAGCAAGTTTTTGTTGTCGCGGGAGAGAGCTCGAGCTGCGGAGAATGACGCAGCGCTGGACTAGTAGCACCGAGCATTTGACGGCCTATGGGCACGGACAAAAGTTGTGCGGTTTTTGGCTTCGGTGGCGATAAACGCAATACTCCTTCTAAAGGAGGTTCTACTTCTTCTTGCACTGCATTCCCTTCTCGCTGAGACGGATGTGCTCGAGGGTTTTTCGCTTGTGGTCCAACTCCGACCTCCAACATGATGGTATCGTCCTGCCCTGTTACACGCCCCGCCCCACCACTGCTGCTACACCTGTTCGGTGGCAAGACGTAGTACACATCCGCGATCTCCTGAATTGGCCAGGTCTCCGTCGGACTCTGCGTAATCAGGTTGTGGGGGCTCTCGAAGCTGCACAGCGTCCCGTCCAGGCACAGCACAAACCACCGCTTGCGCCAAACGCCGAGAAACCGACTCCGCTTGTAAACCCACCCTTCCTTGAGAACGCCACGGTCCTGCCTCGCGCCGTGTTGCTGGGCGGGGGACAGAAAGTGCACCACGGCGGTCATGTCCGGGTGCCGAAGCGTGATGTTGCACCACGCTGCGAGCAAAAACGCTAAATCTTCAATGCTCCTGTGGTAAAAAGAAATTTGCTCGAGTTGTAAGTTTGCAAATAAATAGTGTCAGTTCGGACTTTCCTTTTCAAAGAATCTCTTGTCAGCCATGCAAGCAGTCATTCAACTTCATTCCACAATGCAGTTTCAGAGTTTGTTACGGGAATACAAAACTTTCCAAACCAAGTCGAAAAAATACTCTTTCGTGAATCCCCGAAAACTAAGACGTGTCTCCTTGTTCTGGTGTTTCCTTTTCCAGGGCATGTAGGGATTCGAACTGTGTGTTGGCTGTTTCTGGTAGAGATCCAGCTGCCTTTCCGGTCCCCCCGTCCATATTGCCGCGATGACGTCGCAAACATCCAACACGATCGCGGCAGAGAGCTGCGTGGGCGGGGTAGCTGCGCTACTTGAATCACCACCAACGCCTCCTGTCGATTCATCACGGTGGTCTTCCTCACCGCCAGCCCTAGAGGATCTAGATGAAGACGACCCGCCGCCTCCACTACTCCCTACAATACCTCCGCTACGCCATCCGAGCTGCGATTCAGAGACACGGAAAATTCCCTGGTGCAAGGCGCTTTGATGATCGCTGCCAAGTGCGGTGCCGTGCGGAACGCCAGCAGCTCTGGTGTCGCTACAACCCACATGGTCGTCGAATCCGACGGCGCTGATGCCGCTAATCTGAAAATACTTGGAGGCCATCGTGCTATTTGGGAGGTCCTGGCCTGTAACGCTTTCGTCATTTACTTCCGATGTACTATCTCATACTGGTTTACGTTCATTCTGTACTAGTACCATTATTTTTATTCCTACTTCCTGTAGTTTCAATTCATGCTTCACCGCTAGTACGTAGTGTACCTCTGCTGGACCTCTGCCTTGTCTAGCGCACGTTCTAGTTCCTTTTATCTTTCGCTTGTCTTTACTGAGAAAACAAAGCTACGCCAGTTTTGCTTTCGTCTCTTCCGCAAAATAATCGCACCGGCTTCTGGTGTGTGATGATGAAAAGAAAAAACGCTACGCAACGCTTAGTGAAACGACGTAACTCACTCTCACGAAAATTTTCCTCGTCGGACATCGAACAACATGCGACAGTTTGTCCGCCTTTTGTTACGACTGTCAGCCTATGTATTACCATCAACTTCAGCCGGAAAGTTTTTATTTTCATGTTCCGTCTTTACTGCTTTTAGTTTTAGTTTTCAACAACGAACTCAATTCTGTCTCAATCTCCATATCCTCACAGAATCAGTTTGTTCGCACAGTTTTAAAAGATTTGAGTTTTACTAGGTATCCGTTTGCTCCAGTTGAAAATTCCATGCATTGCAATATCTAAAGTTTCCGGTTGAAAATTCCGTTGGATAAAGTTTCTGCAATATCTAAAGTTTCCACGAAAGACCAGCAGCTGCAGCAGCGGCCTGTACAGTGCTGCTCTTGGCTGAGCTGCTACTGCTCAACACTTTCTCGGTTATTGAAATATGTCTGTCTGTACAGTACCGTAAGTTGAAAACACGAAGAAATGAAAATAAGTGATTCCGGTGAATTGCATGTCAAAATATCAAACGTTTCGGTTACCTGTGTGCAGAAGCTCCTCGAAAAGGCACTCAAGCTCTGCGCTATTGAATGGTGATATTGGATTTGCACCCTGGCATTTTTACCGCTAATTTTCACTGTTTCGAATTCGATATTGTACACTTGCATTACTTAGTACCGCATTTCTGTGCATTTCAATTTTGTTAAACCACATTTTTACAAGACTTTGAGACGATTGGACTCGATGAGCCTGAGCCTGACGGCAGATTGTACAATGTTAATTTTCATTTCTCAGGTTGCACTTCTCGTCATCGTTTTCCTGCATGCAATATCGCCGATAAAGCAGTTCGGAATCAACAGTCTAGCACCCGGAAGCTTTTGCCTGTCCCGTTTCGTCCGGATTTGGCATACGGCTTCCTGCCTCGGATTCTTCTGTTGATAACGACTACTTTCTGATACTTGGTACATGAAGATACGCTAGTAGATAAATTCGAAATAATGTCAACAAAATTTCTGCATCTGTAAGTTTCTGTCGAAGTCTATGTCACGTTGAAACCGCGATCTTATTCTTCCATCATCATGTCCATCTCCGTTGTCACTACGCTCCTATTTCTCCTCCCCTTGCAGACCTTGCAATTTTTTGTTCATCATATGCCTGGAGGCCCTTGCGAGAAGTTTCGAGGGTCCGGGCAGGCTGTTAAACGTGCCCGATATCCCCTTCACGCCCCCCGCCTCTCGCAGCTCTTGTAGCGAATGCGAATTCTCTGAATTCACAGCCGGGGAGTCCAGGACGTCCAGCGCGGGCGCCGACGGGGCAGTTGCTCTCTCCGGTTCCACCGCCGACTGGTTCTTCTTGCGTTTTTGCAACTCCGCCTTTTCCCGCTGCTTCTTTGTCCGCATCAAAAGGGAGGATTTTTCCTCGTAAAACAGCATGGTCTGCTGTTGCTGTTGCTCCGCCTCCGCGTTACTCCGCATGTCTGCGGTGGATCCCGGGGGACCGGGTGCTGCTCCCTGCTGTGCTTCGTTGCTCTGATCCTTTTGTAATTCCACCGGTTGTTCGGATTGCTCCGCCGGAGCGGCTCCACCTCCCGATGAACTACCTCCAGCTGGTGGTTCCTGCTCGGGACCCGATCTCCAATCCTCCGTAGCATTCGACTGGGTCGTCGGATCCCCGCCGATCCCGCTTGGCGGCGGCGGCCGGCGCGCCAGGTAGCGCGCTTCCGCCTGCTTGCCCTTGATGGCTTGAATCCTGCGGTAGTTCCCTTCGGGAGACAGCGGTGAGTACATGTGCCCGTGGAGCCCGGCCTGCGGTCGTGCGCGGGTGCCCAGCTGCCGGTGCGGCTGCAGGGTTTCAAACAGCCCCACGGGGTTGACCTGGTTCTGCGTCACCGTCGGACTTTGGTAATTGGTCCCTTGCAGCACCGCTTGTGCCACGGGGCTCTTGACCGCCGCCCCGATGGAGTCGCTGAGGCCACTGACGAGGTTCCCAAACTGGTCCGTGTCGCGTGGGGGATCGAGCTGACTGATTACCTTGTTTTCGTACTGGTGGGTGTCGCGTGGACTGTTGGCCCGGTTTCTTGCGGCGTTCGCGCGGTCCAATAGCTTTCCGACATGGTGTGCACCCAAGCCGCCGGGACCGCCAGCCAGGCGCTGGCGCACGTAAAACTCTTCTTCTGTGTCGCGCGGGGGATCGACTTGGCTCAGCACTTTGTCGTACTGGTGGGTGTCTCGCGGGCTGTTAGCTCGGTGTCTCGCGGCGTCTGCGCGGTCCAACAAGTTTCCCACGTGATGCGCGTGCAAACCACCGGGACCGCCCGCCAGGCGTTGGCGCTCAGCATAAAGCTCTTCTGCTTCTCTCTCCGCCTGCAAGGTATCCCGTGGACTGTTAGCTCGGTGTCTTGCGGCGTCTGCGCGGTCCAACAGATTTCCGACGTGGTGCGCGTGCAAACCACCAGGACCGTGGCCCATGCGCTGCGCAACTACCTCGCTGCTCAGGCGACCACCGCTATGTCGTATCAGTCCGGACCCCACTCCCCGGTCCACCATATTCTCGCCCATGCCGGAAGCCCCGACTGCGCGGTCGATGATGTTGTCAAAGGCTAGCCCAGAACCCACACCGCGATCTTCTGTTAATGCCGCCCGATTCGCCATCTGACTGCGCGGATCTGAAAATGTCGTTCCCCTCGCCAGTTGTGCTGCGTCAGCTTCACTCCCCTCCTGCAGGTGCGGGTCCACTGCGGGAACACCACCACCACCGGAGGACGAGTCATTCTTGTTGTGCACCATGTCGTCCACGTTCTGTGAGTGCAACAAGTATTCCTGGTCGCCGTGCTTTCCGATAAGAACGCCCTGCGCGACGTCCACGATGTTTTTGACCATCGCGTCCTCCTGCGCTGTCATGCTGGAGGAAGGAACACTTGACCTTTTCACCAGCCGGTTACCGTCCGCATCGAATTCGGCGTTCATCGCCGCCGGATCCGCCTCGGTATCGGCGATTTTCATGTCCCCGGCGGTCGCGAGGTTCATGCGCACGTACCTTTCCGGGTCCGTGGGGGATTTCGCGTACCCCATCACCATTTTTTCCATTTCGTCCTCCAGGTTTTTGTGCATCTGCGCCAACTGCTCGGAAAACGGCGGCGAGGGTTTGGGGGAAACAGAGTGTTCCATATCCGGGATGATGATCTGGCCCCGCATGATCCGAGAATCCACGATTTTTTTCACGCCGAACGGGGATTCGCCCCTTCGCGGGGAGAGGACGAGCATGCGGTCTTTAAAGTCTCTGCGCTCCACGCCGTGCCTCCGCAGGGACGCAACCATCTCGGGCGACAGCCGTCGGGGGGAAAGATCGCCGCTGCCGTCGTAATCGGCGACCAAACCTTTCTTCCGCAGGTACTCATCAATCTCCTCCCCGGATTGCACTTTGCTGTACCGCTCGGTCCCGGTATCGTTCGGCCCGGTGCCGACGGGCGACACGATCTTGTCCCGAGCTTTCGACATGGCTTGTCCGGCTTTCCAGTGCAGGTCACGGGCGTTGGACACCTCCTTCAGCTTTATTCGTGGCAGTGCGTGAGGCCAGACCGTCATCGGGTCGCGCTGCGGCGAGCCCGGTGGGCTTTTCAGGATCCGATCGATCTCCATTTCTGCTTCTGCGAGGGACGGTGACGTCTGCAGCATCAAGTTCGTGGGTGCAGAAATGCCCTGCGGAAACCCGGCGTCCCGCACCGGCCCCTTGGGTCGCGGCCGGTCGCCGCCGGAATCCTGCAACAAAGCCTCGGCCCCGAGGAGGCCGCCACTAACCTGGTTGGCCCGCGCCCACATGTCGGCGTCCATGTTTTCCGGAATCAAGTGCGGACGCGGGCGGAAAGCGCCCGTACCCGCAAGCCGCCCAGCTTCGTCGGGTCCCTGGCCCGCGCGGTCTTTCCGCACCCTCGGTGGCGGCGGCGCCGACACGTACTGTTGCTTGCGCAGCTGGTTTCGCAAGGCCGCTAAGTAGCCCGGGTGCGAACCCTTGTGCACGGCGTCCGCATCTAACGTTCTAGCGTACCGCTCCAACTCGAACAACGCATCGGCGGGGACCAGCGGCGTTCCCTTTTCCGGCGGCGCAAACAGCCGCTGCGCGTCGGCGTACGCCCGCAGCGTATCCAAGTACGCGTCGGCATAAGGATCCAAGCTGTCAAAGAGCAAGTACTGCAGTGGCGGAAGCGGCAAGCCCTCGTCGCGTTCCACGATACCGACGACCTGCTCGATGGTCGTCAGCAAGTCGTCTCGCACGTTGGGATTGTGTGCGGCGGTGCTGCGGCGCGGCGGGATGTCATCTTGACTTGCTGGTTGGCCCGCGACCGAGCCGGGAAGGTGGTCCAGGGCCTCGTGCTCGCTCCCGGGTACTGCACCAGACCCGCGCTGGCTGCCCGAGCGAGCCGAATCCCGCTGACTACCGAGCGCAGAGCCGCGGCTTGGAATAGCTCGACGGGAACTATCTCGGGCAAAGTCGGCATCATCGGCAAGGCCGCTGGGATCTCTCCTGCTCGACTGCCGCAAGCTCTCCTGCCTCCCACTGTCGCCCCGGTTGAGACCATCTTGCAGTTGGCTTTGCGGTCGCTCACTATCCCGGACACTAGGTTCTCTCGCAGTGCTCCCAAACTGGTTCAACCCCGCGTCGAGTTGGCTCCCAGCCGCGTTGCTTGGCTCCCGGCCGCTCGGGTCTCGCGCGGTGCTCCCGAATTCGTTGAAACCGTCGCCGAGCTGGCTCCCGGCAGCATTGCTTGGCTGCCGGCCACTAGGGTCTCTAGCTGTACTTCCGAACTGGTTGAAGCCCTCGAGTTGGCTGCCGAACGCGTTACTTGGCTCCCGGCCGCTGGGCGTCCGCGCGCTGGGGTCCCGAGAAACGTCATCAAGGCCCCCTTGCCCACTCGGATCTCTTCTACTCGAACCGCGCACACTGGCTTCTCGATTGCTCGGGCCGAGCCCACCTTCGTCTTCGAGAAGGTCGCCGCCACTCATCGCACGTCCGCTGGGCTCTCGGCCACTAGGATCGCGGTTGCTAGGCTCTCGTCCACTAGGGTCGCGGTTACTGGGCTCTCTGCCGCTCGGGTCGCGGTTGCTGGGCTCTCTGCCACTAGGGTCGCGATTGCTGGGCTCTCTGCCACTAGGGTCGCGATTGCTGGGCTCTCTGCCACTAGGGTCGCGATTGCTGGGCTCTCTGCCACTAGGGTCTCGGTTGCTGGGCTCTCTGCCGCTCGGAGCACGTTCGAAACCAGAGTTGAAGGGATCGCTTTCGGGGTCACCGCCGCTCATCCCGCGTCCGCTGGGCTCACGGCCACTCGGGTCGCGGTTACTAGGCTCTCGGTTGCTTGGATCGCGAATTTCGCCTCCATCGCTTGGCTCGCGCGCGCTTCCGAACCCTCCCTGTCCACTACTTGGATCTCTAGTACCGCTTGGATCACGACCGCTCGGTTCCCGGTTGCTCGGATCCCGCGAAGCTTCCTCGCCGTTTCCAAAATCGTCGTCGCCAAATCCGCCTTCTTGGCCACTCGGATCTCGGCCGCTGGGATCGCGCCCGCTTGGTTCCCGGTTGCTAGGATCCCGTTCCATCTCCCCACCATCGTCGTCTGCAAAGCCCTGTCCACTTGGGTCGCGACCGCTCGGCTCCCGGTTGCTTGGATCTCGTGGCATTTCCCCGTCGTCTTCCTCCGCAAAGCCCTGTCCTCCGCTGGGCTCCCGGTTACTCGGTTCCCGGTTACTCGGCTCCCGGTTGCTCGGCTCCCGGTTGCTCGGATCCCGGTTGCTCGGCTCCCGGTTGCTCGGATCCCGGTTGCTCGGCTCCCGGTTGCTCGGCTCTCGTTCGTCGGGGTCCACCCTGCTGGGGCTGCGGTTGCTCGGTTCTCTCTCGCTCGGGTCCCTCGCCAGCGCCTCGTCGTGTTGACCACTTGGATCTCGTTCTACTGCGGCCGCCACTGCACCACCAGCACCCGCTCCTCCTTTGCCCATCCCTTTTCCTTTTCCAAAACCGGTCGCTGCGCCCGGTTGCGGTGCGATGTATTTCGTTGTGATGAACGACCCCTCCCGCGGCACCATCATTTGCAACCCGCCCATTTTGTTCATCGCCCCAACCTTGTTCAAAGCCGCAGCCACGTCCTCTTCAAATGGCTGATTTATGGGTGAAGGTCCGCGTCGCTTCCCGAAGGAATCTTTGTACCCCAGGTAGTACTCGGACAGGTCCCGCAAAACGTCGTTGCGGTACGCGAGCAAGTCCCGATCGGCGTTGCTGAAGTAGTTCGGCCCCGGACTTCTGTCGGAGGACCGCAAGAATGATCCGGTCTCGCCGCCATCGTCGTCCTCGTTGCTCTCCGGGTAGAACATGAAATTTCGCTGGGTAGTTTCACGCTGCTTCTCCAGCACCAACCGGTCCTTCAGATACTCCGCGCTTGCTGTCTCCGGCGAGTGGCCATAGGTCCGGTTCAGGCGGTGGTTCTCGATGATCTCCTTGTACTCTGCCGCGTCCACCACGTTGTCATAACCCCCGCTGCCCAAGTACCCCTCCCGCGCGAGCTGGTACCGTTCGCGCGCCAGAACGTCCTCAAAGTAGTCCTCCGGCAGGCCGCCCCCCGCGGCGTTGCGCACCCGCGGCGGCAGGCCGGATCGGATCGCGCGCGGCTTCGTCATCATCTGCCGCATCGCGCGCGGAGACATGGACCGCTTGAACCGCCCTTGGTGAGCGGACTGCTGTCCTCGCCGGCTACCGGAGCGAGGCCCGGCGTCCGCGATGCGATCGTACGTGGTCCCCACCTGCTGTGCGAGTTTGTCTGACGCGCGCGGCGTGACGGGTCTTCCCATCCGGTAAATTTCGTCCTGCATGTCCTGGCTGCGCAACGCTTTGACCATGCCTTTGCTCCCCGTCGCCATCTGGCGTTCCTCCGCGAAACTTGTGATGGAGGACAACAAGACGTCGCCCGTCGTGTTGGGCATACTCTCCATGATGCGGTACGCCATGCCCTTTACCTCCATTTCCGCCCGCTCGGCGCCGAGGTCCCGCGCCATGTTGGCCACAACGGTCGTTCCTGACGGTGCGCCCATGGCTCGCAGCTCGACCGCGTGTTTCTCCGCGACGCGCACGTGCGCGTCGCCGCCGCCGGCGTTCCGGTCCAGCTCCTTGGCGTACTCGATAAACGCCTTGTACAGCGCTTGTCCGTCCACGTCGGGGCGCTGCGCGGCGAGCCGCGCGGCGAGAACCTTCAACCGCTGCCAAACCGCACCCTCGTCCGGGCCGCCACGGTCTGGAACGGGGGGTGGAATCTCCGGTGAGGTCGCCCGCGCCGCCGACTGCGTGGTCGCGCGATGATCCACGCCTTGTTGCGCAGTCGATCGCTCCTGTCCTGGTTGAGCGGTCGCCCGCGCCATCGTCGATCGCGGAGGAGATGGTGTGGGCTGCCGCGGCTCCATGGGTGTGTTTGCCTGCAGGGCCTGAATGGAGGGGATTACACTGGCGGCCATCGCGACAATCTCGCCCTGGTGATCTTCCACCGCCGTTGGATACGGTTCGCCCATTTGCCCCGCGTACTCGCGCAAGGCCTGCGTCAGCTGCGTGCCAGTCAGGTTCGGGTGCGCCTCGAGGATTTTCGGGACGACGCGCGTCTTCATCTCGTTCCAGCCTTCCGTGGGGGTTGCCTTCGTCTCCAGCTGCGACAACCGCTGCGTCACCTGCTCGCGCAACGAGTCCCGCCCTTTCTCCGCCATCGCCCGCAACTCGTGCACGTGCTGCTGCACTGCGGTGGCGAACCCGAGCCCGCCAGGCTGCTCGGCGTCGAGCTGCGCAGCGTACTTTGCCATAGTTTGCAGTAGCAATTCGGGTCCGATGTCCGGGTGGTCCTGCACCAGCCGGGCGGACATGTCGCGCAGCCGCGCCCACTGGTAGCCCGGGAGCTTCGTTGGCCCGTGAATCGCGAGCGCATTCGCAAAGCCCGGGTCCACGTCGGGAGTGCGTGCTTTCATGCGGTGCTCCAGGTCAGCGACGTATTCCAGGACCGAAGCCGCGACTCGGAAGTCCTCTAGGTCGGTCTCCTTCAGCTTACGCGCAACCTCGTTGAGGTGGTCCCACTGGGCGGTGTATGAAAATCAAAAACTTTCTTGTCAGTGGAACGATACTAGGTATCTACGTACCATACTTCTAAATTTTCCAGATGCCATTTAGTCCTAAACTTCGAGTTTCAATTTGATCCATCATCTACATGGTTGGCTTCTAGTTCCAGCTATCATCTGTTCTGCCTCACAAAAACCTTTTATTGCGCGAAACAAAGGCAATCAACTGTGGCGCATTAGGAAATCGTCCGTCTAAATCGCATCCCGATGTCAAACTTCTTTTGATGCAGCAGATACTAAGCCCTAGTGCCACTGAAAAGAAGTTTTCACCTCGATAAGGTGAACGTTGGGTCCTCACCCTCCGCGTCGTACTCTCCTGTAGCTCCATCTGCCGAGGGAGCCGGAATCGGAGCGTCTGGATTCCACCATCGCCCATTGATAAACTGCCACTGCCCGCCCTGTTTATCCTCGATCACATCACCCTCTTCCGGGTGCAACAAGTTCCGGTCTCGCAGTTCCAGCACTGCCTGGCTCGGATTTCCGCGTGGGTGCATCGTCGACCCGCCCTTCGGGGTGATGTTGAATGTCGCGTCCGTCTTTCCGTCCCGCAGTTCTAGGACCGCCTGCCCCGGATTCCCACGCGGGTGCACCAGTGACCCTCCCTTCGGGGTCATATCAAATGTCGCGTCCGTCTTTCCGTCGCGCAGCGCTTGCACCGACGCATTCGGTCTGGCAGTAGCCCTTTCGACAGTGTCGCGCCTCTTATTGATCCAGCTCGGTAGCGTCACTGCGCCCGGGTCACGCCCGCTGTTCGGAGAACCTCCGCGCTGTCCAACTTTCTGCTCCATCAACGCCATGTAATCCTCGATACCGCCTCCGACCTGCCCGTCCAAGTCCACGCTCAGGGGCGGAAGGAAGTCCCCGCTTTGCGAGGACATCTCGGCCGACGCAAACGGGTTCGCCCCACGGTCGTTGAGCCCGATGCTCGCGGGCCGCGCGGGGGGGTGCGCCTGCCCCGCGTCGTCCAGCGCGGCCTGGTAGCTGGCGCCAATCGGACCGCCAGCCTGCATCGCATTTCGCGGTGAGGCTTCCGGCCGCGCAGCATCCCGCGCTTCCTGCAAATACCGATTCATCATATCATGATGCTTGACCGCGGCATTTCCAACTGCCATGATGTCGGCTTGATTTTGAAGATTCTGCTCTCCGCCCAAATCGGTCCGAAACATCGGCGTTGGAGCCAGACCCTGTGGCGCGTAGTTGCGCAGACCCGGTCGATCCGGGACGCTTAGCTGCCCCGAGGGACTAGTGCCTGGGACTAAACTGGTCGTTCCGCCGACGGCGTTTGGGTCTGCTTCCAGCATTTCGGCCTTTTCGCGCTGCTGCTTGACAATCTGGCGGTCCAAATCCATGACCAGTTTTTCCAGCTCCAAGCCCCGTTCCGCCAACAGGCTCACGTACCCGGCGTACCGGCCGGTCCGCTTCGCCCGTCCGTCCATCTGCTCGGCCGCGTCTTTCGTATCGGACAAGGCCTGCCGACCACCCACGCCAGACCGCAGTCGGTCGAACGCGAAGTTCCGCAACGTGTCCCACACCTTCCCGGGCTCGCCGTGCAACAACTCGCCCGAGTACCGGTTGGCCGCGAACTGGTGCAGGTCGCCGCTGTTCTGCCGCCGGTCGAGCTCCTTGGCGTAGTCCGCCAGCTGGTCGACTGTCACTTGCAGCTTCGTCCGGTCGCCGCCGATGAGACCCTTCTTCACCAGGTCCTGCAGGAAGTTCTGCAGGCCCTTGAAGCCGCCGTTCAACTGCGCATTGTTCGCGTACAGGGCCATCAGTTCCGCCAACCGCGCCTTCACCACCGCCTCGTACCCCATCGGCGCCTTCACGCGCTGCGCCTCCTGGTCCAGCTCGTTGGCGTACTGCACGATGGCCGGCGCCAGGTCGTTGGGCGACACATCGGGGTGCTGCGTGAGCAGGGAGGTCACCAGCCGCATCATGTGCTGCCAGAACGGCTTGGACTGCGGGTGGTGGATTTCCGCGCCGCTGCGCAGGTTCTTGTAGGCCTCATCGAACCCGTCGCGGATGTCCAAGTCGAACGCGAGTTGCGACCACCTCCGCTGCTTCACGGGGCGTCCGCCCTCCCGGTAGTCGTTGATCGGCCGGTACATCTGTGGTGGCGGCGCCGGGTCCATGTAGTTTGCGCGGGTGTTCGTCGGGTACACCGGCGTTTTGTTCTTGTCAAACTGGTCCTTCAAACCGCGCACGCGGAAGACGCCGTCGTCGCCGGCCGCCGCGCCCGCTGCATCCGCCTCTCCTGCGGCAACATCAAGAGCACCATCTTCAGTTCCAGCGGCCGCACCCGCTGCGCCAGGCAGTTGTTGTGCCCCGGGAGCACCCGCAGCGGCTGCGCCTACTATGGTGCCATCCGGGTTTCGAATGATACCATCGGGCCCTATTGCCGGGCCGGTTTGCTGTTTTGCCTCCTCTTCTTGCTTCAACCTCAGCAACTCCTCCTCCTGTCTGCGCAGTTCCTCCTCCTTTCGCTGCATTGCAAGTTGGATTTCGTAGTTCGGCTTTTTGAACTTCGGGTAAAGACTGCTTGGCCCACCCATAAAGGCCCGCCCCGCGGCCGGACCAACCGCGCCTTTCGCGAGTCCGGTGCCAGGCTTCGTAATTCCGGCCGCAACGCGCGCGGAGACGCTTTGCGCCTTACCGGGGGTGGCGACGCCGACTTCGGGGGGGATAATCTCCTTGCTAAAGGTGTCGACATGCGTGTTCACGTGCACATCCTGCAAGTCACTGCCTGGCGCGAAGGTGACACTCTTTTGCCCGGGGTGCTGGTAAAACTCGTGCGAGCCTGGTGCGTCCGCCTGCGGCAGCGTCTCGCCCGCGGCGCCCCGGGGCGTGATGTCTTTGCCCGCGAATACCGGCTGCACGTCCGTCAATTCGTCAAGCGGAATTCCGGGCTTCGGCGCGTACAAGTACTCCATACCAGGCACTTCTGCTCGCATGCCCACCACGTAGTCCAACCCGCGCAAAATGTCGGGCCCCTCTACGGGAATGCCCCGAAGCGCACCTGCTTCGTCCTCGCCGGCAGCGATGTACCCAACTCCGGACCCTTCGCCAATTGGCTCTCGTAGTGGCAGTACATGCTGCGCTTGCTGCTCCGAATACCGAAGCGCGTCATCCTCGTCTTCGCCCTCCGCGATGCTTCCGATGCCCCCGAAGCCGGATCCCTCGCCCGCTGGACCGGCTCTTCCAGGACTACGTGGTTGCAGCTGCGCACCTGCAGCCGCCTGTTCCTTTGCCGCGGCGGCCTTCGCGAAGCGGGCCCGCGAGGCGCTCGGATAAACCGGCGCCGCCCCCGCTTTGCTGTACGCAGGGATCCTTTGCGAAGGTATTCCCCCGTCATTTGGTTTTCGGGGGATTGGCAACAGCGGTCCCCGCCCGGCAGCAACTGCGCGGTCGCCCACGTGCATCGGCGGCCCCGTCTTTTGGATCATGTTCCCAGCACCCGTGAAGGGGCTACGTGCCGTTGTTCCTGCGCGGTCGCCCGGCACCTGCGGTTCGCTTCCGAACAACGCACCCACATCTCCGCTCCGCACTGCCGGGTTGGCGGGACTGGCGATAATCTGTCCGCCCGGTCCGACCAGGGCACCCGAAGACCGGGCGATGCGCGCCAAGTGCGCACGCGCTTCTGCGCTGCCCGCGTCGAGTGGGACACCGCCGCTGTGCTCCAGGTATCCTGCCGGGTACGACTTTTGCAGCAACGAATTCCCGTCTTGCTGCAGATCCATCATCGCCTGCTGCGAAAGTTGCGGTGAACCGACCCGCAGCACCTGTGCCGCATGGTCGGCTGCGGCTGGCGACAACGGCGCATCACCAGAGCGGATCATTCTGCCACCCGCCCCGAGCGGCGATCGCGGTCCCGTACCGGTATGCGGAGCTAGTCCCGTTTGCAGCTGCTGCTGAAGCTGCATTTGCTCTCGCTGCTGGTGTTGCAGCTGCTCTTGCTGCATCTGTGCCATTTGCTGTTGGTACTGCGCCTCCTGCTCTTGCAGCTGCATTTCCTGTCGGTACTGAGCATCCTGCTGCTGTTGCAGCTGCATTTGATTCTCCTGCATTTGCTGCAGCTGCTGCTGCATTTCCTGCTGCGGTATTTGCTGCTGTTGCATGTGCGACTGCTGCATTTGCTGCTGATACTGGCGCTGCTGCTGCATTTGTTGTTGCAATTGCAGCTGCAACCTCTGCTCTTCCGACATGGCCCGCTGCATTTGCGCAACGCGTCGCTGCTCGATCTCCCTTTGCCGTTGCGCAGCAGCTGCCCGTCTTTCCAGTTCGCGGTTTTCCTCGGAAGTCCGTACCAGCGGCTCGACGATCTCGTCGACTGCTTTTTGCCGCGCGGCGGGATCCATTGATCTCGTTCTCATCAGCGCGGCGATCAGCGCCTCGATCTGGCTGTGATAGCCGCGTGCAAGGTCCGCCAGCCCCGGTCGCCCCGTCTCCTGCTCGAGCTCGAGAGCGTACTGCACCACGGCACCGAAAAGTTTCTTCGGAGTCGTGTCCACATTGGCGTCTACCACCTTCGCGTCCACCAGCGCCATACACACACGCTCAATGTGCGCCCAGAAAACAGGCTCGTGCTCGGTCCAAAACGATTTCGCCTGGTTTTACAAGTGAGCTTGGTTTAGTTCTATCTCTACTTGTTTTTTACTGTTTCTAGTACGTGTCAACATGCGGTCCGACGTCCAAGAAACTTTCAGCTACTGAAAGAGAACATATTCATCCTGTCAAGCTCACGATCTTGCTGTCGCAAACGAAATTATACTTAAGTACTTCACTTCAACATCGAAAAATAAGTACCACGTGCAAGCCGGATCCGACCCTACTCGTGCGTTTTTCTGGCAGGTAAACTGAATCTGTGCCGGATTCTATCGCGCCCATGGCGGAGCCCTCGCCGTCGCGGCTGCCGGCGAAGGCCCCACTGCCCGGGTCCCCGCTCCCCCTGCCTTCGCTGCTCCCGAATCCTCCGCCACTTTGCGCTTCTTCGCCAAAGCCACCGCCACTTCCGGATTCGCCGAAGCCTGCGGGCTGGCCGTCGTCCTCGGCTTCTCCATCCTGGAAGCCCTCCCCGCTTTCTCCCGGCTCACCACTCTCGCCACCAAAGCCGCCTGATCCGGTTTGAGGTTGTCCGAAGCCCCCGCCGCTTCCCATGCTTCCCGGCGCATCTTCTAATTGTTCACCGCTTCCGGTCATGCTGCCCTGTGCGGCTTCTGCCATGCTTCCACGCGCCTCTCCTCCTGTATCATCGTCCTCGAAACTACCGCCTTGCGTGCTCATCGGCGCTCCGCTCATAGCTGCAGTTCCGCTCATCGGAGCTCCGCTCATACTGGTTGGCGCTCCGCCTCCGCTTACCTGGCCTCCGGATCCACTTCTTGGGCCTCCGGATCCGCTCCTCGGGCCTCCAGATCCACTTATAGCGGCACCGCCACCGCTGCCGGGGCCACCGGATCCGCTCATTGGGCCTCCAGAGCCACTCATAGCGGCACCGCCTCCGCTTGTGGGACCCCCGGATCCGCTCATCGGACCTCCAGACCCACTCATAGCGGCACCGCCTCCGCTGCCGGGGCCTCCGGATCCGCTCATGACAGCGCCACTTCCGCCTCCCGAACCTGGAGCGCCGCTCATCGGAGCTCCACCTCCACTCCTCATCGAACCTGGACCAGCGCCGCTCATCGGAGCTCCGCTGCCGCTCCTCGGGGCTCCGCTTCCGCTCATCGGAGCTCCGCTTCCGCTCCTCGGAGCTCCGCTTCCGCTCATCGATCCAGGAGCGCCGCTTGCCGGACCTCCACCTCCACTTCTCATCGAACCTGGACGAGCGCCGCTCATCGGACCTCCGCCTCCACTTCTCATTGAGCCGGGCGATCCGCTCATCGGAGCTCCACTACCGCTCATAGGCGCTCCGCTACCGCTCATCGACCCTGGAGCGCCGCTCATCGGACCTGCGGCCACGCCGCCTTGCCCGGGCCTTTGCTGCCCTTCTTGAAACATCCAGTGCGCGTCTGCATCTCCGCCTCCGCTTCCCGGATCTCCTGCCCCACTCCCGGGAGCGTCCATCATAGCAGCACTTCCCCTGGCACCGCCGCCACTTCCGGGTTGACCCCCGGATCCCGGAGGGGGTGAGCCTGCACGCGATCCCGCACGAGAACCTGCTCCTCTAGATCCTGGAAGACCCGCAGATCCCGGACCGCCAGACCCCGGAGGCATACTTCCAGGCATCGCACCGGAGCCGGGAACACCACCAGATGCGGGGAAACCGCCGGAGCCGCTACCACCCGACCCCGGGGGGAGACTTCCGGGGATCGGGCCGATTCCAACCGACGCTAGCGCCTCGGCGTCCGCGGCTTGCTGCATGGGGTCTTCGCGACGGCTGCTGAGCCGCCGACTACTCAATCGTTCTGATCCACCGCCCGGGCCTCCGGGATGCGATGGTGCTCCATCGGTAGTCATTCGTCCCGACATAAGCTGTCCCGATTCCAGTCCGGCACGGGACTCGAGTCCAGCCATCTCATTCAGTGCTGGCTCCTGGATAGCTCCGGTGAACATACCGCCGGGCACTTGTAGGTGCGCTGGAAGCTCGTTGTATCCTTCGAGGGCCATGATATCGATGGGTTCCGGGGGCGGTTGCATCGGTTGCTTCGCCGAACGCGCGCCTGGCACTTGACTGTCCCGCATCTCGCTCCCGTCCTCACCTCCGAGTCCACCTTCTGCTCCGTCAGCTCCCTCTGCTGCAGAAGATATCCCGTGCGAAAGTATCGTACTTGTACGTAGTAATTGCAGTTCTACTGCATCTTACCTGAGTGAGCATCTTTCCCGATGATGTAAAAATGCAACTACTAGTAGGTACGATGCTTTTGCACTGGATAGAAGAGCGTCGCCCACCACTCCCAGCACTTTTCAATCCCTCTGCGGCAAGGATATCGATCGGGTCCGGCCGCTCCTCCTTCGTCTCCTCGATCAGATTGATTCGTGCACCGCCCATTGCGCGCCACGGCGTGATCAGATACCCCTGCGGCGGAGCGCGGCCTTCGAGTAAGTGCAGCACCTCTTCCTGGTGCATGCGCAGCGCCTCCAGATACCCGATGGCCCAGCCACGAAACTTTTGCACCGAGTCCAGCTGTGCGGCGCAGTGCGCCATGTCCTCGAGCAGATCCGGTCCGAGCAGCCCGGTGCGACCCCGGAGCCGCCCGTACTCGCGCATTGCGTCCCAGAAGTGGCCGTACCTGGGACCCAGAATGATCTCGCCGCAAAACCGGTCCGCCGCCAGTTCATGCAGCGCTTCGCTGTCCCGGCCCACTGCGCGCAGCTCCGCGTCCATCACACGAGCGCGTTCCTGAGAAGAGATAGAGAAAGCGCTCAGCATAAATCATCATGATGAGAATTATGGTCGACTGTCTTTTTAGCTCCGATGAGAGCGCGGCTTTATTAAGCGCTTGCTCATAACAAAGGGAAGTTTTTGTGACATACAACTGCCTTGCGCTGGCTTATCATGTGAAAAGAACCTCAAAAAAATGTCCTCCTGCTATACCCTCATCATCATCTCCCCGCCGTCCGGCAACGTGTTGAGCTCGCGGCGCTGCAACCGCTGCTTCACTACCCAGTTGCGCAAGGTGTCCTTCTGCCTCTGCATCCGGTCCTGCGAGATCGGCGCGCCCGCCGCCAGGATGATGTCGACCCGGCTCTCCACCATCGGCACCAAATTGGGCTGCGGGTGGTAAAACTCTCGCGTGCCGCACACTTCGTCGATCCGCTTCGCGAACATCCGGACGCCGGCGAGCAGCGTCTCGCCGTCCAGGTGCAGCACCGCCTGAAACTGCAAAATCGCCCGCGATAGGTTCATCCACGGGTCACGCAGAATGCGCGGCCCCAGCTCCTTGGCGTGTTTCTCCGGCGGGTTGCTGGGGTCGTACCGGACGAACTCATTGTTCCGCGCGGTCAGGTCCAAGTGCGCCAGCCCCAAAGCGAGCGCCCGGGCCTGGTTCAGCGGCGACATGCGCCCGAAGTCCCACGGGGTCGTGCGCGGGTCGAAAGCCTTTTGCATGCGGATGAACTGGTCCCCCATTCCGAGCCCCGCCGGCGCGGGCAGCTCCAGGTCGCGGTTGCTCACCGGTAGATCGCCGGCCCCGACCGTGGTCGCCTTGATGCTATACTGGTCGAACTCAGTCATGTATGCAAAGGAAAAAGTGCTGCAGCTATACACATTGTATTGCAGGTCAAGCAAGAAAGAGCAGCTCTGTCATGCCAGCTATGCTCAGAAACCTCGTTTGGTGCGTGTTTTCCCATCCGTCCCCTCATCATGATCTCTGCACTGCAAGTTTTCTCTGTCATGCAGAAAAAATTTGTGTCGCTGAATCTGAAGTTACAACGAATGTGTATATCTGTACCATTTTTAGTACGATATCATGGGCGGCTTGGCGCGGCCCTCGGTTTCCGCGAGCCGCGCGTACTCCCGCTGGTAGGCTTCGAACACGTCCGGGTCCAGTATAACCTGCTCATGTGTTGCCATGATCTCAACTGTCTTTCCGACAGAGTCTGGACTTTATCTTGTTGCATGGACAGAATGAGTAACATACAGGGCCGTGCGCTTTTCGCAATACAAATTTCGCCAGATTCTAGTGCGGTTTGGGGCTCCTGCAGAACCAACTCTAAAAATTCTTCCAAAAGTATGTCAGACTCAGATCTCGCACGTTTTGCATCACAAGTCTGCTCCGTTTCTAAATTAATCGTAATCATTTGAGACTGCAAGTGCAACACGTGAGCGGGCCATATCCAGTGGCCGGCCGGTGACCTGCTCGAACTGCTCGGGCGTGTACGGGTGCGCAGTGCGCCAGTCGAAGTCCTTCAGCACCTTCACCTTGGGCACCACCACCTTCGGGAGCGGCGCCGGGGCCTTCGCGCCCTTGTGCTCTGGCCGGTCGAAAACGTTTCCCTTCTCGTCCGTGTCGTAGACCGACGACCGGGTCAGCAGCCGCTGCTCGTCCTCGAACTTTTCTCGCCAGGTCAACTCCCTCCCACGGTAGCTGGTGTCGCTCTTCAGCTGCGCCGCCTGCGCTTCCCGCATACCCTTGTGGTCGGGGTCCCGGAACTTCCGCGGGTCAATCGGCTTCCCGGGCTGCGGCACGTTCATGGCCGTGGCCGCGTAGCCCTTGTGGTCCTTGCGGCTGTACTATCCAAGAAAAAAACGCTGCTAGTGTAAATTTCTGATGCGCAACATGCAAGATGATTGCGTCTGTCATGCTTGGCATGCATCGTAGGGTCTATTAAAGGGCGTTTTCACGTGCTATCTGCGCATGACAGGTTTTTGCTGTCATGCCCTCGCAAATTTGTAATGCTGTTCCTCCAAAAAAGTTACACCTACAATGTTTTTTTCTTGGATATGTACCCCTTCACCCCGTACGCGTACCCCTCTCTGCCGGCAAACACCGACCCAACCTCCTTGTCCAAGATACTCTCGCGCTTTACCCGGTCGCGCCAGCTCTTCTGCGGATCCATCTTTCCCGTCTCGGCGAACCGCTGCATTTTCGTGCGGATGTCCATCTTGCTCTCCTTCATCTCGTCGGGGCTGGCGCCGAACCCCCCGACGTTCTCCATCGTGAGCGATTGCTATCAGAGTGCATAACTCGTCCCTCGCATTTTTATTTGTCATACTTACAAAAGCGACCCTTTGCAGGTTGTCTGTGTTGCTAGACATTGTGCACGACGAGGGGAAGTTGTGCACTCTCATAACTGCCGCCTCTCCTCCATCGTCTTCGCGGCGCTGTCCCGCGGCCGACCGGGGCTGGTGGGCGAGACCTCGGGCGTCGGATCCGCCTCCTCCTCGTACTCCTCAAAAATCTCAAACGTCCCTCTTTCCGCGATCTATCCCATGTAAAAATGTCCCCATGACCGCAGCCTTGGCATGCAGCTCTGCATCTACAAAGACACTTGTAATGCACATCCCCATGAGATGGATTTGTCGTCGTGTCTTGCCATTTGTGATTCTGTGAAACCTAACCAGGAGAAGCAGGCGTCTTTGTGATGCGAATATTCTTCTTAACCTGCACTGCACTACAGAGATAAAGTTGTCATGCATGACTCCAAATAAGTAAAACAACTTCTGGACTTGTACTGCAAGAGTTCGCAGCTTGACTCTGGACTTTGGGCCCGATTTTTACACAGGATACGATCAGTTCTTGTGTGATTTCCTCCATCGGCACGAGAATCAGCTCCCCGTGGTCGTCGGGAAACGCGGCGTAAAGCTTCCTCGTGGATTTTGGAGGCTTTTTCTCCCCCACATTCACCAGCGTCTCCGTGTGTTCGTCCCATCGCCGCTGAGACGCGCCGTCCCGAACCAGAATTTGGTTGTTCCCCAGGTCGAGTAAGTCGTCCTTGTGGTACACTGTACCGACTTCAGTGTCGATCTGGTGGTGAAAAGGGTTATTTAGGAAAAATGCAGCAAATTGTTTTTTTTTTTTTCCATCATGATGTAACCCGATTATATCACCGCAAAACTCAAGCTCAACACAAGAATGTCGCGATGAACTCTGGCTGTCTACTAAAAGTAAAAGTCAAAGTATCGCAAGAAAAAAGTGTTACAGTTACACATTTGTTGGAGTTTCTGCATCACAAATTTTCTCTGTCTGGCAGAGAAAACTCGTAATGCGAAGAAGATCATAAGGGAAAATATGTAGGAAACGAGGCTCGCAAGCATTTCCTGCATGACAAAGGTTGTCTGTATTGCGGCTTCTGCAACACAAAAAATCATACCGTCCCCGCCTTCAATCCCATGGCCTGGATGCAGCGCTCGTCGATGTCTTTCCCCTTCCGCTGCACGACCTGCTTCACGTTTTTCAGAGCGTCGGAAATCACCCCTTTGGTACTTAACAATTAGCTATGCGATGCAAATTTGTCTGGGCCTGGAGAGATGTGACACGGATTCTGGAACTACGGCACACGCACGGGCAAAGTTTTGCATTGCATGGTTCGCAAAAGCTGCGCGCTTTTGTCTCCGAAACAGAGTACTTCTCATGCAGACAATGCATGGAAAAGCCTCCGCTTAATTTACCATGCTACGTATTTTTTTCCAGACACAAAAACTGCATGCAAAATGTCTCCTTTCATCTTCCAGACCTAGACATCATATTTACAGTGCGTATTCGTCTAACGCCTTCTGCCCCTCGTCGTAGATCTGCTGGAGAATTTCCTCCCTTGTCTTCCGCATTTTCACCTGGTTCAGGTAATCCAAGGCCTGCGCCTGCTCCATCTGCCGCTGCTGAAACTGGTGCTTCTTCTCCATCAGGTCCTTCTTGAAAGACTCGAGCTCGCCCTCCTGCAGGCGAAAAAACTCGAACCGCACCTGATTTTGCTTTTCGTGTTCCCTATCAAGTGCAAAAATGTCTGGGTCTGGAAGAGTGCCAGACTTGCCATGCAGGTTTTCCATGACTTATGAGGTCTGGCATGTAGGACATAGCATGACAGATTCTGTGAGAGTTCTATCATGCCTATCCTGCATTAGAAACTGCCTCTCGATTAGGTCAAAAGTGGACAGCTTTTGGCAATCATGCAGCGCAGATCTTTACATGATTCACATTTAGCATGACAAGCTGCTTTGTTCCACACCCAGACATTTTTGCATTTGATATTCTCGCTCGAGCTGCAACTTGTTCGCCTTCATCAACGTGCCAAAAATCTGGTTCCACTGGTTCGCGTACAGGTCTTATCAAACGCAAAAGTGTCTGCGTCTGGAAGGTTGGAACTTGTAATGCTGTCTTTGGATTCTGAAAAAATCTGCATTGCATGACCAGCAGCAGGACTCCAGTTTGTGTTACGCGGAGAGGGCATTTCTCATGCGAAATAGGCATTAGGAAGCCCTCTAAAAATCTAATCTGTGTTGCTAGATCATGCATTACAGGCATCAGGCGTCATGCAAAAAATGCATGACAAACCTGGCACTCTTCCAGGCCCAGACATATTTGCATTTGATAGGTCTTCGAGGTACATGGACTGCTCTTTCAGCAAGGCCTCTTCTCGCTGGTCCGACACGACATTCTCCACATTGACCGTCACCCGCGGCGTAACCACCACCTCCCCGTTCTCCATCCCCACCTCGTTTTTCACATTCACGGACACGTTTGGGTTGACTTGAACCGGTGTCGCACTGCTCGTTTTCCCTGCCGCGCTACCCGGCGGACCGGCGCGACCCCTGACGAGAGATGGATTTTTCAGCTATGAATTAGTGTCTGACGTTTAGTGTTCAACATCGTTTGCAAATTTTTCGTCTTTATCCTCAAGTAAAATTAAAAAAAGGCCGCTCTACATGAAATGAAACTACAGCATTGTACATGATAATCGTGTCCGTTTCCTTTTTTTTGTCACTCAACTTGATCTTGATCTTCTTTCCCTCCGGTGCCTTCTGGTAGTCCAACAGGAGGTGATCCACTTCGCGGGCCGCGTTCGCCCCGCCCAGGTTGGAACTGAGCTCCGAGCGGCTTTCCGCCTGGCTGGTGTTCAAGCTGGACACGTCGTCCTCCGTCTTGTAGATTTTGTCCCTCAGCCGGCTGATCAGCTGCAGCTGCGTACTGGTTCGCCCGGCGGTCCCATCCTTCTTCAGGTTCAAGTAGCTCAGATTTTCCAACACCTGCATAGAGTTGTCCACGGGGTCGTCCGAGACCCGGTTTCGCAGCATCACGTGTGCCTCCAACAACCGGGCCGACCGCAACGCGTCCGGTGAAAGACTCCCCTCGCGCACGTAGGACCCGCTCGGGTCCCTCTTGAACGAGGTCCCTCCTTCGTGCAGCGACATGCCGTGGGGACTGCGCTGGGAGCTGCGCGGGCTGCTGGTTCGCGAGCCTCGCGGGCTCATCCGACTGGACTTCCGCTTCGGGGCGCCTTCGCCCGGGGAGCTTTGCGGCGCGGAACCGCCGGGAACTGGAGTGTGTCGGTAGTTGTTGATGCAGATCTTTATTTTGGTCGTGCACTTCTGTTGAGGACACTACACAAACACATCACAGAGCGCTGCTTGTGTTCCGGAACGGGAGGTAAACGTCCGAAACAAAGAACGTACAGTGTGCTTTGAAAAAATCATTTGTACCAAAGATGTCGTTCATGTCAATTCGACTCAAGTCGAACATGCCGTCCTTGCCCACCTGGTCGATCCAGACCCCGTCTAGCCCCTTGAGCCACCGTGCGTAATTCGGCATCCCGCTTTGCGGACAGATGATTGAATCAATCTCGACCAGCATTGCCTGCGCGATTTGTGGCTGGGACCCGCCCCGCACGAACGTGAAAACCAACGGTCGTCGTGCGTCAAACAAAAGCTTCAACTGGAACTCCAGCGGGAGCTCAGCGAAACGCCGCCCGATGTCTGTTTTATGGATAGGATGATACCACACTCAACTACCTTGTGCGAAAACACTTCATAATTCAAGCAGTACGAAGTAACTACTTTTGCACCCTTGTGGTGGAGGGTGGACGACAATATTATTATTAGCAAAACGAAGCCGCATCATCAAAAATCAACTTGTTCTCAACAAAGAGAATATGATGACGATACGCCCGACGCCGTGCAGGCGATCGCCTCTTCGGATCCCCTTTGACTCCGCCCAGCCGTTCGGGTGCACGCTCTTCACTTTGCAAACGCACAAACCGGCCGCGGACCTCTGGATCTCGAGCATCATGCCTAATAGGCACGGGGATACGGAAGTGTCCGCTACGACGCTGATTTTCGTTTCGTGCACCGGGAGGTTGCCGTCCGAGAGACTCTCTGGCCCGTCCTCGTCCGCCCCCGCATCTATGCCGGGCGGTTTTTGCTGGGACGAAAACATGGCTCCCTCGCCCTCCCCGCGCCGCGCCTTGCGGTCGTGCTCCTTGTTATAGAACGAACCCTCATCGCGGTAGAAGCTTTCGCCCTCCCCGTCTCTCCTGGGCGGACTGCGATTCCCCTCTGCGCGGGAGCGTGGGAAGCCGGCTCCTGCCAACTTGTCGGCGAAGGACGCGTCCGCGTTGAGAACATCGGACTCGAGCACGCTACCTACCTGGTCCCCGCGCCGCTCGGGGTGCATCTGCAGGTCGAGCGCGCGTCGCTCCCTTTCGTTTCGCAGCCTGAAAAATTTTTCGTAGTGTGGTCGGGCCAAGGTGCTGTACAAACTGTGTGAAAACCGCAAGGAAAAAATTTCATATACATTCTGGGCGGATTTGTTGTACCTGGTTCGACCTGTACGAAGGACATTTAGTACTGTGACCGAGCGTGATAAAAAAAGCGCTGTATACTTTTTTCTCTGCAGCCGCGCTGATTGTTCTGTCAGGGGTAATTGGTGTCCTATCTTTGTCAACTCATCCTCCATCGCAGAAGTCATGCCGTCGTCGTCGTCCTCTATGCTTGCAAAATTGTGAGAAACAACGTCGAATTTTTCGCGCCTCATCACGCTTCAATGAAAAAATGCATCTTCTTCATTTTTTGCTGTAGAAACAAGGTAGACACAGACTGCGCTGCACGACTACTTCCAACATGTCGTCCGCTCTTCGAAAAGAAAAAAAAAGTATGGTCAACATGCAGAGTTCGTGTACTTAACTTGCTGGCTTCAACAAGAACGATAAATTTCGGACTTTGTTCTCACCCACCAGGAGTCCGCCTGGATATCCTCGAGGCTGCGCGGAAGCGCGCTGTCCGTGTCCCGGAGGAGCATGTAGTCCGGGTGCGTTTCTTCTGCCATGCGCTGTACCTGGCGAAACATCGTGTGCGACCCCTCGAAGAGAGCAGGTGAAGAGGTAACGGTTGCCGTCGCGTTCTCGTCTTGTGCGTTTTTCCCACCGTCGGGTGTTCTTTCCTGCTTCCGCGCTTCCATTTCCTCCTGCTCTGTGTCCGACATCGCCGAGGCTCTCTTCCGACTCTTTCGTTTTTTCTTCTCCTGCTTCATCTTTGTAGTTCTGCTGTCCGACACAGAGGAGCTGTCTTCTTCCCCATTTTCCCCTTCTTCAATGCAGGGGAGCCGCTCGCTAGTACTCAGGATGACGTGCGGCCTAGGGAGGTTGTCCTCGCGTGCTGAAGCGAAACTAACCACGTGTTGATCGCGGCTTACGGAAGTAGCAGAGAGCATGTCGACATCATCTTCGTCAGGGACGTCATGTCCTTCCTCCACCTCGATATTACCGCCGCCGGCGTCAGGAGGATTCATCCTCTCGTGGTCGTCCACCTCGTGTTCAAAACTGCTTGGAGTAGTAGTTGTTTCGTGACCAAATGTAGTTGTCCTCCCGTTTTCGACGCGCCCTGCCTGCATCCACTCCGTCTGCTGCTCCATTTCGGCCTCTTCGACCAGGGAAGCCAGCGAGGTATCTTCGGGGTCGTCGCGCCCTGCAACGACCATGGCTAGGTCGTCGTGAGACACCGGAAGAAGAAATTATGCAACGAGGGGACAATAGTGCGGATCTGTTATCTGCGGTTGTCAACTACAACCCGCCACAAAAATGAAGATCGCGGAGGCAAATAAGTAGTGTGGCAGCAATTTCTTCGCCATGTGGTCGTACCTATCGTCAATATTTTTGCGCAGATGATACGGACACGATGAGTTCGTTTTGCTGACCCCCACGTCCTCCGCGGCGACGGCTAATCCGCCGTGCTTTGAAAAAAAACTTTTTATTGGAAAAGAATTTTTCAATATGCAAATCAATGAAAAGACTACGACCTTTGCAAAAAGAAAGTGAAAAACACCACGAATTTGTGACATCACAAATGAAATGCAGATTCGTTGCGATACGAATTTGGTAACTCGAAGAACGATGCTCATCTCGACACGAGAACGACAAGGACAACGAGTGCGATTTGCCAAATCTGCGGTTAACGAGTGCTAGCGAAACACGACAAGGCAACGGGTCGGTGTGAAGATTCATCATTCTCCGCGAGTGCAACGCGCACGCGATTCATGAAAAGCAATCCACGACTTTTTTTCAAAACAGAAACCGTGAATCGCGCGGATGAAAAGGAATCTGTCGCAAAACAAAGAAAATCGAGATTACGGAACGCAAAAAGTTCATCTTTGCGTGAAGGCCACAAAAGGTAGACGACACGCGTCCCTTGCTTTTCGAAGTTGAAAACGTTCTTTGAAGTTTTTCTAACGTATTTGAGAGGTAAGGGAAGAACTGTGGTTAATTTTTTATTTAACACGGTTGAAACAATTGCACCGTGCCCACGGCGTGTGGGAGTCCTCGTTTGGACTTTTTTCTGAGAGAACTGAGAGCCGGGAATTTTTTGAAACTCCATCACAAAGCATGATGGTTGTCCAACTCCGCGTTCTCTCTTGGTCGTCTCCGTGTTGAAGTCCCTTCGGCACCAGTTTATTGCTGTCATCGGGTTTGCAGCATCCACCCGAACCCGCATCACCCACTGGCTTTGGACAGCTTCCGAGTGCAGCCATCTTCTTGGGATCCAGCCAGCAGCGCGACAAAAGGAAACAACCAGTGACCCAGAGCAGGCCGACATAGTCTGGGTAACCACAAGAAGGAAGCCCGGGGTCTGTTACTGGTGATTTTGCTTTTTGCAGTTGTCGCGAGCGATCTGCTGCGTGGGAGGGTCGCCAGTTCTGGAAAGTGATACGACGGTGACACGACCACCGTGCCACCGGAGGATAACTCGCTGCTCTAGCCCTCCGGCCGGGCCCTGGAAGTAGAGACTACCTGCTGCTGCCGACGAACGGCGTTTGCCGTCCCCCCCACTGGCCGGAAGACGCTAAAAGACAATAAGGAACCGGCGTCCCGCGTAGCAAGTGAACCGAACCCGACCGTCATAGTCCAGGGGTCCCCGACAAAGGCTCCTGGGGTCGGGATTCGGCGATTTAAGACTACGCAAGCCCGGTCCTTGTTCGTCTCCAGCCAGGAGCGGACAGTGGATTTATCCTCTTACAAAGAGGATTTTTACTAGCCCGGAACCGCGTGCCGTCGTGTCTGAAGACGAACAACCGTCCCGGAGGAGCGGAATCCGTGCAGGGCCAGCTCGTAGCTTAACCCTCTAGATCCTGCAGTACTATCGTGCTGAACTGCCGGGCACCTGCGTCGCCACCGTGCCCCACATTTCCACCGGAGGCCCAAACCGGTGGCGAAGACGACACTTACCGTTCCCTCCGCTGTCCAGAAGACAATAAAACACAGCAACAGTTCCGAGGAAGGAGCAGCAGCGAAACGAAGAGGCGTGACCACCCGACGCACATCCACCCTTGCCGTCCTCCTGCCATAGCTGGTCGTCATAGTCCGTGCGGCCCCGACAAGGACGCTCGGGATCAGCGGGCTGGAGTACGCGCTACTGTCTTGAAGATCGAGGTGGTGAGCCGTAGTCGTGTGTGCTCACACTTTCTAGTCTCGTGCAGAACCCCCAAACAAAAAGATCCCAAAAAAGTAAAAGACGGCATCAGGGACAGTATACAGCTAGCCGCAAAAACAAAAGACCTCAAAAAAGTAAAAGAGTGGCAAGAGGCAACACAGAAATAGCCACCGGGGGTTCTGCTTTCCTCCGTTTTTCCTTTGCCAATATTGTCGCTGCGTCTCGCGATGATATGCTGCGCCGCCGGAGCCCGACAGCGATAGAGGAGCTCCTGCGGACAGGTGTGATCACAGAACGCGAGGCGAAGGAATACCGCGAGAACACGGAGGAAACGAAGCAGCACCTAACCAGCCTGCACCACCTCCCGCTCCTCATCCCCTTCACAAGCAACTATACCGCGTTGATAAAGGTCGAACGCGACCACGACAACCTAGCGCAGGAAACAGAGGAGAGACGCGGGTGGCTCCGGTCCAAGGAGACATCACAGCAGCACTTCGCAGCGTCCCGAGGGGATTTCGCGCTCTTTGTCTACGAGTACTGCCCCTGCAACCTCATCGTGGAACTGACGAGGAACAGAGCGCCCGCTCAGGCCCTTGCCACGACAGAGTCACTACCGCTGACAGTGCGCGACCTCTTGTGCTCCACCCAGCACGACAGTAGCGCGTTTCTGCAGGTTGAGCGGGTTGCCTACGGCCAGTACAGCCTGGGCATCGTATACGACCCTTTCGGCGGCGACCCGGGCATTACGCTGCTCATCGAAAGGATCGAGGAGAAGGTCGCTCGGGACCTCGCTGAGAGGACACGAGCGGCGGAGGACCACAACGCGACGCTACTTCAGGAGCTCCACGCCTTGCGAAGGCTGAAGAGGGTGGGGGACACCGGGGGGACGCCGGACGTCGGGACTCCTGCAGGGGACGGCGAGTAAAGTAGAGCTGTCGCGCACCCCGCAGAGCCGTTTCGCCCCGCCGCGAATTTAGTGTCCCAATCCCGCCGGGCTAAAACTGCGCTTTCGGAGAAACGGGGACCCGAGATTCCCAGAAACCGCGGCTACAGCTCGGCGGGTTAAGGACTTCTTTTCTCCAAAATCCAAACAACGACGTGAATCGCTACTCGGAAGCGGCGACTTTTCCTCCTTAGAGTAGTGCAGCGCAGAGGTCCGCCAGAACCAACCGGAACCTGCTGTGAACAAGCGGCTGCAGAAACGCGGCATGTTCGGCACGGGAGGCAATCCGGAAGGCCAGTTCCGGTACCAGCAGTGGCCAACAGGCCCACAACAGCGGACCAACAACGTCGTGCAGCAAAACCCCCCGCAGCAAGGATGGGCGCAGCAAAATACACTACAGCAAACAAACCATGTGCAGCCACAGAGCGTCCAACCTCCCGCGCCAAACTATGGGGGGCCGGCTTTGGGGCAGGGAGCCACTCCTCTTCCGACAGTAAACGACTACCTCGTATTACACTCGATGCAGGGAGCCGCAGGTGGAGGGCCGACAGGATACCAGACCGCATTCCCAGTCGGGCAGCAGGGCGGCCTCCCGCGATCGGGTGATAGTCTCGGGGCACAGTCAGGTAACTTCTCCGCGCCTGCGTTTGGCAGTGCCTTCAACCGGCAGCAAGGTGGCGGTGCACATACGATGCTGCCGCCGGCACAGCCGGCGCCAACGCAGCAGACGTCTTTTAGTTTCCAAGACGTGCAGAGACTACTCGCAGCACAACAGCAACAGCTGCAGCTCCAGCCGGCCGGAGCACAGACCGGGCAAGCGGTGACGCCGGCCACACAGGGTGTGAACCCAGCGGGAGATGCGACAGGACTCCTGGGGGCCATGACGCAGCACCACCAAGACGTGCGGCATCTGCTGGGGCAGCTGCAAGGGCGAGAGATCGCCGTTCCACTGATAACGAGGAACGCTCTTACCGGAGAGCAGACCGGCACGGAGCAGCTCGTAGCTTTGTCAGAGGAGATGCGGGAGGTCCGCAAGGTACTGGAGTCCATGGCGCACAGCCAAAACGCGGCGGCCCACCAGCAACCCCCGAAGCCCGTCACGGAGGCAGAAGCCAGTGGTAGTACTGGTAAACAACAGCAGCAACTGCTGCAGCAACTGCAGCAGCAACTGCAAATGCAACAGCAACAGCAACTGCAGCAGCAACAGCAGACGCACCAGCAGCAGCAAACGCACCAGCAACAGCAACTGCAGCAGCAACAGCAGCAGCCTCATCACCAACACTCCGACCAGATTATCAGCACCCCGACAGCAACACCACCAACCCAAAGCACCTACAACGCGATCCCGCCGGGCGGTGGCATTGTCATCCCGCAAAGACCCCTCCCTGTTGGCGCCCCGGCAGAAGCGGCCCTGCCCAGGACAGGCGAGGTACGGGCGGGCACACAGCAGTCGCGAGCGACAGAACGCGGAGCTCGCGAGGAGGCCGCCTACACACGACCGGGGGCGCAAGGACCTGCGCCAAACGCCGGCGGCACCGGTACGATAGGGGTACATCAGCAGGGTGCGTGCTACCCCCACCAGGAAATGGACCTCGTGACGGTCCTGACCCTCATCCTGGAAGAGCAGTTCCGCCGGGTCTTCCGGGCCCTACAGAACCACGGCCTGCTGGCGCTTGTCGTTGTCGCCGTCGGAATAGCGGTGCAAATAAACTCGCACTACATGGCCAACCCGGGAGCTTCGATGATGATTGGGGGACACGCGGGGGCGGAGCTGGAGGAAGAGACGGTCGTCTCGGGCCAGATCCCGGGGCACCTTTACCTCGACCGGGAGGGAGAATACGGAAGCCCAGCGCTGCGCCGGGTCTTCCCGGACCTAAGAACGGGACCGGAGCCCAGTGCTGCTGCTTTCCACCATGGGCGGTGGCACCCAGACCCGTCGGTGCTGTCGCCGCTAGGCGCCGTCGCGATAGTAGTGTGCACGGGCACGGCGCTGGGGGTGGTATACGTCGTCGCAGACGCATGCCGGCGCGCCTGCTCGAACAGAACGCCGCCTCCAGGATGGGGCGCCGATGTAGCAGCGACTCCGATCCAACACGCGTGTCCCCAGGCCCACGCAAATACCCCCGCCTCACACCAAGAATTGGTGACGCAGCGCGACCTGCTCCCTGGACACAGCAGCCGACAAGTAGGGGGCGCAATAACACAAATCCAGCAGGCCCCCCCTGCCCTTCCTGCACATGATGAAACAGCAGCGGCGAATCATCAGGATGGCAACACAGCAGCGGCGAGGGAGCCTGCTCTCCCGCGGGTCCGGCAGGAGCAGGAGGTCCAGCCAGAACAGACTCCTCCTGGCCTGGGGCGTGCTGCCGGGACGCAGGCCGCAAGCGGACCTGCGCAGGGGGAAGCCCTGCAACACATCTCCAACTCCGGAACAAGAGCAATGCTTGCAGCGGCGCACCCGACAGCAGAGCAACAGAGGCTCCTACGGCAGCCGCCCGGGCTGGAAGGCAGCGACGCCAGTGGCGTTGCAGCCCCTGTACTACAAGCGGAGCAACTAAATCGCGTGCAAGGGGGTGGGAGTAGTAGCAGTAACACAGGGCGCGCCAGTGTTGGCCTTGACGGGGACGAAGACCCGGAAGAAGCTGCGCGTGCGGTCGAAGGCGTTGTGTCGGTCCAGGACCTCCCACACTACCAGAACACCGAGTTCTGCGTTGTAGTCGGCCTGGGGGACACGCTAAAACAAGCAGCAGCAACACGGCGCTACTACTGCTCGCACTGCACGTACAGCCGCGGGTACGCGGGTAGGGTCCAGGGCTTCAGCGAGCACATCGCAAAGGCGCACAAGAAGTGCACCACCTTCCTCTTACCCGAGTGTAGCCGGGGGAAGGAGGTCAAGTACTACACCCGCCACGTGGTCGGGCCGGCCAAGGGCGCAGCGAAAAGCGAGGAAGAGCAGTACGGTGTCAAGCACCCAGTCGTGCAAGGGGCTGTGCGGGTCGCGCAGTGGAACTGCCAGTCGCTCAACCAAAGCGACGAAGCGGCGGCTTCTGTGAAGGGGGCGGCGCTGCGCCAGCTGCTTGAGGAGCACGAGGTGGACTTGTGCCACCTCCAGGAAACCTGGCGCGGTGAAGAGTTCCTCCGCGAGTTTCTCCAGCGCCACGTCCCGGGCTGGGAGGTGCTTGAAGTCTGTGAGTCCGAAGGCAGCGGGGGAGGGGCTGCCAGCATCGTACGAGAGGGGCGAGTAGGTGTCGTGAAGTCAGACCCGGACTTCCGCATTGTCGCGGAGGGCGGGAAGAACGTTGCCTCCACCTGCGCCACCCTGTTCAACCTCGACACGGGCAAGGAGTGGGGCGTAAGCGCGAACGTCTACACTCCTCCGGGAATCCCCGCCCTACCGGCAATCAACATGCCGCCGGGGAAGGAGATTGCAATTTCCTGGGACGCGAACCACACACAGGAGCCGCGGGCGACCCAGGTGAAGACCTGGGCAACTGCGCAGGCGCTGGAGTTCTACACCACCCCGCTGCCGACCCGGCCTGCGTCGAAGACCTCGCCGGACGTAGTGTTGCTGACCGGAGGACTACTCGCCCGGGCTGCCGAACTACAGCCGCAGGGGCCAGCAGTGTGCCTCGTCGGCGGCGACCATGCGGCCCTGGTCTTCGACTTGGTGGAGCCACGTGCCGATCAGCGTCCGGGGAAGCAGAACTTCACCGCCAGCAACACAGCAAAAGACGACGCCGGGGGAGGAGGGGCGGGACGAGGCCGCGCTACTGGCTCGGGGCAGAAGGCTGACCAAGGCCTCCGGGGCACACAGGACGCCGGTTCCGAAACACAGGGAGCAGGAGGAGGGGGTGGGAAAGTAAATCTCACCGGGAGGCAAAAGAAGGTTCTTCGCAAGGAGAAGTTCGAGCGCCTTCGGGCCCAGCGCGCGAACAAGCACAGCGCGGACGCGCAGAGTAGCACAGGGGAGAAACGACTGCCGGTCTTGCCGGGGCTGGGTTTGCTAGTTGCCGCAGTCTCCGGGCTGGCACCGGTAGTCCCCTCATTTGGCGGCCCCACACCGGTCCCGACACCAAGCACAGAAACGCCATCTGCGCCGGCCCCCGGGGCGGTCGCGACCCTCCCGACGGACCCCACGGCAGCTCCGTGGAGCCCGGACTTCTGGCAGGAACCACTCCCCACAACGACGAGGCGCACGCGACTGAACTTCAACCGGGCGGACTGGGACTTGTACCGCGCAGACATGCGCACCTTCCTCCGGGACCACCCGGCACCACTGTCGGTCGAGGCCAAGTTCGCACACATCCGCGCTGCGATACAAGCCGCCGCGCACAGGTCCATCCCGCGCAGCAATGTCACGAGAAAGAGACACAGGCAGCCGCGGTGGCAAACAGGCACGGAGCTAGACCTCGCACTGAAAGAGCGGGGAGAGTGCATGAAGCGCGTGGCCTTCGCACCGCCGGCGGAGCGACTGTTCTGGCGCACCGCGTTACGGCGCGCGACGGCGCGTGTAGCAAGCGCCGAGGCCAGCAGGAGGGACGACGAGTTCGGGCAAAAGCTCGAGCAAGCGGAGCAGACAACCAGTGGGGCCTTCCGGCTTTTGCGGGAACTAGAAGGGCGGCCGCCGCCGAAGCAGCAGACCACCGCGCTGCGATACGCGGGGAAGCTGGTGTTCAAAAAGCTCGCATGTGTCTTGGCGCATTTCTATGGGTCCCACCCGGTGCTGGACCCCGGGGCCGAACGAGTGGCCTGGGACCAATACCAGCACACACTAGCGGAAGAGCTAGCGCCGAGCACAGCGTTGAGCTTGGAGCTGGACGACGTGGAGTTCGCTTTGCGGGGACAGAAGCCGGGCGGGGCTCCCGGGCCAGACAGCATCCACGGGGTGCTGCTGAAAAACCTCCCGCAACAGGGCAAGCAGCTCTTGCGCGCAACCTTCGAGCAAGGGGTCACCGAAGGCGTGACGCCGGAGGTAATGCGGCTAGAAGTCTGTGTACCAGTACCAAAGCCCGGCCGTGCCGCGGACCTTCCCAAATCCCTCCGGCCGGTGGCCTTGACGTCGTGCTTGGGGAAAGTCTGGGAACGCACAGTACTGCGGCGCCTGCGGCTAACCTTCCAGGCGGAGGGGGCCCCGTTGTACAGCAAGAACCAGTACGGGGACACACCCGCAAGAAGCGCGACGGACCACACGGCAACGCTGGGGGCCCTGGCCTCCGACACCCTGCGCAAGAACCGCCGCAGGGCGACGTGCTTCTTGGACCTGAGCTCGGCCTTTGAGCGCGTGTGCCCGCCGCTGTTCCTCAACGGACTACTGGAGCGGCGGCACGAGTTTAAAAACCCGGCACGAAAACAGGAGTTCCTGCTGCTCACGCGGTGGATCTGCTCCTTCGTCACCAACCGACGCCGGGTGGTGAGGTTCAACAACGAGACCTCCCAGGCCGTCCCGCTGCGCCAGGGGGTCCCGCAGGGCACGTGCCTCGGGCCGCTGGTCTGGTGCAGTTTCGCCGACGTACTGCTCCGAGAGCTGCAGAAGAAGTGCCCGAGGGTGCAAGTCCTCGCGTACGTGGACGACTTGGCGCTCACACTGGAGTACGGCCCCGGGGAAACAGGGGAAGCACAGAAACTCCTCCAGGCTGCCCTGGACGTGGTCGCCGACTTCTGCAGCCGGAGCAATATGGAGCTTTCCCCCGGGAAGTGTTCGTATATCGTCTTCCAGAACGAGTTTGCATGCGACTTGGATGCGCTCGCCCTGCACCACGACGGGGAGAGGCTCGTCTACGACCCCTACCCACGCTTTCTCGGTGTGTGGTTTGATCGCAAGTTGACATTCTGTCGGCACTTTGCAGTCATATCCGAAACCCTGACCAAGAGGATGGCGGCGGTGCGCATCCTCTCGCGTGCGTTGGGCGCCGGGTCGAAGTCCGTCCGGGCTTTTTACCAGTTATTCTGCGAAAGCGTCCTCACGTATGGGCTAACAACATACTGGAACGGGCTCGGGGCGAAGGAAGCGGCCGCCCTGAACAGTTTCCAGCTGGAGGGGGCCAAAGAAGTGCTGGGCTTTCCGAAGTTCAGACAGGTGAACCGCGCCTGCGCACTTATGACGGCCGGCCTGTTGTCGCTCCCAGAGCTCTACCAAGTGGAAAGCACGGCGCTCACGGCCCGCGCTTTCTCACGCCCGCCCGGGGACGCGCTGCGGGAGGTCGCGAACACCTCGAGCGTAGACTGGCTAGAAACCGGCTTGCAAGTGATCGACGAATCAAACGTCGCGGCCTCGTCCGTTCTCCCCGAGATCGGCGCGAAGGCAGGGCGGGGGTGGTCCGTCCTCCACGAGGCTGAGGAGCAGGGCCGCTTCGAGGCGACGTGGAGAAACGAAGGCACGCCGGCGCTGGTAGACACCCTCCGGGAGTCCAGCCTGGTGCTGTATTGTGACGGGTCGGTCAAAGACTTTGCCGGGTCTTGTGGCGTCTTTCTGCATGGGTTCGGCATCCAGTGTGGGGCGGCGTGGCCCATCGGGCTCCACACGGATTCGTACGAAACCGAACGCATGGCGCTCATCGCAGCCTTCCGAGCGGTGGCACGCCACGCGCTGAAAAGCGAGCAGGTGACGATCTGCACGGACAGCCAGTCCAACGTGCGGGCGTTGCTCAATCCGAGACTGCGGGACGACCTGGACACCGAGGTCTACACGGCTGCAGCGGACGCGCTGCAAAGCTGTGCCAAGCTGGTCGTCCGATATGTGCCAGGGCACGCCGGCATCGCGGGGAACGTGGTCGCCGACCACCTCGCGGGGTACGCCAACCGCAGCGACCTGCAGGAAGAGGGCGAGCCGATCACGCACAAGCAGTTCAAAACGGAGGCCCGCCGCTACGTGCGGAACGAAGCCCGCCGGAACCTGGCCGAACGGCAACGGGACGAAAAGACAAAGAGCAAAACAGCGCAAACGCTCCAGGAAACAGGGGGCTGGGGGCGTGATCTGGTGACCGACGCCGGCGGCCGCGTTGGCCAGACCATGTATTACGCCCTGCGCTTTGGGTTGTTGGCGGCGCAACCGAGTGGGGAAGACCTCGACTGTGCTCTATGTGGACAGGGGAAGGCGACGACGGCGCACTTCGTGCACGAGTGTCCGATCACGCAGCCCTTCTTCCGCTCCTGGGACCTCGGGCACATGGAAGAGTGCCGCGACAAACCGAACCAAGTCGCGAGGGCCCTGGCGGAAGCCAATGCAACCCTTGCACCACTCACCGGCCCCTTCCCAGCAATCCGGCACCAGTGGTGGTCTGACGCACGCGGCCGCAACGCGGTTGATGAGTGACGCTCTGCAAAAGACTCCAGACTAGTTGAAAAATTTTTCTCTCATAAACGCCTTCTTTTTCTCAAAGTCTCTGAACTTGACTTTACACACTTAGCAGAAAGCTTCGACTTCGCATTTAAATTTTTATAGTGATCAAAAGGTTAAAAAGCGACCAAAGTGTCGCGATCTCCCTAAGCACGGCAGGACTGGCTCAGCCTGCAGTCAGCTGTGCCTTTTTTCAGCGACAGATGGTTATGGGCAGTAGTATCTTTTTCCAACAGGCCGTTTTTAGTTTTAAAGCAGTTGCACACTAGCACTACCGGTAGCAGTCACTGAGTATTTTTTCAAGCTTCTCTGCGTAGAGGGATTTTTATTGAAATAGCGCTAAGGAAAAAAGGTGAGTAATCGCGTTTCCACCTTACCGCATTTCTACAAACAAACAAAGTTTTTCTATTTAATTTTCTTCTATGATCAATGTTTTTCAATTTCTTTTTTCAACGAAACTGGAGCGCCCGCCTGTTCTCTCTTGTCCCGCCGTCCCACCGTCGTTATTACCAAACTCAAGTTCCGCACGCGTACTACCTATTTTTGTTTTCTTCTCTTCCAAGCCAGCCCACGTGCTTGCGAGCAGCCTGTGCTGACAATTGTGCGCCAGTATCCCGGTTGCCAGCACTACGATGCCACAGCCGAGATAAGCCAGCCCTTGCCACAAAATTTGCATCGTCGGCTCGCTGTACCCTTTATCCACCTTCATATTTGCGAAGTCCGCCAAGTGCATGTTCACCCACAAAGGGCACATGTAGGTGGTGACCCGACGGGCAAAGAGGTCTTTCACGCGCGTGACGCGGGAACCTATAGTTGTCGCGAACTGCAGAGGAAGAAACTTCTTCTGTAATTTATCACCCTTGTTGTTTTTCGACGCACCCACGTGAGAGCTTTTCACCCGCTTGTCCCGGACTTGATCGAAGTTTTTGAGAACGCGCGGATTTGTCACCCTCTCATCGAAGACTAGCTTTTGCAAACTGCTTTTCAGAAAGTCCACCGCCTGGGAGTCGATGTAGCCCTTAGTACTCGGTGCCAGTCGAGACTCGTCGAAAATAGCGGCGTGGGTTGTCGTGATTCCACTTGCAGCTTCCGCAGCAGTTTCTTCCTGTTCGTCTTCTTGCATTCGCATTGTTCCTTTCGAAGATATTGTTCCTGCAGGACGACCACAAGAACCGGATTTGTTATACACGACCTCATCCCGAACAACGGTGGTGGTGATGCTGCCCAACCCCCCGAACCCCTCGGTATCTTTCTTCCGCCGATGCTCCACGGTACGTTCGTCCAGGTTCTCATTGAAGTGAAACTTGCTCAGCGCCTCCCCGAGCTTCCGAAAGTTATGTTCCTCCGCTAGGAAAATGTCTTCGTTCGTCGTGTTACGCACCTGGATTTGGTTTTCTTTACTCCGGCGGCTCTGGCTCGTGAAGAGTTGTGTTGCAAGGGAATAGAAGTTGCTGTTCCATATAGATTTATTTGTATTTGTTGAGATGTCCGATGGTGGTGGTGCTGTCTTCTCAAGCGATATGGCATGCTCCTCGCCACCGGCCGAGGAACAAGACGATGTCACTGACGGAGAGCCCCCCGCGGTACTACTAGTAGAAGAACGATGGGACGCGGCCGCGTCATGATCTTCATCTTGTTTCGGAGTTGTACCAGTCGAAATCCTGCCGCGGGCTGCGACCTTTTCCTTGCTTGATATGATCCTAGTCTCGTCGTTCTTGGCATGAAGAAAATCATCTTTCCGCCCCCCTGGTCGTGAATCAAGATCAACGCTTGGACTTTGAAGCAGAGCCGCATGAGCACTGCACGCATGATCCCCGAATGTAGTACTGCTTTTCGTTGGCGCGACGGAATCAGTACCAGCCTGGCGAGAAACAGGAGCCCCGTGATGGTGTACTTTTTGCCCTGATGCAATAGCTGCCCGCTCACCTGTATCCCGCGCAAAACAAATATCGCACTCGCATTCATTGCATCAGTGCATCATGACAGATATCGATCTCTAGTACCTTGTCCAGTATGACAGACCCGCCCATTTTTACCATCGTTTCTTTTGAAAACACTTGTCATGCAACCAATACTGATACGATATTGGTTTTGCTTTTGCAATGCATAACACGCCGGATGATCCTGCTCGACCATATCTTTTTCATCCTTGCCGGCGAAATCGTCGCTGCCCCAGGGTTGGAATTTCTGGTCCAGCAAAGCCACGATGGTCGGGTGGTCCCGGCTCAGCAGGAGGGCATTCGACTGCCAGTTTACCGCGCGCACATGCAGCCGCACACAGGGAAGGGCTTCGAACCTTTCCTCGGTTGTGTGTAAGTCTAAGTCTCCGAGCAGCTCGGAGTCCGGGTCAGCATCGTCGTCGTTGTGCAGAGCATTTGTTTTGCCGTTGCTTTCATCTTTTGTTTCTCGTCCTGAAGAAACCGAATCCATGAATCCACCGCTATTTTCCGCTCGACCTGCCTTCGTCTCCATGTCCTGGCGGCGGTATTTGCTATTATTCGCCTTCTCCTCTGCCCGACAGTCTGCCGTCTCTTTGGCCGTCGCCGGCACAATCCGGATCCACTCCAGCTGGCGCATTGCGGTGACGCCGAAAACCCGACGCAGGGCCCGCCACAGGTAAAAGAAGTAGAAAGCCAATGAGGAGCCTATCCAGGGCGCGAGGGGGAGCAGGCCGGGGATGTTCAGAACGGACAACCCGACACCCGCAACCGTGAACAGGCCCACATATCAAAATGAAAAGCGCTCCTACGCCCGAAATATTTCTATTGCAAAAGCTCTAGGGGGAAACATTCGTTCCCCATCTTGCATATACATATTCCAACAAAACAAACTTTTCTGCCGAATTATAGCAAAAAATTGTGTTGCACAGCCGCAGAGTTTGTCATGTAGCAGATGCGTTCACCGCCTGTCTAAGCTGTGGATCAGGGAGGCCCGTACCCCTTGTATGAGAGACCACGGCTTTCCATTTGAAAGTTTTACATCAAAGATTTTCTACACTTCTGGGGGTGGGGCTTTTTCATTTTAGTACCCCAGTAAAAAACTGCAGTGTCGCGACGAGAACCCGGCTTTCGAAAAGTTGCGTTTCATTATTGTGAAGAAAAATTCGCTCTCGCCATACTCAAAAGAGGATTTCTAATGCGTGATTTGTGTCCACAAATGCCAGAAGGCAAAGAGACAAACTTGCGGCCACGTTCGCAAGTAATTTGCCATGCTTTTCCAGGACGCGGCGCAGTTGCTTCCTCTCATATTGAAGACGGAAGGACTTCCGACGCCAGCCAGCACTTCATTCAGCATTTCCTTCCTTCTAGCATGACAAGTAAATTTGTGATCACAAATGCAAATCATGGATCCTACACAAATATCCGCGTTCGTATGGCGAAAGGGAATCACTTCATTCTGATATTCGTCGGGGTTTGCGTACACCATAACCCCCTTCTTCGGGATCTGCAGTGCGGGTGCTGTGTTTTTTTCGTACGAGATGACGTCCTTCTTATCAGACAAAGTGTCGGGGAGCCAGTCATGCTGAATCGCGATCGCTTTTTCAAATAAAACGACCGCGGTGTGCTTTGTGCCGCTGATGTTCCCATCCTCGTACTGTGCGTAGTCGACGCTGTTGCCCGTACGAAGCCGCCGGACAACGCTGAAGTGACGCGGGTGCTGGTGCAGCCGAAAAAATCTGCTCTCGTGACTTGATGATGATGCTGATCTCGATTTACCAGATATCGCAGCCAAAAAGCCCTTTTTCCTCCGGCAAATTATATCGAGGCAGTGCCGAACTCCAGCTCTTCCGCCGATAAACGAATTCTCCGTCGCAGCAGTGGAGTGCAGCAAGCGCGAGCATGCTATCGTAAGGAAAATTCCCCCTGCTCCTAATACTGAAAAGGCATGACTCTGAATATTTGCGCTGCTGTTTCATGGCCACAAAATCGCTTCGGTTTTGCAAGCGAGCAAACCCAGAGTCGGCCACACTATGTAGGTAATTCATCCAATTTGTACTGGTACTAGGCCTACAGGGCACGCGTCTACTATGGTAGGCGCCTACGCCAAAACATTCCTGCCCACAGACGCAATCTGCCTGCAGCTCCTCACTGCAAGACAGAGTTGACGGTGTAGACAAATCGCCAACCAGAGATTTCCATTTGAATAAGGGGAGCAGGGATTTTTCATCCTGATACATGCCGTCATGATATCTGTCTTGGACAGTCTAGGAGTCTCGTTTTCGTTTCTGTTTCGCAGCCAAAAAAAACTACGCAGGGTCGTGGACGATCCGCAAATTGCAAGAGTCATAGCAGGGTCGTGAACAATCTTGGTCAGAATCATGATGATAAAACTTCGCAAAAGAACAAATAATCCCTCTCCTCGTCGCATACGTATGCATTTTTCGAAGATGTACATGTCCTTGCTCTCCATGAAGATTCGTTTCAATCTCTCGAATGTGCGGAGCTGCTGGTCGTCATACATAACTTGAAATGGAAAAAACACATCACATCCTCGTGAGACGAACATACAACACAAACCAGACGCAACACGTACAAAAAGCAGGAGTTGCACAATATTAGAGGATTTCATCTAACAGCGTTCGAGCGGGTTCTTTCTGATCACCCCTGGGGAGGTGTCGGGTGCGGGAAATGGTTTGATTTCTACGGGGAGCAATGACGGTGCAGAAGGAGTAGAAGTTTGCATGATTTTGAAAATTTTCATTGGGAGATAGTTGTAAACACTCTGCTGGTCCAGTTAAACTATTCTCATGGGGAGATCATAGTAGACACTCTGCTGGTCCAGTTTCAACGACGTAAATGGTCGAAAATTCTTTCCGAGCAGAGATCATCACAAACATCAGTGGAGGAAAAAAGAAATAAGTATAACAATGGAATATGAGACTCGATAGGTTTGCTCTTTCGAATTTCAACTGAAAACTGCTTCGACTACTGGTAAAAGATATTTCTAGACTCTAGAGCTGTGCTTCACGATAGTGATGAATCCGAATAATAACTAGCCCAGTTTCGCGGTCCAGCTGCACGACCCGGGTTTGTTAGTTCTTCTTCTTTTTCTTGCTATGCGCCAAACCAAACAAAAACACAGTGAAACTGAAACTCCACGACAACCCCAGCAAGCGCTCGGCCGTTAATTCTGTTCCTCGATCGCCGGCACGGTGGTCTCCGCCGGCGCGGCGCCCTCCTCCGCGGCGCCTTTCTTTCCGCCCTTTTTGCCGCCCTTTTTTCCCCCACCCTGCTTCTCCATGTGGTCGGCGGAAAGCCCAGTGACCAGGCCCTCCTTGTCGAGCGAGGAAAAGATTTTCTGGTACATCTGCGTGGACAAATTTTTGCGCCACTCGTCCAGTTGCACTGTCTATGAACTGCAAATATGTCTGTCGTGTCTGGAAGATTGCAATACTTGTAATGCTCCGCTAGTAGCAAGAGCGCGAATTCTGTGATGCATGTTGCACAAAAGCATGGCTTCTTTCTCCGGCGAAGCGGCGCTTTGTCACGCCGAGTGGGGAACAACGCTACGGCCTATCAAAAATCTGTGATGCGTAAAAACTGTGTGGTGCACGTGCGCTTGTCATCCACGCACTAGCATGACAATGACGCCCTCCCAGACCCAGACATATTTTCAGTGCATAACTCACCGTCCTGATTGATGTCCAGACCCTGCACGGTCTCCACACACATCTCTTCCGACAGACCCATCGCCGCGTATCCTGAGCAAAAACGTCCCCAACAGGTTTCTTTTCATGCACATTGACATGCACGGGACCCCTTTCCCTACAGTGCGCATCTCCATGAGAGGCATTCCTAGTCGTGTTCTGCATCATATTGACTTTTTTGTACTAGAGAAAATGCTCTAAACAAGACGATACGTAGACGGCTTTGTTGAAGAAATCCTCTTTCATGGCTGTCGTTGCTAAGCTGCCCCTGCAGTGTGTTCATGCGCGACCACATCAGTCCTCCCGACTGGTTGATTTGTGCAACAAAGCTCCTGGGGACGTTTTCGCACAGGATACCGCGAAGGCGGCTTTCATTTCGTCCATGGACAGGGCGCCGGACTTGTCCGAATCAAACTGCTGAAACACCTTCGCGATGTTGAAAGCCGGCCGAAACGTGGTCACCATGCCTGTCAGTTTCAGATGTGGACAATGACTTCTGAATGGCTAAAAAGTTATTTGTGTCCTCGTCTAGTAGGTACGTACAGACTACAACAGCTGGGGTACTTATTTGATGTCTTCGGATGACGATGACACAGCAATCAACAAATCTATAAATTCGTATTAACAGTTGTACTACCTTCCGCGTCCACCTTCTCGGCCAGCTTCTCCGAAATTTCCGGCATCATGTTGGCGTTCCATCCCTCGCAGGTGATCACCTTGCCATCACCCATCTCCGTCAGGCAACGGTTGACGTCCAGTTCATTCAGGTCGATGGCTTTCAGCGCGCGCTTCAGCTCGTTTTTGTCCAGCTTGCCGTCCTTGTTCGTGTCAAATTGCTCAAACACCTTCGTCAAATCCACCGCTCCGCGGTGGCCGGCCGGAGCCGCGGCGGGGGCCGGGGCCGGCGCAGCCCCGGCCTCCACACCGGCACTGGTACCGTCACTGGCCTTGGCTGGAACACTGGCACCGCAACCCATTTTTGTAGCTTTTGTTTTGGGGCAATAAATAGATATAACAAATGGAAAAAGAGGGAAGAAAAGCGATGTTGATGCTTTTGTCTAGTCGCCCTTCGACACAGGGATAGAAGAAGTGGGAAAGATTTGAAAGCGTTGAATTTCACAACGGTAGTACTTTGCCTCGTACGAGAAAGGGTTGCTTCGTCTCTTCAGAGGCCGCGGCGAGAGTCGTGAGAAACTATGAACTGTGGTTGAGTTGTCTTCAAAAGCGAGGATTCAAATATGCTGATGTCCCACTACTTCATGATTCTACGACATTGCGAAATCTTTCATCGCGTAGAGATCATCACAAACGGACGATAACAATGCTGAACGAAAGAGGAAACGCACGAAATAGACAAGCACGACAGCAACGATCACGACGTAGTTCTACCGACAAGCAAAAGCTAAACACGACCACACGACAGAGACATCACACAGAAGGAGATTGCTTGCAGAAGCTGAAGCCTCAGGTAGCAACAACAAGGGCTACCGATTTATTTCATTCTCACAAGACCAAAACGACATCTTGCACACTTCCTTGCAAACAAGCTGATCTGTCATCACACAAGAGCCCATCGTCGCTGCAAGATGGTCTCAAAGTGTCCCTGATCTGCTCAATCGCTACAGAAAGAGAACAAGAACGGGGGCCGCGAGACAACAACAAAAAACGTCGCTCTACGGTTCAATACAGATCCGATCTTCTTGTTACGATTTTTCTCAGCCTAGGACGAACAACCTTTTACGAAGGAATATAGCGTACGAGTCATCTTTTGTCGTTTGAGGACGGCGCAAGATGGTGCCTCAGAGTCACAATAAACTTGATCGCGTTTGTGAGCATCACTTGTCAGTATTACGTTCGTTACCTCGAAGAGCACAAAGCGATGCTCATCCATCTTCTCGCGATTTCGCTACAGCCGATTCACTTCAGCTGGTTGCTGATTTTCATTTTTGTTCCGTCTCCTAAGTACAACATTAGTCGCAGCTCGGCTCATCTCATCATTGGGAAGTCCATCAACATCTTCGCCACCGCGTCAGTCTGTGGCCGCATTACTTCCTGCACCGTGCCTGGTGGGATCTCATTCTGCTCTGTGCGGAATGACACGGAAGCTACCCACAAAACCTTCCGTTTGCCGCTCTCAGAGGTGTGGTCATGTATCGTGTCGCAAAATCAGGTTGTGTACACCTATCGTCGGGGGCGCCATTGGGTGGACGACCTGGTGTTGGCCTGACGCCGAAGACGTGGGCGGCCGATCTGCCATTGAAATTATGTTTCCTTGACCTATTATCGGAGGCGCGTCATCTGGGCGCTCCTGGTTGTTTGGTGGTGGGTCGTCGCTTGGTGAGTTAGTACCTGCAGGCGGTCGACCTATCAACGGTGTATCGCCTGCCGGAGTGATGGTAGTGGTATTACCACTACCATCAGCTGGAACCGGGGCTGGTTCAGTACCTAAGGTAATGACCCAGCCCGATGGTGGTCCCAAGGTGAATGTACCGGGAAGACACCCCTGGCATGGTGGTCTGTTTTCCAGACTGTTCTCCTGGCTGGTGGTAGTATTAATGTCCCGCCTGCGCTCAGTAGGCTGCTGAGTAGGTGCCAAAGGAACTCCAGCACTGGGCTGCCGCATAGGCGCAGCGGGGCCAGTAGGCTCCTGAGTAGATCGCGCCACTGGAACTACAGTAGGCTGCTGCGCAGGCGCAGCGGGGCCAGTAGGCTGAGTAGGTCGCACCAAAGGAACCACAGTAGGCTGCTGCGTAGGCGCAGCGGGGCCAGTAGCCTCCTGAGTAGGTCGCGCCACAGGAACTACAGTAGGCAGCTGCGCAGGCGCAGCGGGGCCAGTAGCCTGCTGAGTAGGATGTGCCACAGGAACTACATTAGGCTGGTGCTGCGTAGGCGTTGCGGGGCCAGTAGGCTGAGTAGGTGGTCGTACCAAAGGAACTACGGTCGGCTGCTGCGTAGGCGCAGCGGGCCACGGGGGTTGCTCGGCAGGCGCAGCGGAAACCGCAGGTTGAGGGAGATCTGCAGGAGCGACAGGTTCTTGATGAGCAGTGGCAGTCGTAGAAGGAGGAGAGTCCTGTATCAAAGCTGCAGGATCTGGAACAGCTACAGGCTGAGGACGTGCCACTGGTGTTACATTCGGAGTAGATTTTCCCTGTGGCCGCTGTGGAATGATTTGCGGCGACGGACTCGCAACTGCGGCCGGCGGAGGTCGGTGCACCAGTCCTGCGGGTTTCGGCAACAAGACGTCGTCGACGCAGCAATTTTCCCACACGAGCCGTTCCGCCAGCCTGTGCGTCAACGGCAAAAAGGCGGCGAGCTCCAAATAAACGCGGTCCGCATCCGTCCGGTCGGCCTTTCCGACGCGCGCACACCGGCTGCTGTTGTTGTTTCCGTGGAGAGGAACGTCCTCCGATTTGAGTGTGACCGCCCGGTACAACGCCCGGCAGGGGATGGCAAGGCTTTCGCAGGTTTTCTCCGCGGAGTAGAACTCAGCGAGAGACGTCGACTCCAGGCACTCCTTCAGCTTTTCAGAGCCCTCGAACGGATTAGATTCGTCTAACAGGTCGGCTAAGAAATTCCCCACCTCCCGCTCCGGGTCGTTCTGCGCGCGAGAGTCAAAATGCAGAAACGAATCCGGCCCTCGCGGCCGTTGCAGGCCTTCGGTCTTGGACCGGTGCACCACACTGGGCGGGTCCGGGAGCTGCCGACCGAGCTGCCAGGCGAGCAAAATACCCGCCGAAACCACTGCGACGGACAACAGACTCATCCACGCAACATGAAAGGCCGTGGTGCGCCAGAGGTGCTTCCAAAACGTCTTGCGAAACTTCTGCGCCACCCGCTTCTTCGCCTCCCGGAGCCTCTGCCAAGCCAGGTACTGCCGCCGCTCGACCTCCGCCAGCTGCTGCCACGCGGATTTGTTCTTGCTTTTCCTCGGTGTCTTCGCTGTTTCCTTAGGTTTCGCTCCCTCATCGTGTCCTTTGCTTTTCAACGAAGCGGGCGAACCTGCATCGCCACACGAGTCGTGTTCATCCTGGCCAGCAGTTGTCCTGATTTCCCCGGACGTCTGCCTCCGCCCCGAGGCGGCAGCCGGCGGCGCGGCCATCCCTGCGGAAGGACGCCGGGCTGCGGGGCTTTTCCAATCCGCGGCGGGCGGAACATCTCCGGCAGCATACCCCGCCATTCTTCGCGATGTCATGCCCTGTTGAGGCGATCCCGACGCGCTAGCACTAGCATCATAGAGGCAACTTCCAGCAGTTCCATTTTATTTCTATTTGGGGAAGCAATGAGTATTACTTTTTGAAGATCGGTCCGGGGAAGGCCTTGGCTGAAGTGTGGCGCTCTATATTCAGGAACAAAAAAAAACTAGTCTAAAGAACAGTTCTTTTTTACAAATGACTACACAAAAATGGCAAAAAATCGCTGGCATTGGCGCAGGAAAATCAGAATGTAATCCTGAGAACTCCGCTCTTTTTGATCTGGAACTAGGTGGACTGTTCGAGACTCCTACTTGCCTCTTTCGAATCGTGGCGAAGACCCTTTTGCTGAACTTTCGACACTGAGCTTTTTGCTTTGATCGAAAATCTCGGAGGGAAGCACACTATAGAACTCGGGCTTGTATGCCAGGAGATACTTATCTCCAAGGAACATACAACATTAGCGCATGTGACGCTAAGAATTTCTTTTCTGGTAGATGAACGTGAAAAAATTGTGTAGGATCGCATCAAGAACAAGAATCAATGTGTAAGTAATTCCATGCGGATGAGCAAGTTCCATCACAACCCGGTAGGGTACGCAGCCGGCAGGACAAATATCCTTTTATCCAAGCCTGCTACAAAACGGCTGTCATGTTTTTCTGGGTTACGTGTGGCCTATGTTGCGTTTGCGTTTTATGTTGATGCAAGTTAAGCGGGTCAGTGTCTCCTTCACACGAGGAATGTAGCGAGACACAGAGCAGCCTTCCTACACCCTGAAACACGTTTCATGCGATCGATACGCGCAAAGTACATTTGAAAAAGTCACGTTGAAAGGGCAAGGCTCGAGCTCCCTGATATTACGGTGTCGAAAAGATTAAAAGCTGAGAGTGATTCACAGACCGATCGGAAAGTTATTCACAGAATGCCACTCGTCTTGAATCGGAAAAACGAGTCTGGGAGAAACAACAAGAACGTCGTAAAAAATCGTTGAATAGCACAAACCATACTGCGAAAAGAAAATTTAGGAAGACTCGCGTACAGTGTTGCTTTGGACTCAGCTCAAATTGTTGTCAACTCCAGCTAGTACCAGCAGCACATACATGAGAGGAAAATGGAAATTCAAATTCGCAATGGTGCTCGAAAATGCGGATGCAGGTAGAAAGATCCCGAAAATTGTCGCTCGCTGAAAATTATTGAAATTCTACTGAACAAAAATTGAATGTTGGTTGCTGTAGTGCCACTTGTGCCCATGATCGAAATTACTAGTCGAAACTCGGAAACGCGAACTTGGACTTGATTACTCATTTGCCAGCCTGCTGGGTTGTTTTGGCGCTAAATCTGGAAACGCGAAACGGTACGACAGCAGCAAAATTATGAATCAACACATCATGCATGAAGAGAACGATGAATATTTCGCATCAACCTCTCCATCAAGAAAAATAAGATGAAGAGAGTCGACTTGAAAATTTGAAACGGAAACAGGAAATAAAATCAAGCCTTGTTATAAATACTAAAACCATCCCGCACTCCGAGCGCTCCTTTAAATGGTCGGCTTTCCCGAGCACACTTCGCAGCAGACGTTGCTGATTTTGCGCAGCATCGTTGCCAGCGTGTCCTCCTTGTTGCCACCCGCGGCGAAGGGGCAGCCGAGCTCGGTCAACTTTTTGTACTGCTCACCGAAGTCCTTCTTCAGGAGCACGTCGTCGGCCGCGTACATGTCGATGTACTTCTTGAACTCCGGGTCCCACACGAGCGCCATGTCGGTAAACAGCATCATCTTCTTGTTGAACTTGTCAACGTACTGCTTCTGTCCCGTCTTCGTCTTCTTGTCGAAGAACGGGCACACGCCCGTCACCTTGTCGCTGGAGTTGATCGGCGTCTTGCCGTCGACTATGCGCCACATGTTCTGCTCCTGCAAAAGCATGCAGTACCTGGAGAGAAGCGATTTTCACGTAGATGTGCTGTGTCCTTTAGTTTTCCTTTCCTTTCCTGCACCCTCTTGGAGGATGAATACCATTTTAAGTGCAACAGTCCAGAGCAGTTTTATTGGAAGTTCCACGCAATGTTTCAAGGAAATCCGTAGTACTAACATTTTTGCATCAAAAATTCACATCATGGATAATTGATGTACTCTCGCCCACCCCACTTGACTGGATTGCTGATCCACTTTCCGGCGTAGCCAGATCGGTCGGGGTGGCACCGCCCGTACGCGTGGCCCCCAATAATCAGGCACGTCATCTCGCGGTCCGTAAATCCCATGCGGCCGAAGATCTGTAGTAGTTTCGCAGTAGTAATTACTAGAGCATGCTTGCATACGATTGAACTTCCATCCTCTGCAACATGCATGCACTATGACAGACATGCGTGGCATTTCATCGAACAAGATGGGAAAAAATCATGACGACCTTTCTGATGTGCGCGATGCAGGCGGTCTGTTCCTCGGCGAAATTTGACTTCAAGTCCTCGCCCAGCTTTCCCTGTTCCGCGTCCGGCAGGTTGCCGTCTGGCGGCAGCTTCTCGACCTCGGCCGGCAACGCGTCCACGCGGCCGGGGACGAAGGGAATCACGGGCCCGTTGCTGGATTCCAGGTACACGTAACTCGCCAGGATCCACAGGTCCGAGGCAGAAACCCAGGGGTGCTTTGCATCGCGGAAGTCGCCAAGCACCTTCCGGGGGATGCCCAAGCCCGCATTGGCGCCGAAGCTCGCTTCCGGCTCGAAGCGCATAGTCGCGCCTGTGATAAATGTAATTGCAAAGCTGCTAGCTAGTAAGTTGTACCTGCAATGATCTTACTTCTCAAAACTACAGCAGGAGAAAATTGTTCTCACTTTTATAATATCTTTTCACGATAATGACCAACAAGTTTCTATGAGAAACAACTCAGTACCATTCGATCCTCCCTTCTTGGTGACCGGGTCGTAGGTTCCGCTAGAGTGCCAGGCCAAACGGATGAAAACCGGGCCGTAATTGCCATCGTCGTAGCTTGGGTTGCTGGTCAGAAGCACCTTCAGGTCGTCCGCCAGTTTGTGGTAGCGGGTATCCGCAATGTTGGCCACGCAGCCCAGCGGCATCTTTTTGAGCGGTGTGTTGAAAACTAGGTACGTACGTTCCACTTCTTAGATCGCTGCGCAATGCGATATCACGTAGAAAGTTTCTTTTAACTTTTGCGAAGAAAAGAGTTGTGCCGAATTAGAACTCTGGTAAGGGTTTTTGAGATTGAGGTGAGATTGAATTCATACCCTCACGCTCTGAAGCCTGTCGACGTTTTTTGAACCTCACAGTGTCATCCTGAAGGGAGATGAAGTGCAGGGGTTGTACTGTAAATGTACTTTCAGATTCAGGTGCCCCAGAACTCAGACTCGCACTAATCCACTGAAACCCTCTCATCTCTCTCATCCCTTCAGCCCACACAGATACAAAAACTGCTTGTACCGATAATGTATCTACAACCAAACGTGCTTTGGCTCTGCTCATACCTCACAACTCAACTCTGTTTCTAATATTATGTTCGCACCTCTGTGCCCCGGAACTTCTGAACATAGCTCAGAATCTCGATAGCATTCTCTAATTCTGACCCGACGCGTAAAAAGTGCACACTCCAGCGGACCACTCTTGTGACGCCCCCTGGTGGTCACGACTATATTTATTGCAATGCAAACAAGTGCGTAGTTCACCTCGTTAATGTGAAAAATGTCAAGTCAGGGTACTATCAGTCTCGCCCGTCGACCTCCAATCGGAGAAGCGATTTCAAAGGGTTCGTCCAGTAGCCGACGCACTTACTTTCATATCACGGGGTGAAGCTCAAGCTATTGTGGTCGTGTTACGGATTAAACAGAAGACGATTAGCTTTACAACGATCTTCAGTACAGCACGGCAAGCACGTCGAACGCGTGCCACGGGACCTCCGGCACCTCAGCGAAGAAGGACAACTCCGTCCCCGTTTTTGTGGTCGACTGAATGTGGTACCCCGCGTCAAACAGAACCCCGACGATTTCCTGCAGGCACGTGACCACGTCGTCGTACGTTCGACGAGGAGGACCCGGGAGTCGTTTATTTTCTCCTTGTCGTAGCTGTTCCGGCACCGGCTTAAGAGGACTCCGGCGACCATCGTCTTCAAGTGCCCCTGCTACTCCATCCTTGCTGCGCATCAAATGTTGAGAGGGGGATGTTTTCGAAGATTTTTTATTCCGGGATAAATTGTTTCTCCTGTACCGCCTCAAGAACCGCTGGAAGGTGCAATATTTCGTCACGTTGATGTGAATGATGTGAAACAATTGTTGCTGTAGAATTCGGATCATGCCCTGACTCAGGATTTCGTCCTCGTTGCCGCTGACTTTGATCCGCAGCGCAAACTTCTCCCTGCTTCGGAAATCTCCGCGCCCGGTGTTGTAGCCCTCCGGGTCTGGGATGCGCGCGCGGAGCGCGGAGCCCGGTTTGGATGATGAGGTAGAGGGGGCGCCGTTCTGTTGTGCAGATGAACTGTTGTCCTTGTCAGCCGGTCTAGCGAAGAGTTGCTTCACCTCAGAAACGTCTAAAAGCAGCTCATCCAAAGTGATCGCGGGTATACACTCGTTTTCCTTGTTGATGTCCTCCAGCTCCTGTTCTTCTTGTTTTATTCTTGTTCGCTGGCTATAATCCCTTCCTTCCTCTCCGCAAGCGGCCAGCACGGCGCCTCGATACGCGTTGGGAATCTGGCTATGGAGAACGGCAAGCGGGTTGGTGGCACTGCGAAGCAGATTCTGTGACGGATCGAGGATCTTTCTCGGTACTACAACGTTCGTATTTTTCCCTTCCGCAGCGCTCGCGGCGGTGGTCCCCGACCTACCGGTGACGTACGCGTGCTTGGTGCGAACCTGCAGCCTCGACTTCCTTTTGCTCCTCACAAAGCCCTCGATCACGCTGTGCAACGTCTTCTCACCCGCTTGCAACGCCGGCAAGTTTCCGTCGATCTGCAGCACGGCCCGGTGCACGAGTTGTGTGGCCGCGAGCGCAATGCCACAGTCGCCGAGGTACCCGCCGACCTCCACGAAGACCGCGACCCCGTTCTTCCGCTCGACCTCGTCCAGGAGTTCCTGGGGACACTGGATCGCCCGGTGCTGGCGGACGCTGTCGGAAAGCACGTCGCGAACTTGCGGCAGAAAAACCTGCTCGATCCGGCGGTCGGAAAGCATCATCGCCTCGGACATCCCGCTCAACGTCGAGGTGGTGGACACCGGGCTACTCGCGGGAAGCACTTTAACGGCCCCCGGTGAAGTTGTCGCGCCGTCCCCGGCACTGACGGCTTTCCGTGGCCGATTGCGGGGCAGGAGCCAGTTGGACTTCGAGGAGATATCGTTGATCGCCACCTCGGAGACCTCGGTGGGGAGGGACTGGGTGTCGAGAAAGGAGAAGATGTTTGAGGTAGGTAGTGTTTTTACAGATACCTTCGCGAGATGATCATTTTGAACTGGTTTCGTAAACATGCTCGTGAAGCTATGGTCAATTATGGAAGTAGAATAGCTCGACGTTCTGTTCGTAGTTGCAACAACTTGCGGCACAGCTACTTCACGACTTGTTCCGGACAAAAAAAGCTCCTCCACCAGCTGCATCGTGGAAGCGGTTTTCCCGTCGCTGTAGTCCACCGGCGCGACCCCCGGTGTAGATGTTGAAGCAGGTGAACCCTTGCTCGGCACAGTAGTACTTCGAATAGTCTTCTGCAGCAACAGGTCTTCGCACGATGTGAAGCCTCTGGAAGTTGAACCAGACCCTGACTCATTCAAGTCTTTCCGCCCCCTCGCGTTGCTCCACCTAGTACGCAACAAGCGACTAATCTCCAGCCGCCTTCCTGCCGCCACCGCGTCGACCTCATTTAGCGCCCGGGCAAACACGTCGTCGTGGAGTCGGCGCAGACGGGACGGGCCGGACGAGAGGGAGTGGGCAACCAGGTTGTGCGCGAAATTTGTCTCTTCATCCTCCTCATTGCTGTCGTCATCATTTGTTTCAGGGTTGGATTTGCTTATTGACGAAGTGAGAAGAGGAGCGTCACTAGTCGGAGTTGTTCCACCAGAAGTAGCTTCTTGTGCTCCTGCTGTGGATAGCGTTGCAGTAGCCACTACATCCTGTTGCGATCCTGATCCCGCCGTTATACCAAGGCGCGCATTGTTATCAGCTCCTAACAGGCACTCGTAGTACCGATCCCGTTGATGAACCTTCGAAGCGTACTGCAGAATCGCGAAGGCCAACCGGACCGGGGCGGGGTAGGATTCTTGCGAGGAGCGAGAGGATGATTTTGCCGCACTAGCACCCGCAACCAAACTACTCCGCACTGCGTTCTTAACTCCGGTCAGAGTCATGCCGAGCTGGGTGTTGAAATCGACTGCATGATTGTGCAGACTGCGAAACTTCACGTACCAGTGCCGGAGCTCCTTACTCAGGATCAACGGTGCCGACTGTTGCTCCAGCTCTTTTTGCAGAGAGGACACCGAGTCACGCAACACGAGCAAAAAGTACTGCGGCATCAACAGCATCAGCAGCTCCATGAGCCTGGCGAGAAGGGTCCAACAAGGGAGTTGATCAACACCAGAGCTCTCCTTGGTACCTTGTTTTTCTACAGCGGAAGTCGCGGACACTAAATTTGAAGCAGCTTCCCTCCGCACCCTGGCTGCCTCTTCGGTGATGTAAAAAACGTCCTCCGGTAGGATTTTCAGCTGTCCCACGGTGGCCTGCTGCGTGAACGCGAAAATCTGGCTGACCACTTCCTTCGGGAGGGGACTCGTTTCATCTACTGGTGAAGCAGATGAAGTTGTTGCACCTCTGGGCGGTGAAGTAGAACTGCCGTCCTGCAACTCCTCTTCGCCGTGTTGCCCGATCGCAGTTTCTTGTAGTTCCATGCCGGTGTCGTCATCGTCAAGCATGACGTTCTCGCCGCTTATATCGACCTCCGCAGCCAGCAACTCGTCCCACTCAGCGTGAATAGCTGCTTCTTGTTCTACTTCTTCTTCTCCTGTCATGGTATTTGCAGATGTTGTGGTTTCGTTCACCTTGATGGTTCCCGCACCTGTAGACATAACTGCAGTCTGCTCTTGTTGCACGAGCACGGCGTCCAGCATGATCTCGTGCTCCATAACCAGCTGATCGAACCTGTCGTCGGACACGTGCGCCCAGAGTGGCCGCTCCAACAAAAATTCGACATACTCGCCGCACGTCGGAAGGCCGAAGGCGGACCGGAGGTTGCCGTCGGAGCAGGAAAATATAACCAATTTGAAACAGGCTAGAAGCAGCACTGAAGGTTGTGGCCGCTCTCTGCGTCCTCGTCGATGCGAGCAATATCTTGCCATGGCTGCATGAACTTCCGGACGGTAGTATGCCAAGGACTTACATCATTTTCATTTTTCCCGACTTTTATTTTTTTAGCAGACAAAACTGTAGGCTGCACCACAAGTTCGTTACGGAGGACAAGTGAGGACTCATTACACCGACGACCAGGACGAACACGACAGGTTCTCAAACCAGCAACCAGGGCCTTTTAAAGGACTTCTTGCTCATCAAGATCAAAAGAAAATTTTGTAGGGTAACATTCAAACTTTTGCACATCAAGTGCAAGTGTTAATATTCTTGTACGTACTTCTATCAGTCGCCGACAAAAATCGACAACTTTTTTGCTTGCGGGATTGATAATTTGAAAAACAACCTTACAAACGAGCAAAGGGGTAATTTGCCTAGAAACTTAGTGCAAACTGAAAAATATCATCACGGGTAGTGATGTGAAAATCGCAAGGGGTAAAAAGTGGAAAATTATGCTGAGGTCATCTACGGATGTGGATCTTCTCAGGGCTAAGTACACTTTCTTGTGCTTAGGGTAAAATTGCATAATTCGACCTTCAAAAAAATCCTCTTCCTCACCCCGTTGTCTACTCCGTCGCGAACTGCACTCGCCCGCCGTCCTCCACCAGAAATTCGCCGACACGGACGACCTTTTGGTCCAGCGCGGCCGGGCGCATGGGTTTCAGGAAGTGCTTGTCGCACACCGTGATGCCCTGGTGTTCCCACAATCGGTCGTTTTCGATGCGGAGTTTGTTCACCTTGTCCTCCAATTCCGTGATCTTGTTGATGCGGGCCGCAAAGACTAAATTCAGGTCGTGCAGCTGCTTTTCCGTCTCCTCCAGTTGGTCGCAGGTCTGGTTCAACCGGAACTGGAAGTCTTCCTTCTGCTTCTCCGCCTCGAGCGCCTTCTGTCGCAGCTCCTCGGACAGCACCCGCTCGTCCGCGAGCTCCTGCACGGTCTGCGCGTGGTTTTCCTCCAGCGCGAGGTGGTTCTGCTCCAGCAGCGCGTGTTCTTCCCGCAAGTTCGCAAACTTCTCCATCTCGGTGGCGTGCACGTCTTGCAGGTCTGTGTGCGAGGTTGATGTGGTTTTTTTGGTGATAGGGTTTTGATTTTGTCCTTGCGTTTGACGGTGGAAAAATCAGCGCACCAGAGCATCGGGTACTACTACTAGAAGACCATTCTTATAGCGTGTTTGACGACTTCATGCTTGCAGCAGAGAAAGACAATTATACAATTTTTCAGTTGTGGATGAATGTCCATGACAAGCCAAAAGCAAAATAGCATGAATAGAATTACCTGCGTGATCCTTCTGCAGTTGTTCGTGGTCGTTTTCCAATCGCCAGATTCGGTTGTCTTCCCTCAATTCCGGCAAATGGTCCCGCCACACCTGGACAATCAACCGCGGCATTTCCATCGGGTCGTCGTTCACCAGCCACCCCTTCAACACGTTCCGCAACAGCGACGATTTCGCTTGCTGCAGCTTCTCGACCGTTTTCGCGAGCAGGTTCTGGCTGTTCGCGAGTTCCTCCTGCGTCTGGTGCAAATCGATGGTCAATTGGTCCCGCTCCGCGGTCAACTCGCTCTTCTGTTCTTCCAAAACCGCCACGTAGTCGCAGCTGTTCTGGTAGTCGACTTGCAGCTGCGCGTGCACCGGCTTTAACTGTTCGTATTGCTCTAATTGCGGCTCCACTTCGGAGCTGTACTGCAGGAATCTCTTCCTTTCCGACGCTAGACCGGACTCCAGCTCCGAAATTTTGGTTTTCATCCCGTCCACCAATTTGATCTCTTCGTCTAATTTCTCCAGCGTTTTCCGGAAGTGGCGGCAGCTGTGCTCCATCGCCTTGTACTTGACCTCCATCAATTCATTCTGCTTCCGCTGCTCCAGAATCTTGTCCGCCTGTTTGTTGTTGATCTGCAGCAGCTTTGTCATCTGCTCGTTCAATTCTTCGTTTTTCGACTCGTACCCGGTCAAAATGTCCTCGCTGTGCTTCAAGTACGCGCACACCGCGCAGGTGGCCTTCCGCCCGACGAAGGCTTTCAGCGACTTCTCGAAGTGGTCTTTCTTCATCGTCATCTCCTGCAAGTCCTGCTGCAGCTGCTGGTTCGTGGCGTACAGTAATTCCTTGCGCTGCAGCCGGTCCTCGGCGACCACCTCTAATTGCTGGTATTGTTCGAGCATCTCCTTCACGACGGTCTCCCACTTCTCCTCTTTCTCCGCGATCTCCGACAGTAATCGGGCCTCTTTCATGGACGCCTGGCGCTGCAGCCGCTGCAGCTCGTGGTAGCTGTTGGTGAGCTTTTTCGACTCGGTTTCCAGCTGTTTCAAAATGTCCTCCCCGCCCAACTGCTCGATGCGGGTCAGGGCCTGCATCTTCTTGTCGTTGATCTGCTTCTGCTCGGACGCGACCGAGGCACTGGTGGAAGTCCGTAATTCGTACACCTGTCGCTTCAGAGTGTCCACCATCTCGCTCGTGACCCGCGGGACCGGCGCGCGGTCCGTCTTCAGCAACGCCATCCAGCGTTCGGGGCTCGCGGACGGCGGCCGCGGCCCGGGGAGCCGCTTCGGGGAGGGGAGGGGGGTGGAAACAGAAACTTTTTCCAGCTCCGCGTCGGGGGATTCTAGTGCCTGTAGTTCTTCTGTTTGGAGGGGACTGGTGACATCTTGCCCTGCCATATTTGTCGCTTCCGCGCCGGCACCAGCTTCCCCGGCTTCCTGCTGCTCAAGCAGAGCGGCAGGGTCCTGCTCTGCGGAAGCCGAAAACTGGTGCTCCGGCTCCGCGCCGTTTTCGGCTGGTGGCATAGCTGAAACGTCTTGCTCAGCGGACATGAGAATAGTAACAGATGGTGTTTTTTATGATTTGAATAAGGAAGCAGTTACAGTTTACGTTAATTTCCGTGAGTAACTACTTGTAGAGTTCAAATTAGTTTAGATAGGGTTAGGTGGGTGAAGGTGGATTGCGTTGGGTAAAGTGAACTAGCTGCTTTCTCATTTCTTAGAAAACTGGTGAATTTAGAGCCTCAATCTTATCCTTTTTTCTGGATTTTCTGGCTTGCGCTTGTCGTGTAGAAGGTACTAGTATGTTTACTTACTTTCTTCTGGCGGTACGCGTGTGAGAACGAAAAGAGAACGATGGAAGATGAGGAGAGTGGACGGAAGCACGACAGTGATCTTGCACGACAAAAAGAGCAGAAGATAACTTTGAAAAGCACAAGTCACGAGATCTTGACCTGCCAGCGAACGATAAAAAACGAACATTATGACGAACGCGAATAGAGCGAAGCAGAAAAGCTCTGTCACAACAAAACGAGATGGAACCAAAGTTCAATTTCCTGAGGAGGACGGCAACAGTGCCACAACAAAACGAGGACGCAAAAGAAAAATTGCGTTTGCAGGAAGCCTTGCACGAGTGACAGTTTACCGACACTAGGACGATCACGACAATATATCAGCATTTCCCAGCAGATGCGGATCTGTCTTTTCTTTGTCTAGACGAAGTCGGACTATTCTCACGGAAGAAAGAAAAAGACGCTGAGTCCGATTTCAATGCTTCGCGAACAGCGGCAAACTTTCCTCGTACAAGCAACTTGTTTCCAGTTGCTCCAGCAACCAAACGAGTGCGGCTACAACGACAGACGGAACTCGATACTTAAAAGCGCTGGGGGATGCTCCTATGAATATTCTTGAGTTGTTCCTCGGTCCGCACGATGATAGAATGGGGTTACATCGATTGGATTTCGATTCGTCTTTGTGCCCGGCGAATGTTTTCTTTCACTCCTTGCATCTGAATGTACAACTTGGGGACGGACACGGACAAAAAAGAAGAGGCGCAAGCTTTATTGAAGGTTCTCGTGCCGCCTTGCGGTCTGGCTTGATGCAAGTACTCCGCGCAAAGCTTCTGGCGGTTTCTATGTGATGACTGCGCTAGTAATTGTACTAGCGCACTAGAGAGTGGTGCACGACCGCCCTGTCCTCTTTAGGGGTGGGGGTACAACTACTGAAGAGTGAAAGGAAAAAACGCACTACTTGCTAGAAGATTAGCTTACTGCAGTTCTTGTGCGATACGCGAAATACAAACTCTGAGATGATCGCACGTTGGTAACGGCGGTTTGTTGATGCGCAAACACACAACTCTACGTAACAACAGAATAAATAACCGTGCTCATCTTCTCTTTTGCGCAAGCATAATGAAGCACACAGCGTAGCGGCCACTTGCTTCGTACTTCGCTTCGCGGATAATGCAAAAACTACATTCTAGCTCAATCCTATTTGTAGCCATGGGATACATGCGGGCACCCCAAGGGGGCGGGTGTGATTAATTCTGGTGAAACTTTTGAAATTCAATACGCCAAGATCTTACATTACCTTCTTTTCTGGCATTGGGATACATGCTGACACCCCGAGGGTGCGGGTGTGATTTCTGGTGAAAGTGCTCTAGAAATTGAATACGACGCAATGCTTTGTCCTGAACTACTCTCTACTTCAGCGATAAAAATTTCTCGAAAGTTCAGGGCTGCGATTGCCCGATAGCGCTACCGCGCCGCAGGTGTCGACAACCGTTGTTGCATCTTTCGCCGTTGGGAATTACGATACTGGTTTGAAAGCAAGTACCTAAAACTGAAAATCAAAATCTGAAAATTGTGTCGGTAAAGAAAACAAATGAGAAAGAGAACGGAACAAAAAGTAGATAGAGAACAAAAACTCAAAATGCGAAACAAAGAAAAAAGTAAGAGTACGGAATGAAAGGAAATGATATATGAAAAAAGACGCAAATAAAAAAATTGAAAGCAATGTTCAAAACGCGCTTCTACTGCAACATGCTAGGGACATTCCTCAATGGAGGCCCGGTGGTATTGATGATCTGAAACGAAAAGCAAAAAGCTTCAGTTTACCTCTTTCTCCCTTTTACAGTTTACAGTTTACAGTGTTCGCGTTGTACGCGAGACTTCTACTCAAAATGAGGAGTCTATTTGAGGAACTTCAACGTGAAGAACCTCTTGATTTCCATTTCAGAACAGATTCTTTCCTTTCTTCGACTTCACTGTGCGAGACCCCCGAACGGCGGGGTGGGGGCCTCAGCTCGCTGCGCACGTTGCGCCCGGATGACGTCGACCCGCTCGCGGTAGTTCGCAAGCACGTCCGCGCGGGCTTGCTGTGCGGCCTCCAGCGCCTCCTCGGCAGTGGCGGACAGTTCCGGGTCGACCACTTTGCTTAGTGGGTAGGTCTCCCCATCGTCGTCCATTTTCACCCGGACCGTCACGAGCAGTTTCTGTGTTTTCTTGTTGTAAGTGACCCCCGGCGGGAGGGCCTTACTCGCCCCCCGCAGCTCGAGTGCCTGCTTGACCCGCGGCGGGGGGTCGTTGTGCTTGCGCCCTGGGAGCGGTCTTTGTGGCTGCTGTGGCGGGGGCGGGGGCGCGAACGCCGCCGCAAACTTTTCCTCAGTGGCTTGCTGCTGGTTGGCGCGCATGTGGATGAACGCCAGGCGGAGTGAGCCAAGCTTCTTCGGCCTCAGCGAGTTTGATCGAAGACAGGGGATGCACGCACACCGAATCTCGCGGATCCGCCAGCTACGCGGGCGGGGCAGTGTCGAGTCCGCGTACAGCTCGGGCAGGTTCGGGAGGTCTGGCGTGATGTCGAAGTCCGGCCAGTTACAGACTTCCTTAACAATATCGCAGTACTCAGCCTGAAGGTCCTGCACAGGCTGCTCCGGCGTCTCGATCTCGCGCAGGATGTTCGCCTGTCCGGTGAAGTCGATCAGTTTCGCAATCTCGGTGGGCTTCCCCTTCTTATCGAGCTCCCCTGTGCACGCCTCTACTGCGCGGCGCACTTCCCCCGTGACGTTTAGGTCAGTGTCTGCCAACGCGGTGGCCGGCCACCTTTTCGAACTGACCTGTTGCGCGAGGGGGCAGGCGTTCTCGTGGTGTCGGACCTCGTACATGCGGTAGTCCGCGGTCGTGGAAGTCGGTCGCGAGTCGTAGTCCCGTACGTAGTTTACGCTCTCGCCGGCGCGCTTCCCCGGTACAGAGAACTTGCACTCGGGCGCAGCGCAGCAGCGGTTCGGCGTCAAAAAATCCGCATTAACCACACTGAGAGCCTCGGCTAGTTCTCGGCCTGCCGCGGTCCAGGGGATGGCGGACCCCGCTGCCCTGTCGAACCACGTAGACAGAGAGTCGAGCCCGGGCCTGGGGTTGACGTCAGCTTCCTTGCGTGCGAAGTGCGAGACCCAATGGTCGAGGGCCGTTCGCTTTTCCTCCGCTGTTGCCTGCGTGTCGGATTCGTAGTCCTGCATGATCAAGGCGATGCGGGCTTCGAAGGCTACTGTTCGCCACAGTTCCCGGCAAGACGCCAGGGCAAGCGCCAAGGCGTCTGACACCGCTCCCCCACAAACTAGCGAGAGCGACTTTTTGCTTTGCTCCCACACGGAGTCCGGCAAGGACCCCGGCCTGGCCGCCGATAGCCACTCGTACTCCAGACGCGGCACGCCCCCGATCGCAAAGGAGCCGAAGAGAGCACGGCGAGACAGCCGCCAATGTGGGAGTCTCACTAGGTGCCCGACAAAACTCAACTGCATGAACCGCACAAACGGGGCGAAGGGCTCCACGCGGTGGATGCGGCGTAGGCGGGCCAGGGGGAGGTGGAGGGACTTCAACTGCCAGCGCCGGTAGCCCGTCAGCATGAGAAGCGCATCATTTTCAAACTTCTGCAGCGCAGCAAGCTCGGCGGCCGACCAGGTCCGGGTCTCGCAGGCAAATGTTCCGCGCGACCTGATGCGGCACATCAAATTTACGATGATGTCGGTCCCGCTCTCCGCCGCTCCGCCTATGGCGGCGAGCTCGGAGATTGCCCAACCCATCCGCTGCTTGCGCACCTCTAGGTCATGGGTGTCGTCGAACCAATTTCCTAGGTATCTGCAGGCTGCTGTTAGCTAAGATAAGATGCAGAAGCTTCGCTTCTTAGTGCACGTCTCTTCCGTGGCACATGAAGCCCATTGTACAGCAGAAAAACAAGCGATAAAAAAATGTAAAAACAATGGCAATGCAACGGCAGTGAAATAACAGAAGAAAAAAAATGTCATGAGCAGTAAACAAACTTTGCTGAAATTTGGGCCTGTGTGTATATTTGTTCGAAAAAACTATCGATTCCTTGAGATTGGAGTGATGAGAAAGAGAACAAGAAACAAAGGAAAATAAATTGTGAAAACTGGAGTAGAAGCTTCCACTTACCAGTAACTCCTTGCATAAAGTCACTCATGCAGGAGCGGCTGCTTCTCGCTGCTCCCATCGTCCTCCGTTCCCGACGAGGAGGGGCATTCCTGCTGCTTCTCAAACTCGTACACGATCGCACGGGTTTCCAGAGCCTGTTTCAGATTTTCATTGGCTTTGCTTGTGCACACGTGCTTGGCTGCCGGGGTCGATTTGGCTTTGCAGCCGCCAACGTCCTCTGTAGGCCCGGATTGTGGTTTTTCTTTGTTCGCAGGAGCCACACTTTCTTCCGACTCCGAGCCCTTCGTCGCCCCGGTTTCCTCGTTCTTCGTCTTCTTGATCCAACGCGGAGGACAGGACAGGACCGTGACCACCAGCGTTGCGAGGAACGCGAGTAACAGAACAAACGACAACAGAGTGACAGCCAAATCCAGTTGGTCTCCAAAACGAGCGTCAGTCACGTCGGAAGAGCGTTCTTCATCCGCTTTCAGTACGCCCGCATGGGACTGCGAAACCTCAGTGTGCCGAGCGCAGAATGGCGTCTCCGCCAGTTTTCCGCCTCGTTCGCATTCGGCTAGAGCGGTGGTTGATCCGTGTGGTGGCTTGCTCATCGAGACTGCTTCATGTGGCAACTCCTCAACTCCTCCCAGCGATTTCGCCTCTAACATCGAAGAGGAAGACACCTGGGCTACAACCGGGACTACAGGTCGTGGAAGTCGCCTGTGTTATCCAGATTCCTTGATTTGATTTTCAAGGATGTGTGGATGCCGGCACGACTCCCGAGAAAGACGCGTGAACGCCTACAATCAAGTCAGGCCTGCAAACGACCACTACTCACAAGCCACGCGGCTAGCTCTCTTGCTGAAATAGAAGGAAAGCACTTATTAGTAATGCGTGGGCTCACACCGCTTCCTCTGTCTCACGCGTGAGACCGGCGGGGGGCCGCCCATCGGTCTCACGCAAAGCTAGCAGCTATCGGGAGATCCCCAGCCGGGTCATAGCGGGGCAAAAAGCCCTGCACATCCCCAGCCGGTCTCACGAGTGAGACACATGAAGAGACGTGACCCTACCCCGAAATTATTTCAAGCTTCCTCGCCTGTACTGTATTAGCTGCCAGGGCGAGCCAGCAACTACCAACGAACTGCTCGAGTTTGCTAAAAGTAAGTTGCCTGCACTGCACTGCATTCATTCCGAGCCAGGCATCACGACGACGCAACGCCAGCCATTTTGGCGGCGAAGGAAAATTAAACTCTTGTGGCCCGTCGAACGCTACCACCCGCACGAACAGTGTTCAGCGGATCCGACAATAAGTGCGGCCAGCCTTTGTGTGGGGCGTCTTTTTCTTTTTACTGTGAGCCCACTGTGGACGGCGTCTCTTCAGCCGGACTGGCTCTCTTTTTACTTTCTTTGTGGGCGCTCGATGTTTCTGGTGGGGCGTCTTTTTCTTCTGTTGCGCGGCTCTGCGCCCTCTGTACCTGTTGCCCTCGCTCTTTCTCCTTTTTCTCGTAATCGACGTAAAAACTAAAATAAACAAAATTATTTAACTTAGTACGAGATCTTCTCAAGCCGTGCAAAAATAACTCAATTTGTTTCATCTAGGGCGTTCAGCTCGAGCGCCGTACGACTCAATGACTCGGCCTAGTAACGTATGCTCTGCGTGATTTCCCGCGGTGCGGTTGGGTTGTTCCTGGCGCAACGGCGAGCAATGCTGGCGCGCGCATTTCACCAGAGCAGGGGGGGAGGTTAAAATCCGTCGCCAACTGCGACCGATTTCACCGATTTTTCAGGTGTTTTTGAAGCAAAATCGGGCCAGCTTTCTTTTAGCCTGAAGGTGGATGCTTTGTGGAAACTAAAATGCGCCATTTCCGACTAGGTCTATGTATACATAGTGAAAGTTTTGCAGGTACCCATTCAGAGATTCCGGGACGTTTGCAGCTTTTGCATCGTTCACCATGCTTCCGATGTCGAAATCTGCTTCCTCCTCTGCTGCGTCTTTCCACATGATCTTTTGCCAGGGAGCTCCGCCTGGCGCTTTTGCCGTTGTTCCTGTTTTTTCTTGCTTGTTTGCATATTCCTGCAGGTATGCGTCCGGCCCTTGACCATACAAGTATACTGTGGCCCCCAAACCTGCTGCCTCCCCAAATGCCTCGCTCAACTGCTCTTCGACATGATCTTTGACGGCACCAAACTCGTACGCATCTGCTGCCACATGCAACATGGGAAGTAGATCATGAAGGTGAAGCTCCACATCTGCGCCTCCGTTTTCCTTCTCCGCCCGGGTGGTGTCCAGCTTTTCGCTGTATTGGGAAAGCTTTTTCCTGCAGGCCTCTGATCCTTCTTGTAGTTGCTCCCACCCTTCCGGTTTCAGAGACTCCCGCCTGGCGCTTTCTGAGCCCGAGGCGGAACTCGGCTCCGCACCAGGCTGACTCATGATATCATCAAACGTTGTCTTCTTGACTTGCGCTTCCATTTTCAGCAGGGCGTCCACACATTCTCTGCATTCCCGGAGTTCATCATCCTGGACCTGAGGTGCATCTTGCGCTTTCGCTAAGTCTTTGGCGGCGGCGGGCATGGTCGAGGAAAGAATTGCCTTTGTTTTCTGCAATTTTTCGACTCGCAGCGTCTGCCTGAGCTGGTGCGCAGGCCCATCAAACTGTCTCCAGTCTGGCAAATTTAAAGGAATTGTACGTGTCGGCTGACCTCTTGTTTTCAGTAGCATTCAATCTTTCCGCACCAATAATATTCGTATCCATATCAACATTTTTTTCCGCGAAAATTACTGTCATCTTCTCCTCCTCCAGCCACAGTCTCTTCATATACTTTATTTCAGGCAAGCAACAAGTACGCAATCAGCTATCATTTGAATACGTTAGTTGACAAGCACAAGATGTCTAAAGCTGAACATGAACATCAACATCATAAAGCAGGAGTCTAAATAATCAATATCCCGTCTGATCGGGGAAGACCGCAGCGATCCAATGATTTCAAATATACCGGGAACGCGCATCGGCAGCAGCCGTGGGACCACTCCGAGGGCCCGTTGAATTCGCGCGCCTTTGTCATATTGCCACGAGATGTTTCCGACCTTGCGGGCACCGGCTCCCTCCTCACCTACTGCCGCGTTCAGGCGCAAGAACGAACCCCAGTTTCTCGTGACCTCGTAATAGGGCGAAGAAAAAACGAAAAATGCCGGCGGCTGCCCCTCCTTCTGTGGAGCTTTTTCATTCTGGTCGGTAAACAATTCTCGGCATGCATTGCAAAGATGCCGAGGTTTGGGCGAATGCACGTGTTTCGGCCACGCAGGCTGTCCGAAATGCACGCCAGGGCATGACAGGATTTGCGAGTGGGCTGCTTACTCTTTTATGCCTATCCCGCATGAGAGATTCCCCCATTGCGTAGCAAGAGAGCGGCGGCTTTTGGCGCTCACCATCGTCATCATGCGGGCCGGCGGTATGTCTTTTGCCTACGGGGTGTCCCGTGCACAGTGTCCCTGTTATAGGGCATTGAAACACTGAGGGCCGGGCGGAAGAGTCGTCCTGCGCTACTCTCATGCATACGCAGTCCGACTAAGGGCCCCAAACACCGGGGCGGACTTTCGTCTACGCTTCTTTTGGGGGTCTATGGTCCGCCTGGCCGGCTAAATAAGGGTGGGCCAGATCACCGTCATCAGTGGGATCGGCGGTAGTGCTTTTGCCGACCGGGCAGCCCACGCCTATACATGTCGGCGCCTCCCGTTGTATGTGGGGCTATCTACTTACGGGCCGAACGGATGCGCCCCGCCCCCGCACTATTTCTGCAAAGAAGGACCTACCACATCGGGGTGGGCATTGGTCTACGCTTCTCCTGGGGGTCTCAGGTCCGCCAGCGTGGCTGGCAACGCAGCGTGCGGGGTCTTAGATAAAAATCGCAACTCCTCATTAGGCAGGCCGCCCATCTTCTAAGATTTGCAAAACGGGCGCGGGGCGTTCCGAACGGATGGGAGCCTATACAGATTTTTGGGTGCGCCACCCAGAGTCAGCATCACAGTTTTGCATCCTTCGCGCCCAGACCAAGACATATTTACAGCTAATACTCGGCGAAATTCTGCAACTTCCGAACCACGGAACCCAGGTTCGTGTCCTCGGATGAAGACTGTCATCCCATTGCCTTCGAGAAAATTTGACGCCGCCTTTTTACTAAACGCGCCGTTGCACCTCCGCTTTGGACCTTCGTTAACATCTGCCCACAACAGCTCAGTTGGGCAGGTTTTCCGACTTTTGTGCGGGATGGTTCTTCCCCATTTTTCCATGTCGTAGCGAAACTTCCAGTATCCACGGCCCCCGAAACAGAGGGAAACTCTCTTTTTAGCCGCACTCCCCTCTTATTCTGGTTGTTCGGGCCTCTAAGCAAATTTACCTTTCGCAACTCCTCAAGCGGTCTCACATCCTCGCTGATGCCAGCGTGCACAACCAGAGCTTTGTCGTACGCCGTCGCGAAAAAAGGTAGAAGAGGAAACATGGTGCTCTTCAAAAATTTCTCAAAATCCCCTGCACTCGTCGCGTCCTTTCCCGCCGCCTCGACAGCATTGGTGAAAGTCTTTAGCTCCTCCTGCCGCGGCCTCCCACGGGCAACTCTTGCACTTTCGTGATTTCCGCGCAGGAGAACCACTCGGTCGGGAAACATTGTTTGCAGCCACATCAGGAAAAGAATCGTGTAGAAACTATCACCCAGAACCCGCGCTCGATCCATGAAATCTCCGTTGAACACGATTTTTCCACCTCTCGCTCTTCCTTGCCCGGCGTCTTCCCAAAAGTTGTACGACGTTTGTCCTTCTTTCGGTGCTTCAGCTCCGGATAGGCTCTGCAGCACTCTCACCAGATCGTCAAATGCTCCGTGAACGTCACCGTATACGAAAACGTCATCGCAAAATGTCGCCTCCAGGCGGGACGGAGTCTTCGAGTCCTTGTAAATTCCAGCGGTACCAGAGCAAATGTCGACCACCATGGGATGGAACGTAGTCTCCTTATCTTTAGGAACACCCGTCCGACGTGTTACTTTTCTGCTACCGTCACCATCAGTCCCGAACTCGATCTCGTGGTCTAGATCCACGGCAATATCCGTCTCTTTCGGTTGTTTCTTCAAATACTCCTCGTAGCTTTTACGAATCGTCTCAATGTTTCTCACAAGTCTCTTCTTGACGGATTGACTTGGAAACGAAGCGGAAGGGTACTTGTCTGGATTTTGTAAAAAGCCGAGCAGTTCGGCGTCCAATAAATGTTTTTCTGCTGCCTCCCCTATTCTCTTTTCGATAGATGCGCTCACTTCGCCTTGCGCAGAGGCCGTGTCGACCCACTCGATCGGTTCCGGAGCTGCAACTCCCTTTTTGTTATCCGTTCTTGGTTCCGGTCCCTGGCCATACAAGTACACCGTCGCTCTGAGACCTTCAATTTGCCCAAACGAGTCCGCTAACTGCGTCTCCATGTAGTCACTTAGACGCTTGAAGTGCATCTGCTCTAGGCTCTGCAGCAACTTTAGTCTTTCGGATTGATCAGTGAGGCCGGAAATAGCCTCGTTGACTGTATTCCCAAACGCAGGCTCTTTTTCTTGAACAAGCTTTTTGAAAGTATTATCCAATTTGTCGCGGACGAGTTTTCCGAGTGCGATGATAATCCGTTCGCATGCATCGTCTTTGGTCCATATTTCTGACTTTTCAACACAAATGTCAGGAAGCTGTTGGCCTTCTTTCTGTTCATCCATACTTTTTGTCGTCCCGCACAGTTCACTAAGCTGAAAAATGGTGCCCTCTGTCACCACTTCTTCTCCTTTTGCGCCAGCCCGGGGATTGATCATCTGCAGGAGGTTCGTTTTCGCCTGATTTTTGCGGAACCCACTAGTGTACTGGTTTGGGACGCAGAGTTCTTCTACTTGGTGCACCAACCCTTCTGGTCCTGGCGCAGTCATTGTGTCCAGAAGACTTGAGACTTGACGGTACGCTCTCTCTGCATCAGTCACATAAGCTCGCGCCGAAGTTATCTCGCTACCTTCGGCCTCTTCATCTTTCACTGGGTCTGCGCTTGGCTTCGCAAAAACCGTGTCAACAATGGCACGGGCCTCCCAAGCATGTTCTCTGAGCCTCTTGAGGTCATCCCCGTATATGTCCTGCATATATTCCAAATAAGCGCTTTCCTTGTTGTTTTTCTTCGCTGAAGCCCCCGAGGCAAGATCGTATCCGGATTTTCCTGTTGTTCAAGGGTATTTTAAAATTCTATCTCTCGATACATAGCCGCACCTTTTCAAAATCGACACGGTTCTGATCGGCAAAGGTACATAAAAATGATCAAACTCAAAGCTCAATGCCGGCTTTTTCCCGTGAAGGACTTCCTCTCCAGTATTCACGGTCGAAGACGTAGACAATTCCTTTTCCAAGTCTCAAGACTAAGACATCAAACGAGACAAATGAAGTTTTTCGTATGTCCGGCTCCACAGAAATTGAAGCAAGAAATCGGATTCGCATTCACTAGCACCTGTACCTCGTGATATCAGCTCAACTCTCCGCAACCCACGACCACCTGGTTCCAGTTTCGTCCTCCAAATCATCTTCCCCCGCTGAAGACGCGCTCCGAGATCATAAGACCAAGCGATCGGCTTCGGCTGCAGCTTCGGGTCATCGACTTCGTTGAGGGCTGGGAGTTTCAGCTTTAAAAACGATCCCCAATTTTTCATGTTTGCAACTGGTGTGAAGAACGGGCAAGAGTAAGCGAAGAGCACGAGCGGTTGTTTTTCTTCGTTTTCTATTTTTTGTTCTTTCCAGCCGACAAGCTTTTCCGTTCGAAATTCCACATCAAGGCTACTTTGAATACCAACCTCGTTCATCTTAGACGGCTCATGACCGCGGATGATAACTTCCAGGCCTTCCTTTTGTAGAAACTCTATCGCAACATTAGCATCAAACGCATTTCCGCAGCGACGCTTCCCAGCCAAAGTTTTGCCCTGCCTCTCCAGAGCATCAGCCCACTCAAGCTCATTCGGACAGCTTGGGCTGTAGCCTTCCTTGCTCGAAAAAAAACGCGGATCAGCACCACTTAAAAGCGCCTTCTTTCCTTCGGGAGACGTAGAGTACACCACACAATTTTCTTTGTTTTTCTTTGCATTATCCCCCTTTGGCCCGCTGAGCAAATTGATCTGTCTCAAGGCCTCGAGTGGCTTGACACGGTTACTCACCCCGGCGTGCACAGCGAGGGCTTTTCCGTACACTGTTGCTGCCACAGGAAGTAGAGGAAAGACGGCGTGATAGAGAAATGTCTTCAACTTTGAAACAGGCGATTCCGGGCTTTCCAACACATCCGACTCCGATTGCGGCTCGTTTATGAGCTTCTTCTCCGTTAGATCGCCTATAAATTTTTTCATCTCGCCTGACACAACCTGACGCTTTTCTTTTGTTTTAGCGTCCACCTCCTCCCTAACACTATATGAGTGCTGCTCGATCACATCCGTCTCGTGGTTACCGCGAAGTAGAACAACGCGGTCTGGATACGCCGCTTGGAGCCACGTGAGAAAGAGCATGGTGTAAAAGCTATCGCCAGCTACCGGCGCGCGATCCATGTAGTCTCCGAGGAAAACGATAGCACCGCGTTGGGCTTGAGGGGTTGAATTATCACGTTCGGAATCAACTTCTTCCCGCCCTTCAGGTTCGGTATCACCTTCTTCCCAAAAATTCATCCAAAAATTATACCCCCCGCTTGTCGGTAACTTTGCAAGCAACCTGAGGAGATCGTCAAACGTTCCGTGCACATCGCCGAGTACGAAAACGTCTTTGCAGAAATCTGGAGCAATCGGAGAAGTCGGGGGAAGCTTCATTTCCGCAGTTTCATCGGGTTTACAAACGTCGATGGCAGCAGGACGGAATTTTTTTTGTTTAGATCCTTTGATTCCAAACCATACTTTCTTCGTTCTCTCTTTCCCAGCTAAATAATCTTTGTAATCATCCTGGATGATGTCCATGTGCTGCAGCAAGAATGTTTGCAGTGCGTCGCGATCATAAGTAGTTCCTTCACGTCCTTCCAAGTACGCACGCAGCTCATCATCCCAAGGAGGAAGGATTGCTGACCGCGTGCGCACCAGCGGCCCCGCTTGATCTGCCTCCGTTGCGCCTCTTGCCGTCTTCGTCCACACACCGACCAATCCTAAGACTCGCATCGGCCTGGAACAAGCGCTAATTCTCGCAGCCATCGTCTTGGTTTGTTGATGTCTTCACTTCTAGTAGATAAGAGGGATGGAACTCGAAAAGGTTCGCGCTTTTCGATTGACAATTGGGCGAAGACCTTTGATGTTGGTTTTCGCTAGCAGATTTGGGTAGTTTATTTGGGGTTTCTCCTGTTCTAGGGATCGATGCTCCTTGTCAATTTGATCTACTGTACTAAAGCCAACTTTTTTGCGATGGGCGAGCTTCGCTGGAAAACGACAAGGACGCAGCAACGTAGGTGACGAAATGTGAGACGCAGCACGAAACCGACCACAACAGTTTGATACGGAACTGAGCTATCGTGCTGACATGTACGACAATACGCCCGGTGATACGACAGCAAGGCGTTGCACGAACGAAAGCACGCCGATAATCCATCAAGAAATAAACTCCTCAAGTACTCCTGTGCACGAGACCGACGCTTTCACTGAAAATAGCCTTCGACGAAAGCAACGAAAAACAAGGGCGAGACAAGCATGCAGACCCGCAGCCGACGTTTCCATAGCTCACAACCAATAGCAAGCGGCAGCTCACTGAAGGAGGAACACGAACAGGACCAATGCTGCAGCTGAACGAAAGACACTTATTTTGTATAAGCAAGTTTCAGTTTGAGGCTTTGCTATATTTCACAAAAAATCCACAAACAGCCTGATGACAAACAACTTCCACTGCTATGTTTGTTTCTGTCAGTATCAAAGAGCATACTACAACTCAAGAACATGCTCACTGCCTTCTACTCCATCGACACCGCCGCGCCGGCGAGTTCGATGGCTTGCACGAGTTTCGCCTTCATTTGTTCCTTTGAGTCGTACACCGGCAGGTCGAGCTTGTGGAAGCAGATGTGCGTCTGCGGCAGGTTCTCTTTCAACAGGCTGGTGGTTAGGGAAAGGTTGATCACGGGGTGGAGGCCGCGGAACCCGACCGCAGGGACCCGTGTGGTCCCGATCCAAAAGTTGAGGAGTTGCTGTCGCGCCTTGGGCTCCAATTCGTACAGAATGGAAAAGAACCAGTTGCTGATCAGCGTTTCCTTCAGCTCGGCGGCCTTGCCGCTGTCCTGCATCAGCGTGCCCTCCAGGGACACCACCACGCAATCCCGAAGTTCCGCCCAGTCGCGGTCGCGCACGTCGCTCTGCCCGCACAGAAGACCTAGTGTTTAGTATGGAGAGGGGATAAAATGATTGATGGAAATTACCATAGGAACCGGAATCATAAATCTGTCAAAACAGCCTAAAGGTATTCCAGGGAAGCACTTTTAGCGGAAGAGCGACGAAACGCAATCAATTCCATTATCATACCACATTCACTTACCTTCCAGCAACTTGGGGCTGAGCATTCTTATGCACTTCCTTGGCAGCACCGACCGGAACCCCCGCACGAAGCTGGACAAGGCGAAGTGGCAGGACGCCTTCAACAGGAATTGGCACAGCAGAAACACGTACTCCTGCCGGTTCTCGCCCGTGACCGGGCGGTCGTCGCCCGCGGGGCAGAGGAGAAATAGAATTTCCTCGCCCATGAACTTGTAGGACACGGAAAAATCGAGGCAAAACACCAGCTCCACGTCGTCCGCGTCGGGGTACTCCAGCAAGTCCATCAAGCCCTTGGCCTTCACCGGGTCCAGGGTGCGCAAGTCGTCCACGCAATCGTACACACTCTTCCACACCGGGCCGAACAGCTGCTGCTTGTTGCTACCACTTCCAGCAGGAAGCACCATCTCGTACCTCGTTGGGGCAGAAAAAAAGTTCGTCGTTGGTATTCTCCTGGACGGCGCGGAACTTCGCCGGTTCTTTTGCGCGACATTAAACGCAGTGGGTTCTTTCACGGGGCGGATGATAGCGTCCGGACGAAGTTGCTGTTGCTGCTGTGGTACTCCTTTCTTGTTTCCCGCAGAAGGATTCAAAGCATTAGCATGTGCGGCGTTGCTAGTACAACTTTCGTCCACTTCCATGTCGCAGAGCAGGCAGCTGTACACATAGCCGCCGAGCACCGCTTCCACGCGGCAGTTCATGTACAGGCAGTAGGCCAAAAACCTGCCCAAAAACTCGTACCACACCTTGGTCATGCCCGGCTCCCGGCCGAGTCGGAGTGCCGCCCAGTCCGGCAGGAAGAAGCCGCTGCACTTGAGGTCCTCCGTGGAGTTTTCCACCGAGGGCGAGAGTCCGCTGGTGAGCAGCCCGGAATCCGGGTGGAAGATCTGGGCGCAGAGCAGGTTGGCCCAGGACTTGGTGACCGCGCCCCAGTCGATACCCCGGTCCTGGCGAAATTTGATGGTGAACCCGCGGGTCCAGAACTCACCACTGCGCGTGCCGATCCGCGCGAACGTGTCCAGCAGCAGACTCATGGTGGAGTCAAAGTCCCCGGTCTCCGGCCGCGAGAACACCAGCTCCGGGCACCCCTCGGCCGGTTTCGGCCGGTCCTTCAGCAGCGGCCAGCCGAACCGCTTGCGAATCTTGTCGATCTCGTCGATGGCCTCCTGCACGCAGACGCGCTCGAAGTGCGTGACCTCCTCCTCCCCATCGACGAATGCGAACTGGTTTATGCCCGCGCCGCCGTCTCCGACGTCTGCTCGGAGGTCCCTTGAAGGTGACGTAGTTCCGTCTGCTATTACACCAGCTGCGACGTCGCCTGCGGCTAATAAGTCCTCCTCCGTTTTTTCGCTGACCACCGACCCGACTCGTCGCGTTTTGCCGTTATCTAGTACTTTTGTCCGGGACACTGTCGTTTCGATCGCGGTCAGCCCCGCGTCGTTTGCGTTTTCGAGACCAGTGGTCTTGTTTTCGTCTTCAACCAAAACAAAGGTCGTAAAGTTGTCGATGACCCAGGCGATGAAGGTTTCGCGCGTCCCGCCGGCGAAATTGCGCGCGAGCATCTCGCTGTGCGTCATGCCCTCCAGGTGGTGCACGGCCTCCGGGCTGTGCCAGGCGGACAGGCCGGTTTGCAAATTCCGAACCAGCAGCCGGTCGTCCTCGTCCCGCCGCACGACCTCGCCGACGGAGGACTCCGTCAGGACCGGCGACACGGCAACGATCTTCGTGTTCACGCTGGACGTGACCGACTCGCGCTCCGTCACGGCGAGCACGCAGCGGTTGCCGACCTGGAGCTTCTCGGTGGGCCGCGGGAAGGGGAGGTTCCCGCGGGACAGGAAGGGGCAGGGGAACGCGCGCCGGCCGTTGTAGCCGTAGTTGGACCACTGGCCCTCCGGGGGCGTGGCCATACCGTGGGACTTGTCGTGGGCGTAGTACCACCCGGTCACCTGGTCCGTGTAGTTCATCTTCCAGAACCCCGCCCAGTAGATGATCGCGCCGCTCTCGTTCTTGTACATGGGGTGGTCGCGGTAGCTGCCGCTGGGCTGGTAGTCCCCGTTGCAGGGGATCCCCGCGCCGCCCGCGCCCTTGACGCGGATCTGGCCCGGCGGCGGGGTCTCGGCCAGGGCGAGCACCCGGGTGGTGTCCAGGTTCTCGCGCTTCACCAGGATCAGCGGACTGCCCACCTCCAGCTCGATGGCGTACTTGTCGTCCACGCGGCCCAGGATCTTCACCTGCTGGCCCTCGTGCGTCAGCACTTTCTCGTCGAGGGTGACCTCCAGCGTGTGTACGTTGATCAAGCAGGCTTGGTCCCCCTCGGCGAGCTGGCCGTGGGTCAGTAGATCTTGCTTGCTCAGCGGCCACACCCACCGTCGGGTCAGCAGCCGCTTCAGCGCGCTGCGCTGAAACTTCTCCACGTGGAAGGTCTTCAGGATGGCGGACCGCGCCTCCTCGAGGGACAGCTGCTTTTCCTCGCCGTCCGGAGCGGCGAATTTGTTGTGCCCCGATCGCGGCTTGGTCATCCAGAACTGCGCGCACCACTTCTCGGGGTCGGACCGAATCAAGTCGCGGTTCGTGGCCCGCGCGTCGTTCAGCTTCTTCACACTCCGATGCGACCGGGGGTTGACCGTCGCGCGGTTGCTCGCGGACGCGCCGGCATTTTGGCTTCCGGAGACGACCACGCTGGACGGCGCCCGCGCCAGCCGCTCCCCCTGCTCCGCTTTCTGCGCGATCTGCATCTTCTTCGCGAACCGCTCCTCCTCCGTGGCCGGGAAGCTGGGTGTGCGCAGCGAGGCGCGCGACCGCCGCGACGCGACGCGGCGCAAGTCGCCGTCCTCGACGGAGACGCGACCCAGAAACTCCGCAGACGAAGGATGTATCATCTGCTGCGCTGGGTTTGCCGGTTCTATCTCTGCACGGGCGAACATTATATGATCCCTATTTGCTGCACTACTACTCGCCGCCGCCCCGCCGTTGGTTGAGCCGTCCGTCATGCTGCTCATCGGGCGCGGCACCGCCACGCCGTCCTCGAACGACTCGCGCCGGCGCTTGTTGTTCTCGTGAGTTGCAGCTGCGCCGCCCAAATAACCGCTTTGCTGCCCGGTCACCGACGCGGTGCGGTACATCTCCTGGAAATAGCCGCCGCTGTAGTCCAGCCCGCCGCCCCCGGAGCTGAGCATCGAGTAAGGCGGCGATTCCTGCAGCGCCCGCTGCCGCAGGTCCTCGCGGGTGGCGAGTTCCAGCGGATCTACGAGGATGGAGCTCCGCCGCGGCTCCACCATCTTCACGTACAGCGTTCCTTCGTCCTCTGTGGATACCGTGAGCACCTGGCCCTCGAGCTCCTCGACCCCGCTGTCGCACACCATCGCGAGCAGCTCCACGAACGGCGGCTCGGCGTTCGGCTGTGGGTGCCGCGACACCACTCCCGCTTGCGCGCCCCGCGGGATGGTGATGCCGCGGTTGTTTTGCAGCTCCCGCAGACAAATGATCTTCGCCACCTCCACGCATTCCAGCTCGTCGACGAACGCGCGCCACATGCGCTGGTGCGCAAACGTCACGGTCGCGAGCCTGGCGCGTAACTGCACGCACAGCCCGATGTCGTTCACGCTCACGCTGCCCCACCCCCGCATCGGCCGAACGCCCTTGCGGACACGGACGAAACGGCCGATGGCCACGGCGTTCTCCCCCTGCGGCAGTAGCGGGTACGCGGTCGGCGAATTTGTTCTGGTTATCGGAGACGCGCTGGAGGTTCCTCCGGTGTTGGGGCTCCTTTGCTGAGGAACTTCTACTCCGGTAGAAGTAGCCGGGTATTGCGTGACTTCCTCCGCGAGCTCGTCTTCTTCTCCACCAGAAAATCGCGACTCCACCGGAACTCGCTTCACATCTAGGACATTGGCAGATGTTGAAAACGGCCCTTGCTGCTCCGCCGACTTCTCGTCCTTATTGTTCGTCCCGAAAACAACCGCCCCTTGCTTCCCGTTCGAGCCATACTCGTCCGCGGCGGAGGAGGACGCGTAGGACATGAGCACGCCGTTCCCCGAATTTTTCGAGAACCGGTCTGACGTGGACGACTCCATCGCTGTTGTGGTCCCATACTGTTGTATTCCACCATCTAACATCTCCTCATTTAAGTCGTTGACGTGTTCGCCTTGAACATGATCATACTCCGCACCATTTCCAGCTCGTCCGTTCGCGAGTACTTCTTGTTGATCCTGGTCAGCGCCCCGCTCGTTGTTCGTTTGTTCCGGCACCATCAGATCTTGGGACTTCTTGCCGCTGGAAGTTGCCGTGTCCTCCGCGGAATTCGATCGGAACATCTCGTCCCCACCCTGGAGGTGGGGCAACTCCCATTTCAGCGTGTTGATTTTCACGTTTGCGATCATGTCCCGGTGGTAGGCCTCGTTGTCGAACGCCACGCGCACGTAGCCCGGCGCGACGTAGAGAAAGGTCTCTTCGCTGCACAAGCCTCGGACCACCTCGTTGTTCTCGGTGACCCACCCGAGCACGATCCCAACCCCGTCGAGGTCCGACCGCACGCGCAGCCGGGGCTCGAGGACGCCGCAGTGCGGGATGGTGTGGCCGTGCTGCGGCTTGATTTTGTTTCGCTTTGCTGGGATGAACTGGCGGAAGCTGCGCCGCGCCTCCGCTTCCTCCTGATTGAACACCCGGCTGGACATGCGCGCCGCACGCTCCTCGTGCCCGATTTGGTAGGTCCCGGCGCTGTTGAAATTCTGCTCCAGCGCCGCCCAAAACTGCTCCTTGGTCAAAATGTCGTCCTCTTTCTCCAGAAATTCGATCGTGACGCGCAGAAACCCCTCGTTGTTGGCGAAATCCATATTGTCGCGGTTGAATAACACCTGGTGCTGGCTGTTTGTGCGCCGCATCGTTGCACTACTCGTAGCTGCTCCGTGATTGCTGCCGCCCCCGGTGCTCGTCCGGCGCAGCAAGGTATTATTTGTAGCAGCTCCGCCGCTCGCCAGACTGTCGTTGCTCCTCCTCCCCAGCGGGAGGGCAAGTTGTTTACGCACCTGCTCGGGCTGCGAGGACCGGGAGGAGGCTGCGCTGAGTGGCGCCTGTAGCAATACCTCTTGCTCTGGTAGATCCGGGAGAAAATCGTCAAAATTGGAGGTTGGCTGTTGTTGTACTATCTCCGATTGAACAAAATCGTCATCCTGATCGCCTCTACTACTGAGCCCCCGATCGGGCAGGCGCTGCGCAGGAGACAAGGACGTCGCTGCACCTGCTGCTCCGGTGCCCATCTCCCCCGGCAGGTCCGTCGGCGGCGCGACCGTGGCGTCGTGCGTGACCACCCGCACGACGTGGTCCGAGATCCGGCTGCTTGTGCTGTTGTGGCTGCCCCCGCTCCCGAGCACGCGACTGAAGGAGGTGTTGGTGGTTTTGTTGTTCCCACCTCCCCCACCTAAAGAGCCCCCTACGGTCGGGTCTTTTTGAAGCGCGAAGTCGATCGTGGTGCTGATACCCGCTCTGGTGCGCTGCAGCACGTGATACACCGCGGACCCGATCACCGGGTTGCGCGCGCTCTCCGTGTCGGTGCGCACCACGCAGCGCAAGTCGATCGGTTCCTGCAAATACTCCAGTACGAACCGTTCGCCGAACCGGACCACCACCGACCGAGGCTTGAGTTCCTCCGAGCTCGGGTTGCTGCCCCGGGACTTGGGCATTAGATGCCCGAACAACCGCCCCATCAGCGTGGCGGACCGGGGACTAGGGTCTACCGTGTTGATGGTCACACACCGCACCTTGCTCGCCACCTGCGTCTCGACCTGGCGGTGGCCGAAGTAGAGCTCCACGTAGGGGTTGAAGGCCTGCTCATCGGCCATACTGTGCTCCGGCGCCTTCAGATCCCAGGCCGAGTCCACCGTCACAGCCAGCCGCTTGATCGGCCGATCGTACGTCAGCCGGGTGGGCGGCGCCACTTGCCTCATTTTCGGTGGTTCTTGTTTTTCTCCGGTGCTGGTTTCTTCAGTTCCTCTTCTGTACTGCGTGTGTCGTGCTTCCGCTTACTTGTTTGAAAATAACTGCCGGTGGTTGATGATTGTTGCTTTTCCGCTTGTGCCCCTCCCGCTCTTTTTCCGCAACAAGTCTATTTCGTCGAACCTGCTCGTACTGAGGGTGACTTCCTGAGACGATGAAGTTGTAAAGACGAGATGAACCACGAAGCAGAAAGTCTGGGCTCGACCGATGAAAGGTGTGTCGGGGTAGAAATGTTGATAACTCTGGTCGTCCAGCGCAAACACGGCGCGAGTGGAGGATTGTCGCGTATAATTGATTCAAGGACTTTGCTCTTCGCTTACGTCCAGCAAGACCACGATTGTTGTATACTTAGAATTGTAATTTGTGAAGTACTACTTCTTCCTGGCAGAAATTCGTATAAAGAAGTTCATGGTGAAAAAACAAACACCAGTATATTAACGCCACTTCTGCAGCTACTTGCTAGATGAAATATGGTTCCATTCTTGATGGCTCTATCCAGCCTGAAAAGTTACTTATGTGCGCAGGTGTTCCCTGCTCCTCAAGAAGAGATTTGTTCTGAGTTTTTTGACTACCTTAACCTTTGTGAATTTCTATAGTCGTGTCTCTTGGCCAGACTGGAATAGTCAAAGAAAAATGCGCACCATTTCTATGACCGCACTAACGCAATGAAATTGGGAGATGTTAAGATGAAAGAACCAGCCAGGAAAAAGATCCTTGCCGATAGCAGTGCTGTCGCTTGCGGGAGATCAAGTCGACACCGTGCGAGATGAGACATCCATTCCAGAGAACGAGATCCAATCAAGCACAGACCCGGCCATGATATTACCGAAAAACAAGCACTAACGAGCGGAAAGGATTCAAGAAAGCTCGTGACAGTGCAGGTAAAAGCAGAGCTGCCCTATTGGATTAAACTGAACCTGAGGATAAAAATCTTACACTATCATCGATACGGGCGGGGGGCAGGCATGATCAAGATACCTCATACGCTACTAGCGAAGTCTGGGAAAGGAACTGTAAGAAAATTGCTACTTTGGTCTTGGTTTTCACGTCGATCTTTTGCTTCACGCGCTACGTTGTAGCTGCATGTTTCTGAAGTGTTGCTGATTCTTGACATAAGCCTCTTACTGCACGATACGAACGAAACATGGGAACTGAACGACAACGATGACACAGCACGAACGGACGGACAGCACGAGAGTACGAGTTGTGAAACGCATGAACAGAAAAACGAAAAGCGACGATCAACAATACCTGTCGACACGGCAAACTTGTTTTACTCATCGTCTTTCTGTTGTGAACGAAGAGCGACGAGCAGCTCTGCTCGTACTAATTGTAATTCGTTTTTTCTTGAGCAGCGAAATTTTCATACCTTTCTCTGAAATCAGTTCCACGAAGGTCTGGTTGAGCTTCGCTTACTTCCTGCTCTAAAAACATACGCAATCATTTGACAGGTCGACCGGACCGACGTTCAGCTCGTTCTGCAGATATTCAGAATAGGAGGACAAATCAAACGCGCCGTTCCTAGTGACGCGATTTCAGTCGGTGTTGGAACCACTGGGAGCAGCGTTCCACACCATTAATCCAATAGCTCGGCGGCGTCGCGCTCTTCCTGCCAGGATCTTTTTTTCAACCCCGTAGCTTCTGTTCCTCGCCTTTCCCGCCCGTTTAGAAGGCCGCTGCGATGTTGTTCTTGACCCCTACCCGCACCGTTCTTGATGACATCTTGTTCTTCTTGTCCTCTTAGCCTTTTCGCTGCCGGCTCCCAACTCGAACCGCTGCTCTTCACTACAGGCAAATCGTCTTCCTCGCTTTCCGTTTCCTCGCTGCTTGAAATGAAGTCGTTCTCCGACACGATACCCCCTTCTCCTGCCTCCCCCTCCTCCGAGTCGGAAACCAAATCGATCACATTCTGCGACGTCTCCCGTAAAGGCAAGATTCTCCGGCTGCTCTCGTAGATGTCGTGCGGGGGCACTTGAAAACCGACCAAGTCCAATTTTTCCAAGAGCTCACTCTGCCCCTGTTCGCCCTGACCGTTTTTCCGTTTCCGCAGGCGTTCCACCGATTTGTGGTAGTAGTACACGAGAGTAATCCGGTTTCCGGAGAAGGGCATGGTGCAGTGGGGTATGCGGCCGTCGAACAGGACGAACTCCTGTTTGCAGTTGTACACCCTGCCGAGGAAAAGGTTTTGGTTACTTACTTCCGATGCTAGTCCGGCAGTGTCCGTTTCGTTTCCGCCGTGGAGGTCCTGCATGTGCATCTCCCCCGCGGATGAACTACTGCTATTTCCTTCCTCCGCCTGCGCTCGCCACTTGCGAAATAAGCAAATTTGCTTCTGCTCTTTCGGATCGGTGATTCTGAGGGCGACCAGAGCTCCGTCCGGGTAGTCGTGGACTTGTGCGCTTGCTGCATTTACTGCTGTTGCGACGAAATACCGCTCCTGTTGACCCGCGACGGTGAGGAAGCCATGTTCCTGTTTCGTGCTTCCCGGCGGGCTAGGGAAACGAGCAGATGAACCGGCAGACGATGATGACGATGATGAGGAGGAGCCCGATGAACAGGAGCCAGAAAGCGACCCAACTACCGCCGCCCCACCTCTTCGAAACGCGTCATCCGCCTGCAAATCGAAGATCCAGGTCGCGCCACCGGTGTACTTCCCGACGGAAAAAACGGCGGATCTGCCGCAGTTGTTTTTGTCCCGGTGGACCGGAGTCACAACGTTCCGGTTCACGCTAACCGAACTGTACAGGAACTGGCACGACTCCAGCGCCTGCCGCTTCTCGATCAGCGTCTCATCCACTTGCGTGGTCGAAAAGTTCGGCGGATTGTTGAACACTCGGCAGTCGGACAAAAGTTGTCCTTCCTTGACCGTTTCCAAGCTGAAATTGCGGCGGAAAAACGTCGTGATGGTGGTAACCAGCCCAGTTCCATCCAGCGTTTTCGAAATCTTGCTTAAGGCCGCGCCCCTGCAGTGATCGGGAACCACGCCAATTGAAAAGGAGTAGGCCGGGTTGTGCTCCGTGCTAAACCGAGATTTCGTCAGGCGCTTTTGGTTTTTCTCGAAAAAATTTTCCAAGTGTCTTGCCAGGCGGGACGCGGGAAAGGCCCAGGTAGGGTGTTGGTTCTTATCTTCATTTCGCGGAGTCCTGCTGCTCCCGAGCGATGGCCCTGCGCCTGGTAGTCGCTCTGGGATAACGACTTGCGAACCCTGACTGCCTGTCGCCAGAAACACTGAGTCTTGCGAGGTGATTTGCGTCAGGCCAGTTGCTGCAGTTGGCGCTGCTAAAAATGGTCCCGCGCGGTCTTGAGAAGATGCCGGCAACGGTTCGACTGCAATCAATGCAGGTTGTGAGAACAGTGCTGGTCGAACATCACCTCGCTCATCCTCTGGTAGCGGGATTTCTACTGCCGAAATATTTGCCACCTGTGCCGCCTCGCCGTGTCCCACAGCGGCAGCGTCGACGCTTGAAAAAGCACGGGGAGAGCAAGAAAATGCGTTGAAGTGCTCTCTGGTGAGCTGTCCCTTGCTGCGCCGTTTGTCGTCCACCGTTGCATCCGCTTCTGTCGCACTTGAGGAGCCGCCTCCGTTGTTCTGTAGGCCACTTTCACCCCAGTTATGTAGAGTCGAAACCGGCCTCGCCGCAAGTAACAGTAGCTGCCCTTTACTGTCACTATTCCCTCCAACTGGAGCACCATTCGTCGTTTTCACTTGTGTGAAGAAACCCCGTACTTCGAACAGGCTCTGTTGGTGCACCAGGTCCCAGAACTTCCCGTGCGAATCTCTGGAAATCTCCAAAACACCGCCACCCAGCATACGCCCGGGAAAGGTCAACTTATGCTCCCGCTGCTCCTTCAGAAGTCTTTTTGCCGGCATCCAGTTTGCGAACTTCTCGTCTAGGTTTCGTTTCACGAGGCAGCGCTTCGCCAGAATTGTTGAAAATGGCAGAGTGGAAGTAGTTCCATCCTCAGTGCCCAATACGTAGACCAAATCGTCTACGACCTCCAAAACCCTTGCCACGTGCTCGCCCGAGTCGGGAAAGAACTGCATAACCAGCCATTTCGCGCCTTTCCCCTGGCACGCCTCCAGCACGAGAGCATGCGCTTGGCCGTCTGTTAGATTCGAACTCTGCGAGGGTTGCTGGCTTGGTATAATCATTCCGGTCGTGGCTCCCCCCGTCGCACTGCTTTGCTCCGGCTGAGTCCCACTGCTCCCCTGAAGCTGCAGCGCGGCTCGTTGCACAAGTTTTTTCTGCGAGGATGAGCCGGCTGCTTTCGCACTACCATTTCGCGTCGACCGATGTTGCAGGGCGGCAGATGCTGCTGAATCTTTCCCAGTTCCGGAAATTTCTTTCCACGCTTGGGCGACTCGGGCAGCAACCTTAGAGACTTCCGTTTTTGTGTCTGGCGCGAACGTGGATGTAAAAATTATTTTGCCCTCCCGTTCTTTCCGTACCTGTGCGCACATAGCACTAACTCCATTGCCTCCCGCGGGCGCCAGTTCTACTTCCTGCTGCCGCGCAATTCCTTTACCGCTTGTCCGTGACATCTCCGCTGAGTTTTGCTGCGGCTCAAGAGCGGCTTTCAATGGCGCGTGCTGGAGGAAAATGGAGCCGTACTGCAAAGGCACGAAAACTTCGCTGTTGAGTTCCCAGGTCCCCGGTGACGGGTAGTACCGTAGAGCATCGCCATCCCAACTTGTGACCAACATTCTGTGCTTAGTATTGCATGCAGTGCGTAGAAGTAGTAGATGAAGCAGACTAGGTTTAGAAACAAGTACCAATCACATCACAGCTGCTACATCAGACACCGCCTGTGAGTCTTTCTACTTCTTCCTGCCGACACTTAAAACTCTAAAACAAATGCTTCTTGAAATTTCGATGATCGACAAATCCCACCCGGCGCACCATCCTGAGTACTACATACAATAGCTCTCCGCAACCGTCACGCACCGACGAGTCCTGTTTCATGCTCGACGAAGAGATCTATGATTACTTAGCAAGAAAAAGGCTTTCAATTTTTATTGCACCACACACGACATGAGCTGCGAGCTTCGTCGATATTTTTCATTCCAGCTGCACAAAGCAAAATCGATTCGACTCTTGCGTGCACACACAACAGCATGTTTTGTTTAAAGCTTCGTTATTGTCCTTCTCTGCAACGAGGTTTCTACTTGACGGCTACATTTTTCGAGTATGGTGCCTTCACATCAACGCCTTTATACCCGATAAAAAAACTCTTCCACCTCAAACTCGAGCAACCCCTTTGACCCCAGCACCAGGTCCGCTTCGAAATTTGCCGCGACAAAATCGCTCGGCGTCGCGGGGTCCGGGACGGCGACCACGAAGCAGCCCGCGCGCTTGGCCGCCAGACACCCGAGCGCAGAGTCTTCGAACACCAGACACTCCCGGGCGGGGAAGCCGAGCTTTTCCGCCGTCTTCAGGTAGTGTTCCGGGTCGGGCTTGCCCTTCGTCACCTCGTCGCCGGTCACCACCAGGTCGATCTTGGAAAAAATCGCGTCGTGGTAAAACTTCTTCTTTTTCCCGACCGAATTCGCACTGCTGCTCGTGGCGATCGCGAGGGGAATCGACTTTTTTTTCAAAACGTCCACGAGCTCCGCCGCACCGGGAAGAATACCGGGGATCTGCGGCTGGAATGAAGTTTTCGCAGAACTCGTCTCGTCTTTCGTCTCACTGGCAGCGGCTTTTGTCGTAACCTCGTCCAGTTCATCCCCCACGGGTAGTTTTTCTTGTACCGCGAAGACGCTTCCCATCATAATTTCCCAATCTTTCACCACCCTTGTCCACGACACCTTCTCCTCACTGATACCCACCTTCTGCAGCAGCTGCGGTGCCCACCGGTCCCCCTTCTGCCCCAGAATCCGGTAGTGGTCCGCTTTCGACCAGAAGGTCTGGGTGGGCCCGGATGTTAGGGTGCTGTTCTGCCGCTCTGCGCTATTTGTATTGGACGCTTCTTCAACTGCAGAAGTTGCTGTTTCTTGCTGTTCCTTTGCGTACTTCTTCACCAACTCGTTCAAAACATGGCATGCGGTCGTTTCGCTGTCAATCAGAGTTCCGTCGAGGTCGAAGATAACGGCGGAGAATCGGCGGTTGGTCACGGCGTCTTGCAATTTGTCGTGGGAGGCGGTCATTTTTGTCTTTCTTTTGCGTATCTTTCAGGTTTTAATCGACGAGGGGCGGTGTACCACAAGGTGATCCTCTATTGTCAACAAGTGAATATCAAGAATATGTTATATCCTCACGAAGTGTTGAAAATGAAGCCACTTCTAGCAAAGAAAGCACTGATGAACAAAAAGGACGACGTGATCTGCCTGTACAATGAATTTAGCAGATGATCGCTATCATAAATCGTTCCGAGGACTTAACTGCTGCAGTGCAAGTTTCGAAAACAAAACCATACCGAACCAGGAAATAAATCTCTGCCCCCAGCAACTTCAAGACTTTGGGGAAGGGTTCGACACTGTTGTTCCAAGGTGACAGCGCATGCACACGCTACAGCACTACCGCCGAAACCAAGCGAAAAGCAAAGCGGCACAAGATGAAAACCGGTCCTCTCACTCCCCCCACCCAAACAGCCGCGCCCACCTTCTCGCACTGTGCACGACCGCGCGCTCGTTGAAGACCTTCATGTGGGAGGCCGTGGCGTGCAGATCCGTTTCCAACAGTAGACGCATCAGGTGCGGAATGGACTCGAAGTGGCCGAGGAAGGGGTAGAAACTCCAGTCCGCGAACTGGCTCCAGTACATCATGGCATCTGGATCCATTTTCCCGTAGGGCGTGAAGTGCGGCGAGGGACGGGCGTCCGGCTCCGAGTACAAGAACGGGGCCTGCGCCGCGGAGAAGGATGCGGATAGAAGTTTTGCTGCTGATCTTCCGGTAGTTGTAGCGACGTTCTCGTCGGGGTATGTTCTTCTTCTAGTCGCTTTACACCAGTACGCGCGATGAGAGCCGTTCGGAGCTCGTCCTGCAGCTCGCTGCTTTCCTACCGCGGAACTCGTCCTCCTAGCAAAATCATCTCGAAGCGAAACGTCCTTTCCTGTGTAGGTCTCGCACCGGGGAGGGCTTGCTTTGGCAGCGTCGCCGTAACTGTAGGCAAACGCGAAACACTTCGGCTCCCCTGCTTCTCTGCAGCTCTCTGCGCAGCTTGTGAACGATGAAGCTGCAGCAACGGTGCTTGCTTCTGAGAGTTCGTAAGCCCGCACCTCGCTCTCCTCTTTGCGCCCGCTGATAACCACCGTCTTCCCTGCCTCTTCCCGTTCGTCCTCCCCAGCAGTACTTAAACTTTCCGCTTCTAAACAGGGCCGAAAGCCGAAGAAGTCGGCTGGCGTTACCGCCCCTGATTCGGCCGCAACTTGCACGTTTGGGTTCAAGTTTTCTGGTACCTCGTCTTCTTGTCGCGCGTTTGCTTCCCCCGACGCTGTGCCACTGTTGTGAGTGTACAGTAACGCACTCGCTTCGTCCTGGTACAGGTTCCACTCCGCGAGATCGAACCGGGTGTGCTGCCCCCACATCCAGCGCAGCAGGTGCGACTCCCGGTGCGGCACGAAGATCGGCAGGTTTGCGGAGTACAGCTCCCAAAACAGCATCAGCGACGTGTCGTAGGGGAACCACACAGCCGACCGAAACTGCTGGAGCAACTCGTAGGGGAGGCGCTTCTCGATGTAAATCTGCTTCGCGTTGTCCGGATCCGGGTGAAATTGGCGGAGAAACTGCTCGAGAAAGAGAAACCGCAGCGGGTACTCCGGATTCGCAAACCGAAAATGGTCGAACACGCACTCCGCCAGACCACCGGACGTGCCGACGCGCGCGACCAGAACCGTTTCCATCGGGTCGTGGTGTGTTTTAGAAGATGCGTGGTTCTTAGCAACAGCGGGAACAACAATAGTGTCTTCCGCAGCCACGGCGGTACTATGCTTCTGTCTGGTCGGGAACCAAACCGTGTTCGTGTGCAGTCCGTGGATGCGCATGACGGCCGGCCGGAGCCACCCATTCGTCTTCCAGTTGACCAGCTCCGCGAGGTAGAGGTTATTCGCGAGAAACGTCACGTCCGGGCGAAGGGCCAGGTCGAAAATCTCCATCAGATTAGTCATGCGGTCCACGGCAGGAACGTCCTGGTGCAACGGGAGACCGAGGTACATGATCAGCTTCTTCCCCTTCGTGCCCTTATTTGCATCATCTTCTGCAGCTACTTCTCCGGGGCCACCGGACCTACTTTTTTCCGTTCCCCTGCTGCTTGTCCCTAAAAACTTTTTAAACAACCGGCAGAAGTAGAACGGAATCGTGCACAGAACCGCACTGGCGCTCCGAAAGTTCACCGCCTCGGCCTCGTCCGAGTGCTCCAGGAACTCGACCATCTGATTTTCCATCTTGCTGTATCAAATGCAAACATGTCTGGGTCTGGATGGGTGCAACTTGTGATGCTGCATTTGGATACTACAAAAACCTGTGTTGCATGAACAGCAAAAGAGGTCCAGCTTTTGCCTCGGCGAGAAAGCATTTCCAATGCGGTATAGGCATCAGGAAGCCCTCACAAAATCTGTGATGCTAGGGCATGCATCCCAGACGTCAGGAGTCATGCAAACTGTGCATGACAAACCTTGGATCCTTCCAGACCCAGACATTTTTGCATTTGATATGCTCAACCGTTCCCCGACGGGCAAATTTCGCACGCTGTCCTCGTTCGACCGGTATAATTCGATCAGGTCGAAGAGGCGAGAGCCGAATTTATCAAAAGGAAAAATCCCGCCTCCCCATATCGAAAACGAAACTTGTGAAGCTGGATCTGAGTACACAAATCAGACTTGTCTTGCTGAAGAGGACTGCGGGCCCACATCAAGCCGGAGTAGAGAGGCTTTGGCCTAGGCGCTTAGCATGAGAAACGTCCGCGCTGTAGGCCAAACAGCATTACAAACCGCCCGCATAATGCGGCGGAGCCTGTGGAGTTGCCTTCTTGCAAGACAGAGATCATTTGTCGTCGCAAATCAGCATTGCAAATTTTCTGCGACGTACCTTTTCGATATGGGGAGGGGGGATTTTTCCCCGCGATAGAATTGCTCCCCGTTCGGGGGACAGAGGTTGTAGTTCCGGCAAAAGTCGGTCGCCAGCGAATTTCCGTAAAACGGGATCCGCCGCACAAAGCGGTTGACAAAGTTGTACATTTCCCCGGCGGTCGCGGTGTGAAAGCAGAGCTGCCACACGGTGTGGATCGTGTCGAAAGCAGAAGACTTCGTGTCGAGGAAATACTGGTCCCATTTCTTGTGCTGCAGTTTGTTCGTGTAGTAGCTCCAGGCGCGTTCCATGGTAGGGTTGTTGATCGGGTCGATTTTTTATAGAATGCAAATATGTCTGGGTCTGGACAGCTGTGATGCTGGATTGCGCATGACTGCAACGCTTGCAATGGCCTCCAAGCATGACAAACTTTCGGAACGCTTTCTGCTGCGTAACGCGCATGACAAATTGCCTCTTTGCATAACCAGGAAAGCTGCTCATTTGCTGCTCATGCAGCACAGATTTTCCAGGAATGCAAGATACGCATTACAAGTTGCAACCTTCCAGACCCAGACATATTTGCAATGCATATTTTCTCCTCCACCTGCTGCTTGCCCGTTTTCGGAACAAGCGACATCGTGTTCACGGCAGGAGTGTCGGAGGAACGATAACGAAAAAACGATTCGTCCACGACTCCTTTGTTCGCTTCGACCTTTGTTGTTATTCCACTTTTTGTTTTTTCGTCTTTGTTCTTTTCTCTGTTTGGTCCTCTCAATGCCGCCGCCGCCTCCTCGACTTGGAGATTAATCGCCGTGATGTTGGGGAGCAACTTGTCGTAGAACCAGCTTTCCCCGGCCACCGTCCGCCCGGCGAGGTTTTTCAAGATCAGATACGTGCTGAGCGGCCACCCGCTTTCCGGGAACCAGGCGAACGGCAAGTAGTCTCCCATGAGGTACTGCGTCATCTGCAGGTAAACCCGTGCGTGCCCCACGTCCAGCTGCCGGCTCTCCGCGTTGACGGCGAGAATTAACGCGGCCGTGGCGTAGCCCAGCACGCAGAACAGCTCCTTGTTTTCTGGTGGACCAGAGGAAGAAGGACTTGTCGTTCTAGAGGAGCCTTGTTTATCAGATGCCTTTCCACCTGCCAGAACGGCGCTATTCAAATCGTAAAACTTCTTTGCCAGCTTTACGTAGCGGAGGTCCTGCTGGCGCTTTTTTGGTTTAATATTCCCCTCTGTAGTACCGCCAGAACTTCTTGTATCCTCTTCGTACGGAATTTCCCTGTTTCTGAAGTAGTGTTGCACGAGATACTTGTCAAAGGTCGGGTCAACACACAGCTTCCCCAACGCCCGCACGTAGTCCAGGTTCGCGTTCATTTGCACCTGCCCTTCGTCCGTGACCGAAAACATCACGTGCTGGTATTTAAACACGATGTGTTCCGCGAGTTCAACAACCTCTTGATCGCGGAACAATTTGGCGACGCCCTCTTCCTTCATTCTGCGGTCAAGTGCATTTGGTCTGAGGCCGTCATTGTTGTAGTTGGTGGGGTTCTCTTTCTGATACAGGAATATTACTTCCATCTTCTCCCGTACCAGTTTTCGCCAGGCCGCGAAGTCGGAGCCGAAAATGTTCGGGTCTTCACAGGTGAGCAGAACCGGAAGCTGGTAAAAAGAGCTGCTTGACGTTGTTCCCTCTACTGCAGGACCAGCCTCAGCGCAAGTGCCACTGAATTGGTCGTGCACCACCGTTGTAAAAAAGAGCAGCGCGGCTGCAAAACGACAGAAACGAAGAGAACAAACAGACACAGGGGCTAACATCGTTATATTTTGCAAATATCTGTGATTCATCCGGGTTAATCAGAGTACGAAGAAGAAACCCAAGCTCACCCAACGGTGGTACTACGCGTCACTTGATGACCTCTCTTGAAAGGCAAAAAAACCCGTAGAGTTTCCAATCAGGAAAGTTGTAAGATGCGAAAGCCAAGAGAGTCGAAGCATTGTCGGTTGGGATGGACGATGGGATGGCACGAATGAGTTCTTCCTTTGTTTTGTGTCGATAAAAACACGTCACCGCCGTGGTGGGTCCCAAACTTCACGAAAAAAAAAATGTACCTGCAAGTCAGACCGATCGAGATCGCGAAAGGCTGCGGCTGTAAGTAAGTGCTAGGATCCTGCATGCTCTGACCTGACAAACTTGCAAAGAAGTACTTAAACGGATGACTTTACTGACCCTGCTTTTTTTCGTGCCGTACGACACGTTCGGCTGCGATAAAGAACGCACAAAAATGGCCGCCGCAGGACCCTGGTAGCCGCGAGGAGACGACTCTTACCCCACGTGGTTTTTTCTCATATTTTTGTTCCATTACAGCAGCACAGGGAATAATAGCTCACGAAAAAATGGTTTGAAATCCCCTTGTACAAGAAAAACAAGAAATTCGTGTTTGCGTCGTGTTCTCAAAAGTGCGCGGCAGTTCACTACCTACGGGTTTTTTTGTCCAGTGGCCTCATCACAAGTGTAGAGAAAAGCCACGCAAGATTAGTTTACGTCACCTTTACTACACTTAGATAGCAAGGTCGTCGCTTTCTTCGTAAAAATCCTGATAGATGGCAAAAGACCCCACCCTTATGTCTGAATTCAATCTTCTACCGCCGCGTGCGAAAGAGTTTCCAAAGCAAGAAGCGTTTTGCTCCGAAATCTTGCGCTGCGGTTCGACGTAATCTTCACTGCCCTAAGGACATGTAGAAAGTAGATAGTAGACACCTATCGCAGTATCCTATCTATGAATTCTGTGTTTCTCTTTCTGCTCCCGCGAGCTACGTATGAAATACCAATTCCAAGCCTTCGCTGGGCCATTCTCTCTGCGTGCTGCTGCTATCCTATTTTTGTTCGTTTTTCATCCACCACCAGGGGCAAAGAAAGCACACGCACAATTGCACCCGAGTTGATGACATTTTGCTTTTATAATTTGGTACACACAAGCAATTAGTGTTTTGGTTAAAAGAAATGACCTGAGAAGGTAGAACCTTCAATTTGTGGTGTAGTCCTGATTGGGGGGCAACGCAGTACTGGTTAATATTCTGGTAAGCACGTATTGAATAATTCGGTTACAGATCGAAGTTGAGTGGAGTAATTACTTAAATCGCAATAAATCGGTTCACATTATGTTGCTGAATAGTGGATTTTATAATTCTTACTCAAGAGGTACAACTGGTGGTCAGGATTATAAAAGACATTGTAAAACTGCTCGCTTCCGCTACACCCATTGGTGGTGTCCGCATCCGCAAGCTCGTAGTGTACGATGGCTTTGTAAATTATTACCCTAATAATCCCAGCTGCAGTAAGCCAGAGCCTCACACGCGCTAGCCAGCGACGTCATGGTCGGGCTTTTGCGGGCTGTGCTCAGCTTGTGCTGTCATTTGTTATCGTGGCGCCTACACATGATGCTCAGAAGTAAAAACCCTACTACACAAGTCGCTTGTCAATGACAACTTGAACTTTTGAGTAGTTTTGTATTGTTCGCTTAAACTTAAGCAATATTAACTATCATATATTTTCGTCTCTACATCACTGTAAATCCTTGTGCAGGAGCTGCTTCTCCGTGTCCGTATGAATGAAACTAAGTCATAATTTAGTACCTACTGCAGCATGAAATTAATATCGAAATCATTTGAAGATCCCCTAAATAGTCTAATTCGCCCCTAAGAAGCTACTTGCGCGACATTACCGTTGCACGAGACTTTTAATCCCCATGTGCGTCTTTCCTACTACAGCGGCACAGACTCCTTCGGAGCGTGTGTACTTAGAGTAAACTTACCCTTAATGATCCCATAGATTGCATACCACGGTGCGCAGTATGTTGCTGCCTAATGTTCATTTCGAAGTGCCATCCCAGAGGAGAGAGCTGTAGAAGCTCTCGCCCCGTTTTCTTGACAATATCCCGTCACCGTGCAGTCTTATTTGTGTGTTGAGGTGATAAACCCATAGCCGTAAGATACAGCTAGCTTCGATTTGCTATGACAATAAAAGCCTGGTGTTGCATATTCCATCTCGTCTTCACGCTGCACCCATTTTGCAACAGCCCGGTGAAGTTCGATGATGCACAGCAACAATATTGTCAGTGTGAGACTTTTTATTCGCATCTCGTCGGCCAACAAGTTGTAAAGCGTTTCCTTTTCTCGATGCGCCGCTGCTAAATTGTGTCGACCGATCGAAGTAGGTCACTGCAAAATTTATCCGTTTGTGCTGTAGGTCAAGCTATGGCTATTAAGCTTCTGTTCGTCATCTACGCTTGAAAAATAATATTCATAGCGTGCATTTTTTACGACTGCGGAATATCCCGTGAAAGAATAAGACAGAGACAGCTCAAATTTGTAAATCGAAATACAAAATTTACGCACAACAATGCGGCGCATCATTCTTTTTTGCACCGTTGCACCGACGAGAAGGCGCAGTGCACTCGTGGCGCAGTGCATCTTCACGACAGGGTGCAGAACTCTACCGTATACATGTAGCGAAGAAAGTAGCGTGTCGATTAACTATTGGTCGTTTATGCATCTACAAAGAGTTGTAAAGCCGGTTTCGTTGTAAGCTTGCTGTGACTATTAGAAGACCTATTTTTCCGTTAGAAGAAGCAAAAAAAGGGGTAAACACTATAAGTAGAAAACTGTTTTTCAAGAAATTTTGACAGGTTTGTATATCTGTTTTTTTTTGTTCCTAACGTTCCACTACTTTCGACTTTCATGATCAAGACCGCACTTATTCGAGACGATTCTTACCCTGCATGACGACAGAGAAACAAGGCTGACTTCTTCCCATGTCATCCGCGGTTGGGAAAAAAAGCCCCGTACTTTTTCCGTTGCGGTCGCACTGATCTTTGATATAACGGTCATGATTTTCAGCTTAAATCGTTCATCGCAACATCATTGACGACATAATAATCTTTTCGCACAACACGGCAGAGCGCGCAGTCCTAGTATCCTGGCTGTATTTTTTTTTGTTTTTGTTTTATTAGGTGTGGTAGTATCTATTATCGATCTTATCTCGGCATAATATGATGTCGGAGTTTACCGCGTCGTGACTGTGGGTTTGTAGTTACTCGCAAATTTCCAGTTCTTTCAGGAAACAATAAAGCACGAGATATTGATTATATTGGATGTCGCACGACACAAACCGCTTTCGAGCGTGATGATGAAAAACAAAAAGTTGTGACTACTACTTCTCTTTTACTAACACTTCAAATCGTATCTCTAAAATCAGACACGATGTTTGAATCGATGATGTTTTTTCACTGCAAGAATTTTTGCTTCTACCGCAACTGTATCAAATGCAAAAGTGTCTGGGTCTGGAAGAGTCATGCTGTTTTTGCATGACACAGAAGGTCTGGCATGGAAGCGCTAGCATCACAGGCTTCGAGAAGCTTCCGCAATGCCGAATCGGCATGACAAATGCCCCATTTTGGTGACAGATAGTGGGCAGCTTTTGCTGCCTATGCATGAGAAGTTTTTTTGTGTTGTGAAATGCGCATCACAAGTTTGCATTCTTCCAGACCCAGATATATTTGCATTGCATAAACTGGCTGCTGGTGTGGAACAGCTCCTCGGGGGTGCTGAACCCATCCTCGTAGGTGTCCGCCGTGTACTGCCGCGACTGACTCCGCCGCGTGTAGTACGTCTCCATGGCCCCGCGCTCGCCGTTCGCCGCCGCCAACTGCGCGCTGTCGGCGTACATCAGGGTTGCTCCCGGGGAGAGCGGCCGCCGCACGTTGCCGTTCGCGTCCGGATGCTGCTGGCGCTGGAGCACGCCCAGCAACTCCGTGACCAACGACAACACCAGCTGCTGGCTCTGCGGGTCCTCGGGCAGGCTGGAGGGTAAATGGCGCAAATTGGTGTGATATCAAATGCAAAAGTGTCTGGGTCTGGAAGAGTCGTGCTGCTTTTGCATGACACAGAAGGTATGGCATGGAAGGTCTAGCACCACAGGTTTCGAGACGCTGCCGCAATGCCGAATCTGCATCACAAATGCCCGATTTTGATGACAGAAAGTGGGCAGCTTTTGCTGCCTACGCATGAGAGATTTTTATGTGTTGTGAAATGCGCAGCACAAGTTTGCACTCTTCCAGACCCAGACATATTTGCAATTCATATGTGACTCGAAAGGGTGTCCGCGTACTGTTGCCGGCGCAAAGACGACGAGGACCCAGCTGCGTTCGGCTCGTGCGGGTGCAGCGGGGCCGCGCCAGAAGAATTTCTTCCGCCTTGCTGGTGCTCCAGTTGGTTGTAAGCAAAATTTCCCGTGGACGACGCGTTGGACAGCGAAGCCAGATTGTACCCGCTGTACTGGTTCGACGCCAACGTGTTCGTGTTGCTACCCATCGTCGCATATCAAGTGCAAAAATGTCTGGGTCTGGAAACTTGTGATGCTGAACTGTGCACGACTGAAATACTTCCCAAGGCAGCCAAGCATGACAAGTTTGCCGAACACTTTGTGATGCGCATTCCGCATGACAAACTGCGCTTTAATATGACCAAAGGGGGCGATTCTTTGTTAGTCATGCAATACAGATCTTACAGGAATGTAGGACTAGCATTACAAGGTCCAAGTTTCCAGACCCAGACACTTTTGCATTTGATATCGCAGCGCCGGAATTCAGGTCGTTGTAGTTGTGTGCTGGACCCCCTCCTGCAGCAGTTCCCTGACCGTGATGACCTCCGAAAGGAGCGAACTGATCGTAGACGGAAGATGAACCGTAGTTGCCGTACCCGTGGTTGCCTGCTCCGGGAATAAAGCCGGGAGCTGCACCAGCTGCGCCACTGCTACTCAACATCGGATTCGAAGTACTCGCAGCCAGGGGGCCGAACCCCGAGTGCGTGTTGCCATACAACGGATTGTAACTGTCGTGTTGGAGATCCAGGTACGACGTGGGACCCACCGGGTGGAATTGCGATTGCAACAAACTTGCGCTCGTGTGGAAAAACGTCGAACCCGTATCATTTGTCCCAGCACTGTGCTGATCGCGGTTGTTGAAAGTCGCTGCATCAACACCTCCCGACGCGGCCCCGGTCGGGGACAGGCCGTTGCTGTTGTTCCCGCGCTGGTCCTCGACGTGATTGGCTCGCACCGGGCTGTAGTACTGGCGATTCGCGTTGCGGTTGTTCCAAGAGTTATTGATAATTGTGTCGTCCCGCAGCCGGCTGTTTGGCGAAAAGTCCTCCCGAAAGGCCCGCGCTGCGCCGAACGAGGACGTGGTGGTCACGTTCCCCGTCGACGTATTCGCATTGGTCGTGGTCTCCGTACTTAGATTGTTCACTAACGAACCATTAGTCGGCGAGTTGGTACTACCATTCTCCATTTCCCGTGTCACGTCCCGCGAAAACCCCAACCCCGGGGGCTTGCGCGGCGGCAGCGCCGCGTTTTTCACCGTCTTGGATCGGATTTTGGAAGAAGTAGACTGGTGGTTATTGTTCCCTGAGGTCGAGGAGCTCGAACCACCCGCCACGTAGCCGTTGCTCTGCCCCGCGGTGTTGGAAGAGGAGCTCCCCGGCTGGTCGGAACTCGACCCCGTGCCGGTGCGGGTGTTGATCGTGGCGTTCGAAGTGTTGGTCGTGGGCTGCTCAACATCCAAATTGATGCGCTGATGACTGTTGATGTTCTGTTGGTGCTTCTTGGATTTGGTAGTAGTCGGTCCTTGCGAAATGGTGACATTGTGGCGGTGCAAACCAGCAGCAGTTGTACTACTACCCATCGGCGGAGCGCTGATGCTCCCGGTGATGTTCCAGTTGTGGTCGTTCTGACTAGACGAAAACCCGTCGTAAAAGTTCGCGGGCGCGGTCGAGCTGGAGGTGTTCGCCCAAGAATTACCGTTGCCACGCGGGGGCGGTGCTGGTGCTCCAGCCGTCGCAGGACCGAGTCCATGCAGGTTATCGTACGTCATGTAGTTGTCCGCTGCGCGCATGCGCATCCAGCTGGGGATCGTAGTGGCACCATTGTTCATGTTGTTCTGGTTGTTGCCTCCGAGAGGTCCAGAGAACTGTCCGAACATGTCACTCATCTGCTGGGCTGCTTGAGAATTGTTGTGCAACATCGGAGCAGTCGCTTTCTTAGTCGTACTCGCAGGTTTGCCGTTATTCACCATCCCGCCAGCCGGAGTGGCGGAAAGTGTAGTCGTACTTTGCTTGCTGTTCTTCTTGGTTTTGCTGGGACGGGGGAGCGAGGACTTCCCCTTGGACAGGTCAGGATTCTCGTTGACACAGGCAGACGCTTCATCCGTCGGGTCCACCGGGTGCTTGAAGCGGCAACGGGATCCTGTTTCGATTTGTTCAGATGCTCTTTGTTCTCAGCGACATAGCAGCATACACCATCCGCTTTCACCCAATTTTTCTCATGCTCACTACTTCTGATGAAAACAATAACAAAGACGCACCTTCCCAAAAGTGTCGTGTACTCAAAGAAACACCCGCTGAAAATTATACCTTTGAAGCAGTTCCCCTTGAGATAGTGGCGACACACGACCGATTTCAGCAACTCGCGCTTCTCGTCGTTGCTCATGTTGAGAACGGTGGCCATGGCCTCCTTGTTTTTGTCCAGCAAGGGGCTGGTGTCATTGTTTGCATTCTCGAGATCTCCCTTCTCCGGGGCCAGCACGTCGGCGCAGATCAGCGACGACTCGTCGGTGAGTAGCGCCGGGGCGGCCAGTGGAGCGAGGGCAGATCCGAGTTCTTCTACGTTCTGTGCTACTGCTGCCGCCATATCCGATTTGGTCTTCGCGCAACTGCGCTAGAACGGCCGGCGGGCGGTGCGAAGTAGGCTGACGCGAAGTAGATAGAAGTGCGAGGTCTCTGCTTGGAAGGTGTTCTTCCTTCGTCGCTGATTCTAGTGTTCGTCGTCCTCCCACTGTGAGAGGTGTTAGTTCCTCCCCCCTTGGGAAAGTTTACGTTTGTTGTCGAGTTGGTTGCGCTGGTTTCAAAAAATCAGGACCCGCCTCACGAATGTGAAGAGCAATTTGATTGCAAGTTCTTCGGAAGTGAAATCCTTAATGAATAAAGGACAGCGCTATGAACAGCGCCTAGAAAACAGTGACAAAGCTTGCCCTCACGTTAGCCTATTAGATAATAGGAGGAGGAGGAGGAAACCTCTATAGCCAGCTTCTATCTACTAAGCTATTCTTTTGTAAGCTAACTATAGGACATGTTTTCGAAGTGGACTAGCCCAGCGGTATATGTATAGATAATATTGATTCAGTATAGCCCAGCGGTGTATATTAGCCTATTAGATAATATTGATTCAGTGCGTTGTATTCTTTAGCACACGGAGTAGTTCATCTGCATGCGAACGGGTGAAAAAATAAAAAATCCTATACCGTTATAGGAAATTTTCGTTTCCACGAAAGCTGTTCGCGAGACTAAATCTTCGGTACAACAAAGAGGCTTTGATGCTTTCTCACAGGGATTCGGATCTTCTGCAAACACAAATCCTCGGAGAAAACAACAATCGTCGATGCTGTATGTGTCTCTCTCCTGTTGTTGAAGAGGCTAAGATGGTAGCTAACCGTCTAAAGGCAGTACTATGAATTTGATAGAAAGTAAGGAAGTATGTGTACGTTGTGTTTGTAAAGAACTCGTTCTTACTTTTTGTTACACAGACTGAGACTGGGGGAAAAGCTTGTGAGTAAGCTCTTGGGATGATGATGAGATAAACCCTTGAAAATGATGTCCGGCGCCACACTCTCCCGCACTAATCTCGATCCACCTCCGTAGGACAATTATTCCGAGGCCTTCTGCTATTGGTATTGGTAGATGATTGAGCTCTTCTTTTCAAGGTTGAGTTGGTAGGAATTACAATTTTTTTTTTGGTGAAAATATATGCTGGTGGTAGAGAGAAAGATTATAAATTTGTGGAAACAAATGAAAACGATCAGAACTGAACTACTTATTGGCTATACTTCCTTCACACAACATACACACGATAGTTCGATCGGTTAAGAAGCAGGAGCAACTGCTCCGTTTTCTTGTCGTTGAGGGAACCTAAAAAACTCACACACTTGGAACCCTGGAAGGATGGGGGAGGGGAAAAAAAAAATTGGTGAAAGATTCTCTGAAAAACCAAAACACCAGCGAAAGACTTTTTCCAGCAAGGATGAGCCACCGGCGCAAGGTGTTCAACTACTATGGCAAGCACGTGTAGTTTCATCTACCTAGCACCGAACTGCTTGTATACCAGTTTTCGCTCCTGTGACCCATACCAACCGACTTAGGGGTATGATTGTTGTGTGGAATCCATCTCAACCGACGTCGAGCCTCCTCCATTTCTGGCAAAATCTGTTTTTCACCGATACCAAAATTCTTTTTTAGAAGCCTTACAGAAAGCGTAACACAAGAAAACTCGCAAATCAATGCGACTCTACTGTAGCTCACAAGAGTCGGCTTCCGCAGCTGTTGGTCCTGTTTAGATTTTGAATCGTTTTGTTTTTCCCTTTTGTGTTGACATCCACACGACACCTTCTCTACGTTAGACTTGGCTGAAGCCCAGCGCAGATGTGGACAAGTTTCGGTTCGCGTAATTTTACAGGTTTATCTTTTGCATACAGGGTTCTATGACACTGCGACAGGTTGTGTACAGTTTTTCAATAGGCGCGTTTTTTCCAACTTCTAGTATTAATATTACGTGTGTTTAGCACATTATACATTTTTGGTTTTCAACTGTTGCTTATCAAATGTAAAAATGTCTGGGTCTGGAAGAATGCGCGATTTGTCATGCAGAATTTCCATGACCCATGAGGTCTGGAATGCAGGACACAGCATGACAGATTCTGTGCGATCTTTCCCATGCCTATCCTGCATGAGAAACTGCTTCCCGACTTGGTCAAAACTGGACGACTTTTGGTAATCATGCAACACAGATTTTTGCATGCTTCAGACTTAGCATGACAAATTGCATTCTTCCAGACCCAGACACTTTTACATTTGATATTGCTAGAAGTGCGACCGGCCGAGAAAATCGTTTTCGCAACGCCCATGTCATGTTGTATTATGAAAGTGTCAGAATCAAAATGGACAAAATCGAAAAATTTGTGATGCACAAAATCGATGTCAGTTGGAGTCTCAGTTCCCAAGTGGCGCATGACAAATTTCGGGAGCACCCAAATCCAGTCTGTCATGCTGTTTGGGCAAAGAAGACTGCTCCTGTCATGCTTCTCTGGCAGCGCATACGCATTGCATACCCCTAAACAGGCTTACAATCCGTCTCATGATTTGCCTGCTCCCCAATACAGGCCTCCAGTGCCCTACATTTTATGCATCACAAATTTTTCGACTTTGTCGATTTCGATCCTGACACATCCATATGTATTTGCAAAATAATATCCTGACGAGGAAGCAGCCAAAGATTGCGACTCTTGGCGACTTTCTGCTTTATTTCCGTGAACCAAAACGACAGATATTAACTACAGCTAGAAAAACATCAAACAATTATAGGTTTACTGTCCGTCGATAAAATCTTCAAATGCATAAGTGGGTAATAATGAAGCAGAATAAGTGTTGCATCTAGCACAGTTGGAACGCTCTGCAGCTGACCCGCGCCAGGCGAGCAAACGGCAGTAGCGCCTGCGTAGAAGAGAGGTTTTTAGGAGTGTAATTGAATAGCTTACAATGGTTTACTATCGAGGAGAGGGTTGTAATTGAATATTAGCATGTAATAGAATAGAGGTACTATCAACTCGCGTGGTTAAGATGTAAATACAGTAAGACAAACAGGACCCAGGGATAATTTTTTTAATGCGTTAAACTGTTAACTGAAAACCAACTATTTGAAAGCGCAGAAAATCTGAATTGATGAAAGAGGCTGCGACCTAGAAGCAAATCCACTCTACGTATGCCCTAGTCGCACGCTCTTGCTTTGTCTGATTCTATTACGTTGAGGTACATTACGTTAAGATACTAATCGAGTCTGACATTTTTGCTGTTAAACTGGTAAACAAACAAATCGAATTACGGTTTTTCACGTTCATTTGCTAGAAATCTAGAGTCATTTGAAATCATTCCCAATACCAATCGGCACAACCAAACCGGCCGCTCAGAACACCCGCATCGGCGCCAGCTGCCCTGGTCGATGGTAATTGGATGGTGGTTGCTTCGTGCCCGGCAGCGCGCGACGGGAGCTCGAAATTTGGTACCGGCCGCCGCTCTGGTGCACCTTCTCGTACACGGGGACTTTGTTGTTCGGACGGTGGTCGTAGCCGTTGTTGGGCACCTTCATGTTCGCGAGCGCGGGTAGGTTGTGCGGGTACCGCTTCGCAACGCCAGACCCGGACGCCTGATACTGCACGGACCCGCTGGGCCCTTGGCGCTTGACGTCGTTGTAGTTCCTTTCGTAGTTCCGGTACTGCTGCGCCGGCGTGATTTGCGGTCCGCCGCGCGAGCCTGGGGGGGTTTGGAGTTGTTGTGCGTAGGGGGATTGGTAGGTATTGGGATCGTTGTAGGGGGTACCCACTTGTTGCTGTCTTGAATTATTGTTTGCATCTCGACTCTGATTCCTACGATGTCGCTCTTGCACGTGATAGCCGTCGACTCCCTCGAAATAGCCTCTACTCTCATTTTCGCCCGGTAACGGGTAGTGATCCACGGGCGGTTGCTTGCTGCTGGACGACGGCGTCTGCGCCCTCTCTCCGTGGTGCTGCTGCTGTGAAGATCCTCTACTGCGCACATTCTGCTGTTGGTTATACGCATCATTATTGTTCCCAGTTGCAGCTCCTGATGGTCCCGGGGTTCCCAAGCCCATCCGTTCCCTGTCTCTCTGCGCTCTCCTTAATTCTAGTTCCTGTCGTGCGACCTCCAATTCCTCTCTCGATCTGACCCGCCGCTCAGGCCCGACAATGTTATCTGGCGGCGGCTTCGAGCTACTGCTACTTCGCTCGGCTTGCTGCCTCTGCTGCTGCTGCGCAGCGTAGTTGTCCGGCGTCTGCGCCCGGGCGTTGGAGCTCGACGACGGTTCTTGGCTGTAGTCAACCCGTCTCGAAGCTGCAGACGAGCCTCCTGCTTGCTCTCCTCTCAACTCGTGATCTCTCCGCATTCTTCTCTCGTAGTTGTTCCCAGCAGCGACCGCCACCATCTCCGCGTAGTTGGGTGGTGGCCTCGGCCCGGAATTCGACCCGGGCCGTTGGCTCGACGTCCCTGGTCGATTTCCGTTTAGCTGCTGCTGGTTCAATAATTGCCTCTGCTGCGCCATCACCGCCCCCGGGTCGACGGCGGACGGCATGGCCGGCGGCCGGCCGGGCCGGTTGCTGTTGCCGTTGTTTCTTTCCCTCGCCCCCTCGGCGTATTCCTGCACATAAACTGGCAAATTGGTCTTCGGGGGCTCCCGCGGATGATCCCGACTCGGCGTTTCGTTATTTGCCCGCACCTGACTGCTTGCAGGCCGGTACTCCCCCCCTGCCTGGCGAACCAGTGCGTCGTTGCCCTGTCTTGAATTCAGCAGCTGCCTTTGCTGGTCGGCCGAGACCTGTGGATCCCCGTTGTACGAACCGAACCCAGGTGTGTTGTTATCCACTTTTCTCGCGCGGTCCTGCTGGTCCGCCCCGAGTGGTGTGAGCATGACAGCCCCGCTCCGATTACGATGCTCACGAGTCTCTCTGTCTCTCTCATCAGTACCTTTTTTGGACCGGGTCGTTCTTTTGGGTAAAAATTTCTGCTGGGGTAACATATTGATATCGGCATTCGAAAAAAAAGAAATAAACGCTCAATGGTTTTATTATTTTTGCAAGACCAAAATCTTTTGAGAGAAAATCCCATACCATACCTGAATGTGGCACCTCCTGCCGACGGCTGCTTGAGACTGCGTGCCCTCCAGATGGCGTCCCGAGATGTCGGTACGGACCCTGATATGATGTTAAAGTTTTCAGGTTGCCGAATAAAATGTCAATTGCGATCAAGCATGCCAAAACATACTCCAAGTGCATGTTCCTGCATAAGAAACTTCATATTACCTGTGGGTTCATCTGGTACGGGCCTTGGTTCAAATAGTCCGGGACAACTGGCAAATCCTGTTGAGGTATCAAATGCAAAAATGTCTGGGTCTGGAGGAATGCAAGTTTGTCATGCTTGTCTGGCATGACTCGAGAATCTGTGTTGCATAGGCACGAAAAAGCCCTCTTACGTGTCATGCAAAAACGCAGCTTGCCATGCGGAATACGTAAAACATGGCAGCCAAAAAAATTGTCATGCATAGCCGCGGAATGCAGTGCGTCTATCATTCATTTTTAGCATTACATACAAGTTTCCAGACCCAGACGCTTTTGCAGTTGATATGAGGCTGCGGCTGTTGTGACTGCTGCTGCAAGTTGTATCGCAATTGGTCCAGCGAGTCTTTCGGCCGCCGGGATTGCCTCGACCTTCGGTATCTTTCCTCCTGACTTGGTTCCTCCGGGATCGGATCTTCGTACCTGATATTACGATTTTTCTTTTTCGACGAAAGTGATCGAACGGTATTAATTTTCTCATGCTGGTACTTACCGCGATGGGGATGGAAACAAACTCACTGCATCTGGTGTCATGCAAAAACTCAGGAAACACAAACAACTTCTTCATCCCTCTAAATAAGTAATACCTTGGCCTGGGCATCTGCCCTGCCACCTCGGACATGTTTGCGTCCTTGGGCATCTTAATCGTGTTCAGCAGATCCGTGGGTACGTTCCGCGGCCCGCCCTTCCTGCTGGCCGAGTCGTAATGGATGTGCCGCTGCATGACGGGTAACTGCAGCAAAACGTCCACCGCCGGGCGTTGCCGGGGATTGACCTGCAGGAGCAGCGCGATCACTTCGTTGACGTCCCGGGAGTAAACCGAGGGGACTCGCGGGTATTGCCCGCGGAGAATCTTGCGGTACAGAGACTCCATGTCGTCCGCTCGGAATGGAGGCCTGAACAAGCACATGATTGGTTACAATTTCATCTTCGTGTTTTTAGGTTGTCATGCTAGTAGAGCACTTCATGCATGTGAGAAGTACATACTCATCAACAGCAGGACCTAGTTTATCATTTTTACCTTTGTAGTACAAAACTGGAACAAACCCCAAATCACGTACCTTAACGCCACCATCTCGTAGATGACGCAGCCTAAGCTCCACATATCCGATTTTGCGTCGTACGGCATGTCCCTCCACACCTCTGGACTGGCGTAATACGGTGTGCCGGTTTGCGTCATGCACAACCCTCTTTTGGCCACTTTCGACACGTTCAAGTCCCCGAGCTTGACTTCGCCCTTCGACCCCAGAAAAACGTTTGCGCACTTCAGGTCGCGATGGAGAATTTTCAACTCGTGCAGGGCCTTCAGCCTGTTGTGGAGGCAGTTCACGAAAATGATTGTGATGCGTGACAACAAAAAACAGCACACTGCTTGTCGTGCAGTTTTATTTCATGCTCAAAACATAAATCGCAAACGTGCAAAAGCTAGTATACCCGTGGCACATCCCGAATGTGCAGTGCCACACGTCGGCTTCGCGAAAGAAAGTTCGCATTTTCTGGTGGTGACTAATCTTCTGGAACAGGTCGCCGCCGTCTGCGTACTCAGTGATGATGCACAAACACCTGATTGGTTTTTTCTCATGCATACAATAATCCATCACTGGCGTTATTTCTCTTTTGCTTTTCGCACAAGCTGCCTGACAATGAAATCCGATAGGACGACAATAGAGATTTTATCTGCGAGTACTTACCTCGACGCGTCGTCATAGAACGACTCCTTGTAGCCGATGACGTTTTCGTGCTGAATGGAAGCAAGGAGCCGCACTTCGTTCAGCGAGTTTTGCTTTTCCTTCTCGGACAAATTCGGCAATTTTACCTTCTTCAAAGCGTAGATTTTGTTGTCCGATAGTCGCAAAATTTTGTACACCGCGGAATAAGCGCCCTCCCCGAGCAACGCCATCTGCCGGAAATCCTTCAAACTCGTAGACACCGCCGGGGGTAGGCCGTTTTTCAATTCGGAGATGATTTTCTCGTCGGTGGCGGAGATGGGAGGCTGATAAATTTAGTTTTTTTTCTTTGGAAAATTGGAATTTCTCACACGAACCTTGATCTTGAATACGTAAAAACAACGAACTGCGCTTCTCCTTCTCTCGTTCATGCTTAAAAAGAGACAAGTTCAAACGATGTACAAAACGGAGGACGACATCACCAGAACCAGTATTCCCAAAATAAAACAAAGTACTCTTTTATCCTGCGACGAGCTGCTTTTGCTCTTCGAGTTATTCCCGACGGAGGGGTCTTCCGTCATGTCGCCTCGTCTTCTTCTCCGCTCACTTTTGTTCAACTCCCGATCGGGTGAACCGACGCCCGACCCCGTAGAGGAACTCCGGTGCTTGCTTATCATTTGTAAAAACGTCCCCACCTGATAGCTGTAATGCAATTCTGCATGCTGAAGACGTTTCTCATGCGGAGCCCCATGAGAAGCATTCTCTAGTCGCGTTTCGGAATTTTTCACGCTTCAATCAGCATTATAGGCTGGATTCGTGATGCTGGTAAACTAGCTAAACAGTCTTGCACTATGTGGCCAAACTTGTCATGCGCAACAGCCAAGCCCTGTGGATTTGTCTAGCAGATTTGCCATCTTGACTATGGGGCGGGGACGTTTTTACACAAGATATTGCTGTGCGACGACTCCACCGGCTCTCCGGTGATCATGCTGGACGGGTTTATCAAATGTAAAAATGTCTGGGTCTGGAAGATTCCGAGATTTGTCATGCACATTTTGCATGACTCCTGATGTCTGTGATGCATGCCCTAGCATCAGAAATTTTTTGCGAGCTTTCGGATGCGTATCCTGCATGACAAATGCCCTCATCGTGTAGCACAAAGTCGAATCCTCTTGCTAGTCATGCAACACAGATTTTCTTAGAATCCGAAGACAGCATCAGAAGTTGCATCCTTCCAGACCCAGACATTTTTACAATCCATAGGGTTATTGCTGCTACTATTGTTGTTTCCACTGGAGGAGCCTCCACCCGCGTTTGCAGCACTGCCCAGAACGTTGTTGCTGTTGCTTCCACCTCCACCGCTGACAGAGTCCAGCACGTTACTCGGCGGTAGCGCCGTGGAGGAGCTCGGCGTCCCGGAACCTACCACCACGCCGGACGTTGCATTTGCTCCCGATGAATCGCCGTTGCTGCTGGTGCTCGACCTCCTTTTCTTCATTTCCCGTTCTGCCTTCTGCTGCTGCGCCCGCACCTCCGCGGCCTGCTGCTGCATGGCGGCCGCCTGCGCCTGCAGCTTCTCCGCCTGCTGCTCCAAGTCGACGGCTTGCTGCAGTGACATGGCGTGGGGGGTGTTGGACCCGACCAGGCTGTCGACGGAATTCAGAGACGAAGAGTGTCGGTGGTCCTCGGTGCTGGAGGTCGCTGTCGTCGTGTTCGTCGCTCGACTGCTAGACGCGACGACGTTGGCAGATTTCACAGAGACTAACGGTTCTACGGGTCCGCCAGCGGTCGGCGTGCCGGTTCCGACCGGTGGCTGACTGCTAGACATGATTTTGATAATCTATTTCTTGTTTCGTCGGCGATTGCTCTCTTGTTTTCAATCGAGGAGGACTTCTTCCCGTGCTGGTCTGTCGGTATCTGATGTTCTATTCTGTTTACTGCGAGCATGCATATGATGCGTTTCGACTTATGAATTCTCCTTGTGAATAACTCTTCGCAAAAATTGTTCGCAACGAAGTTTTTTATTCTGATTTCCCTAGAAGTACGTCTTCTGACACTCTTCTGCTACAGCGGGCTACAAGCTGCTAAGCTAACAGTCAGCCTATTGTTACCGCGATGTAGTTGCTTCTCCTCCGTTCTCGAAACAAAAAAATCTAGGCAATGTTTTCGTGTTTGTGAGATGAAAATCATTCATTGAATTCACAAAAAATATCGTGGATGAGCAATCCTCACGAGCAGTCCCTCAAACAAGTTTTAGTACTTTTCACGAACTACATGCATGTACTCGTCGGTCCTACCGTGTGCGACGTATAGCCCGAAATGTGTTCTCGACGTGGTGCGACGATGCTGAATGTAGCGATAAAATAATCGATGACATTATGATACGATTGTGTAGAGCTTTGTGATGTGAATATGATAGGTTCAACTTGGGGCCCTGTAGGTGCAACGATAAAACGTGCGACGATAGGGAGGATGATATGCTATTTTCTAAACAAGAGCGGTCGTGGTCCTCAGCTTCTTCTCTCAACGATTACACGGGCACTCACCTTCGACTTTGACCATTAACGAGCGCCGATGACTTTTCAAGAACCGACTCTTTCGCAAGACTTTCCTGCGTACAGTAACAACAGATGAGAAAGACCCAAATTATGTGCTGGCCGACTTCGATGTGTGCGGTAGGAAAGTAAAGTCAATCTTCACGTACTTACTTCTTTTTCTTTTCATAAAAAGCACAGTAGTAGTAATGCTGCCCGCCAAGCAACTTGTTGTTTTCTACTTTTATTCAAACGTGTCAGCAGCATGCAAGGGAACGGTCAGGCCGATCTGACAGGCTGCGGGAACTACGCGTCTGTTGTAGATTTTCACGGCTTTTCTTACCATCGCTTTCTCCGGCAAAACCATGTCATACCGCCGGTTCAAGCTGGCCTGGTTTCGGAACCCAGAAAGCAGCCCCCGGAGGGAATCTTCGAGCTGATGCTGGGCCCGGGTGTACCTGTGGAAATTTTTCTTTTCTTTGACTACGAGGGAGGAAGCTGCTGGTGGAAGGGAGCACGGGAAATTCTATAAACACATCCGCGGTGATACGACGCGTTTCCATCTGCATGACAACAGATAACCGAAAAACGTACCTTTCAAGTTGCTTCAGCAGTCCAATCCTCTTTGTATCATACTTGTGCACGGCGCCCTGAAAATACGTGTGCGCCATATTCTATCAAGTGTAAAAATGTCTGGGTCTGGAAGAGTGCATGTTTGTCATGCTTGTCTGGCATGACTCTCAAATCTGTCATGCACGTTACCCAAGACCGCCATTTTTCTGTCATGTAGAAACGCAGTTTGTCCTGCAGAATAGGCAACATCTAGAAGCTCAGAAACTTGTCATGCTGAGCGAGCACTTGTGGCCTCCTCATGATACGCCACCCAGCATCACAAGTTTCCAGACCCAGACATTTTTGCATTTGATATATTCACGGCCCGGTTTGCCTCGTCAATCGTGCCGTCTTTTTCCTCTTTCGATTTAAAAACCGGCGGCGGGCCGAGGGGTCTGTCTCCGCCCGGACTCCCATTACACCGGCACTTTTTCCCGTTTGCCTTAAACCCCGCGACTTTGGGGTCCGGGAAATTTTCTAGCGGTGGAGGCTCGGAAGGGGCGAAAAACTTCAAAAGTGAGCCAAAAGAGAAGAAACTCGTCCTTGCGTTTCTTCTGCCGCTGTTGGTCGGGAATGCTGCTGAAGGTTGCGCACGCGGTTCTTCGGTTCCAGTGTGGCTGAGTGGCGTTCTGCTCGAGCTGGCCTTTCCTGCGCCGGTGAGGATACTAGCGGCATCGGTGGCCGAAAGCACGTCGCGCAACATCTTATTTGTTGTGTGCGAAAACTACACCTTTGTATCACTGAAAAGGACGCGGCGCCCTACTGGCGCGGTAGAACGCGGGATGAATTTCGTGCACGCGACGCAGGATCGAGCGAAAACGGCGACGCAGGCTCGAGCGAAAACGAATAAAAGCAGGAATAACGAGAGAAAAAGGCGAAGAGAGATGCGACAGCGACAACGATCAAGATGTTCTCTCAGTTGCGATGGGAACTAACGTCCACCGGGCGATGATGCTGACGATAATGACCACGAGAAAACGAATACGAAATTGCACGCAACCATCTACTATTTGTACAGCGATTTGCTCAACAGAAGTCCCAAGACCACGCACAACGAACTAGCAAACAGTGATCCTCTGAAAGAGCCCGAGCCTTGCCGCTTCCGCGATTGCATCGTGGTTTACACTTTCTTTGAAAAACTCATCCTAGCGCCGTCGAGCAAATGATCTACAAGTTGTTCGTGTGGACGTTCGAACCTTCTCGTCGGGCCACAGTTTCATTGTCATGAAGGGTAGTAGGTGCCAGTTTTGGAGGGTTTCGTTTTGATAGTGAGTTCCTTGCCTATGGGGAGACAAAAACAATTCTACTCCTACTATGCGTGATGTGTTCGTTGGTTGACATTCAATTTCAAATCAGTTCGTCGCAAATTATGATTATCTCGCCTGCTGTCTATGTATTTTTACAGACAGGAAACGAAAGAGCATGTCCACAGCATCTTTAAGAGTCCTTTTTCTTTTCCGCCTCCTTCGCATCTGCCTTTTCTTTCTTCTTCTTTGCGAGCATGGCGTTCTCCTCCACGTAGTCCTGTGCCGGGTGGTGCATCATGGAGAGCAGTGCGATGAGAATGGAGAACAGCAACACGTGCGTCAAGTTGTAATTCCACTTTTTTCCCGGCATTGGAAACATCTTGTCGAGCACCTGCGCCACCATACCAAATTTCTTCACCTCCGTAACACCTGGTAGTATAGGACGGGGAGTTTCAGATTTCCTGCACTTTGTTTTGCAAAGTTGATCAACTTTCCTTCACATACAGAAAGTGTTTTCATGCGAAGAACGACCGGCACATGCATGACTAGTAATAGGCTGTGATGCTAAAAGTAATTCAGAAAAACACTGTACAGATGTAGGTGTAGAAGTTCCCGAAGAAGAAGAGCGCAATCCCCCCGAGCATCATCACCAGAAACGAAAATACGGCTCCGTCAAGGAACCTCCCTGGGGCGACAAGCGTCAGGACCGGCATTTTTTTCAGATTTTGGTTTGCGTGATTTCTTGTGACACAACTCTAGTGAGGTCTAGGAGACCTAGTGTGAAACAGGATACTAGCAGACTACAGACTAGTGCGCAGTCCGCGATCAACTTCTTGCTTGAGAGAATGACAATAGGTTTAGCACCTAGAAGTACACGTGCATCTATGTAAAAGCAAAATGTACTTTCTGTTTGAAAAAATGGCACTTCTGTCTGCGTTTCTTCGCGAGCATTGTTACCAGACTGAAACTTTTTGAGGACGGTTTCCGTTTTTGGAGTCGCGTTGGTGAAACATAACCGGTTTGGCAGTACATGATCTCAGAACAGTTTTGGAGCAGTAGGATCTTTCAAATTTGAGCTGCAACTGCAATAAATATGCGCATGTGCGATGATATCAATCGGCTCTCTTCTAGAATGACCTTGAAGCCGACGTTGGGAACCCGTTTGCTGCCTGTCGCAGCATCGGAGTACTTTTTGTTGCTGCTTCCTTGTCATGCAATGATCGCATGACAAGGAAGCGGAGTACTTCTTGTTGTTGCTATTTTGATTTGTAAAAAATTCTTTGAAGGAAAATGTCTTAGTGTACGGCAAATTATTTGATGCGGATTTTTGAAACCCGAGCGAGCATTGCATCGAGTTAGAATAATCGCATCAGACTCTTTTGCGTATTGTACATACGAAAAGTAATCGGCGGAGAAACGACCAACTCAACTCGCGATCACAAAATGATCATGTGCAGCGAGGTTATTCTATGCGATCAGAAATCGCGCTCGAAGGATCTTGAAAAAGTACTATACGGCAACATGCTACAACAGCCCTATGGATATGAAACCCACAGGGAAATAAAACTGCAGTATTATCGGCCTGCAACTTTTCAGGGAAACTCCTGCAGTACAAGATTCCTTGCCAAGACCAGTGGCATCGGCCCTATTAAGGCATTGAAATTTTCCCTGCTCAAACAGTAGCAGCTTGCTGTTTCTGAGAGTACTTTTACCGTCGCGGGGCGCGGGTGGTCGAACACTAACGCCAGCTCGCCCCAATAGTCGCCGATGGTGTAGGTTGTGGTCTCCACCCCGTTTTCGATCACAGACAAGGACCCACTCGCGACCAAATACAGGCAGTCTCCGGGCTGTTTCTGCTCGGTGACCTTCGCCATCTCCTCGAAGTGCTGGAGTTTCAGTGCGTCGACGAGCTGGGAGATTTCCGCCTCGGTTAATGAGAAAAACATCGGAATCCGGCGCAAATGCTTTTGTAGCTGGGTCCTCTGCCGCAGCGCGTGGTCCTGTTGCACGGCGCGCCAGACCGTTCGCTCGAGTTTGTACAAGACCGAGTCTTCCGCGGCGACCACCGCCACCGCCCGTCGCTGCGCCATATCGGTCAGGCAGTTTTCGCCGAGAATCAAGCCGGGCTCCAATGTGCGCACCAGCTGCTCGTCCGGGTTGCCCTCGAGCACCTTGAAGCATTCCAGCTTGCCGCTATCGACCACGTACATGCAGTCCGCCTCTTCGTTCTCCTCGACGACCCTGCGGCCTTTGGAGGCCGCGACGGGCTCGAGGGCATTTAAAAGGATTTCTTTAACCGCGTCTGCGCATCCATTCCACAGGAAAGATTGCTCGAGGGTCTGTAGTTTTTCATCCGATACGACTTGGTAAAAACCGAGTGCTTTTGCTTGATGTCATGCCGTCTGAATAACTATAAGTAGCTCGCTTCAACATATTTATTTTCATGCGGAAGATAGATCACGGTTTGCAGGATTAAAAAAAAATCGGAAATCATTCGTACCTGAAGTAGCCGAAGCCTTTCGTCATCAGTTTTCGGGTGCACGGGCGGGACTATGGCTGTTCTTGGATTGGCATCACCGAACCTGACAAGTTTTGTTTGCCATAGAAATTGCGTTTTTGTCTTGAAGAAGGAGCTGCAGTCCTTGCATCTCTACTAAGCGTAAATCAACAAAAGCGAGAAAAAAACATACGTTTCCGCGCTGATCGCCATTCCTCGCTTCCTTGGAACGGGCACCTGGCTATCATCCAAATATTCTTCCTCCTCTCCCTCCTCTTCAACCTCAGCTTTCTCCTCTCCTTCCACGATCTCCGCTGCGGATTTCTCCGGCGCGTTCACAAAGTCCGAACATTCCTGCACTCGTTGTCCCATGTTCTGCAAAGTTGCGTGCAGTGTTTTGTTCTCCTGCTTCAGCGCCTCGACCTGTTTGTCCCTCGCTACGGTCTTCAGCCGCTGCATGTCGATCGCGAAATCGGAGGGCCTGCCCAGGCGCTTCTGCAGCCACGCCTGCATAAACTTCAGGGGTTCGCTGGGTTGGTGACAGATGATGTCGGTGACCAGGTCGTGCAACACTGGGTTCATGTGCTCGGACAAAAACCGGCTGCGCTCCTCGCCCAGGGCGCTGGTGTCCACCATCTTGTGTGATCTTGTAGTGTGGGGTTGGGAAGATAATGTACGAAAAATACGGGGGTACGGCTGTAGAACTAATGCAACAATGGGTCACTTATATCATCCTGAATGAAAGCCTGGTTTTTGTTCGCAAATATCGTAGACGATGAAGTAGAAGTCGACGCAGGGATGAACAGCGCAACTTCGCCGGGAAAACGAAAGTACGGCGATTATTGTACGATGAAACGACTTGATTTTTCTATCGACCAGTTTTCAATCCGATGAACGACAATCGAAAGCAATACAGATACAGAACCGAGAGCAACATGACAAAACATTTTTACCGAGATGAGGCACGAACTTACTATTCGAATATGCACCTCGCGCCAGGTCCGAGCGCAGTGCAACTGCAGAAACAGGAGGACCGACAGTGATGTATTTGATGGTGGTCGCATACCGAATATTGTGGAGAATAGGAAACAGGCATACTTCCTCCACGGCGGAAGTTTGTTTCATCATCCAAAGTCGAAGTAATTCGTGCGGGCGCACTGCGGCTGTTGGTGCAGACCGTTTCCTATGTATCTATGCGCTGGTCATGTCGACTGCCGCAGCAAGGAGTACTTACGGCGCAGCGACACGCAGGAAATTCTGCCCAATAAGGCGAGTTTAGAAATAGGAATTTGTCCTCTAATCGCTAGCAGCAATGCAAAGTTAAGTTATCCTCGACACACAAATAAATACTTATTAATGCACGTAAAAACTACGCCGGCTCCGCTCTATTCTCAGCAAAATATTCGATCCGCAGGTGTTTAGTACTTTATTCCCAGCTTGTTCGTCACAGCTCGCCCGCGGGAGGTGAGTTACTGTCGAACGCGCCCTCGGGGAAGAGATTAGGAGGGGATGGGGAATCACTATCGAACGCCCCGCTCGGAAACAAATTTGGGGCAGAAGAGGACGACTCGCCGCTGCTGTCAAAAACCCCGTCCGGAAACAGATCCGCCGGTGAACTAGACTCGCTGTCGAAAGCCCCGTCCGGAAAAAGCGGGTCGACGTGGATGTCAATCGTCGGGATTTTGCTAGTGGTTGTGGTTTTCGTCTTTGCGGCAGATGAACGAGCAGGGGGTACAACTTTATTTCTGACAGGTGGAGGCGCCGTCGTTGTACTTGCAGTTCGAGGTGGAGTTTTACTTGTTTCTGTTGGCATTTCTTTTCCAACAACTCGAGGTGGCGGCTCATAATTTTCCGACTTGACAGACGCACTGTTTACTCGTTGAGATTTGGTCACCGTCTGCGGTACTGCATCTTCGTCCAGCGAAGGTGCTGGTTCTGCTCCTGCCTCCCCGGCTTCGAGGTTTGAATTTGGGAACGTCGCACCAGCAGGTTCTACTTCATGATCCACCGGAGGGCCGTTCGAATTTTCCTCGTCCTCCTCCCGCGCCGGGAAATGGTTGTTCATTTTGTAACCCGGCTTCTTGCTTTCCCGCAAGTGTTTTTCCATTTCCTCCTTCCGCTGCTTCGATTCTTCTTCCTTCATCATTTCCAGAAACCATTCGAAAAAATCCACCCCGTTCCAGTCCTCTTCAAAATTGTAGTCTTCGGGGTCTTTGTCGTGCATTGCCGCGCCGCCGACGAAAGAACTCTTAGAACTGAAAGAGTCATCTTCATCTTCTTCATGTGGCGGGTAAGAGGAATTCATCTCGTCGTGTTCTTCATAGTACTGTTCCTGTTCGTGCTCGTGTTCCTCGTCCTCTTCCTGCACTGGACTGGCGGTTGTTGTTCTCGGTTTATTTTTCTGCTTTGGTTTCTTCGTTGTAGCCGAACTCTGTTTCTTTTTCTTCTTGCTTGAAGTAGATTTCTGGCTGTGGTAAGGTTTGTAACTCGCCTTCGCATGCTTGTCCGTGTTTTTTCTTTTCGGGGAAGCTTTGTTGTTGGAGGAAGACCAGAAGCGTGCCAGATCCGAGAATTTGAAGCTCCCGGACTCCTCCATCCAAGCAACGTAGTGGTCAAATTTCCCGCTCATCGCGGTCAGGAAGCTGGCCCACTTCTCCTCCAGTTTCACGAAATACTTGTGCGTCTCGAAAAACCCGTCGTTGCGATCTGTGTAGGATTTTTCATTGTCTTGGTTGAGGGTATACATGAATCTGGGGTCGTGGGCTTGTGGAAGACGATTCTAGGGGGGCAGAGATTGGAACGCAAAACGTCAATTCAGCGGTCGTCGGTCAACTCCTTCTTACTCGAAAAAGTTATTTAAAAGTAAAAATCATTCTGAGTGCTGTACATATACCTGATCCTGGCTCTGTGATCCACGGCCCGTTCCACTCCCAGCCGTCCTGGACCATTTCCCAAAACGTGCCCCCGTCGTCCGCATCGCCGCTCCTCCGGTTGCTGTACTTCTTGATTGCCTGGTGCGCCTGGTTCAGCTCCGCCATCTTCCGCGAGCAATCTTCACAATCCGGATTCCGATCCGGGTGGAGTTTCAGCGACATTTTGCGAAAGGCCTGCTTCACCTCGTCCGCACTGGCGGTGCGGCTGATCCCGAGCAGTCGGTAGGGGTCTTGGTCGGCGCCTTCGGAAACGTCGTAGCCGGACAGGAACTCGTAGATGTAGGGCAGGTACACGATGAGTGCGAGAAAAGCGATCACGGTGAACAGACGGGAGGTGACTGTGAGTGGAGGAAGGTTTGCGTTTTATAACATGCTGACGTTTTTGGAAAAAATTTAAGAAAGTTAAGGCTTACTGCAGTAAGACAGCCACAGCGCGTACGTGTGCCCACGTAAGTACCGTACTCAGGAACAATGCAATTATACCGTAACCGTAGCGCAGAAATGAAGACATTTATCAACCCACACAAAAACAGCTTTTACCACCCCACAGAAACGCTCTGCAGCACCCTTGCGGGCCGCAGCAGGTCCTCCCGGCGGCCGCGTACCTGTCCGCCTCTGCGCCGAGGGGCGCGCTCGGGTGCACATTTTTGTCGTTGAACTGTTTTACGTAGTACGGGATGAAGAGCAGATCGACGTAGATCCCGAGGGATAAGAACCCAATTGTCCACTGGTGCAGCGTTGCCCACATGGGGTCTTCCAGGTAGATGTGGTGTGCACCGGTCAAGAAGCCGCCACAGAAAAACTGCAGGTACGCGTGCTTCACGTCTTTTCGCTTTCGGAGCTGTCCGCTCCGTATTCGCTCGCGCGACGCCGGGGAAAGATCGCCGCCCGCAGTAGGTGGCGGGTCCTCAGCGCCTGAAAGAACGGCCGCTGTGCCGTCGGCGTTTGTGGTCGCAGGTGAGGATCCGGGGCGAGGTGTTTCGGTCGCATCAGCAGTTGCGCCAGTCATGGACGTGGTTCCCTGCACTGGGCTGTTCACCATATTTGCATTATTTCCCGGCTGCTGCGGCGGTTGGTTATTATTTCCCCCGGTCTTGCATCCGTTGGAGATCCATCGGCAGACCAGCCAGAGTCCAATGGTGTACGTGAGCGTCCACATCTCGTCTACGTCACCGTCCATGACCCGCTCGATGCGGGCAAGAAGGACGTCGAGCAGCTCCAGCAGGAGCACCATGATCCGCGCGTACCACGAGGCGCCGTCGCCGTCGGAATTGGGCTCGGAACCGGTAGCAGACATTGTCTCTGTTGCTCGTTGAAATTCTTGAACTACAGGGGCTGTATAAAGTTGCTGAAACGGTGGAAACTTCTATTTTTAACCAAAAGCTCCTGCTGAAAGCAAAAATTAGTAGGTCGAGGTATCCAAAATGGAAACGAGAAGCTTCGTGTGCAGCGTCGTGGTGGTACTTCGACTGGTACGAAGCGTGCGACTTTCGGGGTTCTTCGGGAGGGTCAAGAACTACCAGCACACACTTCGCTCCTCGGAATGGATAGAATCTCTGTTGAGGATGAACAAATTGGTCATGGGCACGCGGCTACAAGCTTTCGCCGCGGCAGTGCTAGCAAACCAACCAGTTGTGGTGTTTGTCATTTCACCTACTTACAGTTGGACGGTCAACGGCTACGCGACGGTACGAAAAGCGTACGAGACTTCACCTGGACGCTTGGCTAGTACGAGTAACGAGACTTCTGCTCTACGTTGTTGCGAGGATAATGAGGCTCATGCGGAACGAGGCCGATCGGGTGGAACTACGAAAAACCGACGTGCAAACCAAACGAAAACTACCACTTTTGCTCAGATGCGACGCGGCGGGGGCAGACGCAAGCACCGCCGCTTCCCGCGGCGCCCGGAGTGCGGGGGATGCGGGGAGGTAGACGCGGGCGCACAAACGTTTGCATTGAACCGTCCGCGGAAAAACAAGAAAAATCGCCGCGCGGAAACAACTATGGGAACAGGCAGCCTGCTGGGCAAAGGCCGCGGCGAGCTGTCGGAGCTACCACAAGCGCACCGCGTCTTCAGTAAGCGCCGCCGCGCCTTCCGCGTTGCTGAAAAGCCGCGTCGGCGACGCTGCAAATTAGCTGCATCGTGCACGCCGCCGTCAATGTGCGTTCGAGTCTACTGGCGACCGACGGGGTGCCCTTTCCCCCTCGTGGCATGGCTCTCCTCGGGCACCGAAAGCGGGAACCGCGCGAAGCGGCGTGCGTCCGGTATACCGGATGAGCCGCGGGCACGCGGTGGAGACGCGCCCTCCTCTTGCGGCGGGAAAGCCAATACGTGATGCCGTTACTCATGCTGTTTCCGAGCGTGTCGGGCGGAGAAAAGCCGCTTCGCTGGGTATGCGGGTGCGGACCGATGAAGGAAGGGGGGCGGCGACAAGGGGGGTGGGGGATCGGGGTGCGAGTAGGCCATGGTGCGCCCAGTATCTCCCCCTGCGGGCTCCACAGAAAAGACGCGCCCGCGGTTGGCAACCTATGAAGGACTTAAGAGCCCACATATAAAGCCACACTTGGATAGTGTAAAATTCCAAAAAAGAAAACCCAAAATTTTAAAAAAAAAATCCAAAGAAATTCAGTGGGTGTGAAATTTATGAAAAAAAAAGTACAAACATGCAAGCAATTTGGCATGTTTCAAAGGATACGGGGCGCGTTTATACTACCTTTGTGACAAACACCCTTTGGGGGTCCATGAGATTAACGGCATTCGTGGCCCCGGCAAATTTTCAAATTTTTTCAAAAAAATTTTGAGATTGCGAAATTTCCTGCAATCTGATAAAGTGGCACTCTATTGGATAAAAGTATGGGCATATATTTTACATATGCGCATTCTATCTCTGCCGTTTGTCAAATTTTTGCACTCTTTACCCAGATCGAAAAAATCGCAAAATTTTTGCAATTTTCTTGATGCCTGAAAAACTCTGGAAACCTCCACTAATAAAGGGCTAAATAATACTCATAGACTATATGTCTGCAGACATATTCCATGAAGCTAGTCACTTCCACAAAAATTGCAGCAAATTAGCCGACTTCAATTTTTTTATTCTTTTCAAATTTTTTAAAAGTTGAAAAAATTGCATGACTTTGGAATACTTGGACTATGTGGATAAAGAAAATTAGGAAAGTAGGGAGGTGCAGCTTACGGGTGTCATTTTTTTGGATATTTTACTGCTTTTTCCTCGTCCAGGGACTTTGGGAAATTTAGCAATTTTTGCAAATATTAAAAATTGCTAGGATTTTTGTAGTGCCCGTGTATGCAAATAGGCAATGTTGTCCAATATGGGGCGCCTGGCGCTTTCTGCCGGTTTTTTCTGCTAATTCTGCGGCTCAAATGTCGCTTATGTTTTAAAGCGTGCTACTTTCCAACGAGGGTGCTTGGATGAAAAGGATGAGGATCCTCCAAAACAGTGGGGCTGCAAAAACGTACCAAGATAGTGGACGCCCTTAGTTTTTTGCACTATAAAAAGCCTCAGCCGCCTTCCAAAGTTTCAGCCTGCCCCCCCCCCCCCCCCCCCT